TTCCTCCTCGCTGGTTCCCTTGAATTCTGATTCCGATTCCGATTCCGATTCCGATTTCTCCTTTGCCTCTTGTATTAGAGTTATGTGCGACGGTCTTGTTGAGGGGAACGGATCATCTAGAGCAGAATATCCGCCTCTCTTCTTTGTTCATGAAGAAAGAGTGTGCTATCCTTTGGTTTTTGTTGTCTTTTTGTGTCTTGCAGACCTTTTCAGGTCCGTATTGCTGATCTTTGCCCCCCATGAAGTCCTAACTCCTGGACCGGGCGGATGGTGGATTTCTCCTTCTTCTTGGGGGATTTCGATCATTTTGGATCCTCAATTTTCCGTTCTGTGCTGCATGAATGCCTCCTTGTACGCTTGTGCTATGCCCCACCCGCTTTGCGCCTCCCCTTTTTTATGGCCGTGACCCCTGTTTATTATGTGGGGATTCTTCCGAAAATGGCTCTTGCTGTGTGTCCGTTTTTTTCTTATGGAGGGTTTGTCCGTTGGGTTTTGTTGTTTGCGCCTTTGCCTCTCTTGTTTTTTGCCTGTTATGTGTGGAATCTTTGCTCGTTTTGCGGAATTGACGTCACTTTTTGTGCGTCAGGTGTTTATCTGCACATTTTTTCCTTTCTTTTCCTTGTTCTCTGTTTTTTCCTTGATTGGTTTCTGTTACCTTTAACGTACATTATCCGGTGCTGGGCTGTGGGCCTAAAATGTATTGTGCATTATGTTGATTCTTTCTTTATTCTTGATTCTGGATGGACTTAGTATGGGTATTGTAGTGTATTTGTCGTGGTAGGAGATCAGTGGCTGATTTTGATCATTTTGTATTTTCGATATTATGGAGTAATTTACCTCTCCAAGCTATTAAGCAAAGTATGTAAATTCAGCCCATACTACGAGGACTACATTATTGGACCAGGTACAAAGTCCACGCTAAATTCCCCAAGCCTTAGCCCAGATTAATCAGATCATAAGCTCGAAACGAAACCAACCAAGCCACAACACCCCACAGACGTCACCCACAACCAGAAAACAAAAAACAAAAACAAACTCTCACTAACCGTTAGTCTAAGTTATCAGGGCCCGAGAGTCGCCACTTGCCGAGTAGTTTAGCGCGTACCAGAACCCGAACTCCGAACCCGTCATACAATAACGCTAATTGTGACTAGTAATTTTGAGTATTAAGGTTAAGTTAATTAGGTCTCGTTGAACGGTTAAGCTAGTCACGGAACTACTGACGGGTATGTACTTAGTTTATGGAGAACTTGGTAAGTTAGTAAGCTAAGCAGGCTTGGTTGTAGTTAGATTAGCCGTTAGCGCTTTATAGGATTTTTAGGGCTTGGATCGACCCATTGGTGCTAACTTCTGGGTTTGGGGTTGGGGTTGGTTTCTTGTGTCTTGGGTCTTGTGCATTTTGAGTTAGCGCCTTGAGTTGGGTTCTGGGCTGGGCTGGACTCGGCTGGTTTTGCTTATGCTGGCTGCTTTATGCTTGGACTTTGAGTTAGTACCGGACTCGGCATGGTTTGCAGGAAGTAGGTACGTGTGTGACGGGGTGGCTGAGTTTAGTGTGGTACTTCCTGTACTCCGCAGCCGTAGGGTAATGTGGATTGGACTTTATGTGATGTGGTAGGTACAGTAGGGGTAGTATTGCTTTTTCTTGGATTTTCTTTTAATCTCTTGCTTTTTGCTTTTGTGTTGGGTTCGGAAAAGGGCGGATAGGGCTTGGATTAATCGTATAGGCACCTCTCTTGGGGTATTCAAGGGACGATAAAGTTGTAGGAAGCTATATTAAAGCTCTTTGTTGTCCTGGTATTTGGCTTATTTGTGGTACCTCTGTACTCATTTTCTCTTCCTGGTATCCACTGGGACGTTTAGTTGTTTAGGTCGTATTTATGTCGGAAAGTACATGACTCGCCAGACAGAACTTAGTGGCGTGGTCATATGAGTCAGTATTGCCTGTAAATGTATCACGCCGTGGCTTGGTCCTCGGATCCCTGCATAGTGTGGTCTGGTACTTGATTTGGGTTAGTGGCTCTAACCACCACGTGGGTTGTACCCTGCAGATTAAACAGCTATTTGAGCTGTTTTATGTTGGATATGACTCGCTGGGCTGGTTCTGAGTTTGCTTTATAATCACCGTTGGTGATGATAGGCCTGGGGGTGGCTGTAAGAAACGACGAGTATTGAGAGGGCGAGGTACGGAGGATTCCTTGTTCGGGCAGGTGGTTTACGACTTTTGTTTCAGCCTTCCTGGAGTCTGGATTTTTGAACTACACTTTTCAGGTTAGTATGTCTTATGTGGGAGCCGTGTTTCGGGATCTGCGGAAAGATAAGCCTTACCTGATGTCTCTGGATTCCGAGGATATCCCAAGGCATGCTGATTATCATGTTTGTAGAATGCTTCAGCGGCAGTTGTAGAGTCACGAGGAAAATGATAAGGCCCTTATGATTCGCAAAAAGGACAGAAGCAAGCAAAACGCACATTAGAAAGAGGTGTCAGATTAATGTCTCAGTAAGCACAAAGTATGTACCAAACTCAGAAAGCACTAGGATTAAACAGGAAAGATGTTGATCACCTCGAATCTGCATTATCCAAGTATCTGTGCCCTCCATGATATTGCGGCCCACCCACCGCTTCCGCTTATGGGTGCGCCCTAAATCCCCGTCACCCCTAAATCCCCGTCACATTTTTACCATTCGATTTCAACTCCCTTTCCCAACCACCCAATATGCCTAAATACTCCAATTTTGACGAGGATCGCCTGCAGAAGGCCTGTAAAGCCGTTCTACACCAAAAAAAGCCGAATATCGCTAAAACTGCGCGTGAATTTAGCGTGTCTCGAACTACCCTTGCCGATCGCGTCAAGAAGGCCCGATCGCCCTTTTCTACCACTGAATCGCGCAAGAATGCGCTTACATCACATCAGGAGAAGGCTTTGACTGCTTGGATAGTCAAAATGTGCGATTGGAACCTACCGCCTACTGCAAAGCTTATAGAAGCGTGGGCAAATCAGGCCCTTACGCGCGCTGATGCGGGTCGGCAGCCGGTTGGCAAGAATTGGGCATACTACTTTATATCACGCCTTCCAAAGCACCTATCCCTCGCTCCAGTGAAGCAGAATCTAAAGGAATCAAAGCGCATTCAAGCCGAAGATGCAGGGGCTCTCTCTTTCTGGTATGATCAGCTTGCAACCCTGCTAAAGGATATCCCTGCAAGGCTAGTCTATAACTTCGATGAGTGTGGTTTCCAACCTGGCCAGGGCCAGTCTCGTAAGGTTATTAATGGTAGATTGCACTGCCCTGACCTTGCTGAAGCTGAGCGAGGCGAAACTATCACTGCACTCGAATGTATTGCTGCTGACGGCTGGCAAATGGATCCGCTATTTATCTTTAAAAGCGGCGGGGTCTTTATGGAGAGCTGGTTCCATAATAGTGAGGATTTACCTCTAAACACACTTACTGCTACCTCACCGAATGGCTGGATTTCTGATGAAATTGCTTCTGAATGGCTATATCATTTTATTTCAGCTACTGCTACACCCGACCGTCTAAAAAAGGGTGAAAAGCGCTTCCTACTCTTTGATGGCCACGGAGCACATCTTACCCTCGAATTCCTTGAGATATGCGAGTTAGCTGATATTATACCATTCGGCTTTATACCTCATTCAACACATCTCTGTCAGCCACTTGATGGTAAGCCATTTTTGAGCTATAAGCAGCAATTTCGGCTTATGAATAATGAGCTATCTTTCTGGGGTGGTCAGCCATGTGGTAAACCGGATTTTCTACGGGTAATTGGGCCTGTACGAGCGAAGGCATTTAACCAACGAATTATTCGGCAATCCTTCAAAGATCGTGGTATTTGGCCAGTCAACGGCCAAAATATAGTGGATAAACTAGCTAGCCAGCTAGAATTTACTCCTCTTCACGCACCTGATCTTCGCGCTCATGGAGAACCCCGAACTCCATCACCGGAGCCTACAAATTTACTATCATCAAGCGTGGAGAATACCCCTCCGAAGTCAATTGAAGCGCTAGAGAAGAATCAGAAGAAGATATCAAAGAAGGTGGCTACCTTTGACCCGAAGGTTCAGCGAGATATTGCAATGCTTCACAATCACCACAGGATAATCTACGAGCGGCTTATGATGGCGGAAGCGACTGTTTCGCGAATTAGGGCCGCTCAGGAGCCCTTGAGGCGCCCAATTACCAAGCGCCAGGTTAAACCGCTTAGCCAAACTGGTATACTAAGCGTTCGCGATGCGAATCGGTCAATCAAGACTAGAAAGGAGAAAGAGGCTGCTGCGGAGGAGAGGAAGCTTGCGAAGCAGTATAAGCAGGCTACTGGTTTGGATATGCCAAAGAGGCCCCAGGAGGATATTGATAGGTCTACCGAATCGGCTAGAGTAGCCCTGGAGCGAGGAGATCTTTTTTATTTAGGCTAGTTATCTAATTTGATGGTTTTTTTAGACGCATGGTAAAAATGTGACGGGGATTTAGGGGTGACGGGGATTTAGGGCGCACCCATAAGCGGAAGCGGTGGGTGGGCCGCAATATCATGGAGGGCACAGATATATTTAAGATTTAGCCATGTGCACGGCCGACAGTGTGCAGGATGCAGGACCCTAGCCCTGGGGCTAATGCAGATCTGGAACCGGGCGATGGCGTACCGAAGTTGAGGTCCTCGGGAACTAGTACGGCGTGTGTATGTACTTACGGTCTGGGGCTGTAAGGATGCGATAGAAATATGCTCTAGCGGCCCGCAGCTCCATCACGGCGCCAAACTGCTTGAGGTTTAGTGTTGCCGGGCCATGTGGTTGAGAATATTTAGCCTGAGGCATTAATGGAGTTGTCAGCATTGATGCCTGAATGATAAGGATTGAATACTAGCCCCGATGTAGCTTAGCGTAATGTCCATCTCCGAGAAATTGCTGCAGGTCTCCGCGACTTGACCAAAAAACAGCATCCAGTCTGACCACTTCTCCGGCCTTTTGTTTTGGATTAAAGGTCTGGTCATGTCGTTTAAGATCCCAGGATCAGCGCTGGGCAGAGCTCTGCGCAGTGGACTCGTCGGGCAACGAGTCACAGCCACTGGCGCTCAACTTCGGCTCCGTCTTCCAGCTCAGCGATCATATTCGAACGCGAACGGCGCCCCTGAAGAAATCCCCGCCGATAACGAAGCCGAGCCTGAACCCTCCTTTGAAGATTCCGAGAAACCAGCAAGATTCAACCGCAATGGTGCGAATAGGGGCCGCAAACTACGTGGCGACAAGCCGGTCGTCGACGTGGAGAAGCGGAAACAGGAAGAGCGCGCATTGATGGCAATCGCTGCTGGGTCTAAGTCGGAGGATGGCGAGATGAACGATGAGATCCGTGGAGCCAGTTACTCTCGCAAGACGATCAGCATGGAGCTGAAATGGCTGGAGGATCCTCGTGATCTGGCGGATCGGGTCGCGCGCATTCTGCAGAGCGGTGATCCGGGTATGGCGGCGGCTCTGGTTCGTCAGGCGCAGAAGGACGGCAAGCGAACTGATGTCGCTTGGAATCATCTTCTCAGTTACTGCATGCAACGAGGGTTCCCCCAAGTGGCCTGGAAATTTTATAATGACGTGAGTGTTTTGAAACATTAAGCTTGGTACAGCTCGTCGAGGAAGAGAGTCGCATTGCTAACATATCGCTTGTTTCAATGGAATAGATGAAAAAACGAGGCCGCATGCCTACCTCCGTGACATATACGCTTATGCTCAAGGGTCTCGCCGACGCCCCGAAATCAGTCGCTAATGTCAGAATGGCAGAGTCTATCTACAAGTCGATCAAGACCTCCGAGGTCGAACCCAGCATTATTCACACCAATGCCATGCTCTCGGTGTGTGACCGTCACAATGATATGGAATCTCTATGGCGCATTGCCGGAGACCTTCCAGAAGAGGGTCCCCAAGCACCGGATATGAGGACCTACACTATCATTCTAGGTGCTCTTCAATATGCGGCGCGCCATGATATCGACAAGATGAGTCCCAACGATACGGATAAGATTGTGGAGCGCAAAGACCAGATGGTCATGGAGGGCAAGAGGATTTGGGCAGATGTTCTTTATCGATGGACAAAGGACCAGCTGCAAATCGATAACCACGTTGTGAACGCCATGGCTAGCTTGCTTCTGGAGGGTGCCCGTGAGCGTGATTATTACGATGTTCTTGCGCTCTACCACCAAACGATGGGAATCCCGATCTTTGCCAAGCAGCCAGCGGAAACAACAAAATGTTCTCGATTCACAATGTTCCGCCTGGCATTCTTGCGGAGATCGCAGGAACTCGTGTCCCAGCGCACGGATGATGTTCCATTCGTGGATGAGAACAATCAGCCCCTCCGAGAAGAGCCTGATGTGGAAGAGGAGGCTCTGGAAGAGGAGGGAGAGGAGGAGGTCGAGAATTTCGACAAGATCTTTGACCCTGTCGTCCCTAAGACTGCGGAACTGTCTTATCTCCAACCTGGTAGCAAGGAGCTCACTTTCATCGAGGACGTCTGTCACAGACTGCCTCAGGGATTCGCAGCAGGCTATTCATACTGGGATCACTTGACAGTCGAGTCTGAAACCCGCTTCGATCCTGATGCGGTCGCTTACGCCCAGTACCTGCGTCTCCTTCGTGCTGGACGAGCTAGCAAGAGAGCTATCCAGGTTCTGCAAAACCAAGCATTGCCCGCTGGTCTGGCAAATGAGAAGTTATTCCATCTTGCCATGGCCTGTTGTCGCCGTGACCGCAACAACGCCTCCGTGCTCCTCCATGCCAACGAGCTGTTGGAAATCATGCACAAAGCTCTGGTCCTGCCTGATCCACGAGTACTCGAATCGTATCTGGAATTGGTCCAGAATCTCTCCCAAGCTCCACACGTCCTGTTGCATCTAAGAGGCCTGCCCAAAGAAGACCGCAGCAAGGTCAACGACCTCAGGGTTCTGGGTAAGCGGCTACAAGCTGATTTGCATACCGCTGCTATCAATGCCTTGCGTCCCCAGGTCCACCAGCTCCACGAGGCCCTGCAGGAAGGAAAACCGGGCCGGAGTAGCCGCTGGGGTGCCTTGAAGAATGGCTCTGGCGATATCTCCGGTGCTCTGGCCGTGAAGGTGATGGCTCGAGTTAGAACCGTGATTGACGAGACATTGAAATCAGAGTATACTCCTTTCGTCGCGAAGGATGTTCGCAAGATCTTGCAGTCGGAGTCGAAGCTGTTGAGGACGTATTCTGACAAGGAGACTTTGAAGAAATTCAGTAATTTCTCTGTTCATCCTACCGTTGAGCAGCGGAACGCTTTTAGAGAGCGGCAGTTGGAGATTGTCGATGAGGAGGTTCTTGAGCGCAAGGGCCAGAAGGCAGATAATTCGGATGAGGTTGAAGTGTCATCGTCTTCCGAATCTGCGAAGAAAGAGACTGAGGTTTAAACCTCCGTGTATCTTTTTTGGAAATATTGGGACTGTGAAGTAGTCCCTGGGCACTCTTGTATAATACTGTATATTAGGCATTTGATTTATATAGCGTCTGGGGTGCATGTAATTGGTGGACGTGCGAATACTTACCACTCCAAATTTCTCTGGCTGTTCCTGTCTTTCTTATCCAGTCATGTGAGCGATGGATGATGTGATATGAATGTTGTCGCCCTCCCTTTTTTACCTTGATTGCTTTCCTTCACCCCAACAAGGGCACCTTCGGCATATTCTCATACCTAGTTAACCTGTTTTCGTACCTACATCAATCACTCCTAAACCTCATATTGCAGCCTTTCGGCTTTTTCTCCTGCATAATCTCCCTTTTCATAGAGAACATCTCATCTGCAAGCCCAAGTCTGGACGGCCTCGAATCTAATAACACTTCCAACTTGCCAAAAGACCCCCCAACATGTGAAACGTACACGGTGCGTCTACAACCTCAGCATGATTTGGATACCTTAGGAGTCGGAGCGTCTGGCCAAGTCTACACTGATGGAGACCAAATTGTTCTTAAGACTTGTCGAATTTTCGCACCACCTAGCACTGATGCCTCTCGAAGCGACCTTTGGCATTATGCTTCGGATACACTGTTTCTTTTCAATTTATTGAAAGATGAGCGAACCGTCTTGCAATTGCAGCAAAACAACCCACATCCCCACATTATAAAAGCTACCAATACCAATCAGCCAGAGGGGACTATATCTCCGCAAATATCGACGCCTACCTCTAGGTGTGAAATTAACACAGGCCAGCCGCATCAGGTTGTACCACGATATTGCCGATGCTCTACGCCACCTCCACAGCCTCGGTATTGTACACGCAGATGTAAGGGTTGGTAATGTGCTTTTTGATGACTGTCTTTCGGTCATTCATTGTGATTTCAGCGCCGCTAGCCCTTGCGGCCAACCAAACCTAGTCTTTCCAGATCTCCCACTTCTGGTTAATGGTCCCTCGCCTGTTTTGTCCGGCAAGTCCGATACGTTTGCACTAGTTCGCTCATGTTTCACTTGGAGCACGGATTCACACCTGAATTGTCACTCGAGAACGGCAGACTGACTTTGCCTCGATTGAAATCGGGGAACCAAACCCTTGATGAAATCATACAGACAGTCCGGCTCGGCAACTATAGCCGCACGTCAGATATGGTCCATGATCTGGCTTTGATTGATGCCCAGATAGATCAAAACGCTGGAAGCACCGGTGTACTCCCTGATCTCGAAAGTTTGAGGAATCAGGTTATTGATTGGAGGGACTATCGAAAAGGTCGATTCAGTAAGGCAAAAAACTTTACTGGGTTTGAGAAAGACACTTTTCTATCATCTAACTTATCTTTAAGAATGCGTACTCGAAGGAATTCTTTCAGAGGAGCAATTGAAAGCACTGGCTGAGCGATTTGATATCCAATAAGTACAGTTCAAAAAATCGTAAGAGCCAGAGCATCTCTTCCATAAAACCAAACGTGGTTTTATCATGAGCCTCTAAGTCCTATTGAAATGCCTATTCTCTGCTTCTAATAGCATTAATATAGTTTGCTGGCTCTCCTTTGGCTATTAGCTGATTACTATAGACCGTATCTGTATTCGCGTTTATTCATGTAGTCGCTGTAAACTCATTACGATCCGCTATCTACCAGTTGAACGTGCTTTGGCGATTCTTATTGCTAATACTTTGGCGCAGTCCATGACTTGTTGAGTGCCGTTGAATCAAGAGGCCGTATCATAGGACATGGTGCTCTCTGCTCTAGTGAATGAAGCATTCGCGTTGTAGTATTATTTGATGTTCAGCTTTACTTCATTAAATGGGACGAGCAAATACTTAGCAAAGTGGAATATTGGTCTGTCCCGATTATTAATGCTGGCCTAGGAGTGGCAGCAGTGTATAGGTCAGAGAGTGCATACTGTTCGAGCAAGCTAGATTCTGCATCACAAACATCAACGTCTCTGGAAACCGGGGATTCTAAGTTCTAGCGTATATCTCTGTCTCAAGGGCTTGTTTAACAAATGCCAAGCTGTATAAGTTTGGCGTTCATTATGTTATTGAGGATATTACGCTCGCATCGGACTGTTTATAAGCTCTACACTTTAGAAGCCACCTCACAGAGGCTGATCCGAGACTATGTTGATACCCTTCTTAAAAACATGGTCTGATGAGAAGACAATTAAAGAACCCAGAAATTTGCTCTGTTTGTCCCATCATTAACCAGCAAAATGCTCAGAGTGTGGCACTCGCATACTTCGACAGGGAGATTCCTGAGAGCAAGGTTGGGAAGGCAGACAAGTGAGACACAGTCCAAAAGCCGACTTCCTAGGACTAGGCGAGCCAAAAAAGAATGAAGCTAAATCTGAATTCTCTGGAGGGATTCTACTTGAAGGTCATGGCTATCAAGCGCTGTCTACGAATTTTCATATATTGTGTAGTACTTTTCATCACAAATTCGATTTATTGATTGTCTTGGTTCGCTCACATATACAGGAGCATATTCCTATCCGTCTCCTCTATGAAATGGGCCTATTGAAAGTTTTATCCGATAAATAATGTACTAATCTCTCTTTCTCCCTCTGCGGTTGTTCACATAAATTTTGACCCTCATCGTCTCGCCACAAGGCCAAACCAGCCGACGCGGATGGTTTTGCAGCACGTCTTCGCTCCACATTCTGACATATCCCTTGGCCACCACGCCTGTGGGACACGAAGGACTTGCCAGGCGGATAAAGGCTGCAGCATTGACAGAAAGTACAAACTTTTCCTTATCTTAGAAGGAGCTGCTTCATTGTTCTCTTGCCGGCGCATTTGAGGGGCTTCGGTGCTTGGCCGACTTTCTAGCTTGGCTTCGTCACGCCATCGCCTTATGCAGTGACATCTTGCGAACTAGTAGACAGGATCTCGTATATAGATTTTAATCTTTAGCGCTGCGATCATGCAAATATCTTAATTGTTTCATTGACATACACACACCTTTGGCTTTTGGTACTTGACCTAGAGGCAAGGGCTGTGGTGAAAATGACTGTCCGTCAGCAACAACGAAAATGGTGGCAACTACAATGGTTCGCTGAAAGCGATACCAAAGAGGAAAGGCGACTTATCCTTAAGCTCGACCTTTTGATTGTTCCTTATGCATTTTTAGCATATTGGACGAAGTATATCGACCAGGCGAATATCAGTATGGATTAATTGATCGATATGTCTTGGGGGCATGAACGCACAGCTAACTGGGAGATCACAGATAATGCCTACGTTTCTGGTCTAAAAGAAGACCTCGGATTCCATGGGAATGAGCTCGTTAAGCTGCAAACGATGTACACTATTGGGGCTGTGCTCGGTCAATTACCCTTTGCCTATCTGTTCACCAAGCTGCCCATGTCGTGGCTTATCCCGTTCATGGATGTTGCATGGGGTATCTTCACATTGGTTCAGTATCGGGCTACTTCTTTCGCCGAGTTGGCTGCCTATCGCTTTATGGTCGGATGGTTTGAGGTGAGTAGCGATACGAGTCTTTGCTGAGAATATGAACAGGGCTGGCTAACTCGAACAAACCAGGCGGCCTTCTTCCCAGGAATGCACTATATCTTCGGTAAGAGCCATATTCAACAGTCCAAGCCCCCAATCTCTAACCACTTCTAGGATCTTGGTATCGAAGTGATGAAATTGCTCGCCGAGGAGGATGCTTCTACGTCGGCCTCACTTTGGGTACTCTAACTGCAAGTCTCATCCAAGCCGGTGCATCAAGCCGTTTAGACGGTGTCAACGGACTCGCAGGTTGGAGATGGATGTACATCATATGTGCCATCATCACCATCCCAGTCGCCATCCTAGGCTATTTCATCCTCCCAGGAACACCAGATAAGCCGAATAAACTCATTCTGAAGGACAAAGATGTCCAGCTCGCCAAGACCCGCCTGGAGCGCGCCTCTCACACCATCAAAGAAGAACCGCTGACATGGCGCACCTTCGTCAAGGTCGGTCGCAACTGGAAGTTCTGGGCTCTGCTTTGGGTCGACATATTCTTCTGGAATGCCTGTATCAATACCTCAGCTGGTGGTTACCAACTATGGCTGAAAGGCCTCAAGCGATTCTCGACAAGTCGACTTAACGAACTCGCCGCCATCTCTCCGGCTCTGGGTATTTTCTATACGCTTTTCGTGTGTTTTGCTTCGGACCTGGTCCTTGGTCCTGCTTGGGCAATTACCGTCTCTCATCTTTGGAATATCATCGGTCTTACAATCCTGGTCATTTGGAAAGTCCCCGAGTCTGCATTGTGGTTCGCTTTTATGACGACTTACTCTGCGGTCGCTATGTCGAGCGTCTTATACGGGTGGATAAATAGTCAGATGCGCTATTCACCTGTTGAACGTTCTTTGACACTTATTATTGTCAATACGGTGGCGCAGTCGACGACTTGTTGGACGCCTTTGCTTGTGTTTAAGACGGTGGAGGGTCCGCGCTTTACGAAGGGATACTCTTTCGTTCTTGCGAACGCGATCTGTCTGATTACGCTGTCGCATGTTGTTCAATTCTTTATCAAGAGGGAAGAGTGAGTCTTTGGTCACCTATACTTTTTATCTGATCTAATATACTAATGCTACTCAAGGAGAACAAAAGCCAGAGGCGGCAGTGTCTCTGGGTCAGACAGTGCAGATGATTCGAGCAACCTTGAGTCTGGACCCCAGGAAACCAATGTTATTGGCAAGCATGATCAGAAGACTTAGAGCGTCAATTATGTTCCTTCTATTTACACGTGTGTGTCATCTAATGTGGCCTATCTATCTACAAGCAAGTGTCCAAGGCCTAGAACCCCTCTACCCGATTTCAATGTTAGAAATTGAAACTATCGACATGCCTAAAGCCGTCACCCATTCTATGTTTAAGTCATGTGTATAGTCGTAGTGTAAAAGATGGTCCACCACAATACCACTCGCTCCGAGTACGGAATTTCAAACACGTCACGTCATATCAACTCTGATGGTGACATGATTCCTGCCCGCACTGAAATTCTACCACCTCACTAAGATAAGAAGAACATCCTACATAAGACAAAAGCTCATGCATAACTTCCATCTAAGAAAAATTGAGCTAGTGGGCTCCAATGCCGACGGGAGCATGAGTTCCACAGCACCCTTGGCCAAGGCGCAACGGCACTCAATGTATTTGGCGAGGTCTCTCGCGCTTTCTGTGGAGATGATTGCGAATTTACCACCTCCCGAAAGTTTTGAAAACCTCCGATTGGAGTCATTTCCCGCATCAAGCTGTCGGAGGGTTTCCGAATTTCATTGACAGAAATGATGGCGCGAGATGCGCGTCAAATGGTCAAAATTTGTCTTGGAAGTGCGGGGATCAATCCAGGACTTCTCTCCGAACTGTTCATAAGCACCTGTTTGTCTATAGAAAATTACTGAGAGATTTGTGGAATTTGTAGAATTTGATCTAAACTGGTATCACCTAGCCGGGTAGACTGGTCGCCAATACTCGAGACTATGGGAGACACAAGTTCATCCCAAGGCCAGATTGGCTCCGCCAATGGTAGTGGCAAGAAACAGATCTTGATTAATGCTTTTGATATGTCCACAGTGGGACATTTGTCTCCTGGACAGTGGAAGGTTGTCTTCGCGTCTCATACATAATAAAGCGAATATTGACAAGAGCAGAACCCCAAAGACAAGTCGGCTACGAAGCGCAAACTCGAATACTGGATCGAACTCGCCAAGTTGTTGGAGCGAGGCGGTATTAATGCCTTGTTCCTAGCGGATACTACTGGGGGCTATGATACCTACGAGGGCAAGCTGGACGAGTGCATTCGACGAGCCGCGCAATGGCCAGTCACGGATCCAACGATTGTAAGTTGCAAGAACAGGATCAGCCACGATTGCTGACTGACACTGCGTGACAAAGCCTATCAGTGCCATGGCCGCTGTGACCAAGAATCTTGCTTTCGGCATCACTTCTTCAACTTCCTTCGAGCAGCCTTTCTTACTCGCGAAACGCTTTTCTACTCTGGATCATTTGACCAATGGCCGAATTGGCTGGAACATTGTTACTTCGTACAAGAAGGCGGCGTTCAAGGCCATTGGCATTGATACTCCCATTGAGCATGACCAGCGATATGCCCAAGCAGATGAGTATCTTCGGGTACTTTACAAGTATGCGGCACGCCCTCCGGATAGTGGACAGAAGACTAACTAACCATTTCTTTCCACAACCAGACTATGGAATGGCTGCTGGGCACCGGATGCGCTTTCGCCAGACCCCGAGACAGACTCCTATGTCAACCCTGACAAAGTCCGTGAGATCAATCATCAGGGCAAATTCTATTCCCTGAGCACGCGCCACATCGTCGACCCATCGCCGCAGAGAACACCATTCTTGTTCCAAGCCGGCACGTCACCAGCAGGCTCAGCCTTCGCTTCAACCCATGCCGAAGCAATCTTTGTCTCCTCTCATTCCCCCGAAGTCTTGCGTCCTAAAGTCCAGAAGATCCGGGAACTGGCTGCAGCAAACGGTCGGGATCCGCAGTCGATCAAGTTCTTTGGCACTTTTACGCCGATTGTGGGACGAACTGATGAGGAAGCATGGGAAAAATATGAAGAGCTGAAGAAATATGCCTCGGTAGTTGGTGGGCTGGTGCTTTTCAGCGGGTGGACAGGCATCGATATCTCGAAGATCCCTCTGGATCAAGAGATCACGGAAGCTGATTCGCACGAGGCGAACAAAGTGACTAGTCTTCTTGACTCGTTGCTCAAGACTAGCAAAGATGTGCCGAAGTGGACACCCCGTGTAGTTGCTGAGAAGGCTGCCATTGGTGGTCTTGGACCAGTGGCTATTGGTAGTCCGACTACCGTTGCGGACGAGATGGAGCGGTGGATTCGAGAGGCTGATCTGGATGGTTTCAATATTGGCTATGTCACCACGCCAGGCAGCTTTGAGGACCTGATTGACTTAGTCATCCCAGAACTGAGAAAGCGCGGTCTGTATCCGGATTTACCGTCTGAATCGGATGAGCCCCTCACTGCTCGTGAGAAGGTTTATGGCAAGGGACAGAAGGAGCTGCGGGATGACCACGAGGGCAGTCGGTATAACTACGATGTGTATCAAGAGGAGGAGCCATATAAAGAAGGCTAGCGTAGTTTCCAAGGAATATGTCAGCTTCTCATATTGTACATATGGTCTCGTGAAAATGGACAAAGTTTCATCATTAAAAATTGGAGTGAATAATGTGGGCTGCTAATAATAACACGACTTATACTCCGGGCGGTGACGCCAGCCCGCGCGGCGTAATGCCACTCTAGCCTTTCCAGGATAGCTCGACCATTCATCAACATTGCTTCGTCTCTACGCCCAACTCACGCTCATAAAGCGATGCTCCTACAGTGAACATACACAGTTCCCGATAGAAAATAATCAACACTTCATACACCATGGCCAGCGTGCAGCCAGGCCATTCTCATGGCGACCTGGTTGACGACGATTCACTCCTGGACGATGATCTGATTGAAGCCGACCACGGTAGGCCTTCCATTCCGCGACTCGGAATTACACCTTCCATGCGTTCTGAATTCTAGCTTGCTAATTCACTTTGCTCTGTTAGACATCGAGGCCGATGATCCCTTACACACGTCCGACACAGCCCCTCTACGAGGCAACATCGCATCCGACTCTGGCCGAGGCAGCCGCGTAGACGGCTATGGCAACTACCTTACCTCCTCGATTCCTGGTGAAGATCGCCGAGCGACCCAAAATACCATCGATGAGACTGTTTGGGCGACTCTATCGCGCGACCTGTTCGCCGTCTGGGAAAAGATGCGCCAGGTACTCTGGCCTAAATACTTGCTGGGCGGTATGCTGCAACGCGGTGGAGGAGGTATTGCAGGTGCTGCTGAGCGAGGCGAGGCATCTGGATTCGGTCGTAACCTGCGCGGGATCGTGGGTCGCTGGCCAGATGCCGATGTGGTTCTGCAGGGTGGCATGAGTGAAGGGTTGCGCGACTGGGATCTTTGGTATGTTGCCTGGATCTGGGAACCGGACTTTGAAAGTCGATTGGAGCTAGGAACTAATTGCTTGTTTAGGGGCCCGCTTGTCTTCTGTCTGGTTCTGAGTTTGTTCCTATCTGTCGCAAAGGGTGACCAGGCTTCGCTGGTCTTCTCGGGTGTCTTCTGCATTGTTTGGATTGGCGAGGCTGCCGTTACTCTGCAGATCAAGCTTCTTGGAGGAAAGATGTATGTGTCCCAGCATCAGGCTGTTCATTTTCTGCTTCCTCCGTGTGATACTGACCTTTGCGCCTCAATCTATAGCTCCTTCTTCCAGTCAATTTGCATCATCGGTTACACACTCTTCCCACTGGTCATTGCCGCGCTCCTAAGCGCGCTGGGCCTCCCGACAATCGCCAGAATACCCGTCTACCTCGTGCTTGTAGCATGGTCGTTGGCTGCAGGTGTCAGCATTTTGGGTGGCTCGGGTGTGGTGCGCAACCGTGTCAGTATCGCGGTATACCCACTGTTTGTGTTCTATATCGCGATCGGGTGCCTCTGTTTCATTAGTTAAAGGTGCAACAATCTCCGTGCCCTCGTCTTGGGCGAGGAAATTGTGCACTTCATCACCTTGGGCTTACACTCCACTGGATCTTCCTTGACCCTTCTCCGTGTGAATTGCGATCGACGCGTGTATACATTTCTGTTTGTAGCGGCTATGTTTTCCAGAATACCAATATTTCTTTTTGCGATATCACTTACGCCTCGTTTTGCTTTTTCGTTCCAGAATGATGATTTAAGTCATTTCTGGAATACTATGACCAATTACCGTAGGTCAATATCATCAGTCTAACCCAAGACTTGGGAGTTCTCTAGCCATAGTAGGGATGCGAGCCCTAAGCGCATTCATCTCAATCGCAAATAGGGTTTTCGTCCACCTGGAGTATGAATCGATTGGAGAGAACATGGATATACTCATAAAAAGTTTGATTCACAACCCTCTAGTAAGATTATGTCCTAAATGGCATTATGCTTCATCCAAACCTGGGACATTCCTCACAGCCTATACTTTCATTCACTCTGACGAATCTCAGTCTTTATGCGCTGACTTGTAAGGTTGAATTGAGATCCTGATGATTCACGAGAACTGCTTTATCTGGGTTCAATATGAAATGAATAAAACAATAGGCTATCTAGCTTATAGATCAGAGGCAGCAATCCTATAGGCAGAAAGCAGGGTAGTTATTCCAACCAATAATGCCTGTTCAGGCTCGACCTACTGGGAGGCAGCTTTGATTATCGCCTGGTGATTCACTGCGGGGCGGAGCGGTGACCGGGACAACAACACTTATATTCGGTGGTTCACTTCTTCACTCTCTCTCCTCCCAACCAACACACACCCGTCATCCGTGACCTCGACTTCGACGAGATTCGGCTGGTCTGAATTCCCCGACTTTGACTCACGGCTCACCTACCTCCCCATCTTTTACTCTTATCCCCGCTTCACAGCTGGTGTCTACCACCCGAATTCGCCCAACGTTCTCAGCTCTCGCGGAGTGTTCACTATGACCTCCGCGTCGGATGAGCAGAAGGCTCCTGCTGACGGTGAGTGTTGAATTATCCCGCATTATGCGCCTCGTGCGCAAGGTCATGAATCCTATATGGTGGTCGGTGCGAGCACTGGCCGATATCGCATGAAGTCATGGCAAGGCACTGGAGCAACCCTGAGCCGGCGGCTATAAGTGCTGCAAGGCGGCAAGTTCCAGGTTCTTGATGTGTCTGCATGCGTTATCCCATAAACCATATCAACCTCTATGCGCTTATCTTCAAATTCAAGTGCTGACCGAGCTCTTTCCTTGGGCAGTGACAAGTGGAGGCGCCCGCTCCCCGCCCTCCGACACCGACGAGCGCCCTGTCCGTAAGCAACTGAAGGAGACCTCGATCGATTCCTCCAACGACAAGGGCTCCGCCGCATCGGCCCCGGACCAGGGCAGCGGCAGGAAGCGGTCGTTCGAGGAGACCCGCGGCAATACCGACGACACCATCGAGAACGGTGACGGCCCACGAAAGCGATCGCGCGAGTGCACCCCCGAGGATGCGAAGAAGGAGAACAGCGCCGCAGTACCTGTACCACATAATGTGAGTGAGCCCACCCCTAAGGACGCCGTACCTGCCGCCCCAAGGACCTGGCCACGGATGAGTCCTCCCCTGGAATAAGTGATGGGCCCGAAGTCGAGTACATTATCATTTCGGATTCCGAGTCCGAGGATGCCGTACCGCATGAAATCGCGACGCCCCGGGAAATCATCGAAATCTCCTCGGATCCGGAGTCTGGGTCAGAGATTGAGATTGTGGAAGTTTGCATCCGCGAAAGGAGCTTTGGCTCCGTAGAAATCAAGTGGCTCAAGTACTTTGGGTACACTCGCGAAAACACACCCGAGTCGGAGATTCCTGGGGTGCCGACTGAATGCCCCACTCAATGCCCTGTGGAGTCCTCTTCAGTGGCCGGTCCCGTGGCCAGGAGCACACAAGCTGTCTTGAGAATGATAACACCAACACAACCTCACAGGACCCCAAGACGCACAACACCACCGACGCGATGAACGAGGACGACGCCAAAGCTCTGAAGAAGAAGCGGAGCTTGGAGCAGCTGGAGGAGGAAGGTGCGAAGAAGCTCGAGGAGACAGAAAAAAAACGACACCGGGATAATTCGCAGGAGCGGGAGACCCAAACAGCCAATGTAAGTAGACTCCCTATTTTCCTCCTACTTTTAATTCTTCTCGTCAGCCTTATCCCGTCAATCTCTCATCGCTTTTTCCTCTAGGTCTTTGCCCAAAGCGCATTCGCAACCGCGGCTGCGTCGTCCCCGTTCGCTATGCTCGGTGGATCGAGCTCGACTTCGACTACCGAAAAGCCCGCATCAACCTCCGCCTTCGCCTCTTCGGCTCTAAGCTCCTTCGCCGGTTCAGAGAAATCCCCCTTCGGCTCCTTCGGTTCCTCAAAACCCTCAGTATTCAAGTCTGGCTCCGGAATGTCTGGCTTCGGTTCTTCATCGACCTCTGGCTTCGGTTCCCTGAAGAGTGGATTCGCGGGCGTGGGCGGCGGCTTCGCTGCTGCTGGCAAGTCCGGCGGCTTGACAAATTTCGCATCTCCCAACGCCCCTGCGACCCTTGGCGGCGAGCCCAAGCCGGCAAAGCCAATTCGCGCCGATGAGTCTGGCGACGAGGGGAGCGACAATGACGAGGGTGAAGAGACCAGCGCCTTCGAGGCTGATAAGACCGACGAACGCTTCTATGAACAGACCAGTATGTCTTTCCTCTGTCTTTCCTCCCAGATATTTTTCAATCGGACATTCGTACTAACATCAGGACACAGTCGAGACTGGTGAGGAGGAGGAAGAGAACCTCTTCGCCTGCAAGGGCAAGCTTTTCCACTTTGGTAGCGGCGAATGGAAAGAGCGCGGCGTTGGAACTTTCAAGATCAACGCCCGCAAGAGCGATGATGGAAAGCAACATGGCCGTATGATCATGCGTGCCGACGGTGCCTTACGTGTCATGCTCAATAGCCCTGTCTTCAAGGGTATGACCTTTGGCGACGCAAAGAACCAAGAACCCACCTCCAAGCAAATTTTCCTTGCCAGCAATGAAGAAGGCCGAACCGTGCCTCTACTCTTGCGCGTAAGTCATCTCAATCGCATATTGATCTTCCATTACAGATAGACTGACCAACTCCTTCTATACAGGTTGGAAATGAAGCCCTTGCGAAAGACCTTTATGTTGTCATTAAAGATCTGTTGGATGGCGAGTGAATATGGGGAAGACGAGCACATGATACCAACCATAGAGGCTCCTGTCTAGCGCAAAGACTTCACAAGAGTACATGGGGGAATTGGGGAATCGGTGCACATGGAGTTTTTCTCTGCGCCACTATGAGTGAGCGGCTTGTGTGATTATTAGCGCTGGTTATTTACGAATTTCATCTGTTCTGACCTTTCAATCATTATCTGTTTTCAAGCATCATTCATTGAAGACTGAGCACGCTCGCAATCCTGCATTCCTATTCTAATGTGCTCTTTGGGTGCTCTGCTGCAATCTAACCATGTGTACGTCTGTCTCTGGCTAAGCTGGTAGCAAAGCAAACTATCAATCGGTGATGTCAAATGCATGATGTTAGTGCAGAGGGCTGAAAGGCTTTACCCGTATCAAAGAAATTGTTGCCATGTCTTGGGTGAGAGGAGGTCCCTGTACCGCCAATATTACCTAGGACATGCTTTGGATGCATGATTTCATCCGTCTCTTCTAGCGAGACGGGTACCATTTCACTATTTTACCCAATTCTAATCTTGAATTTACTATTCCTTGACCTTTACGTAGCCCAGAAGGTATCAGGAAGCCGGACTCGCCATGAGATTATAGAGACTAGTACGAAGGAGTTGATTCATGACAGATTTCAAACGATCTCAATTTATGATGACAATATTCACTTCTTGACTGCAACAACAAATAATCGGGGGTAAGGAAGCAATACCCTGCCATCATATGTTGACGGATAGGCTTTCTCCAAGCGCTTCAGGTACTCGCTCAGGAAACTCTCTTTCTCGTCCGGAGACAAAGGATCCACATATGGTCTCAGTCCAGTTCCTTTCACCCATTCAATGATAGCTGCATGATTCTCAAGATTATGGTAATAAGTAGTGTGGAAGATATCCACTTTCGAACAGACCGGTTTAAGTAGGTCATAGATCTCCTGGGGTGTCTGGAACGTATCACGGCCGACATCCTTGAGAGTCGCAGCCCAAGGACCATTTTCAGCAGTCTCTCGCATGAGAACGTGAGATGGCTCCTTGAGATTATCCGGGACCTGGAGAGCAAATACTCCACCAGAAGGTTGACCCTCCATCAACTTCTTGACAATACTGAATCGCTCGTCTTTCCCCAGCCACTGGAAAACGGCGTTGGAGAAAAATAAATCGACAGATCCTTCCGGCGAGTACGAGTGTAAGTCTTCGACGGAGAACTCGCGGTGTGGAAGGGCTGTCTTGGCTTTGCGGATCATATCTGGGGATGAGTCCATTCCCACGAGATGTGCGTTGGGGTAGCGGGACTCTAGGACCGCAGTTGAGTTTCCCGGTCCACAGCCAAGATCGACTACTCTCTTAGGAACTTGCAGAGGGACACGGGCAAGGAGATCGCGTGCTGGTTGTGTTCGCTCATCTTCGAATTTGAGGTACTGTGCCGCACTCCAGTCGTGGACTGGCTTTGATCCAGTTGTGGTCGACATTGCTTTGTGGCTGGCTGGTAGTCCCGCGAAAGCACTTCGGGAGAGACGGAGTAGTCTTCTGGACAAGAGTTGAATATGAATGGACATTCCGGATAAGAAAGAATGGAATATGTGGTGAGGAAGTGGAGGAGACTATCGGCGAAAGTCCAATATATATGTGAATCTCGGACAGACTCCGGCTCTCATTAGCGTGGAGATATCAAGGGGTATGGGCGTGGGAGTTGTTGATGACCGGCGTATATGAAATTTGTTGTATGCCACACTCCACGGTCGGATGAACTTCTGATGCTGGATAAATTAATCCAATACTACATCGGATGATTCAAAAGAGACTGATTACGCTGATCGGTCATCAAAATGAGGTATGCCCGGTCGACCATCGGCGAATTGATCGAATCATCATGTTGTGAGCAAACTGCCGATAATCGGAAGAGCCAGAATGGTGATGATGTTGGAAAGGTGGCAAGCAACACCTGAATCAACGATAGATCTATTAGTCTGACAGTAGCGAGAAACGGCAATAACTTTATGAATTGACAGCCTTTTGATTGAGTCATTCAAGGGTGCTCTTGAGTATTGATCGGGGCTCAGGCCTACGCATGACCGGTATAGATGAGACTACCTAGAGCGTTCGCTATGAGTCGCAGGGGAAAAACACAATTAACCTCGATGAGGCTGAGAATTAAAGCCAAGGTAGATCTATTGCAAGGACATATCATTGAGAAATTCCAATGGGCTAAATCGTACGTACTATTCAAGGCTTTGCAAGCCTGGACTTTGGAAGAGTTATGTGTATGTCAAGATACAACCACGAGGGAGACCAGAGCAAGATTTTTAAAAATCAGCTCTTCTTTTTCAGAGTGAACCCTTCTCGTTTTCTTGTCATTTACACTTCTGAACTCCCTGAGAATCACGATCATTATTGAATCGGGGTTACGCACTACCATACTAGGTTATATTGCCACACGTGACCTCGCGTTTCCTTGCTTCTCGACCCGCGACGATCTTTTGCTCGTCGCAATTTACCCATGGCCTTGTGCACGACCGTAATGGGGTACCGACATGATGGACACTCCAAAAGTTCCCGCTTCAAATCCCTTGAAGCGGAAGCAGAGCCATGATGGAGATGATCGGGCTCCTAGCCCCGCTAATGCTCCATCCTCGAACGCGTCGTCAGTAGGCGGCACCGACAACGCCGCAGAGACCGCTTCCATTCACGATGCATCCGATTCGCAAACCACGGAGGGTGGAACAACTACAAAGAGGAGAAAAGGGCAAGGAAAGAAATCGGCTGCCTCGAACCCACGATCCAAAGCTCCGAAAAAGAGAACTCCTTCTATGCCATGGCCAGACGAACTTAAACGCCTATCGCAGACTCATCGCGCTCTGAACCTCGTTTATACCTTCTGCTGTACGCGAAAACACTTCATCACGACATTTGACAATATCAAAAAAGCTGTTCAGGCGCAGCTCGGCCAAGGTCGAGAACTCACAGTCGAGGATGTGGCCAGGGTCAAGGTGTTGGTCCCTCGGTCGGTGCGGTTCGAGTATGTCGATGAGGCTCGACTAGAGATCATGACGGTTGGCGATAGAGAAAGTGTGGATTATGGATCACGAGGGGTTCACAATACGCTCGCTACCGAGATGACCGATATTGGCACACATCAAAATGACGGAAGGAAGGACGTTCTTCTGTTCGAATTCGTGGATGGTGACCTTAAGCGGGAGGTACAAAATCCTAAGACCGGAGAGCCGTCTAAACCTACACGTCGCATGAAGGATGAGGACTTGAAGATGCCGGTATACAGCCAGAAGCAGATGCTCGCTCTTATTGAAAAACGCAACACCAAATTCACTGATGCGATTGATGCGTTTCTCGTCCGCTGTGAGGACGAGGGGCTCGAGCCTGTAGAGACTTTGGAACAGGAGAAGAATTTATTTCTTCCCACGCCTCCTGGTAGCGAGGTAAACACTCCTGCTTTTGCCAAGGCACCTACAACTATTCCTAAAGAACGCAAATCTATCGCGGAAATTATCGCCGAGATCCGAGAGATGGAGTGGTATCATGCTCAGATCGTCCCGGAAGGGCATCGAGTATTTGATGCGCAATCTCCTGTTTTCGGTGATTTGTCATTTCAACTGTCACAAGACCTTGTCAACGCGCTCTACAATACGAAAGGCATCACACAGCTCTACTCTCACCAGGCCGAGGCAATCAATCATCTATACGAAGGTCACAATGTGATTGTATCTACCTCAACAAGCTCGGGAAAGTCACTCATCTACCAGATCCCCATGCTTCACGAACTGGAAAAAGATCCTGACAGTAGGGGCATGTATATCTTCCCTACCAAAGCCCTGGCTCAAGACCAACGACGCAGCATGATGGATCTGTTGCGGTTCATGGACGGCTTTCAGCAAACGATAGTGGAAACCTTCGATGGAGATACGCCGATGGGTAGCAGAAATGTCATCCGGGATGAGGCTCGCATCATCTTCACTAATCCCGACATGCTACACATCACCATCCTCCCACAGGAAAGTGCCTGGCGCACTTTTTTGAAGAACTTGAAGTTCGTGGTTGTAGATGAGCTGCATGTGTACAATGGCTTGTTCGGGTCCCATGTAGCATATATCATGCGACGACTCCGGAGGATCTGTGCCGCGGTGGGCAATCGACATGTCAAGTTCATATCCTGCTCCGCTACAGTTGCGAATCCAGAGCAGCACATGAAATCGATCTTCGGCGTGAAGGATGTGAAATTGGTGGATTATGATGGATCTCCGTCAGGCCGAAAGGAATTTGTCTGCTGGAATACACCGTTCAAAGATCCGGCTGATCCAACCTCTGGGCGCGGTGATAGCGTCGCTGAGACTGCACGTCTGTTCTGTCAATTAGTTCTTCGAGGAGTCAGGGTGATTGCTTTTTGCAGAGTACGAAAGCTGTGTGAAATCCTCTTGCAAGCTGTCCGCAATGAATTCCAGGCTCTGGAAAGACCCGAAGTTGGCAAGATGGTCATGGGCTATCGAGGTGGATACAGTCCACAGGACCGTCGACGGATTGAAAAGGAGATGTTCGAAGGGAAATTAATGGGAATCGTGGCAACCAATGCGTTAGAGCTCGGAGTCGACATCGGCTCCCTTGATGCAGTGATAACGCTTGGTTTTCCATATTCAATCTCTAATTTGCGACAGCAAAGTGGTCGTGCAGGCCGGCGAAACAAAGACTCGTTGTCTGTGCTGGTTGGGGAGAGATACCCAACTGACCAGCATTACATGCAAAACCCAGACGAGATTTTCACGCGACCAAATTGCGAGCTGCAAATTGACTTGTCCAATGAGCTCATTCAGGAGGGACACGTCCAGTGTGCGGCCTTTGAAATGCCTATTCGCCCAGACGAAGACTATGTCTACTTCGGCGAGCAACTATTCGCCCTTGCCGCTACTCGATTGATCAAGGATAGCATGGGTTTCTATCACTGCCATGACCGGTTCCGGCCCCAGCCATCGCGGTGCGTGAACATTCGCGACACAGAGGATACACACTTTGCCGTGATCGACACAACGAACAATCGCAATGTTGTTCTTGAAGAAGTCGAGGCTTCACGTGCGTTCTTCACCATCTATGAAGGTGGCATCTTCCTACATCAAGGTCAAACATACATTGTCAAGGAGCTCAACCCAGAGCGCCACTTTGCACGCGTGTTGCGCGTTCACGTCGATTGGAGCACCATGCAACGTGACTACACAGACATTGACCCAATCGAGACCGAGGCCATGCGTCTCGTCGGTACGGGACACGATTCCTGCCGCGCCTTTTTCGGCGCTGTGCAAATCCACGCCGTTGTCTACGGTTTCTTCAAGATTGACAAGCGCGGCCGTATTCTCGACGCTGTCGCTGTCGACAATCCCCCAATCGACCTGTTCACAAAGGGTATGTGGCTAAACGTACCCTCGCGAGCCATCGATATACTCGAGTCGCACAGACTCAACGTTGCAGCCGCCATTCACGCTGCAGAGCACGCGGTCCTCTCACTCCTCCCCTCTTTCGTGATATCTTCACCCGGTGACGTCCGCACAGAATGCAAGGTCGCCAAGAAAGAGATCAGTAGCGGGCTACGTCGTGCGAATGCATCAGGCAAGTCCAACGCAGAACTGGAGAAGAAGATCCAACCACCATCCCGCCAGCGACCTGCACGATTGACCTTCTACGATGCAAAGGGTGGGTCCTGCGGGTCTGGCATTGCGAGCAAGGCGTTCGAATTTATCGGGTTACTTCTGAGACGGGCAGTCGCTCGCATCGACTCTTGCTCTTGTCTCTCGCCCCAGGGGTGCATCGAGTGCGTTTGTGATGAGCGATGTAAGGAGATGAACGTTGTCATGAGCAAGGCCGGTGCGGGTGTTATTCTTCGCTGTTTACTAGGGTGGGAGGTAGATGTTGATGCTTTGCCTTGGGGCGAGGATGTGGAGGGGTTGGAATTGGGTCATGGCAGTAGTCGGGAATTGGCCGGTGGGTGGGAGACGGTTGTGAGGGCGAAGGAAGTCCCCTGGAAGGCTGGTTGTGGCCCACAAGAGAAGGAGGACTCCTAAGGTTGGCTTGTACCTTCCAATGGCCATCTATCTGCTAAGGACGATAAGCTGGGGGCTGTCCACGGGTGGCACTTCGATCTTACTTTTGCGATTGCCATCTCCGCGATATACACACCTTGGGTAGCACTCATCGTTATAAGCAATAAATCCATAATCTCCTATTGATGCTAATGTATTATTCTTCACACTATATGCTTAACTACTGTCTAGGTATACCCTTCGCCCTACTCCGGCGTACCCATGAGCTTTCTATACCAATGCCAGCGTGGTTCAAACAGAAACCTAAGTTAAACCTAAGTTCGACCCAACTATTATACCACTAGATTTCTCGGGCGGTTGATGTTCAAAAATTAGACATCTGCCTATATAAAATGTCCCTTGCATGTAGCACATCCAACGTACACAACCGAAAAAGAGCCGGCGAGGGCTAAGAGGTAAGCGTGGTTAAAATACCTAGTCAGGTCATCAAAACCTTCGCGACAAAAATTGGCTGGTACCTATCGGGAAACGGTGATGAGAGCTAAGGATGTTACCTAGAAGGCTAGCTAGCTATGGGCTACAAGAGAAGTAGGTCTTATAGGGTTACCCTGTCTATTTATTTGCTGTTTGGAATGCGATTTGGAAAAACATGTAGAAGCAGGGATATTCCAACCACGCTAAGGTTAGCTATTTGGCCTCACCCACTCTTCTCGCGGAGCAATCTCATATAGGCAGGCATTCAGTGTCTAACATCAACCGCCCGGGTGGTCTAGTGGGTAAGCAATACCGAATTTCCCAAACATCACCAAACATATCACTAACATGAATCCCAGTATGATTCGCGCTTAGGGTTAACCCAAAGCAATTGACTGCGCGAGGTCCCCGTCGATCCCGGGCTCGGGCCTATCTTTTTTGTTTTCATTTTTCATCGCTTGTATTTTCTAGTTATAGATCTCTTTGATTAATTGGGTAGGCTATCTATCACATTAATTATCGTGTGTGAACCAGATCTCATGCGTTGAACGGAAAACATACGATCATGAACTCTGAGTTCACCATAGAGATAATAACCAAGATAGGTTCATACATGTATTCAGCCTAGATTAACGAGATGGTTGTTCTTTCTGGTATCTTATTATTTTATCACATAAGTTCTGTAATTTTGTACATTTGAGTGCGACAAAGCGATATCCATTTTGCTTAAAGCCCATTGCTCGGACATATCTGGTTGGCGAATCATAAATGTAGCGTAACAAACAATCTTACCTTTTGCCAGTAAAGCCGTGTCAAACTTTCATCTCACAACGGTTGAAGCATCTTAGCGAGACCATGGACATGAGTCCTACCCTTTCGACGACTTGACTTGGCATTCTCACAAGCCTCTTTATAATGACGAATCCTTCTCTTGAGAACGAAGAGATGCTGAACGGCGAGTTCTACCTTGTGCTCCACACATTTGTTAAGGTTTGGAGGACCCATCACCACGTCACTGGAAATCAGCATCTCGTTCCTGGCATCTAACAGAAGCCTTGTAACTTCTTTGGTAAAGAAGACAATATAATCATGATGTGGGCATGGCTAACTTTTTTCGATCAAGTATTTGTTGAAGTGTTCAGTGAGACCATCGATGATGTTGTCGGTCAATATAATTGCCATATGGTGATAGGGTGGATGGGAGCGTGAGCGACTCCATGTTGTAAGCTGTTTGATGGAGTATTCGGTGCGGGTTCTGAAGGGTGTGAGTGAAGTCATTTTGATTAGATAAGTGGTGATTGTACAGGAAGGATAACGAGGGGGACGAAAGGGGGGTTTATATTCGAGGTCATCGAGGTCCAAGAAACCTTTGGCTGAGACGAGCCTGAAGGACTTTGTGTGCAATGAAGCAATGTGGAAGCAGCCTTTTCATTGTTATCTCTATTTTTGTCCTCTTTCATAGCTCACATCGAATCATAGCATTGTGGTCAAAGAGACAATGGGGGTTCTTTGATTCCTTTCATCGGTGGCCATCTCATTGAGTGCCTTCCACTAAATACAAGGCTCAACCTTCTACGTGAACCCAGGAACTCTTCCACAATATTCAGGATATTGACCTTAACCATAGTTGTACCGAAATTCCATTAAGTCAAATCGTTGATTAAATCCACCTTCTAACGCCAAGCTTGTATTTATTGATTTGAAGATCGAAAAAACCCCACTTACCTTTCTAACAGCGCCGTAAAGGCCTCGTCGTGAGAGGATATATTAAGAGTGTCTTCTACGGGCATCGCTTACAGCAACAATAACAGCTCGTAAAATCCACCGGCAAGTCTCCAGACAAGATATGGGCAAGAAAATGGGAAGCCCTTCTCAGGTGTTCCTTCACAGGGTCTGTAAGCTGTGTATTTGCCGCAAGTTTGTCCCTAATGATCCCAAGGAACTTTGCAATCTTCTCACATGCAGTTTTCTTCTTACTTGATGGCCACAACGTACAAAATGTCAGTAAGTCGTCGACCATTTCGCGTATTGTCCGAATCATCACGTCATGAGGTATGGTGCGTCTGCCGGTACCCCATCGCTCCAGGTTTATAATTCCACGGCCGACGAAATCCAGATAGTCGGTGTGGTCTGAGTAATCCATAATTACTGTTGATTTGAAGGTTGATGGTGCTCGGAGTAGTAGTATCGAGGAAGGATTGGGGACTCACCTTGGGGAATGCCGATTTCTCGCTTCTGGGGAAGAGTTGTTCGGGGTCGAATATCAGGGGAAAATGGCGGTTATTATATTCAACTTTGTTTGCTATTTCTGTACTGTACAGTTTATTATACCAGATTTCCATTGTCTGATGAGCAAAGAAGTCATATGCTATTGTCTTCTTTGATGGTACTTCCAACAAAGATCTTGGAATAGTCTTGAAGGCTTTGTTGAGATATGAATTGGGACGGACAGGTAAATGTCATGGACCAGAATTCCCTAATTGTGAGGATATTCTGGGTTTGTGGACGCATACAGGGCTGGTATCACCGAATTTGCAGACCAACTACCTTTGGATCTGGTTGCATGGGTACCTCGCCGAGGAAAATATATAGCGTAACCACATTTGAGAATAGGACTGGTGAAATTTGCAATCAATTCAGTAAGGAACAAATAGTAAAGGTAGAGCATGACTTCACCCCCCCCCCTCGATTTCCTAATTCTTGAACAATTTTGTTTGTCACACTAGAGTATGGATTTGTGCTAGTCGGGCGGCTGCCACCTTAGGCAGGAGTCCACGAATGGAAAACCCAAAGCGGACTCCACTGGGCTCAGTTATAAATTTACTGGGCCTCAGGCCTTCAACAAGAACCGGTTCCATAACTCAGTTGGTTAGAGTGTGGTGCTAATAACGCCAAAGTCGAGGGTTCGACCCCCTCTGGGACCATCTGAACAGATCCGCTCATTCGGATTCTCTTTTTGTCATCTTAGATGTTCATCTGACGGACTGTTAGAATTTTTCTTGACTTGAACGAGTAACTCTGATATGGATGTGAACCAATTGGAAATACTAATCCGATTATTGAAGATCTACCCACACACCCGGGTTCAATATTATAGTCGCAACAACTTGCAATCAGACAGCCACATAAACAGACAAGTACATAGCAAAGTAAATCCGCCAGCAACGATGCTCTAGACTCCATTTACTGTACCTCGCTATACTCCACTCCGCCAGCACATAGTCTAATCTCTTCTTTCCCTCAAAACCACATCCATCCAACTCACTGATGACTCAAAGCATACCCAACCTCAATCCAATTATCACGCTCCAGATTACCCAAAATCGTCAACGTATCCTCCATCAACTCCCCAAAAACCCCATTAACAGGCTCGTCCTCACCCAAATCCCGCAAAAAATCTCTAATTTCTCTCAAATTCCGTCTAGCAAGCACACACTGCTCGACGATACGATGAATATGACCCCGGGACGAAACGGAGATAGCCCGCGTCTTCGCCGCATACTCTTTCATGTATGAATTGATTTCCAGGGAGATGTTACTGGCTAGTATTGCTTTTGTGGAGTTGGGGATAAGCGTGGAGCGTCTTGACCAGCCTTTTAGGGTTGAGGTGGCTAGGCGGAGGAAGGATTCGAATGTTGGTTTGGGCAACGCTGGTGGTTCGTTTAGTGTTGGTGGTGGAGGAGGAGTGGGTTGAGTGGATGTTGGTTCGTCTACTGCTGGTTGGGGATGTTGTTGTGCTGGTTCTTCCTCATGCCGGTCTGTCGATACTGGCTCATCCTGATACTGCTCTATTTGATCGTTTTCCCTTGGTATATTTGGCGACGTAGCCTGGAGCACATCAACTAGATAATCTCTGTCTGATGGTGACAATTCTTTGAAAGTTGAACGTTTCTTTTTCTTCCACCGTGGAATGAGGCTCGGCATTGCTGCAAGTGGCATGGATTAGATATGCGGAGCTCAGGTGCCTGGAGGCAGCGTATCAATGGTGGACGATTTGTATGATTGCAAATATCAATCCTGATGAGTTAGAAGAAGCAGTCTTGCCTGATTGGGATTGAAAAGAAGTACTGATTTATAACAACCCTCGATGGCTGTGACTCACTCAGATTTTGCATTGTTGGTTTGTAACTTTTTGATTAAAGACAATGGGGTTGATACCTCAAAGAAGAAATTTCCTCTAGCTGTCTCATAGCATATGAGAATGTAATCCAATCAAAGAAAACATCCATTGAAATGGCTCAATGATAATGACCATCTATCATACACTGTCATCTCCTAGTTTCTTGTATTTTTATTGCCAGTATGACTGAATTCCAAGATATTGCCTTTAATATGACATGTAGATATGATGTGTGAAATTTCTTGGATTGTCAACAAGTAGGGTATATGAATGATGAGTGTACACATAAAGTCATGACTGGCGAAAATGCCGTGCCAGGCATCGAGGAGAGATTAGGATATGGAGTACAGGGCGTGTCATGCCTCTTCAGAAGCGGGTTGATTCCCCCGTTCTCCAATCAGCTCAGATCAAGCCGGTCGGGAGTACGGAGGTGGTCATGATTATATGGAATCGGCAAGTGGGGTTATCGGGTACTGGTCTATGAGGACTCTGTCGATGGTATGGTGTAGCTGTGACTGGGACGCAGCTTGGAGGTGTTCGATATGACTCGCGATATGCAGAGATGTGGGCGTTGTATGGCGCACCGGGGTGACAAGGATGCGTCGTGGCCGGTTAAAAAGGTAGTCGGGAGACCCATCGAAATCCATCAAGTATAGCTGTTATGGCTACTCGAAGGGCTCTGTTCTTCATTCTGACCCTCATCCACACTGAGCTTCCAGAAAAGCGATTTCATGTCCCGCACATTTTCGCGGAAATCGTCGAGAGGTTGGTTCATTCGCTCTTCAGACATGCCTCGGACCTCACGGATGATATCTGTGTAGCCTTCATCATTGGGAAGCCACCAGTGCTGTAGTTCGGGGAGTTGCCAGATGGCGGCGAGGGCGGCGCGGAATCGAGGGGCAATGATGTACCTGAACAGAGAATTTTGTTAGTTAGCACTATTTTGAATTATGGGAACGAGACAGGCAAAAACGAATTTCGAGGCAGACTTACCCATTCTGCTCCATCAAGGCTAGCTTGCGCCTCGACCACATCTGATGCTTTAGATCCTTGGGCAGAAACATGCTCGAAAGACCAATACTGTTCTTGAAGGCGATGCAATATCCATTTCCCTTATCCGGCCAGCGTGATATCGTCTCCATCAACTGACATTGTTCAAAGGCCAACCGCTGCAGGTCCGCAATGAGCGGCTGCTTCAACGAAAGCATGGTTTGATATTTAAACATCAGCTCGGTGGAGAGGAGATCGATCTTCGCATAATTCGCATCCCAAAGAGGCCCCTGCAATATGCAGCCCGGTATGTAAGGATCCACGATATCGTCATCCGTCAGGGGTTGCTGATTTGGATACGAGCGCACTGTGTCTTCGCAATCGTCAAACTGTTTGAGGATATTCTTCGCATGCTCCAGGGATTGACCTAGTTGTTCGTTCTGAAGGGCAAACTGATCGAACGGGATCATGCCGCGCGAGAGCTTGGCGTACAGCGAGGCCATGTCCAGCCCGAACCGCCGGTTGATTGAGGCTACAAGGGCAAGTTGTTTCCTTGGATCTTCGGGGTACATAGCTGCTTGGTCGGCGTCGTATTGCTCCTTTGAGATGTACCAGTCACGGCCAAGGATTGTCTCGGTGCCGGCCAGAATGCCTGCCACCACGTCGAATCGTGCGTACCAGAGGAAGATGTTGGTATGGAGTTCGACCAAATTAGAGGATTCGGGTGTTAATAGTTCTCGCATCAAGGCGTGTGCGGCTTGATGATGATCGATCAAGTTCACCCAGTCTCCAATATACTCCTATAGTGAAAAATAGTAATTAGCAAGGGTCCAAAGATTGCAGTCCGAAGGGGAGCAGAGTCGTCGAAGGTCAATTACCTCAAACGTCGTTAGAACAAGAACTGTGCACAACGTTGCTTCACTGTGTTCCTCGCCCGATTCCAACGACTTTCGTAAAAGCACCAAAGCCTTGTTATAATATTTCAAAAATGTATAGAGCTTCCCTCCACTCTGTAACGTGTGATGATATGCTGCAAATCCGACCAAAGCGTAGAGTAAAGGCTCATAGCCCAGTGCAAGTTCGATAATGCTGTGATGAATAAAACGAGCGCTGCCTTGTCTCAAAGAGAAATGTTCATGCGAGATAAACTGTTGATGAAAATCGAGGTAAAATCGCAAATCTTCCGATAGTCGACTATTATTGAGCAGGTCTAGCGTAGACTGGCTGATACTCGCCGACCGTACACTCACCGACTCGAACCGCGATGACTCGGTTGAAGGAGAGCTACTGGGCTCTAGATTGAATGATCCCGCCTCCGATGGCTGTTTAAGGCTGCGCTTTCGCAGTGACTGACCACTCTGCGTGCGGTGCAGGTCATGTCGTGACTGGCCAGTGCCAGTGCCACTCGTTGGCGATAGCTCCGATCCCACCTCAGTACCTTCGGGCTCCTCTTCATCGATAATCGGCTCAAGCGGGCTAACTTCATCAGCTTCAAATTTACCAGATGAGTCACTGCCCTGTGATTGGGGGCGGGCGCTGCGTGATTTGGCCGAGCGGGAGCCCTTGGCTGAGGGTGCATTTGGCGATGGATAGACACAATCCCGACTGCCCTTCCGACAGCGTTCGCAGATAGGGCGACCTTCGTCGCATTTGATGCGACGTGAGCGACAGGTGAAGCAGCCGCTACGAGTGCGCTTGTGTTTCTTCTGGTCCACGAGGGGCTGTAGTAGGGTCGGCTGTTTGGGCGGGTATGACGGAGCGGGAAGGGCTATGGGCTGTGGTGCCGCGGAAGGGTCATGCCAGAACGCGACACTCTCGGGATACTGCGAGGGTCCGAACAGGTTGTACGCGGACATACTAGTATCCTGCTGCATTGAGTCGAGGAAGCCGGCCAGGGCTGCCTGGGACTGATGATATGATTGCGCCATGGAGGGTGTGTCGTGTGGGTGGGTGATCGTGGAGATTAGCCCACGATCAAGGTAGGTTTCGGGGAGGAGGAACCTCGAGAGTATGGGGATTCCGGGGGTGTTTGTCTTTTGGCCTTCCTCAAGGCGCACGATCTCTGTTAGGTGGCGCGTGGGTTCCCCATGAAAATCAACCAGCAGTTCCGCTGGGAACTTGCATTCTTAAAAGATAGGGCACAATGGGGTAGGAGATGAAAGGGACGTTAGTGGAAGATCATAGGGAAAGATTCAAAGGGAAGAATGGTGGTGGTGGTGTAAGGGGAGAGAGGATTGGGTGGGGTGGAAGTTTGGACCCAGATGGTTGGAACCAGGATGTGCGGAGATTAAAACAAGAGTCAAGTCACAGAGCCAGAGAGAGAACAAATGGGAAATAGTACTCCGTATACTCCGTACAGTAGCTACTCCGTCCCTGTTTTATTATTTATTTCTGATTTGCCTCTATTTTACTTTTTCTGATCCTTATGCTTAAGGAGTGCATATGAAAGCAGTCTTATGTCCCTATCTCCACTACCCGGAAGACCTGTCTCTTAGTTCCTGTTCTTTTACCTTTTTGATTGCTCCTCATTTTCTATTTTAGTGCCGCTGACAGCGATCCTGATCGTCCGTATCCAATACGAGGAGAGCCCAGACAAACTTACAAAGAGGACAAAACTAAGTCCAGAGTTATGAGAGACTAGTGTATGGAAAAAACCAAACTAGTTCACCAAAGACTTAACCCAGGGACGACGGAGGAAGGACCAAGGATTCCCACCAGAACCACGGAGTTCGGAGAGGATGATGCGTAAAATCCCAATCCCTGGGCTGATCCAGGAACTATACCCGCCACTATTTAGGCCGTTGGGATCGATCACTCCGTATGGGGCACTACTCCGTGAATCCAAGGGAGCTGGGCGTTAGATTGACTCCATAGCTAACTACATATGTGGATTGTGGACTGATCCATGATGGGGCATGTCGATTATTTAGGGTCTGAGAGTTAAAATGGTTAAATTATTTAGTGATTTAAGCTCTCCATTTCATCCTCCGTTTCTTCCGGCGGGTTGGGGAGCCAAGAGAAGAGGATACTGTATTCGCAATCGAATAGGAAATCATTTCAACGGGGCCTGCATTGGATGTATTTCCACCCGGCCTTAGAGTCATGCCGGATTAGGATATGAGCAATGACGAATTTGCGGTGCAGTAAAATCATGACAGGTTTGACAAGGTAGTATTGCAACGAAAATGATGTAGCACTGTTTGACCCCCTTTCCCTCTTTGCCTCTTCTATGATGATCCCCACTTCTTGGGGATCATCGAGATAATCCTATGCCACTGCTACCAACTCTGATATTTTTATCTTATACCTAGGGATCCTCACCTCGGGTCTCGGTGAACTTTGGGAAAAGGGGGGGCCGAATGGTTTAGCTGGTCCTTTGGACGGACGATCACCTCAAGCCACAGAAGAGGGGGGGGGGTCGGTGATATCAGCGGAAATGCAATTTCTTAGGGCTTTAGAGGGGGGATTCGGAGGGGCCCGAGTGGCTGGCTGGTTAAGCTCCAGGATGCGGCAGTACCGTAGTTAGCAGTATTAGTAGTTAGTGACTGTGCAGTAGTTATTCTGGTTATTCTGGGTCCAATGCAGGAGATACCCAGTAAGACAAAGACAGAAAAAAAGAAAAGAAAACACAAGGCTACATAGGATCGAGTGTTGATCCTATCCGTCAATAATCACTATTAGCCTCGCCCTGCTTTCCAGGTTCTGCATGGTGCCTCCCGGTGCAGTATGCATATTTGGCTTTCTGAAGTCTTTTTCCTGTCGGCGGCTATATACTCCTCGGGATTTGCCTAGCTCACTTTGCTGCGTTAGTCTTCTCCGGACTTTGTACGGAGTACTTTGTAAAGCGTTAAAAATGAACCAGATCCTCTTTTGCATCGAGTCAGAACAGTTAGATCGCCGGCGCAGGGCGGATCCCCAGAAAGAATTTTGTTGCGATTTATTGATCCCATCACCACGGACAGCACGGAGAAGTGGATCCAATCTCGAATATCAACGGAGTTATTTCCGCTAAAGAGAGCAAGAACGGAACCAGAGGGCAAGAAGAAGGCAAGAAGGCATCCTCCGGCGATCAATTCAAGCTTCGGAAGCTACGAACCCGATGCTCAAGCGGCGGCCGAGATGACCAAGGGAGCTTAGTACTAAGTGCGGAGAGCACGAGCACTGGCGGGGGAAGATTGTACTCCGGACATATTATTATGGAGCACCATTTCAGGGCCAGTCGGCAAATCTGAAACCTTTCAAGGCGGGTGCATCGAGCGAAAATGCCGAAAACGTTCTGTTCGTGACGGAGATCGGTTCTTAGGAGTGGAGCCGAATGACTAAGGGACTAAAGGAGTTGGTCTGTGTGGAGACCTGTTTCTAGGGGAGGACTTCTATGATTCATGCAGGATCAGCCCGGAGATTGAAAAGAAAGAAAAAAAAAAAAAAAAGGCGAAAGGTAGAATATACAAGGGGGTTGGCGAAAGTCATGACAGTCGTTATTGATGGAAGTGATGTATTGTTGTTGTTGGTGGGAAGAAAAGACAGGGAACGGAAATTCTTTAGGGGGCAAAAACGTCAACTGGCCTGGCTGAACTGCCGCATTCTTATCCATACGGACATTTCTGTCTCTCTCTCCTTTTCCCCTTTTTAGTTCCATTTTCAGCCTCGCCCCCCTTCTTATTCTTCTTCATGCTCCTTTGCGCCCCTCGACCTCCACCATTTCCGGTCTTGTGAGAGGGAAAAAAATATCAATCGCCCGCGTGCCTGATCGACGGGGCTTTGACAGGCAGAAGTTACATAGAACAATAAGGTGGAGCCGTGTGAAGCAGGGCGCTAACGTGGAGGGGAGAAACAGAGCAAAAACGCCATTTCTGCGAGGTAATTATTAAAAAAGAAAACTCAGGATCGACTCCACCGGACCTTCAAGCACCGATGCGCCGATGCAAGCTCGTATGTACAGTATTAGTGGTAGTTCCGTCAAGGCACGATCCTGGATCGTGTGAAGTGATATTATCCTTCCAGTGGGTAACGACAGGGTATATTGATGGATCACCCAGACACCAGTGGCGCATTCGGTGCTGATTCGTTCCTTTCAATTGCCGATGCAGCCTATAAGCAGTCTGAGATCTTTCAACCAGTCCGTCATTATGGAACACGTCCCATGCTTTCCTCGAACTTCTACAGAAGACAGAGTATATTGAGTATACTGGAATATCGGGGACAGAGTCCAGTACTGATTATTCCTCCTATGGACTCTTCTATAACCATCTTCTTAAGAGCTTACCACACTAAACCTCGGTCGTGCCTAAGGGCTAGCGCGTAGACTGGTGCTGGACCCAAAAGACGAACCCCCCCCTTAGCCCCAAGGGTACTAGAGAGACAACGCTATGCCTGCCGGGACTTGCACAGCGCACCGACCCTCCGACATTAATATTTTTCGCCATGTGGGTGAAAGGTTGTCCCGGCCTAAACACTAAAGGACGTGCTGCTAGCCTGGTTGACAGGGGGTGGATCCTGACTCCACCGTTTTCCTACAGCACGACTCCAGTTCCATGTGGGACGCCCTACTTTTTTTACCCATTCATGATGGTTGTCCCTAGTAGTTGCAGGCAGGGGCCACACTAGCACTATGTAACAGATTACAAACACTTCTCGTCCCCTCTCCAGAATATGATTTCGGCATTCTCATCACTGTAGCCGCCTGTTCCACGACACACACACCAGCCAAGAGTCATGATGCTTTGCTATCCCGGTCCTGGCATATACACTAGCACCTGCGCTGGTCCAGGATAGGTAACATCTCCGTTCAAGATCTCTCCCGCCTCTCCCCATTGCTGGCCCTGGTCCCGGGAGATTGGGGAACACCACTGCTCAATAACCCACATGCATGTGCTACTATACCCCTTTCGGTAGGTCTTGAGAGAGTTAATTAATATTGGCTTAATTTCTATTTCCCAAACACGAATCAGATACGGGAGTTTATTTGAGGTAAAATGCATTGAACAACCAGTATCATACTGGGAAATGGGTGCGTGGGTTGAATCTCGTATAAAAGGCGTACTCGTATACTTTTAATATTTGCATCTGGGCCATCAATGATAATCTTAATGTGGCGCGTTTATGGACTTTATTTGGCTTAGTTTTGTTTAAACAATGAGCCATCATCTTTTTGTTCTATTTTCTTTTCTTTCATGTTGCTTGCTTGGAAAATGATTCATTTCCAGGACGCGTTGAGTCAGCGGCTAGAACTCACTTTGAAAAAACATGGAGGTTTCATTCTAATTAATTGAAGTGTAGATCTAACGGTTATAGCCGACGGAGCATCAAGTCAACCCCGAGTTGTAGATTCTATCGACAAATCACTCAACCTGCGACTCCGGGGCTGGGCAAGATAATTTTGTGATGTATCGTTTTGACCCCAGTCCAAGAATCCTTCGATTGTCGTCATACGCCCCTGTGAAAGTACATACGAGGTCGATGCTCAGTTAGGTTCAGTCGGGCCGGTCGAATGCATGTCATGAATGGTAGGAACGTATAATCCCTGTTCTTTTCTAATTACCGGATCTAATCGCTCGGTAGTCATCATTCTCGAATATGACTGCAAGAAAGCTTCAATTCTGTATTTGAATATGCTCATAATTTGTTCTCCCATGAAAAGTATGCGAAAACGAAAGTTAGGAAGCTCGAAGGTCTGCGGAGTCACTAAAGCGGGCACCTCCCATAACCCGTCCGACGGGAGAAAACCCTTGGAGAATGTTCTAAACAGCCACACTGCATATTCCTGCTATCCTGGGAAGTACATGAACGGGCCCTGGCGTCGGTGTTAGCTAATCTGGCAAGGCTAAGCAAGCCCATGATAATCAATCCACCTATCCCCATTATTTCCTCTCCACTCTGTTCAATGCCCATGTGCATTTTGCAGCGGAAGCTTGCGGCATCGGCATCGGATACACATTCTACGTAGGTTACCAGGCTACTCCTGCAGGCTCAGCCTAAGGTGACACGTTCATCTAGCTTGGCGCAAAGAAATTCGTTCAAGGGACCAATCTGAGGATTAAGTCGTCGGTAGAAGAATCTAGAAGACAGGGCGCCACCACATTTGGACCTCGAAAGATCCGAATCTCATCATTTTGACTTTCAAATGGCGTCGACGGTTTCCGTGTTGTATCCCTGCAAATGCTTAGTTGCACCGAGTGGCGTAGGCACTAGTTGTTCGTATTGACGTGGTTGTTGGTTACCGGCTTTTAATCCTAGTACTGTAGCGTTGAGGGAGGAAGAGTAGGAAAAAACGGGAAACTTACTTCTTGATCAATCTTCAATACAATAGTTATTGCGCAGATTGTCCGCAATAGATCGCAGAATTTGTTTTTGAGGAAGAAGCAATTCATCGGCATACTCCGAGATGGAGGTACAGTAACTACTAATAGATCCAGCCGTGATACAATAGCTTGCTGCATTTTCAACAGCGCATGTTAGAGATTGATAAAAACACAAGTCCCCTACCCAATGTATCTCAATCATAAAACCCACGAGCACGGCACAGTATAAATCGTGACTCTCGAAATCCACTTTCAGCTCTAAATCTGAATCTGACCTTGGCATCTTACCAGCGGAGATAAGTACCCTCTCCGAAGAAAACCATGCCAAGTTGCCAACATCCATTATTCAAGTCTCATCAAAATGAACGCCAGTAAACTCTACCGGAAAGGCAACGATGAGGCTGAACAAACCAAATACCACCGTTATCCACAAAGAGAATCATGCCGGCTCCGCCCCCACCGTAACGCGGACGATCCCACCAACCGGGGTGATTTCATGGTCCGATCCTACAATAACCCACCTGGCACCAACTACGGAGTCTACTAACTAAGATACTGACTAGTCTAACTGACTTTTCTGTGACAATGGCGGCCATGATCGGCCGATACAACTTTCCTTCCCACATCATGGATTCCACCGCCCACTGCCAGGGGTCGTGGTAGTGTGTAGATTTTGTAACTTGTCGGATACGATTGCGTAGACTAACTCAACACTGTTAGTGCTGCGAAATTGAGTTGACGCCGGCCGTTTTGGGGATAGTAGTCCAGGACCAGTGCAGGACAAGACCGACCATGACACCATGTAAACCGTCACTCATAGCTACTGTAACTGACTATCCACTATTCTATGCTACACTCCGGAACTACTGTATGCAGCACACTTCACTTTCAGGCAGCCCGAGTTCTCTCGTTTCTGCCGCTCCACCAGCCCTAAAACAATCAAACCCTTGGTGGTGTTCTGCTCGATCCTGAGACAGTCTAACGAATCCAATTTGGGGATCTGTCCATTATTTTACCTTTCCGTTGGCGCCGAGGGCCCGGAGGATGTGATTTCTAACGCCGTCTTTTCTTGTTTCTTGTTTAGTTATGGGACTAGCTACATAGGGGGGACCTTGCTGATCAAACAGACCTACGGCATTGGGGAGTTGCACTGCAGGGCCAAGCAACCGGCCAAGTAGTAGTCTCACTCTTAGGCTGGCTGCTAGCTAATAAATGACTTGTGTAGGCTTACTGCCGGGCCAAAACTTGTCAGCTAGCCTTCCTCTTCCCCCTGCTACTACCTACCATAACTATGATTTCCCTGAGAAAGATGAGAATCCACTCACTCATAATTAACTTCCCTTAGCTCTAACTCTACCGGACCTGCTGTCGCGTGGCTCTGGATAATTTACCGTTGACCTCGGGGGGACCAGCGGGGGTCCACGAGGGTTTAGGCATGTGACACCAGGTGAGTATTAACCATGGGCAGTGCAGGTGGATACAAGTGTAATTGCTATTGCAGAAATACAATTTATACCTCTCTGTAGTCGTAGATCCCGGTCTTTTAGCCACAGGCGCCACCAAATCAATTAATACAGTACAGGAATGCATATGTACTACTACTACTAGCTTAGAGCGTGGCTTGACAATGCTAGACTAGGGCATGCTTGCGAGGATTCCGCGGCCCGGGCGCCGCCGTTTTTGGTGTAGCCTGGAACCACAGAACTGAGGTATGTTCCAGAGTATTTCAGGGTGATCACCATTGTTAATGAGGGGACTACATTATTATATTAAATATGTCTCTTTCTGTTGTGGTTTCCGGCCTGGGGCCTAGACTCGGCGTGATCAATTGTCCGCTTCGGTCTCATTCTGGGCATTGGACACGGCCGTGGTTTGTACTTTAGGTGGTTCTTGGCCACACAGGCCTCGGTACAGCATGGCGGCAGTCTTCGCTCTAGAGTCACTTTGGTTAGTCACTTTAGTCCCTCGATCGTGCTGGCCCAAGCTCCTCCTCTTTGCAGACGTCAACAAACTCGTAGATCCAAAAAGATGCAAGAATTTGTAGTTTGTAGTCTTTCAACCTTCAAACATGATATATTGAGTCATAACATCGTCAACAGCCCCATCCATAGTCCTGACACAAAAGCTGCAATGCCCAGACAGACTCCGTACTCCCATCACTGCCCGATTTCCCTTGGAGTGTAGCTCATGAGATCGATCCGTTTCATGAAGTATATAGAATGGTATGCACCTGGAACTCAATCATTGCTTGCGAGCCGCTTGAAGCTCCTCGATGACCATCCCAACACCCTCAATGACAGTCCCCCATTCAATCTCATGCACCCGCTTCTCAAATACCTCCAAATCCTCATCCTGCCCCTTCACAAACGGAATCTCCCGCACAAGAATCGGCTGACCCATATCCACCTCCGAAATGACATCGTGAATCATAACACCAGTTTTATCAATCCTCCCCTCCATCCACGCAGCATGAGCGCGCTCAATCGCATTCTACACATCAAGTATATCATATCAGTAACAAAATCCACAAGCCACGGGAATCCTCAAGAAAAAGAAATCGATGTCCTGTACTCACCACACCATTAAACGCCCCCGGCAACGCAGGATGCAAATTAACAATCCGCACACCCGCCTCCTCCAACGGCGACAAAAACTGTGGCGACAGAATATGCATAAAACCCAAACACACGACCAATTCCGGCTGATCAGCCAGAATCAGACGGGCCAGCTCGGCATCGTATTCCTCGCGCGCGGCCTGGACACCCTCCGGCGTCGCGGGTTGTGCTTTCTTGTACTTGACGAGATTGTGGTAGTGGGTTGGGATGGAGGCTTTGCGGGCGCGCTCGAGACCGAAGGCGTCTTTGCGGTTGGAGAGGACGCGGATTAGTTGGGCGTTTAGGGCGCCCGCTTGGACTTTGTCGATGACGGCTTGGAGGTTGGTGCCGCTGCCGGAGATGAGGATTGTTGTGCGGATTGGGGAGGTCATTTTGAGGGGTTTGGTGGGTTTGGGAGTTGGAGGGGGAGGTGGTATGGTGGTTTTTTTTGAGGGATGGTGGGGAGGTGGTTGTTGCGGGGAGGGGTGAAGGCGGAGCTAATGCTTCGTTGGTTTGAGGCTTTGCGGGTCCAAAAAGGATATTAAGTCCCGTAGGAAGGTCAATTGAGGTGTTCCGTAAGGTATAGAACTGTACAAGTATACCTGTACAAGCTCTGAATGTCGGAAATGAGGTTGGTGATGTCGAGCTTTCATCCCGCGCCGGGGAAAATTTCCCATCACGTGAGCGGGGCACCGCCGACGCCGGAGATATCAGTAGATCTAGTATGATGCCACAAATGATGATCCGAGAGCAGTACATGGATGACTAGGCGATTGTCTTGAATGAGAATGTAATATTGATTGACCAAGCACGGTTGACTGTCTAAGAAAATTACAAAGTAGAATGAAATTCCCAAAAGGTAGCCAATTCCAGCAAGCCGTCAATCCAACAACCGCAAGAAATGGTGCGAAAACCGAGACACCTTACAAAGCAGATGATCGCTTTCCAAAGAACCGGTGAATCTCTACACTTCGATTCAATGACGTATAGAAAGAAAAGAAAACAAAAACGAGAGCGCCCCAAAACTAGCGCGACATAATAGAAAATTGCCGTGGGGATATCCAAGGAAGAAATTTCGTAAAGGCTCTAAGCAGACGCTGGAATGCTAATGTTCAATGAGTAGAGTTATGAAGGGGGCCACTGGCCATAGGTGAGTTTGTTCAGAATGTGAATTTGGATGCATATATCCTGGCCTCAAGGTAATGATTAGATGGTCGTACCCTCAGGGGCGGGAGTAGGAGCAGGGGCAGGATCAGATGCTGATGGACCCTCGTTGTTCGACGTCTCTTTGACACCTTGGCCTCGGCAAAGAGGACAAGAGTTTCGGCCCGTGGTTAACCACTGTGAATAACAAAGTTAGTAAGTTTATCAAATCCGAAATGATGCAGCAAGAACCACGTACCTGGTCAATGCAATCCCTATGGAACACATGCTTGCATTTGGCCAACTCCCGGACCTCTTCAGCCACTTCGTAGTCGCTCAAGCAAATTAGACAACGCTCGCCGTCTTGGATCTGGATGGCGCCAGCACCATCAACAGACTCTGCGACCAGCGAACCGGCATACTCAACAAGGCGGAAGAGGCCGCCTGCAGAGTTGATGTCATCTTGAGAGGCCACCGGAGGCTTGGCAGGGCCTAGGAGTGACGACAGCAAGATCATGTCCTCGTATGTAGGGTTATCGGTGAAGAGACTTGGTGTCGTCAGGGCTGGGTGATTTTCCGACAAATTGGTGCCAACAACGTAGATCAGCCAGCTTCGGCCACCACTTGGAGGGGTTTGGTCAGGTTCAACCACGCCATTCCGACGAACGGATCCCGAGCCAAGTGCGCGGTGGCGGGCAAATTCCGAATCGCTTCGTCGTCGCTGCCTGGCAGCACTCGGTGGGGGAGCAGACTCTTCTAAAGTCTCGGCAGTGGGTTGCAAAGACTGGTTCTCATGGAGATGCGGCAAATGGGTTGGTGACAGAGTCGAGGCTGAGGACGGTCTGCGGCTTGGGGTTGACGTTCCCGAGGAGATAGCTGACATGCCTGGCTCAGCAGGAGTTGATGGCGGCGGGTGCGGTCCAGGTGGACTGTCGGACTGGCCTGCCGTAGGAAATGTGTACGACGGATGAAGACGGCGAGGTCCAGCATCCGACATCCTTCGAGACAGGTTATCGCCAGGCTGGCGATGGACCTCTGGAGCCAGACCGCCAGGCCCACCGTGACGAGCGGCGTGCAGTCTGGATCGCGCATCCGCCTGCTGTGCGGGATCACCAGCGCCTTCTGGGGGCCGGGGAATAGCGTTGGGCGGCAAGAACGGCAATCCGAGCAAAGCATCCAGACCTGCGCCACCAGGAACTGGTGGTCCGTCTTCGCTATTCCCTCCATTGCTCGCAGGTACTGATCGGACGCCCACCACAACTAGGGTAACCGTCCGGCCTTCGCCTCCTTCTGAGGGCGAGGGCTCGTCGACGGACATTCCATCGGACTGAGGACCTGAATTCTCAGAACTATTGGGACCCCCTCGTGCCAGGGGACCAGCGCCAAGAGGAGAGTCGGAATTGGCAAATCGGAAGACTCGCAGGAAGTTCACTGGAGCCGCTGGAGCTTCGACTCCAGTCTGACTTGATCCTTCTCCTGCCGGCGCCGGTTGCGCTGGGGCTGTCGTGGCATGTTGCAAGCTTTGGATAAAGTTCTCTAGTGATCCATCGAGACCATCATTACCTAAAGCTTGGATATTTGGTAAGGCAGGGCCCGTGGTACCAGAGAGCTGGGCGGCGATTGCAGCTGCAGCGAGCTGTAGAACTCGAGACAGAGGGGTTTGCTCTTCTCGTCGCATAGCCCGGGCTGCTCGTGCTCGAAGAAGACTAGGAAGTGCACGGGACGCCATCAGGCCAGCATTTGTCTGATGAGCCGAATGTGGTCGATCTGGTTGGACACCGGGTTCGACTGAGTCCAATTCAGGCAAGGGCTCTCCAAAGTCCAGGCGAGTATCCATAGCACTTGGAAGGCCATCGCTGAATGACGGGCTTCCCGATAGATGCGCAGGGCTTTCGTGGGGGGAGGAAATATCTGGTGAAGGCTGCCCAAACATATGCGAGATGGGGGTTGACAGCGAGTGGCGCACGCGCTGGAGACGGGCACGACGCCAGGAAGCCCGGTTAGACTCTGGCAGATGCTCCCCAGAGGAATCGAGGAGCGAGGAACTCGTGGCTCCGGTCGACATTGTTGACGAGTCAGCACGTTGGGGGATGAAGTATGGTCCCCGGGTGCTGCGACGACGAATGACGCCTCTAGATCCCAGGGCACTGAAAGGGCTAAACCGACCACTGCTATGAGCAGTTTCCGATCGTGGTGGCGTTCTTGAGACTAGTCCGTGCCTGTGGGCATGGCCTTCTGCTGGCGTCTCCTCCTGACTGTTGAGAAGGCCACGAATGACAGAATTGGGCAGGATTCTTGACCCTAACCGTGACATGGTGGACTGTCTCCTTGCCGCCATCCGTGCAATCGCTGCAGACCGATATTCCCGCGCACTTGGTTCATGTTCGGGTTCCTCTTCTTCGATACTTCGCATCTGTTGTGAGAACCCTCCCGAGTATCGCATCGGCTGCTGCCAGGATTCTGGCAACTCATGTAGCTGGTCCGATGACAGGTCTTGGCCGTTATGAAGATTCGGGTCCATGCCGGGCGAGAAACTCGCCTCTCCACCTTGCTCAGTGGTTTGCCTGTTGTTCATATCTTCATCCCTCAAACCAGAATTGGGATCTATCGAGAACGGAGCGTAGCCCGGATAGCCAGTGTCAGGAGGATCTCGTGGCGTAGAAGCCGACTGTCCCATAGTAGCAAGTTGCAACAGTGAAGACTGGGTGTAAAGAGCGTTATGGACGATCTACTGCCATACGAATTTCCAGAGCACGCGTTGATAGCGACCGTACCAACCTCGATTCCTACCCGATTGTAGTTTTTGCTTTTTGACGACCTCGTTGTGTTGATTGCGAAATCCTGATTCACTTTCCTCAGTCAGACACGCCACTACTTGACTATCAGCCCGCCTGTGGCGTTATCTCGAATTCTGAGTGTGCGGCGTCCGGTCCGGGTTGGGCGGAAGCTGTGAGATTGCCGAGACAAAGGAAAGCTAGCCAGGTAGCTGAAAAGCTATCGACGAGAAGGACGTATGTGTGAGATGAGCCGACTGTCCGACACAGTGTACTGCGACCGGCAGTCTCGAATGGTTTGACAAGCCGTCCGGTACAGCCCACACTCAATGTATCGTACGCAATATACCCGCCGAGCGTCTGTGACCAGGAGAGAGGATCGGGGGGGCCCGGGTGGCGCCTAAGTGGAGATGGATATCGGCGGGGGTCGAGTAGGTATGAGGGCCGGAGGGGGGGAGGATAAGGAAGAGAATGGAGGAGAGAGGGAAGTAAGGAGAAAGAAGATGAAAGGTGGGAGGCAAGAGGAGGAAGACGTATGAGAGCGATAAAGGGAATGGCGATAACGGGGGATCGGAGTGTTTGCTTGCTTTGCTTTTCCCGAGGGCCTGATGGGCTCATCTCAAACGCAACCCGTTTACCTTACATACTCTACGTACCCACTCACAGTAGTTGGGTAGGAGGTAAGCTATTCTAAGGTTCTCGACGCTTCCAAGTCTCTCGCAATTAGTCAGAGTCGACCTTTGCCCCTGTCCAACCTTGGAAACTCTCTCGGCATTTCCCCCAAATCCTTTTGTCTCCAATCTCCAATCTCCAAATCTCCGATCTTCCCGATCTACCAAAATTTTGCCGGCCGCGGCTGCTTGATTTTCAAAACTTGCGTATTTCAAGTGTTCAAGCAGCCCCGCATGGGAGTCGCGCCTTACTGAGTATATGGCGCCTGCCCTGTCGGCTTCCTTATTTTCTCTGCCACTGCCCTCCTGGCTGCAGCCGACGAGCACTCGTGTCGCGCAATATGATCGCCGAAAGCGCAAGAAGAGCGACGAATGGACCGACCAGGAGGACGATGGCGCTTATACAACAGACGCCACGTCAGCTGGAGAGTCTGGCCCTGCCGGACCCTCGCTGATTTTGACGCCGAATGAATCTCACCAATATCGCATTGCCGGTCTCACTTCCGACCAAGAACTACCCGGAGGGAACTTCCCCCACGGGCCACCCAAGAGCGACCAACCCAGGAAGGAGGCGAAGTCACTGAGTCGCCATCTCCGCGACCTCTCCTCGTTATCCGCTCCAGTCTACCCTCCCCAGTCTGCGGCACACCAAGGTACCATTCGTCTTCAGCATCTGTCGGTCTTAACCGCCATTCTGCACAAGTGTCTCCTCCAGGGAGATTACATTCGGGCTGGAAGAGCATGGGGCCTTATCCTGCGAGAAGAGATCCGTGGCTTCTCGGTGGACCCACGCAGTGAAGGCCGATGGGGAATTGGAGCTGAGATTCTATTACGTCGCGGTCAAGAAGAAGCGTCGCAGCAGGCTTCTGGTCCTTCGTCCGATACATCCACTGGCCAGGATCGGACGGCTTTGCCATTCACCAAGAAAGGGTTCGAAGAAGCCAAGGAATACTACGAAAGGCTAATTCTGAATCATCCCTTTTCGAAAAGTGCTCCGAATGCGGTGTCTTCGTTGAGCTTTTACCCCGCGATGTTCGGACTGTGGATCTATGTCACCCAGGAGGAGAGTCAATACGCCAGAAACAACATCACCCTCGATGGCGATGATTCCTCTGATGAACTTTCCGGCGACGAGTGCTCTCCAGGTGGTTTTGATCGCCGGGGATCAAATAACAAACAGAGTATCGTCGCCAGTATACGAAAGCGAGAACTGGAGGAAGCGCAAAAAATTGCGACCCGTATGGATATGCTCCTTGCGACTCCTCCATTTTCCGATTCTCCGGAGTTACTGGAGTTGCGTGGCATGCTGTCGCTTTGGATTGGCGATTTGCTCGTCTCTTCGCTGGCCAGTTTGCCTGACTCTGCGGATGATTACGATCCGGATGAAATGCATATGGATGATTTACCGGTCTCCATTGAAGCAAGACACGAGCAGAGGCTCGCTCTGGAGAGAAAAGCAGCGGAGATTCAAAAATCAGAGGCTTTCCTCGAGAAAGCACAGAAACGTGGACGAGGCGTCGCTTATAACCTGGAGCATCTCCATCTTGACGAGGATTCAGCTTCTGATTGAACTTCATGCGATGAAGTCTTCATCTCTACGTAGCTAATTTAAATGTACACTAATATTTCATTAAACAATATATCTCGAGCCGGCCGGTTGTATTTCCTCCGTAGCATCATCTAGGCAGTGAAATGAGATTTTCGTATCTGGAGGCAAACAATCTTGGTGTGTAAACGAAGGGAACAGTGTGTTTGAAACTAATTGATATCGAAGTACTACCTATTCGTCTAAATTACTGTCTTGTCATCCTAGCGATCCGATCAACTAGTGCCACAAGAATGGAATATGCACGTGACTACGCGGTTCTCTCGCGTCGGGCATCCGACTCAACACAGGAATCCTCGCCGCCCCACCAGCCTTGTCGCTGAAAGAAAGATCCGTCATTTTAGTCCATCTTATAGGACTAGTCCACTCGTGCATCATGGGGGTGGGCGATTACGTCCACTCCAGAGATGCTGGGCCGCCTCGTGCCCCGGGCAACTTGCCTCCGTCCCAGCGCCAACTACGGGCTGAGCAAGCAAAAGTGGAAGTTCCCAGCACCTACTTCAACGAGCCCGTTGCGAATGGCCGTGGTATGTCGCGAATGTTTCAGGCTTCTCCAGTGCCCTCGGATCAATCTCGTGATCTTCCTGAAAACGTACCACCCCTGGCAAATAGAGGCGGTGGTCGACGGGACGCGTTTGATACCGATGTCGAGGCAATCGATGATTCAACTATTGCTGGAATCAGCGTGTTTGGTTTTGATGATCGACAATCCCAAGCACCATCGACGGTGAATGCCGGTGGTGAAACTACGTCGCCTCGGCCTTCTTACTTGCCCCGGCCCACACGCCGCTCTGGCAGGTCTTCCTTCTACGGAGGCCTTGGAGATAAAGCTATGAAGAAGGCTGGATTTGACACTTCTGATGACGGTGAAGATACAGCTAGTCAATTGACGTCGTCTATCGGAGGAGATGACGAGATGACAGAAGTGCTGCAAGAGCCTATCAAGCCACCAGCGCCAGCCATGCCTGAAGAGCCGATGACCTCTACTGAAACCAGAGAATCAGGCGGCTGGTACTTACCCCATAAGAATCGATCTGGAGAAGAGCCACTGAGCAAACGCCTGGAGAATTTTTGGTCAGCGAGCAAAAGAGCATCGCAGTCCATCGATCAAGCTCAAGCAGAAGCACGTCCATCGCCTCCTATGGATGTCGTCCTTGATGCTCAACCACGCAAATTGGGCCACATGCTTCCGCCACCTGGAGCCAGGAAGATCACTCTCCCGCATAGTATCACGGGAACTCCGAGAACACGTTTCAGCCCCCCGAAACCCTCTCTCCTTGAGCAACTAGAGATATCACCAACTCGACGTAGCTCTGAGCGACATGGCTCCGAGCCACCGCCTCAGGCTGGACGAATGCTCGGCATGACATTTCACCCAGCAGAGCACAGCGACGATGAGAGCCACCACGATAACGAAATTGACGAAACGATCCGTATCAGCAGCAGACGACACAGCGGACACTCCACTCACGCCTTTGACATCACCACCATGTCCGATCTGGACCACGAGGACGACGAAACAACCCACGACCCATTCCTCAGTCACCAATCCTCCGCTAGACGTGGTCGCCGAAACACAGTCATCAAGTCAAAGAAACGTCAACTGGAAGCAGATTACCCCCCACAACTACTCTACCAGAAATCCTTCACAGACCTCCAGGCCGAACCTTTCGATAAAGCGCCTACACCCATCCCCTCCCCTCCAGCAAAGTCACCCTCCCTACCCCCAAACACCAGCCTTATACCCAATAACCACTCACCCGACGACACGGTATTCCAACTCCTCAAACTGCCGGAGCAAGACCGACAGGCTTACCTATCTCACATGTCCGTCGAGGAATGGGAAGACTGTGGTGATCAACTGATCGACCGATTCAGCCACCTTCTCACTGAGATGAAAAAGCTGCGTCGTGCGCGCCGTCGTACAGCGGCGGTCTTTGAAGCTGAAGTCAAGCGTCGCCATGAACTTGTCGAGGCGCAGGATACGGAGTTGTCGACTAAGTTGAATGAAATGAGAACTGGAGGTGCTGAGGTCTTGCGGGGTCGAAACACATGAATTGATGATTCTTTTATTTCTATTTATGGCGGCCCCGGTTGATTTTTTATTTATTTGATATACATCACCCATGTATGATATCCCCTGTGGCTGGCGAGCTCTATGGGCAAGAACTTGGGAAATAGCAACTTTCTTTCTACACCCTTAATCTGGTTCGATGGTACTGAAGGATATTTCCAATCGAGGAGGAGCTTTTCTAAGTACCTACCATCAGAGTCTCCCTTGAGTTGGTCGCTTTGTGTTCCTGATTTTCTTTAGGTATCTCTGAGTGAGCGGCACAGTGCATTTTTCTTTGCTTACGACACCGGAGTGGCTCTTATGCTATCCAAATACCATGCCTTAGATCACGGCCACGCCGACTTATCGGTCGACGTCTAGAAGACCGAGATGGAACCCTCTGTCATGTATCCGGAGGCGAGATATATGAGAAGCCCGTTATCAAAAATGAAGCTTTTGAAAGCGATGCAGCAATCTGGGACCGAATGAGAGTGACATGTCTTGATGAAAGTGGTCGATGGAGGAGATGGCTTCCATTCTTTCGGCCAATTTCCGTGCGAGAAGTCGAGGTATGCCTTTCTTTTCTATGTAGCAGTTCCTTGCTGAGTTCAGAACACCAAGTTTCAATTTATGGGTTAGGGTTACGTTTGTACTGAGCTGTAGCGCCCCACTTCGGTGGCTCAAGACTTAGTCGATTGAGGGTATACGTGGGCGAAACGCCCTCGGTGTCTCCCATCTCTTTTAATGCACTTGTGTACATGTGGTCTTCGCAGGTCTGTTCTGTATCGGCGAGAGTTTCCCCTAGTTGAGGACCTTCACCGTTGATATAGTGCTGCTTTTCTTGGTACCACAAATTAGATCCTGAAGTGTCGTTGTGCTTGTGGCAGTTTGAGCGCGATTCGTCATGATTTGCTTTGCTTGAAACTTCTTTCGTTATGTTGGCCATTCTTAGTATTTTCTCCCGACTCTTGTCTAAGTGTGTTAAGAGAAAAGTTTCAATAGACTCCATAGATTGGGTAGAACATTGACGATTCTGAATGAGAACTGTCCCGAGTTTGAAAAAGAACAAAATTTTAGCTGATGCTGGTGATCCATCGAAGTATGTGGCCGATTCAATTTCCATGTCGAGCTTGTTATAGGGGAAATCTTTTAGCAGGATATATTGGCGAATCTGCTAAGAGAAAGTGAGCTATGATCGAGGATAAATTCTGAAGGAAAGTAACCTTTGTAGAAAGTAAATCCAGCTCGTACGGTAGGTGAATTTACAGCCATATGCTAACCACAAATTTTACCCATTCAAGGCCTAGAAAATATACTGACTAGATTTAGTTTCCTGCTGGTCATATCCCGGGGCATAGGGTTACTTCTCTGATCCATAGATTCAACCATTCCTCGTGTACCAGTATTATTACTGCTGATTATATCCTGTTGGCACTGATCCTAATTATATGCTAGAACCAACTGAACGGCATTCATTGTATTGCCTTTGAGCCTCATATGACACGTCACTGGGGGCTATGTTGTCAAATGCAAGATCCAAAATGACCAGCTGCGTAGCGCACAGGCCTCATCTTCTGCCCAAGGCAGAATCTATTTGCACATATTAAAGGTTGTATAGACGAGCTCTCGGATGACTGATCTATCATCTAATACCTGTTTTATTTGGGTGCGAATGCAGGAAATCCGTTGGCAAGGCAGCTACACTAATGTAAGCAAAACTGTGAAGTCATTAATCATCTCACCGGCTTGGAGGCTGAGTTCAAAGCAAGAAAATTTTTGGTCACGACGCGTCCTATATAAAGACGGCGCTCTCGCATGTTTTTCGCACTATTTCATTCTCGAACTAGTGAGAAAAGTTACTGTCCCACCAAGTTCTAGAACAATTTGCCTCTTGAGTGAAGAAGCCAGCATCACTGCCAAGACAAAAATGACGAGCAATTCAACTCAAGTCGCACACCACTTTGAACTTGAGGCCAACGAGAAAATGAAAGTTTTTGAACTGGATGGTGCAAATTGTGCATATGATCAAGGTCAAGGCTCAATTAAGTTGACTCCTTTACATAAAATTAACATTATGCACTAGACGAATGGCTTGGGCTTCACGTTTGGGAGCTCTTTATCAAAGCAAAATTCATCGAAAGTAATCCAAAAGCTGGTTTATCACCAGGAGCAGCTGTAAGGCGTCCTGAATCCTTTACTTTGTAAGATACTGATTGCTTTCTAGGAACTAAGCCGGCTTTTCTCCAAAAGATTCAACTTTACAGAAGCAATCAACCATATAGTCGAAGCCAACCCAGATTTGAAAATGTCTTTTCACCAAGCAGGGAAACCGACACTGCTTAGAGCTTTAGGTCTTGCTGCAAGAAGCATGTCATTGAGCCCGGAACAGATCATCGCTAGGCTATCAGTGTTCTACTAGCATGAGCAAACTACTCCCTCACGGGAGACGGATACGACCGCTACAAGCAGCTATTCAAGTCCTCAATCCGAGCCTAATGACGATGAAGGTCCTCAACCAGGGGAAACTCTCGCCGATACAGAGCAGACCTGCGAAGACCACATGTACACAAGTGCATTAAAAGAGATGGGAGACACCGAGGGCGTTTCGCCCACGTATACCCTCAATCGACTTAGTCTTGAGCCAACGAAGTGGGGCGCTACAGCTCAGTACAAACAATTCAAGTCCTTCTCAGAGGGAAGCTCTAAAAAGGCAGCAAAACACTCCGCGTCAAAGGTTCTCTGGCTGAGATTAGGGAAGAGTACAATCTTGTAGTCATTTCCTACCGGCGGGAACACAATCTCTATCGGGACAAGATATAGATTCAACGGATCTACGGCTCTTCTCTACTACAGGCGGCAGTCACAGGAGGATGGAGAATTTTCTATTTGTTTGAGTATTTGATTTTTAGTCCCGCAAAGTAACTTTGTACCGAATATTCCGCGGTATTCTGCTACATTTGAATTATATCTTATGAATCCATCTATTTCGAGTTAGGCATCTCAGGTAAAATTGGCCATGAAGACCTTAATATAAGTAGAATTAAGACATATACTGTCTTAAGCGTTAGCTCTCATGGGTTGGGCATTGCAGGGAAAGCTGCTTGGCCTTTTCCGTAATTTCACCGATTTCAATAGGGTTGTCCGGCTCGTACATAAACTGTTGAATAATCGACTTCATACCACTAGTTCTCAAGGCTTCAATATCACGAGGTCTGAAGCCCTGATCCAATACCTCCTTTATCATGTTCCGCCAAACATCAGCATAGGACTCCTTCCAATCTTCGATAAAAGCTTCGGCTTGAGCTCTCGTTCTGAATTTCTTGTGACAAGAGCCACTCTGCTTCGAAACTTCTCTCTCGGCACCGTATCTACCGCTAACATGCGCAGATTAGCTATGGTATCCTCCATATTAGATGGTTGCAGTGCCTACCGGTATAAATCATAAATACCAGGGCTTTTCCCATTGGCAACCGCAAAAAATCCATTCCCATCTAAAGGTGCTGTTTTTCCTGCGTCAATCTTCATCACTGTTTTAGCCTGTGCCACACCCCTCCCTTTCATGTAGGCATGGGCTTCTTCGAGGGTTTCAAAGGCTCTATGCGATGAGGTACAGCCTGTCACTCGAGGGTGTGCATCTCCCCTGCCATTTCAGTTAGAACCGATCATACATATAATCTCAGACAGCATGATACCATGACGAAAATATTGTAGGTTCCTCTACGCGCCCTGTAAAAACTGCGTAGTATTCGTTATGCTGTGGCATGGCTTGCTCTACCCCGCGAATGGAAGGATTGCAAAGCGATTAGAAAGGGGGAGGAAAGCACTAGCATCCTTCATGGCAAGTATATATACCACAGTTCTAACCAATTTGGGTCAGGCAGAAACCAGGGAAGAATGGATTGGGCCAGTGCACAATCGCGGGCATCACATTTGAGAGAACATGAGTGGGGGGCATTACCAGAAATTTTCACCCACCGATACTTCCCGAATCCCAACTACTGGCTCCAAGCAAATATCGACTAGTGAGGCTGAGGCCTACCTAGCCAAACAAAATGGTGACTAGATATCTCGCTTGTAGTTGCAGCACACGTCATTAGGTCAATTCTAGTGACTTGTCTCTCAGGTGTGGATGACATGAGCCTGGTGGGCGACGTAAAGAGGAGAATGAGGCTCTGCATGACCTCAGGTCTCGGTGAAGCACCCAATTAGCTTCGAACACGACATCACATATATCGTACACCATGATCACACACAGTATACTGCTGCATGATAGCCTTGTCCTACTTAGAATATTGTATTCACTGTACTGGATGTTGGATTCCTCCGGCATTGAACCAACCAATTGTGCCGAGTTACCCGTACATACAGCTTTCTTGATGTCAAACAGATTAGCCAAAGTAGTCACCAAATGCTTCGGCATCGTTTAGCTTGAAAGGAGGCCGTTGTGAGACAACCAGGTCTGGATCGATAAGAGCCTCGGGAAACTCACCTGGAGCTAGATATATCGGCCCTTGGTTGATCCCTACCTGGAACTCTGAATTTGCGTTGCCGAATGATATAGAGGCCCTAGTCAACACACCATGCATACATTTTGGTTTTTTAACCAAAGAAGGTGAAGGCCTCCCCAGCCCAAAGTACCCTATTTAGTTGTGAGTGAGCTGTCCTTAGCCCCGCCCTCAGGTGACTCTCTATGCGCTAAGTGCCTAAACCCTCCAAAACTTGGAGCCTAGGTGTTGGTAGAGACTTGGTCGGCACAAACCAAAATTATTGAAAGTTCTCCGGCAATGCACAGATGGTGTGATCGAGATCAAATCCATCTGTTTCAGAGACGTCCGCATGTGCGTGTTAGCCAAACGCATCTTCTTGCACAACAGTTGAGCCTTTAGACATGAAGGGGAAGAGCGCTTACGTCAACCCCCCCCCCCCCCCCCCAACACACACACACACACAACTCTTCCCGCCTTTAAGGCTCGGCTGCAAAATACGGTTTCATGACTGGAGGTTCACTTCTGAATCTCATTGAAAGCATGACGGCGAAGACCAAGGGCACAGGGGGTTCTGTTTCCTTAAGTACGATTTTGGTGGCAGGAGAAAGTCGCGGTTCGTCATGTGGTTGTTCGAAATAGCTTCTTCGGGTTCGCTGTTTTGAACCACTGAAAAGTGCTTCATCGATGAAAGTACAGTGAACTGTAAAACAAGAGGGTCCACTCCCGTTCCGCTTTCGCTCTGGTCTTTTGATAGCCTTTCCGTTGTCCAAGTGTGGCTGAGAATAGTTCTGAAACAGTTCAGTCATCAACGCAACACCTTTTGTGCGCACTTATCACCCTGCAAGATATAGGTGACTGACCACTCCAAAGGCTCCAATATCCTCAAGCCTTAAACAACGATGGTACAGCATAACGATAGCGAATCACGTCTCGCTTATAAGCTGGTGGCTCCAAAAGCTAGCCAAAGTTCACGGAGCAATGTATCTGTTCATGGAGACTTAGGATTGCGTTCCAGGAGCTTATGCGTGCCTGGGAGCGCACGGCAGCGTCCCTGTATTCATAGAATAACTCAGGGGCCCGGATGGCCAACATCTCGCCTGCGACCCCGGAAGTCCCCAAAGTCGCGATAGTCACAACCACGACGGCCACCTCTGTGGCCACCGCGGCAGTCACCACGGAAACCACCTCGTCTCCCACGATCAGAAGGGTGAAAGAGGAGCTCCTGGAAATCTCCCCCGCCTCGGCCACGTCCTCCACAACCACCTCGACGGTCCCTAAAGTCTCCGCCACAAGGTCCTAGAACGCGACGGCCATGGCCGCGAGGTTAATCTGACATAACATCAAGCTGATGGAAGCTGGGCGAGGAAGGGGCGAGGACGGGACGAGGAAAAGTCGAGGTGATGTGGTGTAACGTGTGAAAAAGAAGTAGTGAGGCCCGTGAGGAAGCTTGTTCGGCGGCTCCGTTATTGTGGTTTCTATAGCCCATTCAATACTATCCGGAGGAACGAAGCTGCGTGACTTAGGAGAAAACCGTGACTGTCCTACGATGTCCTCCGGAGTAATGCACCGTGCATGGGATGTCTTGAAAGGATGGAAACTTGTGGCCCACCTTGGGATGCACGGGTCCAGGGCAGTTTGTTTTAAGCCTCAGTCCCCCAAGTCGTTGTGTTGTTATTGTTATTCCATAGCGCTAGGTAATAGTAAATTTAGCGCCGAACACGGCAAAACTTATTGCTTTTCCTGTTATAAGGAGTTAAAAAGCTCGCGCGCTCCGTCTCTCCTGTCGTCTTCGGCGTCGTTTCTGAACTATCCTTTTAGCCTTACGGACAGGACAATAGTATGCCCGTAGTAGTGCTACATACTCCCGGCGGTAAGCCCCAAAACAGCGCCAATCTTTCCAGTTGCAAAATCAGCACTCTGAAGGTTCAACGCAACTACTGGTCTATAATTTGACATAAATTAGTCTGTGGTCTATTAATATGCGCGTAGTGATTCTTACCGCCGATTTGAGTAAATAACCCGGTTCGCACTCACAGGTATCGACGCAGAGCTCCGGATCGGGTTGGACACGCTCTGGACCGTCGCAAGTAGGCACAGCGGTGGAACCACATGAATTTTATGCTGAGTTCTATAGGAAGAAGACCGTAAGAAAAGAACTCAAATTCATGATTCAAGGTTGCTTCTTTTTATCACTACTTACGGGCGGGCAGGCCGGGGCTCTGGCATAAACTGCCGAAGTCGCCGCGAGAAGGATCGCAATGAATGTAGACAGGAATTTCATTTTAGCGCCTGTTTGAATTGGTGTGAATGGAATAATGGATGATTTTAACAGATGAAAATTGGAGGGCACGTTATAGTTGTACCGGAGATAATATATCAATTTTGTTTTGTTTTTACAAATGGAATGAATGGAGGCTTATTGCTGTTATGAGGAAAAGTAGCAAGCAGCAGAGTATTAAATAGTAATTATTCGCCGGAGCAAGGCTTACGGTTTTAATTTTTTGATAACTTTCTGGTTGGGGCAAATATATCCTAGCACCATACTCCGTACTTATGGAGCCTTTAGGTAGGTATCTTGTGCTACAGTAGTCGTATATTCATTGACAAGTGTTGCCGATCTATCGATCATACACCCTCTGGCTAGGTGGCGGTCTACAAGTCCCCCGCAAAATACCTAATTAGATAGAGCGGCCACTTCAATATACTTCATTTTATCCCTGAAGGCCATTCGTGGGCCCTGATAAAGCCTACTTTACTGTAGTACAGTACCTAAGTGTACTGAGTGCTACCCCACGCAGTAAGCACCAAAACGGAGCGAAACCCAACTCCAATTGTTTTAGTTGTAATTTGGGCACTCTTCAGGGAGAACGCAACGACCGATCTACAATTTGATTTAAAATTAGTCTGTCTGTTATCCTTTGATATGTGCCCTGTGATTGTTACCGAATTGAGTAAATAGCCCGGTTTGCACTGACAGCCTTCGACACAGACCGCCAGAACAACTTGGTCAGGCGCTGGGTTGTCGCAAGTCGGCACAACGTCGGAGCCACAGAAATTGTATTCTGAGTTCTATGAAAAGAAGAATGTAACCTTAGTAAACGACTTGAATTCATGATTCAAGGTTGCTCGTTTTTCCAATCACCACTTACGAGAGGGCAGTCTTCCTGGGCATAAACGGCCGACGTTGCTGCGAGAAGAATCGCAACAAATTTAGAGAAGTTTTTCATCTTAGCGCTTGTTTGGGTTGGTGTAAGTGATAGATGCTTTTAACAGACGAAAATTGGAGGGCACTTTATAGTTGTACCGGAGATATTTGGGCAATTTTGTTTTGTTTTCACAAATGAAATGCAGGGAGGCTTATTTTTGATGTTATGAGAAACGTGGCAAGTCCAAGAGTATTACATAGATATTCGCCGGAGCACCTGACTCAAGGCTTTGACATTTTGATACTTGACCTTAGGCGAATATATCCGGTAGCACATTATACTTGTGGAACTTTGTCTTGGGCTAGTCGTATGTATATTGACAATAGTGTTGCAGATCTAACGATCATAGGTATACACAAGATTGCTTTTTCCACCTTGGGAAGCCTTGGTCGTGTTGCGACCACCTCGACTACCCTTCCCCGCTCTATCCACCGACAAGGTCACTTTGAACTCTCAAGAGATTTTATCATTTTCGGCCTGTTACCTATATCGCCTTAACTGTTGTACCTTTCTTTGTACTTGTCTTGTGTTCGGACTTACTATGTGGAAGGATGGATAGAAAGATACCTCCATCTCGATCCATTTCATGGAAGAATGTTTTATTATGTATGATATGTACAACCCCACAGCTAAGGATGCATGGCCAAGTTAAACTATACCGCTTAATGGATGACTATTACCCGAACAAATTTTAAACCATAGAATGCCGCTAAACGCCCAAGATAGCTCGTAATGTCAAGAATAGGCACAGAACCGTGCCATAAGTATAAATCCAGGGCTGTCAAATCAACGAGACCCCTCGTTTACCCTGGCAAGAGCCATGGCCAATCTCTTATAATCTTCGAGCAAAACAGTCACGTCTCCAAGACGTAGATCCCGCGCATCCTGTACATCCAGGAACCGTTGAATCGGAGGGTCAATCCTCACAGAAGACACGGCCGATGGAGTCGCGGTGCTATCCGTCGAGGCGGGTGATATCTTCAAGCGGTCCATTGCTGCAGGAGAAATTGCACGAGGACCAGGGGTCTCTGGCGCATTGCGGCCGAAGTTTTTGATCATGCCCGGAATATGGTTGAGGGGGTTAAGCGTGTTGCCAAAGTTTCGCATGGATTCGAGAGGATTGGGACTTGTGGTAGCGGCTGGCGATGGGACGGATTCTTCGCGTGATCCGGCGATGGACTTTTTGCTGCTTGCTTGGGTTCTGGCACTGTCTGTGCTGCGGTCTCGAGGTGTTCTACCTCCGCTGGTAAGGCCTGTGTTCCCTGATATATTGCGTGAAGCATCTTCTTTGGAGAGAGCATTGAGGGAATCGATTTCGTCGGGTGTGAGGTTCTGTTTATTGGCTGGGGGGTTGGCGACTAGTCGGCGAGCTTCGGCTAGGGTCTTTGGGAGGACGGACTCGGTTCCGTCTGCATTGGGTACTGAAGTAGTTTGCAGTTCCTTGAGACGGCCGAAAAGGAAGTTGAAGCTATTGTCCAGAGTTGCTCCAATATTCTTCAGGCCTTGATCTGCGGTGCTGCGGACAGCATCGTTCGCAGCTTCGAGGACCTTGGCTGGGGGTTGGAAGAGATTGCTTAAGCGTCGCTGCTGTGGTGTTGGGGACGGACGAGGGCGAGGCAAAGTAGAAGAGGCCGGCTCTTTGGATTCAGGCTTCGCAATTTCAGGGAATGCAGATACCGCCGTAACTGACGAGGTTGTGGTTTCTGGTTTCGGTCTGAGTGGATCGACTCGTTCTGATGATGGGGTTGGGGCTTCGCTGGGAGTTTTGACAGGGCCCTCTTGCAATTCATCTGCACGTAGGCTAGACAATTCGACGTTTTCCAGGAAGCTGATGGCGGCTTCCAGGTTGGTCAAGCAGTATGCAGTCTCTCCATCAATCTTGTTGGAAGATCTGAATCGTTGCATAAACAGTAAATTGCTGACGATATTGATTCCCTCGGGTGGACAGGTGATAAGACTGTAGATCAGTGTCGGGAGAATCTCATCCGCAGACGAAGAGGATGGAAGAAGTTTTGTAAGAGCATCGACGATAGCCTTGTGGGCAGCGGCTAGATGCTGAAGTTTCCCAAGCGGATACTTCTGGTCGTTCATCTTGGCCAGATACTCCCGAGCTTGAGCCAGGCAGTCGTTGGCCTCTTGTTGTTTCTCGTCCGCAATCGTAGACACATCTATATCAATGCCCAAGTCCTTCAAATCGATGCCCACGAGCAGCAAAGCCGCCGTCTTGGAGCGCAGTTTTTCATCTCGGACATCATCCAAAGTGCTCCTGTGCCTCCAAATTTTGTCGTAAACCATTTCACATACTCGCCGTTCTGCAGCCTCTTCCAATGCTGCCCGTTTATATTCAAGAGCTTTGCGAGCTTTCCGTCTCTCCGCGACTTCCTCCGCAGTCAGCATTTGCCGACCACCACTCCCTTGTCTGAAATCATCCTGGGAACGCTTGCTGGCTAGTACTGAAAGTGCACTCCCTCTCGATTTGATCTGCGGTTGTGGTGGTGGACCACGGTTGATGCGGGATGCGAGTGCCGATATATGGGTAGCAATATGAGACTCGGCACGACTATAGAAGACTTGGAACATGGAGGATATTTTATCGATCGTGGGAGGGGAGTTGTGCACTTTGGCACTCAAAGAGTTGATGAATCTAGAAGATGCTGTTAGTAAGTAAAATGCACATAACACTGGCACGTCGTCGACCTACCGATCCGTCAAGCTGATGAGCTCAATAGGAAGCTCTTCTGAAGGATCCTGCACACTTCGTGAGAGTACGAAACCCTCATCACCCTGGGCATCTCCCCGATTCCCCGAATCCGCAGAGCCTCGTCTTTCAAACAAATCTGGACCAGCTTCCTGTTTCTCGCTATCGGGCGTCAATAACGATACGGCCTCGTTGCTGGCCTGTGCCTGATCGGCCGCCGGCTTGTCCGACATAGAAGGCTGGGCGTCCGAACTTCCCATCCTGGTGAATGAGCGGACTGAACGTAAGTGAGGTTGAGCAAGGCTGTCGTCGGCAGCGGGGCCGGACATCTTTGGTCTAGGGGCGACTTGGCCCTACAGGGCACTGACTCCGCCAGGTCTAGCTGATAGGCTCAGGCAGATCAATGTCCGAGCTCCCCCAATTTCGTTATCCAATCACATCAATCTCGAACATGGATATAGTATGACCAGGAGAGCAACGATCAAGATGATTAGGCGTTAATCGTAGACAAAAACGCATTGGGATGCTTGTCAAGAACTTCCGGCGAAACCGCGTCACAACGATGGCGCGTTAGGGGCTTATCACGTGCGGCTCAACTCCGCACGTCACCCGATAAGGCGTCGATAAGGATTACCTCAGAAAGCTGGATCTGTCATTGATCAACCTTTTGCATTGCTCATCTACGATGGTCGGTGTCAATGATAATGTTAGCGTGGTACTTTCACCCCTTCTTCATGACTAATACCCTCTCCAACCGCCTTCCGAATAGGGATTAGGGCAATACCATATGTTTCAAACCCTTCCACCTAGCCACCTAGCCACCTACCTTCCTACCTACCTACCTACCTACCTACCTACCTACCATGGAGACTAATCACGAAAGATCCGATCATACCCCCCCAGGCCCCCCAGGCCCCTCATACCCCTAGCCATAAAGCTAGTCGTGATCAGCGCATCGCAGCGCGTACACTGCGCGCTCAGGGGCTTACCTATAGCCAAATTGCATCAAAACTGGGCATTACCCAGCGTCAGGTCCAAAAGGCTTGCACTGATGAGAGGCCTACACCACGTAAGGCCCCTGGCCGAGGTCGAAAGCTATCAGAAGAACAGCTTGATGAGATAATCGAGTTTATCTCATCTTCGAAAGAGACACGACGGATGCCGTACTCTAGGGTTATAGAAGAACTACAACTCCCTATTAGTTCTGTCACCTTACGAAGGGCCTTAGCTAGACGTGGATATCATCGATGTAAGGCCCTTCGAAAGCCTCCGTTGTCCGACCGTACACGAGCACTGCGTCTAATCTGGGCGCTAGAGCACGTTAATTGGACGCGTGAGCAGTGGGAAAAGATATTATGGACTGATGAGACCTGGGTTACATCGGTCTATCATCGACGGATCTATGTTACGCGTCGGGCTGGTGAGGAATTTGATGATACTTGTGTACGAGAGCGAATTTCTCGTGCACCTGGCTGGATGTTTTGGGGCTCATTCTATAATAATAAGAAAGGCCCTTGTCTATTTTGGGAGAAGGAATGGGGCACTATTACTGCTGCTCGATATACAGAGCGAATTGTGCCTCTTATCGACGGTATGGTTTCGCTGGCTCGCAATCATTTAGATCAACATCTAATTGTAATGCAAGACGGCGCACCATCTCATCGAAATCTCTTAACTATTGAGGAGCTTCACGATCGTGGGATATACCCTATCGACTGGCCACCGTATTCGCCAGATCTTAATCCAATTGAGAAGGTTTGGGATTGGATAAAAGATTGGATCGGTGATCGATATTTGAAAGACTATGATCGTAAGCTATCTTATGATCAGCTACGCGAGGCTGTGCGAGCTGCTTGGGATGCGATTCCTACAAGCTTTTTAGACCAGCAGATTGATCTGATGCAGAAGCGCTGCCAGGCTGTTATCGACGCGCAGGGGGGTCATACACCTTACTAGGCGGTAATATATTGTATTATAGTGGTTTAATTACGTGAAGTCGTAATAAAAGGGTGGCAGAATATTAGTCATGAAGTAGGGGTGGAAGTACCACGCTAACATTATCATTGACACCGACCATCGTACATGATCTTGAACAACATCTACACTCGGAAACAATCAGATCATAAGTCATTGTTATTTGTATACATGCTGACAATATTGGTATACAGTAATCGCTCCAAGAGCAAGCATCATCTACAGACGAGCAGATGGGGCAACATTGGCCTCGGTGGCGGCCTCAATACGGGCACCAAGGTCCTTGTTGACACGTCGGAACATGCCATAAGTCGCCTTGCGAACTCGCTCATGAGCCCCGCACAGATGGCCAGAGATGTTCTTCACAAAATTCTCCTGCTGACCCGGCTGGCGACCAAGCACCTCCCAAAGACCATTGGCCTGCACAAAGTCCTCATCGGTGACAGGGATCTGCTCCGCAACGGCGGCACCAGTCCACTTCTCATGCTCCTGGCTAGCCTTGACAGGCTTGTACGCCAGGGGTCGGAAGGTAGAAGGGTAGTTGGGGTTGGCGCCGTAGTTACCGTTCACATTCATGGCGCCATCACGGTGCCACGGGCTGAATGAACGCAGCGGGCAGTTGACGGGGATCTGCTCGTAGTTGCCGCCGAGACGGTGGCGGTGGGTATCAGGGTAGGAGAACAGACGGGATTGCAGGACGGGATCAGCTGAGGGCTCGACACCCGGGACCATGTGGGAGGGTGAGAAAGCTGCTTGCTCGATCTCGGCGAAGTAGTTCTCCGGGTTCTTGTTCAGTGTGAAGCGACCGAAGCGTCGCAGGGGTACTTCGCTCTGTGGCCACACCTTGGTCAGGTCGAAGACGTTCCATCGGAACTTTTCGGCCTGCTCTGGGGAAAGGACTTGCACGTAGCAGGTCCAGGAGGGGTTCTCGCCACGCTTGATAGCCTCGAACAGGTCCTGTGTGTGCCAGTCCGGGTTCTCGGCGGACAGCTTGGTGGCCTCTTCATTGGTGAAGGTCTTGTTGCCCTGGTCGGTCTTGCAGTGGATCTGCACATAGTTGAAGGTCCCGTCGGCCTTGATCCACTTATAGGTGTGTCCAGAGTAGCCGTTCATGTGGCGGTAGGAGTATGGTGTCCCACGGTCGCTGAACAGGTGCATCACCTGGTGGACGGCCTCCTGGTGAGTGGAGAGGTAATCCCAAAACATGGTAGCATCCTTCAGATTGGTTTGCGGGTTGCGCTTCTGAGTGTGGATGAAGACGGGGAACTTGGCTGGGTCACGCAGGAAGAAGACGGGGGTATTGTTAAACACCCAGTCCCAGTTCCCCTCTTCGGTGTAGAACTTCATGGCGAAGCCGCGAGGATCGCGGGCACTGTCTGGCGAGCCCTTCTCGCCACCGACGGTCGAGAAGCGGGTCAACATCTTGGTCTTCTTGCCAACGCCCTTGAGCATGTCGATGATGGTCTGCGAGAAGCTATGTTAACTGACTTTTTTCTACTGTACCCAGCAGGTTGATACTGACAATATCGCTGATATCGTCGGTAACCTCAAACTCGCCGTAGGCGCCAGCGCCCTTGGCATGAACCACCCGCTCTGGGATGCGTTCGCGGTCAAAATGCGCCAACAGGTCGATCAGATGGAAATCCTGCAGCAGCAGAGGGCCGTTGGAGCCCACACGCTGGGCGGCCTGGGGGTCCATGACCTATACGATGAAGTATTCGCATTAGATTCGGGGATTGGAAAGAGAAGAAGCGAGGAACGGTACCGGGCAGCCATTGGAGGCTGTGTAGACCGGAGTCTCGTTATAGCGATAGGTCTCTATAGAGAAAGTCTTTAGTGACAAGTCTGTTTGAGGGCTGGTTGGAGCATTGACGTACTAGGCTGGTCGTCGTTACCCATGGCGGCGGAGGACTATGACGATAGGTAGAGATGGCTGTTGGAACGAGGAGAAATTGCGGGGGTTGTAGGGATTCGTTATATAGCCACTGCGAAGCAATGGCCGCGGTGGGGTGTTTCATGAGGGAAAAAACCACCCATGAAGGCATGAGACCCACACGATGGGATTTGAGATGGAGTCATGTTTAAGCCATTGGCTATGCAACGACCCGGTATTTTCCTTTTCAGTTTCTACAGAGGGTAACTATGCTAGCTGACAAGATCAAATCTTACGTTCCATCCTAATTTCCTGTTGTATACTTTGCAGCTAAACCACATCTTCTTAGACTAGGACAGCTCCACACCCAATCAGGACCGACTCGATGTCAGCGCACTGAACTTCCGTGGAGCTCTCCGAAGAACTTTCTCAAAGCCATACCGGGGTAAGTCTCCAGTATTAATCAGTCGACGCAATCTGGACCGCAGGATTAAAAAGTATCAAACACCGTCCCAAATCCCGGAACTTTGAGGCTTTCGGGGACTCGTTGACTTGTTTCGGGTAGGAGAAACGGTTAAGCTATACCAATGCAGAAGGTCTATCCGAGGAATCAAGATTGGCTGGCCAGAGCCATAACAGTCGTGATTTAATATTTCCTTGGGAACCTGAACCCTTTGAAGTCTTGAAATTGATAATGAAGACCTGAAAAGATTCTTTGATTCACTGCGACGTCTAATAGTATGCGTATCTATTGTCTATCGCACCAAAATGCCTGGACCCCACTACAGCTTCGCGCCGCCTGCGGAAAGCTCCGGCCTCCGGAAGGCTGTGCGGGATCCCGCCGATCGGAATTGGCCTGTAACCTGCAGTTTTCCGAGTCGGCATCTTGTTCAGATTCGATTAGTGGTTCGAGATGTCAATAAGGTCTTGAGATATGTTCGATCTGCCCAGTTATCGGATTCAATTGTCATCGGTAGCCTCTTAGGTGACTAAGTGGCCGTCCTCGAATTTCACTTGGGCTCTGCGGGGAATACTGTTATGACAGGATGAAACTACTCAACTCATGAGACTTTGAAAACAGATCAGACCAATCAAAACAGTCAAATTGAATAAAAAATTAGTATCTATATCAATTGACAAATACCCACGAGTATCTAAGTGTGATACATTGATACACTCTCGTCACAGCGCAACGTAAACCTAGTGGCCATTACCCTCAACAATGACCACAACCTTAATCTACTTTATCTTTCTCCCACTCATCCTCAATCCTCCTAGGCCACTCACGACCAAAGCCCTGATTGACCGATTGCCCAAGGCCCTTGGTCGCACTCCCAAGGCCTTGAGCAGCGCCAGTTGCCGTCTGGCCTACCCCTTCAGCCGCGCCACCAATGGTGGCACCAAGGCCACTCACGACGTTACCAACTGTACGGGTAGACCCTTGAAATGTTTTGCCTACGGTCTCGGTGAGACCGCCTTTGACGGTGTCTAGATGTATTTGGCGAATTAGCTTGGAGAGCTTAATGGGCGGAGTAACGCGGAAATATGTAGAAAGTGGTTAATCGCAAAAGTAATTGGAGGGACCGGCTCTTAGGAAAATCACTTGGGGACCATAGGCCTTGAAGATGCAAGAAGGTATTTTCTCCGTACTTACGATTGTCATTTTGATCCGCACTGGAAGACATGCCTGATGGAGTTGATGATGGCCGTGGGGAAGTGGGGAAGGAGAACGGCGTTTCTTCAAGGTTGATTAAGATTGAACTGAAATCCACACAAGTATAAGAATTTTCCTTTGAACAATGATCATAACCATGCTCTCCGCTCGCATATGATATCATTTTGCCTCTTGGCCACCACCGCAGGCTCGAGACAACATTCTGTGATAATTTGCCTCTCACTTTTCCTGACATAATTGAAATCGACCAGTACCTTGTAAGCTCTTTACATAGCTGATTTTTTGTCTAGAAAGATAATAAAAGGTCATGAATCATAGTGTAACTCTAGTCTATAAACATTGCAAAGCCACAGGTTAATGCAGAACGGATCATCATTTCGACACTCCAAACTCCTTGAGGGTACCTGTCGGACCCGTACGTATCCATTCATCCATCTCCTCTTTCGTAGCAACAGCGATATACCCCAACATTCCCAGGGCATTAGCAGCCACAGCTTTATTAATCGCAGCCCGTCGCCTGGGCACAACGATCATCCACCGCTGGGTCATAATCATATTATGCGGACACGCGGCGCCAGGCAGAGAAGCATGGGCGTTTTCAGACAACCCTCCGCCGACCTCGGTAGCTTGGCTAAGAAGCTTATTGTAAACATCCGTTAGGTGTTGCAATGACACATCGCCAGTGTCAAACCGATGATAGAACCATTGGAATGGAACCTCAGGCTCGGATATCTCTCCATCAGAATCGAGGAAAGACGCGAAAGTTGCTCCAGGCATCGGGATCAATTGCATATGCTTGTGCAGTCGACTGCAACCCCCATCTTGACCGCAATTAAAAAAGGCAAGATAGTCGGTGCTCATGGTGGAGAGAATAGACCAGATCGCTTGGAGATCAGTGTCGTTCAAAGATTCGTATTGTCGTCGGTAGCCGTCAGAGGTCAGGAGAAGAAAATGTGGTTTTGCCCAGCAGAACTTGTTCGCTATGAGGAGGTGGGCGTTGCCGATTTCTCCAATCTCAAAACCTGTGGTACTGATATCGCTGCCATCACGTCGCTCATCGTTGGTTGAATGGGGCGTTTGTAAGTTTGGCTTTTTGGCCAGAGCAGAAGTCAGACAGAATTGGAACTGTAGTGACAGAGTTAGAATATCGTAATTGTAGAATAGGGAGGGTCATCGGATGCGTACTTGAAGTCCTCCATCGTTGTGCTCGATTATCTGTTGATTCTCGTCATAGAGAGCAAGGCCGGACTGTTGAAGCCTGTTGAACTTGGATAGTATGAACGATTCTTCCATAGCTGAACGGGGGCAAGATCAACCCCGTCCCATCGGTTGGCTTGATAGTTTCAGAGGTCAATTGTGCCGGAACGTGGATCGATTTTCGAGTTGGCAGAGAGTATGCCAAGCGGTGAGGAATGCCTGTTCAGGAACTCAGGAACCAGGTTGGTTAGGAATTCCCGAGTGGGGGCCTCCTGCCCGGATTGCTCAAAACCTTAAGTAAGCACGTGCCATTCATCGATCGTGGACTTATATTAGTTCTCATGGCAGGTCTAATAGGTAGCATGTCATAACTTATTCTTAAAGATGACGAAGAGAGAGAAAGTGAAACATAGTCAGAAAATTAAAGATGTTGTTGAGGAAGCGCGAGTAATTCGGCGGTCCTGTTAACTGAATAACCTTGGACTAACAAGTCATCTTGATAAATAGCCCTTCCATCATCCATGCAATTATTACGGGCGGCACTGCCGTAACTTTAAATCACTCTAGATTCATGGCTAAGCATTAGTTGAGACAGTTTGTCTATCGCGACCTTGGTGAGAATACAAGTTAGAAAATGAAACCATGTTCTGAACCATGCTAGACCTGAAAAAGAATGTCCGGGGTTGGCCCAGTAAACTTTGTAACAGAATTCTGGATTTGAACACACTTAAGCCACGATGACTCCTCGTGAATCATACTGGCTCCGCCACAACCTTTTTAGCGGCTTCATCTTGGTGATAACGGGAACCAGATTTGGTCTAGTGCGCAAAAGGAAGTTACATTGGGGACACTTTGCTCACTCACTCTATGTAATCCGGGTCTACTATAATTAATGCATCATGGTTTTCTTGATTCTTCTCTGATAGCTAAGTCTAAAACCAAAACACAGAACTAGTCCATGATGACGTTGATCGAGACATCTACACTCCATTCTGAACGGGTATTCCCAACCACGAAGCCAATCGAGCATGCGGTGCCACTCTCCCTCTTGGATGCTACTACAGCAGACTTTGCTTGTACATGTCCGATCTGGCTTTTCGAGCGACCCGACAAAGCTGATGACGAATTCGATTTGGCAGAGCATTTTCGCCGGTCTCTGCGCATCACACTTGACGCCTATCCTCACTGGGCTGGGCAACTAAAGAGTATATCTACTTTGGATCCGACCGAGTTGAAACCGGAAGAGCTTCGCTTTCCTATTCATGCACGTCGCTTTGGTCGAATTTACTCGCATTATGGTACATCGGAAGATCCTGGAATCGAGTTCGTGACTGCGACATCCAACGATACTCTCGAAACGCTGTCTCCAGCATCACGGACGACAGAATACCCTATATTTGACCGTGGAAAGACATCACTTAACGGACTTGTTCCTTCTCTACGTCTAGCCAACTCTCTGGGGCCTAATGTCGTCAACGAAGCCGGCATCTTACCACCCATCATGGCGATCCAGCTGACGACACTGGCTTGTGGTGGCTTTGCGTTGGCAACTAAGAATCTGCATCCTTTGGCTGATATCCAGTCCGTCATTTACTTTGTCAAAGATTGGACAAAAATCAGTCAATGGGTCCTTTCAGGGTCGTCGTTTCCCAAGCCGCAGTTGAATCCACTATTTGACCCGGCACGCCTGGACTCAATGGCCGCGGGGGACATCAATCATACACATCCCGATCCAGCCACTATTGCCAAAGCTCTGAATCTGCCTATGCACCGGTATGACTGGTGGTCCACGCCAGCTCTATGTCCCTGGCCTCAGGAAATTCCCGAGCCATTCCGAAACCAGGAGCACACGCCGGTCGGTCCGGACATGCCCTGGTCAGAATGGGACTTCAAGGCCCCTGTTTCCCATTATCTGGTTCATCTGAATCGTAGCCAGGTGGACCAGATCTATGAAGCTACTATCAAAAGAACCTGTAACGACTCTAGCGACAGTCGAATCAGTCGTCACGATGCCGTCCTAGCTCATATTTGGTCCTGTATCACTCGAGCCCGTCAACTAGGAGAAGATACCGGCCTGGTCCATTGCGACCTCGCCTACGGAACACGCCCCGTCCTTGGCCTTGGAGAAAACTTCATTGGCTCACCATCCTTGATGATGAATATCGAGATGACGGGCGTGGAAATGACTTCTCCTAATATCCCAGAGCAGCAGCGGAGGCTCTCGATCGCGCGACGCATTCGCGATACTGTCAACCGAATCGGTGACAAGGCCGCTCTTGGTGCGCATTTGCATAGTTTGGCGTATGAGAAGACGCCGCAACGAATTTGGCAGGGTTTTCTCGGTCGGCGCCATCTTATTGTGACTACGTGGGCTCGTGCGGGTTTGTATGAGATTGATTTTGGGTTGAGCTCGTATCCTGGTATTCGGTATGCCGAGGGTGTGTTGCCGACGCTGGATGGGGATGTGTTGATTAAGGATGCACCGCCATCAGGAGATCAAGATGGATCGTCGGATGCGAAGAGCTGGATTGATTATGGGGTGGATGTATCGCTTCATCTTCGGACGGAGGATATGGAGCGGCTGATTCGGGATCCGTTGTTTCTTCCATGAGACCAGAGTTGTTGAAATATGTCAAATGGAGGATAGAATAGGATAGAGCATTCAGCAGTGGGATACGACGACCATGATAATGATAGATAGAGATTAATCTTTGTGGATTCATGTAACCAAGGCATCGAACCTTCCATAAAGTTAAAATGGTCGGGATGGCAGATGGATGCAACTCTAGAAAGAGCCGAAAGTCGATCTCGGACCAAATCCGGTGCGGTTCACCCGTGCGCCACATTCCGGATGCAAGGCGACGTCGGAGAATAAACTTGACAGGTACATGGTTGAGTATAGGAGTGTTATAGAAAGAAGAAGGCATCTAATTTTAGTTATTTCATTGAAGTAATTGAATTCTTATTCTATACAGGCATAAAAGAAGTAAAAAACCATTCTACTCCGGGGGCGATGATCACGGCATTTACCCCGGGCCCCTCGCCAAGCATCAGCCCGCGAAAATTTGCAGTCCGAGGCATCGAGCCCACGTTCCCCGCAAAGTCCAGCGCTGCTCGCTCCTCATTTTGTCTAGTCTCTTCGAAAATCCTGTCCTTTTTTCACCAATCCCACCACGTTACACTTGGCTCGTTGCCCCAGAGAAGGTGTCACACCCCCTGAAGTGCGATCGTGTGCGATGTTCCCCCAGGTGTGGGTACTTGATATTTTTTCCTCTTAAACCTCCGCACGTCTCCGAGCCTTGAAATCTTGAACGTCTTCCTTCCACCCAGTTCCAAACCGACGGCACTCCCCCCCACCCTCCCCTTTTCTTTGTCGAGCCTCCGATCTTGTCTTACACCAAGGACCATCCACGCGACGCTAGCATGGCGGAATCCAAGGTGCAAGACACCATTGCGCCGGCGGAGGTGGCCCCGCGATACCCCTCAGATGGCCAGGAGGGCCATGAGGGCTGGACCTCTGATTCCTCGATGAAGACGATTATTCAGAATGCAAAGGCGGCGACGGAAAAGGAGCAGAGTATGAGTTTGCTGCAGGGGATTAAGCTGTATCCGAAGGCGGTTATGTGGAGTGTGATTATCTCGACTTGCATTGCGATGGAGGGATACGATATCAGTTTGGTGAACAATTTCTATGCTTTTGATCAGTTCAATCGCAAGTATGGTGAACAGTTGCCGGATGGTAAATATCAAGTACCGGCTAGGGTAAGTTTATGAGTGCCTGCCTTTTGAAATGCCTCGGAGAGTTACTGACAGATCATGGTTTAGTGGCAATCGGGTTTGAGTAACGGTGCCTACGTCGGCGAGATTATTGGTCTATTTATCAACGGTTGGGCCTCGGAGCGTTTTGGATACCGGTATACGATTATGGCCTGTCTTGTTCTGGTCAGCGCATGGACGGCGATCTTCTTCACAGCCAAGAATGTCCAGTCTCTCCTCGCGGCGGAGATTCTGTGTGGTGTTCCCTGGGGTGTATTCCAGACCTTGACGATTACTTACGCCTCCGAGGTGTGCCCCGTCGCACTTCGTGGATACTTGACCACCTATGTCAACTTCTGCTGGGGTCTTGGCCAGCTCATTGGAATTGGTGTGATCAAGGGAATGCTCAATCGGGATGACCAATGGGCCTACCGAATTCCATATGGTTTGCAGTGGATGTGGCCTCTACCTCTGTTCATTGGCATTTTCCTTGCCCCCGAGTCCCCTTGGTGGCTGGTCCGACGAGGCCGCACTAAGGATGCCAAGCAGGCTCTGGAGCGATTGACCAGCAAGGACCGCGATACGGACTTTGATGCCGACGAGACAATCTCTATGATGGTGCATACCACGGCCCTGGAGGCTAAGATCACCAAGGGTGCCAGCTATCTTGATTGCTTCAAGGGGACTGATTTGCGCCGAACGGAGATTGTCTGCATGGTCTGGGCCATTCAGAACCTGAGTGGAAACTCGTTCTCAAACTATTCCACCTACTTCCTGGAACAGGCCGGTCTTGACTCGTCTAACGCCTATAATTTCGCTATGGGTCAGTACGGCATCAACATGGTCGGTGTCTTTGGAGCGTGGTTCCTGATGACCCTGGGAATCGGTCGTCGCACTCTGTGTCTATACGGTCTATGTGGACTGTGCGCTATGCTTCTGGTCATGGGATTCCTCGGCCTCGTGCCAGACTCTCACCGCGATCAAGCGTCTATGGCCACCGGCGCGCTCATGCTTGTCTGGGCCCTCTTCTACCAGCTCACTGTCGGTACTGTCTGCTACTCACTAGTAGCCGAGCTCTCCACCCGACGATTGCAAATCAAGACGGTCGTTCTCGGCCGCTGCTTGTATAACGTTGTCGGCATTATCTGCGGTGTCCTCACCCCCTATATGCTGAACCCCGGCGAGTGGGACTGGGGCAACTACGCCGGTTTCTTCTGGGGCGGCATCTGCTTCTTATGTATTATTTACACTTACTTCCGTGTCCCGGAGCCCCGTGGTCGCTCTTTCGCTGAGTTGGATATGCTCTTTGAGCGTGGTGTGAGCGCTCGCAACTTTGCCACCACCGAGGTCAACGTGTTTGATGAGTCTATTGAAGGCCGCGTCGTTGATGATTACCGGGCGCAGAAGAATGCTACGAATGACCCCAGCCAGGTCGAGAAAGACGCTGGCATTGCATGAATGATGTTGATGCCATGTAATAATTTCTCATGTCTATGATGACCCCTCCACCGTGTGTCCAGCCGGGCAGTCTAGCTGTCTATGCGGTCTGTTCTTGTTGTTTGCATTTGCATGTCAGGATGTATATAATCATAACTCTGTATCTACACTTAATAAACACTAATCAAAATTTCGAGACCCTTTGAATTGAATTATATTCCGTTAATAATGAAATCCAGCCACATTTCTCCCCTCCCCCCACTATGACTACTATGACATTGTCTGGCGGCGTGCCTGTAAGTGCGGTAGCCCCTACGATCCACGGTTGACAGCCGTTAGTGTGAGTGTCCACCAGCTAAGCCGCTGTCAGTGCGAAGCTGGCCCTTTCCAGGTTTTCCCTCTTATCTCGCTGTCTGGGGCAAGACCCTTGTCAGGAGACAGCAGACAAAAATCATCCAAGAGACCTTCTCCCCCTTACCGACTCGTATCTGTCCTTTCACCTTTTCATCCTTCTGCGACGCGGGGTAGTGGGGTTCCGCTTTAACCTGCAGCTCGTGATGGACGTCACATTCATCACAATCCACGGCAAGTCGTACCCGGGACCTCCTCCCCTGCTGCTGCCGCTGTCGTTGGCTATAGCAGATAGCAGAGTGGGCGAGGGTCAGAGTGAGACATATTTGTCGTTCCGAAGCTAATACCCCTGCTCGTGCAGATTTGTCTCGTGACGCCTCGATTCTGTACGCCTCCGACAGCATTCAGGTAGTACTCGGGTTCCAACCACTGGAGGTACTCAATCGCTCGGCTTGGGATTACTTCCACCCGCAGGAGTTACAATTCGCCCGCAGTGTCCATGGGCGCGGCGTTAGGCTCGACAAGGCGGCCGTCCTCAACTACTGCTCCATTCGCCACAAGAATGGATCGTGGGTTGGGTGTGAATGTGTCTTCACGGTGGTTTACGACGTCTTGATCGCAAGTACCACAGTCTACGGTCGGGGGAGAGGGAGTCAAAGTAAGCTTTTAGAGCAAACCAGCTGTGAAATACCTATGCAGATGCTGATATTTTTGGTTTCTAGAGCGTGCTATCGACGCCCCAATTGTTCGCCAGCTCTTCGACTCCTCTCCCAATGACCCTCGCTACCACATGCTTACATGGATATCGGACAAATTCTCGCGACGCCTTGTAGAGCCGCTTCATGAACCACGCGCGGCCCTTTTCGTCAATCGCTTTACTAGAACGGCGACTATCATGTACGCCACTAGTGGCGTGACAGAGATTCTCGGACTGAGCCCGCACCAGCTCATCTCCAAAAGCTTCTTCTACTGTATACAAGAAAGATGCTTACGGGATGCGGTACGGTGTCTTGAAAGTGCCAAGGCAAACGATTCGATCGCATATCTGCGGTTCTGGTTCCGCAACCCATTGCTGGACGACGACGTAGATACGGACATGAGTGGATACAGCAGTCCGGCTTTCGGTATCGCGACGGATCCATTTGCCAGGGCGCCGCCTCCTATTGAGCTGGAAGCGGTTGTCTCGTGTACTTCAGATGGATTGGTTGTCATTCTTCGTCGTGCTCGAGCTCCCATCCCCAGCGCCACCCTTCCACCTCAACCGGTCCCTGTCTATTCCAACGGCATCTTCGCGGCGCCGTGGGCTTTAGAGCCTGTATATGCCTATGGAACGGCAACTTATCCCCACGATAACATTCAAAACCCGGCATATCCAGAGGCAAAGGATAGTCTCTGTAGAGAGAACGAGGTTCCTTCACTAGGCCAAACAACTACGCCAGCATCGAGTTTACAGGGCTCATCGAACCAATCTTACCCGGCTACGGCGAAAGACGCTGCGGCTGGTGGTCCGCAGAACAATCTCCTTATGGACACGATTCGCGATGTGGCCGTCTTTGCGTGGGGTATCATCGGTATCAATCGGTCTTTGGAGCAGCATAAATATGGATCGCCGTCGGGCAATGCGCATCCCGATGCGATGGTTGATGATAGTTGGGACAATGATGCCGCGGCTGGCCGTGGCTAGAAGTACATACTCAATGTATATTTGACGTGATATAAATGACGACAGATTCTACAACTCAGGACTCATCATTGCTTTACTTTAAGGGGTATGTTTGACATGTTCTCCTGCCAGGCCCCTCGAGTTCTTTACTCGTGGGACCACTCGGGCTTCTTCTTTTCAGCAAAGGCAGTCATACCTGTAGACGTGTTAGTTTTCCACCAACAATCCAGAAACTACATGTCGGATACAAGACTCACCAATCTTCTGGTCCTTACTACCAAACAAACTGTGGAACAATCTCCGCTCATACTCCACCCCCTCCCTCAACGACAACTCCTGACTCTTATTCACAACCTCCTTACCCGCAACAACAGCCACACGACTATATCCCGCAATAGTCTCCGCAGTCTTAAGCGCAACCTCAAGCAACTCCTCCTTCCCACCATCCACCACCTGCGCCGCAAGACCCCACTCCCCAGCCTCCTTACCGCTGAAGTTCTTACCCGTCAGAATAAGCTCCATAGCCTTGCTCTTGCCAATGGCACGGGTGAGACGCTGCGAGCCGCCCGCGCCGGGGATCGTGCCGAGCTTGATCTCCGGCTGGCCGAAGGTCGCGTTGGCGGTGCAGTAGAGGATGTCGCACATCATTGCTAGCTCGCAGCCGCCGCCGAGGGCGTAGCCGGATACGGCGGCGATGACGGGCTTGCGGATTGTGTTGGCTAGGTGAGACCAGGGTGCGATGAAGTTGTCTGTGTAGGCGGCGGCGAAGGTTAGGGGGGCCATTTCTTTGATGTCGGCGCCGGCTAGGAGGTGAATTAGCTTTGTTTTGAGGTGTGGGATTTGGAACGGAGATTAGGGTTGACGTACCAGCGAAGGCCTTCTCGCTTCCGGTGATGATGATCGCGCCGATGTCCTTGTCATTGTCGTACTTGCTTAGTGCGTCGTTGAGCTCGGTAAAGAGTGGGCTGCAGAGGGCGTTGAGGGCCTTGGGTCGGTTGAGGGTGACTGTCCATAATGAGTTGGTTTGTCCTGGTAGCGAGGAGTTCAATGGTACTGGTACTTACTCAGGCCGACTCCTGGCTTGGGGGTTGATGTGAGGATGTGTTCATAGCTCGGGCCGGATGAATACTGCCTCACACGGGCCAAGTAGGAGCTCAAGGGGACAGCAGTCCGCGAGGTGGCCAGACGAGCGCAACGACGGGCAAACATGGCGATTGATCCGAATAATGAAAGTAATGAGTTAGTGTAGTCTCAAAAATCGGCAGGAGGCTGTTGAGCGTTGATACCGGATCACAGGGAGAAACTATGATGTATGATTCTCGTCCCCGCAAGCCGACAGAGCGCCGAAGTTAACCGTCCCTCGGTCAAATGTGACCTGGCTGACATCGACACCTCAGGCACCCACTCAGGCCTCAACGTGACAGACTGGCATTGACACCTCAGGCGTCTAAGGCACTAAGAAACACTCGCCACACGTCACATGTCCCAACGTGGCTGGAAGGTAATTTCCCCGCTGATTGGACCAGCGCCAGGGGGACACTTTGCTCCTGTTTTCCAGAAACGACTGCGTTCAGCACTGCGGATCTGCGTATACACCGGGCTCGTCTTGTCTCTACTTTCCTCCTTCCTCGTATCCTCCTTACCTCCGCCTTCACAATGGATGTCCCCGAGCCAGACCAGTCGCCCTTCACTGCCATGACGGCGCATACCTCTAAATTGACCCGGGTGAGTTTTGACTGTCGCTTGAGGGGTTGCGACCAGCGCAATGCCTCTTCCCATTCCTTGATCGCAGGGATTGGGTTGTCTGAGGAAACCTTGTGCTAATGTGTCGCTGTAGCAATACCAAGCCTACCTCGATGCCTCGACTCCCTACACTACGTATCGTTGGGTTGGATCCGTCGTTCTGCTCCTTATCTTCTTCCTGCGCATCATCTTCGCACAAGGATGGTACATCGGTACGTCTTCGCTTGGTCCTACCTCCGAATGGTTCTCGTGGCAGGTAGCTGTGCAGATTCCCTCTATGAGAAAGTCATGGATTGAAAAGGAGGATCCATGGAGGGAATTGGACGGACAAACCATACGACTTGCGGGTTGAACCTTGACTAACATCACAACTTTACAAATCAGTCGCTTACACTGTCGGCATCTACCTCCTGAACCTCTTCCTCGCCTTCCTGACCCCCAAATTCGACCCCTCTCTCACCCAGGATGAGGGCTTGGAGGACGGTGACGCAGGCTCACCAAGCCTTCCTACCAAGCGGGACGAGGAGTTCCGGCCCTTCATCCGCCGTCTGCCTGAGTTCAAGTTCTGGCACTCGGCTACTCGCGCCATCGCCATCGGCTTTGTGTGCACCTGGTTCTCCGTCTTCGACATTCCAGTCTTCTGGCCTGTCCTGGTCATGTACTGGATCATCCTGTTTGTCCTGACCAGTACGTATCCCAAACCCGATTCAATCGAACGAGATTGCGACAAACATGCTCCGTGGATGTATGCTGACACGACTATTCTATCTGTAGTGCGCCGACAAATCCAGCACATGATCAAGTACCGCTACGTGCCCTTCTCCTTCGGCAAGACCCGGTACGGCCGGTCCTAAGCCGCTTCTTGTTTACTATCTCGTTTTTATTACCCCCGTCTCTCTGCGCCTATAATCAGAGAGCTGTGTGAAATGTCAATGTGTGTATGTGTGTGTCTTACCGGCCGCCATTGATTGGATTGTGATATGAGCGAGGGGAAGAAAATGGAAGTGGGCGGGCTTCATGGCGATGCATTTATGATTTCCTCCGATTGTAATCCCTATATCTTCTAGAGGGCGCCTTTTTGCTTTCTTGTGCATGCCCTGCTGGTTTTTTTATTATCATTGGTTTTCTTGGAAACCTTTTCACCTGTGAGATATGATTAGACTTGGAGCTGATGCCGATATTGGCTTTCAATGCTTTTATTTTGATGACCGAATGTATGAGTCGCGAGTAGAGAATTTGAGTGTATATTGGACATGACTTCTAGCAGATTGATATTGGACATGGAATCAAGGATATCGGAACTCTGCGGCTTTGTTGCACTTGGTCTGTCTTTTGATCACCTTATCTTTGAAGTCACCCTGAGCATAGTTACACAATTCACTACTAGACCAACCCGTAGTAGCCAAATGAGGGGAATAGATTCCGTACTTCTTGTTCCCATGACCTTGCTTTGCAACAGTTATACCGTCTTTTAATATTGACTGGAATTGCCTCGCCATACCGGTTCGAGCATTCCACAAGCAAGGTCACGTCAACAATCCCAAGATGGATATCAAGTGGTCTGATCAATAGGATGTGTCGGAAGCAATCCATTTCCTTCACGTTTCAGGAGCAGCTTGTCTAACGCTGGCTAGGTGCAGTTCGGAATTGGTCATTTCCAACTTGGTTGGCTGGGCGAGGGTATAAGTAGACTATTGTGAGATGCCCTATAAATACCTATGCCGAAATCATCTGAGTTGCAAATCTCAATCTTGATACTTTGAGTCAATCCTCTTAGATAACTTCTACAATCTGTTTGCATAATTAGGAATCTAGACACAGCTGGAAAGAGTACTAGCAATGACCATCTCTATCTCCCAAGCGCTGCTTCTAGCCATAGGCCTTGCGACTTCGGCACTATCGACAGCCGTCAACCCCCAAGCAGCGAACGAAAGGAATGTCGCACTGCGTAACTGTGAGTAATCACCAGAATTAGAAACTCTGCCATTATGATGTACCTCTCCGATATTGACTGACTCAATACAGGCGTCGCGTTCTATCGTGTCGCTTCGGGTGATGACTGTATCCACATCCAGCAATCTCATCCTGATACATTCACTATGGAGGAACTGTATCAGTGGAATCCGATGATTAACAAAGACTGCACAAACTTGCAAGTGGGCTATCCTATTTGTATCCGGAAGCTGAGGAAAGATTGTCCTAGTGGTGCTTGAGTTGATGGAATTTTAAGCTTTGGTCAAATGCTGGAAGGATACTACGTCCGTGTTGTCGGTGGACCTTTCGGGTAGTGTCAATTGCTTCCAGTGAATTCATATCATTATACCTTGCGCGAGATGGATCAAGTCTAATCTCAGAGGATCTCATAGTCCTGTAATGGGATTTAGTATGTGTGAGTTTTCAAGTGGATGAATCTCCAGCAGTCATCGTATTGCTCAACCAACTAATCCTAGGGATGTCTTACGGCATATCTTCATCTTCAATAGCTTGATAGTGAAAAGATTTATATTTTTCTTGAACGAGCGCTAGATAAGTTCCAGTTGACCGGCATTATGACCCGGCGAATGAAAATATCGAGATTCGTTTATCTCCGGATAGATTTTGAACCATCTACCTCTTAAGCCCCAGAGAATCCCGAAAGCGACGTGCCTTGTCTCTCGAGAACTGAATCCAGGCCTGCGTATTAGCATCCTCCGTATTCCCTCAATTGATTCATTATGTATGGTAATCTCACCTCAAAACTGCCTAAGCACTGAAATCACAAGGCAGCGAGCCACAGCAGTAACCATGGTGAGAATCCAAAGCACCCTGGAAATCAATGTTGTGGCATCCGTCGCTGGTGCGCCACATCGAAGCATAGAAGGCGTAGCCTCCAGCACTAGTCTCGGAGAACCTATAGTAGTAGAGGATTCAGTGACGACTCATGAATATGAACTTCGATACAAGTAGAAACTTACTGTAAATTGCATGGGCTGCTAGTGCATCCATTGAAGCCACCACGGAGGTAGCCCGAGTAGGTAGATCCGGTCTTGTCATCCTTAAGGTAGACATTTTGGTAAACACCACCCTCATTGATGAAATAGTCCGAGGCAGACATCTGGCCGTAGAAGGCACTGGCGTGGCCGAAAAGGGCGACGGCACTGAGGAAAGCGGGGAACTTCATATTGTTGACTGTGTATATGTGGATAGATGGTTAGGAATTTAATCGAGGGATTTATGGTCTACTTAAATGTTTTTCAAACTAAGAAAGATTCCAATTGAATTTGGTATTTACCCGGGTCATTAATGGAAGGGGGTTTCTGCCTACCTACCTACCTTTTACGGTCGTGTTAGGTAACCGATAATAATCAGGTGTGCATGCATATACCGGCATCCTCGAGTAGCGTCATCTAGCCACAGCCCACTTGTGCGTACTATTTTCTCACCTCATCTATGAGAGGCAAACATCTGAGCATTGCCTAGTAGTGGAAGCCGCCACCCAGGAAATCAGTAAAGGGAGCTCCACCAGTGCCGAATCGAGATAAAATCATTTTGAGCTGGAAAAAACATGTAGACTTACGCAGATCGATCAGAGAAGTTCCTAGCAATACCTCTCCTCAATTAATGATCCCAATGAATATGTAACGTTTATATTAATCTTGGTCTTTCCACAGAACTCGCGGACGGACCATATCTGTGGCGCCGTCAGTATGAATGTTTGATGACCAAGATATAATGGGCTAAAATATTCAGCAACGCTTGGCCAGGGCTTATCTCCTAGCCTTAAATGTACGTTAGGACTGCTCATTTAACTAGAAAGGGGTGGTGTCTCTCCAGGACCCTGGACCTTTACATTTTAGGAAGTTGCACTGCAGGTCCCGAGTTGCCGCCCCACTCCTGTTTACTCTCAGCCTCAAGTACAATCCAACGTCGCTTTTGCACATCAAGGCCAAGAAATGCGGGTTTGATAGGCTACTGGCTCTTGCAGGCTGCATATTGTCAACTCCACATATACTCCATTTTGAAGCATCCATGGGAGTTCAGCTCTATAGTTAAAGTCCAATAAGGTCCATGTGCATGATTTCTTCCACTAGTCTTGATGCTGCATAATCAACGTTACATGCAGGGTCCTCATTGAAGAAGCGGTCAGATGCGGCCTCTTAGATCATGTCACGCACGTGGACGCCCGAAAATGCTCCAAGGAGAATGAAAGGACAGGCTTGGTGTTACTGGGGAAATAGAGCTAATGTTTCGAGGGTTCAACTAGGTCAATATCGCGGACTTCTCTTCTATGATACATTCTCAAGCTCCAGCACGTCTTTATATCTCTCCCCAACACAGGGTATGAGTAGCAGCTTTTGAAAATAGTCCAATTCCCCCAACACTCGACCATTTTCCCAAGCCATCGAGAAGTCCCCATATAGAACGACCTCTGATCCTGACTGGCTGGACTCGGTTAACCACGCTGCGCTTGTGGTAAGGTCCCATAATTCAGGCCTTGACGTAAATGGCAGCATACTCAACGCTTTGACATTCTTGCAGTAACCATGCTTCAGCGACGAATATAAGCTATCGATCAGTGCGGAAAAAATGACGGTTCTGCGGATACTTTCCGCTAATATCCATTCCTGCCACGATGTCGCATGGCCAAGGTCTTCAGCTTGAACTTGTAGCCGAGTAGTCCATGTTCGCAATGTATCCATATTGCGTTCCGCTAGGGACCGCTGACGGATATCACCGTCGAACAGCTGAATGATGTGAAAGAGCATCAACGCTTGCACCGATGCGAGAAGTTCCTCAACAGAAGTGGTCTGGTTGACTTGCTGCAGGAGACTCGCTGTTTTGGCCTCTAAAACACGCAGTGACATGTCCTCAGTCCCCGGTGCTCTTGTACAATACGCCGCCGAGACTGTAAAGGCATCTTGGATGGCGTTGGGAAGATAAGTATCGTACAAGCGTTGATGAATAAAGGGTGTACGTCTCGACCGCGCAAACATCTGTGGAAAGGATTTGACGCATCGCAAGGACTGAGTTATTGACCATTTATCAGGAGCGGCTGTTTCTGGAAAGAAGATGGCGGGGAATAGCAATGGAGTATCCAGAAGTGAAGGACTTCCAGTATGCCAGGAGGCAGTCGCGCTCGAACTATCGATCAAGGAGTCGCTGTTGGGAGACCACAACGATAGGATATCGTCTAAATTGTCATAGAACTCGGACTCTATTGGCTGCAAATCCGCAACTACTAGGCTTTTATGGCGCTTCTTTGCGGACGATCCATTGATGTAGGTGCATTTCAACCCCCGACCGAGACACCGGGAGCACTGCGGAGTTTGACGATTACAACGCCGCTTCCCTTCCGCACATGCGACGCATGACTTTTGCCGAGAGCGAGATTCGGAAGATCTAGAAGGCATCGTGTAAAGCCTGTGTGATATGTGAAAGGGAAAGGTGAGAGGAGAAGGCAGTGAGCAAAAGTTACAAATCCCACCAACACTGCTGAAACTCCGCAAACTCCGCAGGGCCCCACCAGGAAAGCCGCCAGGCATCCAATCATATCCCGACAGTTGACGAAAAATGTACGGACTTGAAGATGACTCTTTAGATGTTATTCAACAACGTCACTAGATACGAGTGAAAGTCCGCAATTCACACCGCAATATTGTTATTGATTACAATTTGTTTAGAGTAGGACATCACTGTACGGACCACATATAAAGACACCATGAATCTCGTGAATAATCTCATTCCCATAATCTTCCATTCAAAGCTGCATTGATACAGAACAATGGCTATCACTGAACTTATCTTTCCTAAGATCAAGAATGATCAGGCTTCAATCGACGAGATTGAGCGAGACTGGCCAGAAATCAGCAGGAGATTGACCCATCCAAACCCGGGAGTACTGTGTGCCTATCGAGGATGGGTCCTCACTGAGAATGGACGCAATGTGGGAGAAGAGCACAGGGAGTTTCTACTTTTTGGTGAGTTCCGTGAGCCCGATATTCTATTTTTCCTTACATATTTAATGTGATTCTTTGTATAGAATGGAACCGAGTGGAATCTTTCCACGCCTTCGTTGTCTCAGAGCAATTTGTAAACTTCGCCGCTTCAATTAGGCACCTCGTGAATGGACCACCAACGCTACAAGTTTTTGAAACAAATTTCGGCCCTGGAGATGCGGCATCAGCATCCAGCGTTGAAATCTACCGCGTAAGCGTTCCAAATGCTGAGAATGCCGAAGCTGCCCTGAAGACCTGGGAGGAAATATCTCGGAAGGCTCAAGAGACATATGGAGACAAAGTTGCCATCACTTATGGCAAGAGTCAGAATCTAGAGGAGGAGGTCATTGCAGGTATCATTGGCTGGTCGAGACCCGAGGTAAGACCCGAAGTCCAGCCACAACGTTTCACTAGACACTAATGCGTGCTTTCCTTGCTTGGTAGGATTGTGTCCCAGCTACTGGAGGGGCGGTACTCGCAGATTCGTTCGAATCGCTGAAGACCCTGGGAGGGCTATCGCATATCACTGTAGGGATTGATACTATGGAGCTTCCAACTCTGTAGAGCGCCTTGTCTGGAGGTGCTCGTTTTGTAAACTACACATCCATTCTTTGACATACTGAAAGAGTCTCTCCCCTTAGCAAATATAGCTCATTATTGAATGATACGTGGCGTTTGTCCATCTATCGATCATTGAAGACTCAAGCTTCGACTCGGCTTGCATTAACTTAAGCCCAAGGTATGATTTGAAATATAATTCTTCAAACATGCTTTTTGTCACATAAAGTGCCACGCATAACGCTAAGGTGTGTGGGTCCGTAAGTGACACAGTGGCTTTGAAGCTTCTGGAAGGGATCTGAGCATTTCTTATAAAGACGTCGAGAAGTTTAGAGCAGTGATGGACCTAGAACCTGTCTTTTAACTAACTGATAGTCAGTAGCAAATACTGTAGTTGTCTCTTTATGAATATACTCGATTCTAGTCCAGGGAGTTCGGTCAACATGTAGGATAGGATATGAGGGGTGCTAATTTGCTGCATTGATCTAGGAGATGAAGGTAAGAAAAATTTCCTGAGCTGTGGTTTTATCCGCATTTGGATGGTCCGAGATGCGGTTGAGGCCAATGCAGATTTTTCGAAGTCAGGTCGAGTAGGGTCAAGTTAGGTGAAGAAATTCAAAGGCAAGGACGGAATCAATACCACGATGTCATTATTCGATCATTCATGATGGCAATCATTACGCCTATAAGCTCTGTGCAAACCCTCGTTTCTTCTATTCATGCAATTACTTCATCGGCTTGCCTATGGATTCAAAATTCAAAATTCTATAGTATTATCTCAGATGGTAATTATCACGATGCCATTACACGATTATATTCAGTTTTAGAGGGAGCCCTACATATTCGTATCTTCAATTTCCATGGCCATAACGTCAGTGCTTTCTGAAGCCTGAGATCAAACTACGATCGGAGCTATAGGATAGCGTCACACACGTGCCACTATATCGGGCTCAATCTCAGACCCGCCGGGCTCCACTGGTGATGGGTACCGGTCCCAAACTTCCCATCATGGTAGCCCTGCACAGTACATACAGTACGGTTAAATATGTTATACCAATGACAAACAAACGCCACCCCGCTGTCAGAAATTTGTCGAACCAGAGATTTGAAGAGACTTAACCAGAATACGGTGGCTGGCGTGGACGCTCGGATTGTAAATCGACCATGTTGATACTCACTGTTCGTATCCCCACTTCTATACATAGTTCCCGTCAAGTGGCCTACTGGAAAGGAAAGACAGGTTGGGGTATGCATGTGATTGTTTCCAATTTTCCGTCTTGTAGTGCTTATACTTATTTTCTGACGCAGTAGTAGCAGCATCTTTTGCGTTGGAATATTCCTCACTATTCGGTCCGGTTCAGGAGGGTCTACGGTCTTGAAAATCACGCATCAATGATACAAATGGCCATTTGAGCGGGGCTGATCGGCCTACTACCAGAACTGGGGCATATATGCAACTATTTCGATGCGGAATGACTCGACATCGAGTACACGTCACGGTATGGTGATAATGTCCACAAGCACGCTTCCCATACAAAGATTATTCAACCGAGAACCTGGCCAGGTCTGTGACAGGGGTCGATTTGGAATTGTTCTAGGTTTTGATACAGTGGCAGTTTAAAAGTCTAATGCTCCAAGACCAAAGAAATGGTTGACTTCGAGATACACAACTTTGTTTTGAATGTCCTTTCTAACCTAGAAATTCTTGTCCTGTTTGATGGCACAGGCAATGCCCAGCGCAATCAAGATTAATCAGTGTTAAGATATTTTTTTTTTTTTTCGCACACATAGAATCCTAATTACCATGATATTTCCCCAGTCTCTCCTCTATTTTTAATCAGTTATCAAGGCAAACATCTATAGTCTGTAGGTAATTATTTTGTAAAATAGAAACAGGGAATTAATACCCAGTCAGCCGGAGCTGGGCCCGCCTATTTTTGCCGTGCCGAAGCGGATCTTTCTTCCTTCAGCTGAAGTGGAGCTACGGACAAACCGGTTCACATCTCCTCCTTTGATCTCCTCCACTCACCCTCATCCAACCCCATCAGTCTAATGCACGTCGAATAAACGAGTGAAAATCAAGAGGAGGAGGCCCCAGGTTGTTGCTTTTTTGCGGCCTGGGCCGGAAGCACAGCCGGCTTGACAGCCAATGATTCGACTGTCCCCCTGTCAAAAACGAGGCATTCTGCATGGATGCCTTAAATGCGCTGCACTTACCAGGGGCAATAGCCCGGTGGCTCTCGAACTTGGAGCACTCTAGCGAGCCTGCGCCCAGTCATTCGTTTCCAGAGAGTTCATTTCCCCGGGAGAAGATCTCGGGAGGAGCGGTAGCATCGCCGATCCCGAGGAAGAAGACAGGAGCTGAGTGGATCTCGTTGCGTCAGTCATGCTGCATGGTTCATGACGGCTTAGTATCGATCGGCAATGGCTGGCATCCGTCCCCGCACACAATATCATGGCACGAATTATTATGTGGCCAGGACGGGCTGCTTTCTATGTCAATCGATCTACAGTTCGTCCGAAGAGTGAAACCGAACCTTCCTCTTCCTGCCTTCTCGTAAACTCGCATCCATTGGATACCGGTAGGAAGGGCCAGTGCTCCATCCCCCCCATTGAGGACTTACCTGCACGACGGCGCCATGGTGGGAGACTAGCACGGTCTTCCAGCCAGCCATCAACAAATGCATACTCTGTAGGATATGCCCGAGAATGAGGGGTTTCAACACAAGTACGATACTGAAACATTTACTGATGCTAGTGGAAGCTCGTGCTGCTCTCTAACGGGCGCTCCGAGAATCTGGACTTCAAACAGATTTGATCCATTCCCATCGATATCTGCTGGGAACTATCACTTCCAGCTAGTGTGGGCTTGTGGTCCCCTGCTGTATCCTTGTTACCAATTTAGCTGAGGCAAGATTGACCGAGGTGGGGAGAAGAATACCACTTGTTATCATCACTATGCAGGTGCAGACCGTCTTGCATGGCTCCACGTTCAGACGCTCCACGCTCTTTTCCGTTGAGCTGGAACATGGCATGTTTTGCACTTGAATTGGCGATACGCCCCGTCGATGCATGATCCATAGCTCGATATCTCCCATTGGCTTTTCAATACCCTAGAACTGAGGTCCGAGTGCACCCAATGCAAATCCAAAAGTTAAGAGTGTGGCCCTAAAGTGGTGCGCAATGTCGACTATCATGATGCCAGGATGTGTCATGGCATCTTTTCTCCCTTTTAGGAAGCCAAGAAAGCAAAATCGCGAATCTTGCCGCCGCTTTGACGAGATCGCAAGGTGGAGAGAGGCGGAGAAAGTGGTTCAAGTCTACTGAAGCTGAAACTTATACCCACCATTCCATACCTAAAGGCGTAATGGTGATGTGAAGACCTATCGCCACTCATCAGTACCCAGCCTCCGCACGGAAGGAAGAGAGGAGAAGCAAAGTAGCGTCTAGGTGGTCCCTAGCTTGATAGATTGCTACAAAAGCCTCGTGTGACCCCGAGCTAGAGCTACTTTTTCTTTCTTTTCCCTTCTTCAGTGTCCTCGAATGTTTTTTATACATTTTTAGAGCCTTGTGTTTGACTCCATCGCGGGTTTGTCTCGTCTATTTTGTTGCTTCAAGAGCTGCTGCTCAAAACAAGCCATATCCGATCCCCATCCCCCTCCACGCCAATCCCAAGCTCTACCTAAGACTCAGTCCGAATCTCCCCCGAAAGTGTCCATACCTCCAGCTCTTACGACTATTACGACCAATTCCTCTGCCAACACTACTATTGTACTTCCTACGTCCACAATGGCTCCCGGAATTCTCTCTCCCGTTCCGGGTAACTTGAACTCTTCCTTCTACTCAACCATGCATGGAAATTCTCGGCAGGTCTCCGCCCTCTCTGCTGCCTTTGACAATGACAGTATGTCCCAGAATGGTCGCTCCACGCGCCGGGAATCCGGCTTTGTCCGCAAGGCCAATGGCGTTGGAAACTCTAATATTACCAGTGTGGTGCAGTCTCTGCAGCGCCGCAGTGGTGATGAGCTGGGCAATGGTGCTTCATCTCAGCTCCTGAACACCTCATATCACTCAATCATCGAGTGGATTCGTTCCGAGCGGATGAGCCATCTGCCCCCAGAGGGTAGCAGCTATGACAAGGTCCTTTCTTGGGCCCAGCTGTTCGTCGATCGATTGCACTCCTTCGACAATGGTATCCAAGACTTTGCTGGCGATAGCTACCTTGCCGCCCAGTTGTCCTACGGATACTGTGCTATGCTCCTTGAGGTACGGTTCATTGCGATACTATTTATTCCATTTAGCTTTCGTAGACTAACTGTTCTTCTTTCATTCAAACAGCTCGGCAAGGAGAACGCGCCCGCTTTAATGATCTCTTTCGGCTTCTTCTACAGTACCTCCTCTGCTCTGGTGAACCTTCTGGAGCGGACTGAGCTGTTCTCGGTGTCTCAGGAGATCAAAGAGCAGCTAATCTTGGCCCTGGCTGACTTGGTCACCCTTGTCGCTAGTGTGTCCACCCACTACCACAAGGCTATCCGTGGATTGACCACCGCCTCGGTGTCGGTCAACATCTACGATACCTTCCCTGGCCAGATTCAATCTTTCCGTGAGCGCTGCGGAAGGATTTCTGAGGCTATGTGGCGGCATCAGCTTGCTAAGGAGAACATTGACACCGAAAGAGGTAAGAATCCCATCATGACACATCTAGCCTCAACCACTATCAGTTATTGACCATATCTTGCTTCTTCAAGTTGCCATTGTCAAGTCTGTCCGATCTTGGCTTGCCCCCGAAGACCGCGTCCTCAGTCGCCTGGCCGAAAACACCTCACATCTCGCCCACGAGCGTGAGGAAATGACTTGCCTTTGGATGGGCCCATACTTGACTCGCTTCCTGAAGAGTCAAAATCACACTTTGTCATTCTACGGCAAGCCTGGATCTGGCAAGACCGTTCTTGCCTCGGTTATTGTCGACCGTCTGCAGGAGCAGATTGGCGGTGTTTCATACAAGACCTTGTTTGTTCCTATCAGTAAGTTCCAACTTGTATTCAATTTTGTCATGCCCCAGCTCTTTATCTAACTTTCCATTGAATAGATGCCCGCATCCCTGCCGAGACTACTCCCATTGCAATTGCGAAGACTATTTTGTTCCAGCTTTTCGAGAAGCGCATCGGCAATGTTCAGCTTCTGCATATTCTCGGCGATGCCTATGAGCGAAGCCGGAAGACAACCGGCCCTGCAGATTATGAGAACATTATCTGGAATGCTCTGGAGCGTGCCCTGGCGGCTGCTCTCCGTGGTGCCAAGGAGCTGGTCATTGTCATCGATGGTCTCGACGAGGCTACTGGCGGGGAGGCTGCTCTGCTCCAGAGACTGACTGTCGCCACTTCCAACGCCGTCAATGTCCGGCTCATTACTCTTGGTTCTGAGAAACCTACCACTAAGGAGAACGTGATGGCCGTTCCTATCACTGAGGATCGCATCGCAGATGATGTCGCTGCTGTTGTCCGAGACATCTTCGAGAGTAGCCGCATTTTCCGGGAGATGTCCGAATTGGATCGAGAGACTGTGGTGGATCAAATCACCGAAGCTTCCCAAGGTTCATTCCTATGGGCTAAGCTTGCTGCTAAGCGTGTTCGCCACGAGCACAACCTTGATGCCTTCCGAAAGACCGTCGAGTCCGTAGTCACGAGCAAGTGGACTGTCACAGATTTTGTTAGCCATGCTCTCGCCTCTCCCGAAATCAGCGAGGATGCGAAGTTCATGCTTCTCTGGCTTGCAACTGCAGAGCGGCCTCTTTTGATGAAGGAGCTTGCGACACTGGCCTCGGTCCAGCTTGATAAACAGACTGTGTCCGATCGCAAGATTGATATTATTACCATTCTGAAACCCTTGATCTCTCTTGTTTTCATCCAAGATGGCCAGGTTTACCTTCGCCACGGCCTCATCCGCACGGCCGTTCTGGATGTCTACACCAGGGGCAAGCTCATCCCCACCGTCAAGGACCATCATGCCGATCTCGTGACTCGACTCTTTGTCTATATCAAGACTACTGTGACTGAGCAGCATGAACCCTCGCTGACTCCTCTGGACCGCCACGACACCAGCATTCTTGTTCAAAAGTATCCCCTTCTTGACTTCTCAGTGCGCTATTGGCCCTACCATTTGAGAAATACCACCGTCTATACCACTGGTGGTGATGCTCCCACGGCCAAGGAGTTTGGCAAGCTCTTCCCGGCTACTGTCACTTTGCTGCTCCTGCAGAACACCTTGTGGCAGAACATCTCCACCCCGACACTCCTGACATACCTGACCATTGTCAGCAACATCACCCGCCAAATCCTGACTCCAAACAATGTCGTTACGCTGCAGTCTATTATCTCTTTGGCCCTTTTCCGTCGTGACATTAGTCACGTCACCGAGGCAGTTTCACTGTTCTACGAGATCACTATCATCAGCCGCACTCTGCTCACTGTCAAACATATTATTACCATGCAGATGTCGAGCTTCTTCCTGGACCTCACAGTCGAGCAGGTGACCACTACCAAGACTGACATTATGGTCAAGCGTGAGGAGATTCTCCTTCTCATTGTCGAGTGCTACAAGGTTCACTACGGCAACAACTCAGAGAAGGTCGTCAGTACTCTGAAGACCTTGATTGAGCACTACCGGCTTATCAAGGAGGAGAAGAAGATCAGAGAGATTGAAATCACGATTCAGACCATTACCGGGACTCGCTACGATGGTGGCGATGAAACCGATACTCGTGGTAATCTTCACGTCCACCTCAGGGGTCACAAGCAGAATGGTGAAATTGGCACTCGCTTCATTCTGGAGACCGAGGTCGATGAGTACCAGTCAGAGACCTTTGATTTCGAGGCGCTTCTCAAGCTGGCTGAAACATACGTGTCCGAGGGTCGCATTGCCGAGGCTGAGCGTATTTACGTTGAGATTTGGCAGCGGGCTAGCAAGGAGTGCCGTACTCAGTATTCAGAGTACTGGGAGCAGATCAAGCTCAAGTCGGTCACCATCTACTCAAAGTTCCTTCAATCCCAAAAGCGCGAGTATGAGGCATCTTCTATTCTGTCTAGTGTTTGGGAGGAATATCGCAGCTCAACCCTGTCTGTGTCCGAGTCGACTGCTTCCCACTTCCAGGAAATCGCCAAGATCATGACGGCTGTTGGGCTCTCCACAGCAGCTCTCAGCATCTTCAAGCACTGTGCTCATTACTACAAGAGCACCAACCGCACTCAGTCCTCGCAATACACGGAAATTCAGAAGAGCATCGAGCAGACATCCCAGCAGGTCATGCACCAAGCAAGCTCCTCTTCTTCGGTGGTTTCTGAGTCTGTTTTGGAGGAGATTGTTTACGAGGCTTCCAGCTCCATTACCAAGATCGATCAGAGTTCCTTCACTGCCACTTACACTCTGGTCGAGCTGTATGTCTCTCAGCACCGCTGGAAGGATGCTACTCGCGTTGTCAAGAAGGTTCTGCATGGTCTTTGGCCATCCCTGTTCGCTCCATCAATCCAGGATGTCCTGCTTCCTAGCCAGCACGTCGAGAAATGTGTGAACCTGGCTGAGCGTCTGAGCCAATGCTACCACTACCGCCGTCGCTTCCCTCGCGAAGAGGGCATTCGTGTCCGCGTGTACCGCGCCGTTCGGGCTGCTAAGCCCGTTGATGACAAGCTGCGCGACCGTGTCACCACCGAGCTGGTTTACTTCTACGAGCGCTCTTCCCAGCCCGACCGGGTCATTAGCACTTGGCAGGAGATCTTGGAGGACTATATCACACACTATGGACCTGAGCACACCATCGTCATCAAGACCCTCTGGACCCTTGCAGAGCTCACTCGCCCTCGCCCCATCTCGATCGAGTACTACCAGCGCATTATCCGCGCCTTGAACAAGGATTCTCCCCATTGCCATCCTGATGCCATTGAGCCTTTGATCATTGTCGTCACTGAGCTGTGGAACCAGAGTCGCTACTCTGATGCCGTGTCATACTACTCGATGCTATTCACCACTTTCTTGAACGAGCCCAAGAAGCATCCCAAGTTCCAAGTGACTGACTTCGTTCAGGAGTTCTTCACTCGGTATACCCACTGCCTCCGCAGTGTGCGTACTGATTACACCAAGATCCACAAGGTGACAGTTGACTACCAGACTAAGGTCAAGGCTGTCTTTGGTGCAACTGCAACTATCACCATCAAGGCGACTGTGACCCTCGCAAGGGTGTGCCAGGAGTCTAGGCGGTTCGAGATCGACGCTATTGCTCTGTACGAAGAGCTGCTCACTATCCAGTCCACCGAGATTGACAGAGATGAGATCACAGCCATCCTTGATGGTATCTACGAGGAGCAAACCGCAATTGCTATGTCTAAGTCCGAGTCGATCTCTGCCACTCAGATCGAGCGTGCTTCTAAGGTCTTGCGCAAGCGCATCACATCGGTCCGTGAGACTTACGGTTGGGCTCACGAGGAATCTTTGACCAAGCTGAAGGAGATTGTCTCCTTCCACTCCAAGCACAGCGAGTCGTCTGAGTCTGTTCTCTCGGAGCTCAAGGAGTCTACCGTGCAGATCCTGAAAACCGAGTCTTCCTCCACTCGCCTTGTCGCTGCTGCTTCGACCATCGCCGCCAGCTACATTGCCACCAACCAGGTGACCAAGGCGACTGAGTTGACCCAGGAACTGTACCGTCAGGTTGTCATGAAGGACACAACCAATATCAAGTCCACCAAATTTGATCTCACCTCCAAGGGTCGCCAGAGCCTGATCTTCTTGGCCCAGCTCGAGCAAAGTCTCCTCCAGCGAAACTCGACTATCACCGAGATCCTAGCTGCGCTGACCACTCAATACGTGTACTTTGAGGAGTTCCGCAGTCATATCTCCTCCAAGAGCAGCTCTTTCCACACCGTCTCGGTCTCTGCCTCCCGCCTATACCACTTCTTGCTCTCCAACAACCGTCAGACTTTTGCTATTCGCGTCTTTGACGACTACGTTGCGTACTTCGTAGCCACCGAGGGCAAGCGCACCAAGTTGACCGAAACTAACCAGGTGAAGATCTTCTTGTCGACTATCTTGGAGCACTTCAGCACCCACAAGTCCACCAGCTTTATTCGCTCGGTTGGTATTGCTAGTAACTACCGTGTTCTCGATCTCCTTCAGAAGAAGAACTACGATGGTGCTTGTGACCTTGCTATCGCCTCCTTCCGGTACATCTCTGCCCACGATGTGTATCGCTCTACCGCCATCGTTAAATTCGTCTTCACTTTGGGTGTGTTTATTACCGGACGTACCACCGTTCCACGGCCTGATCAAGCTACCCAGAAGAAGCTGCTCGGTGTCTCTGCGCACATTATCCAGGAGGTCCTCCGCGTTATTGGTGACTTGAAGATCAATCTGGCTGAGATCAATCTGGATTACCTGAACATCCTTATCGGTGTCCTCGGCGAACAAAAGGACTACAAGAACCTTGTTTGGGTCCTTTCCAGCCTTTGGAACAGCCGCAACAAGCAGATCAACTGGTCGCCTGCCGTCACTCTCCAGCTGGCCCGTCGCTACATTCTGGCTCGCTACCTGGTTGGTGACGCTCTCAAGGCCTCGCGTCTGGCCGAGGATATTGTGTACAACTGCCGCCGTGTCAATGGTGCCCGCCACCAGAGCACCCTCGAGATGTCTACCCTGCTTTCCCAGCTGTACGCTGGTATCGCTCAGCGCTACCAATCTGAGAAGGGTGGTCAGCACATGGCAAACAAGTACTACAAGAAGATCGCTAGTGTGCACGAGAACCTGCTCCGCATCTTCGCGGATCCATCTCTGGTTGAGTTTGAGGGTGGCCTCGACAGCAGCTTCAGCATGGATGGCTCCGCCTACGACCTTGATCTTGGAGACAGCACCCCCAACGGCTCGATCACCGACGCCGAGCAAGTCCGCCAGCACCTGCAGCTGCTCAAGCTTGCCGTGCAGCGCCTGGGTGACTGGCCCAAGGATTACACTGAGTACGAGCGCCTGAACGCCGATTTGTTCCTTGAGTTCGGTGATGAGCTTAAGGGTGTTGAGGGTGTTGAGAAGTGGGATCTCAAGAAGTTTGGTTCTGGCAAGGCCTCTGGCAATGAGGACCAGCTGAGCTTGGAGTTCAAGTCCTGGGAGCTGGAAATTGCTCAGCCTGAAGAAGTTGAGGAGGAGCTATAAACCCCCTTTGTTTGTTTTGACCAAATTGTACTGCACTTTGCATCTGTGACATTGTCTGCATATTGTATATTCTGCGTTTGTAACTAGTTTGTTTTTCTATCGAGGGACACACAACAATTGCATTGGCTCTATTTTCATATTGATGAAACTCCCATAAAAGAGTCAAATAATTAAAAGGGGCTTTCACCCCTGACACAATCGAGCCCAGCAGCCGGCAACCCCGAACTGCCATAGTGGCGTAGACCTAGCCCGATATAGGAAAAATGCAATCTCTTGGTTTGCTTAGCGCTATGAGCTTCGCATCGCTTGAATTTCTGGTCTGAAAGGTTTCGTCCAATCAAATTATCTCTGACAACAAGCTAGGCTTCGGCAGGACTGGCACAGGAAATTACTGTCATAGCGCCTCCTTTGATTTGCTTGTCTGTCCCCTTAAAACAGCCTCATGGACCCTGTAAGTGTCAGGGACCAAATTGAATCCACGCGCGACCATTTTCCCGAATTAAAGCACTCTAGAAATTCCCCCAGACATTTCCCCATTACTTGGAGACAACTTCTTATTTTCTTCGTCTCGTCAAGCTCTCCTATTATCTAGGCAGAGGTCTGATTATCCGCTACTTTCATCTAAATCATCACGATGCACAAATTCTTCGCCGCCATTCTCTTCGCCGTCTCGGCCTTAGCTTCTCCAGCCCCGGACACCTCAAGCGCCATCGGTACAAGTGACAGCCCGGCAAATCTTGACCTCGGATCAATTTCATCCTACGCTGCCGGGCTCGAAGTGGCGATTCCCAGCTCCATTTTGACGGTCATGGAGACTGCTATTCCTGCCTCGTGGCAGGATGAGGTTATCACAGATCCTGCATTCCGCTCCTCGGTTGCAAGTGCGGCAGCGGCAGGAACTTATCCAGCGTGGTACAATGAGCTCCCCAGCAGCGTCAAGGCCTGGGCTAGCTCGAACTTTGATGCTCAAGTTCTCGGCGTCCCATCTACCACAAAGAATGTTGCTTCTGAGACTGGTTCTACCGGCACGCAGTCTGTTTCAAATGCTGTCCAGACGACTTCATCTGGTTCCTCCGCTGCCGCTACCTCTGTTGCCAGCTCTAGGTCGGGTTCGGGTTCAAGCTCGGTATCCGCTTCTGCTTCGCCTGCAAAGTCGACTGGCGGTGCGTCTTTACCTACTAGTGGTGCTATAATGGGTGTTGCTGGGGTGGCTGGTGTACTTTCTCTCGCCGTTATGCTTTAGAGCCTCTATCCATGAAGTTGGCTTACCATCTGCACGTATGGCACGAGACAGCTGCTCATTTCGTCGTACTTCATGCGACAAGAGCGACTCAATGCTGGAGGGCTTTAATGACTAAGTCATTCATCCTGGGCAGTTACTTGTATGCATAACTCATTGTCGCAGATATGGACTATACATTTTCTTACTGATTTTCCGCCACTCAAAGACACAACTACCCATATCCGCCCTTTTTATATCTTCCATGTCCATGGCTCATACGCTAGCCACTGAATAGGCTATAGTACTTGTATGAGGTTGGTACATTGTGAATCTTGAGGAACAGGTCCCACATCCCTTATCATGGAGGAGGGCCTCATGATGTTTAGACATACGTACTTTGAGTCCAATCATTCCATTTAATAAGCTGTTTATCAATACTGAGCTCATCCTAGGTAGCACCTTTAAGCCAAAAAAATGTAGCAATTCAACCATGGCATGGACAAAGTCCTCATGCTGCACACGGGGCGAATAACCACACTGCAGGGTTTACGGCAGTAGCAGGAACCAAGGAGTCTCACGATCTTTGCCTTCATGCAGCAAAGGGAATGGCCATCGCGGGTGTGGGCGTCCTGAAGAATGACGACGTTGCTGAGAAGGTGAGATTGGATTTCGAGGACAAGAAACGGCGCGATTTGCCCTCGACAACCAGGATGTTTGATTCGAATGCGGGCTTTTGCTAGATAGACACTTGAAAAGTCGCAAGCACTGAAATCTTTTCAAAGTATCTGATCGCTTCCTTACCATATAGCCTTAGATAAATCAGCAGGAATTGTAGTACACCTTCCAGATTCGGCGATACATATCTTCAAATCCGCCCTTTGGTAACCGGCGTTCAGGTCGCGTAGGTTGATGAATATATACCTAGAACCTGAACGAAGCTTCAAACCCTACAGAAATGACTCATAGATCGGGATGCTGCATAACTTAGTTAGAAGACATTATTTTGTAGCTTAAATTATGTTTGTGCTGTTAGACCAAATTAAGGCTGAGCGCTCAGCCCCAATTGAGCTGAATGTCACTCCCCAAGCCTCAAGGCTAAGCCTTAAGGCTTAACTTAGTTAGCTTAGCTGGCTGAGGCTCTTACTTAAGTCCCTTACTACCCGCCCGTCCCGTCCAACCCCCACCTTTTTACTCCGCATCCACACCATCAGGCACAACCAAAATAACAAAATAACAAACATAAACAACCAAACAATCATGCCCCCAACCAAATCCCCAATCCGGGATTCTTTCCTCCCACCCTCAGCACCAAGCAACGCACACGCCCAACAAATCGACTTCGAAAAATCCAATCCACCCCTCCCAAAATACAAAGGCCACTTCGCCGCCATAATAGACGACTTCCTCACCGAATCCGAATGCAAAGAACTCCTCTCCCTAGCCGAAAAAAGCACACCCAACGGCTGGGAACGCGCCATGGTCAACGTCGGCGGCGGACGCCAAGAACTCGCCACCGACGCCCGTAACTGCGGACGAATGATGTGGGATACGCACGACATCGCCAACCGGCTCCTGACCAGACTAAAACCTTTCCTGCACGATCTCGACGTCGCCAAATTCACCGATCGAACGAGCGTAACGGGTTTACTCGGCCGGGGGAAGACGTACGAATTATCCGCGCTGAATGAGCGCCTACGGTTTCTGCGATATGTGGGCGGTGAGTACTTCCGGCCGCATTGGGATGGACAGTATGAGGCGCCGAATGGGGATTTGTCGTTTTATACGCTTCATCTTTATTTGAATGGGGAGGGGGAACAGGATGTTGTTGAGCTTGGGAAGGCGGAGGATCGACCCGGGAATGTGAATCCTGATCCTGAGGGGACGTTGTTGGGCGGGGCGACTAGTTTTATTCCGATTCCGAGTTATAACAGTGGGTATGGGCAGTTGAGGGGTTTTTCCGAGGACGGGGAGGTTGTTGGTTTTTCAGCATAGTGGGCTTATGCATAGTGGGGATCCGGTATTTAGGGGGACGAAGTTTACTATGAGGACTGATATTATGTATCGGGAGGTTTGAATGGTAGATGGAAGGTTCTTTTTGGAATGCATCTATTGAAGTTGGTGTTGTTGGAGATGGACTCGATGAGAAGGTTATGAAATACCCAATATAGCAAACTGTTTATAGGCGAATGAAGGTGCTTGTTTCAAAAAATGTATATGCATGTTTCAAACTATGAACAACTCGACAAGGAAAAAAGGCTTATTTACAATACATTCATCACATCACATAACCCAAGCATAAGAAAGTTTTGTATCCAACACCATTCATGCTTTACAATCTCGACGAGCTAGCCGGAGCATTAGCGGCACAGCACGATGTCGAGAACGCATTCGTCGACTGGGTATCGACACAAATGGCCGAAGGCGGCACCCACAGACCGGGGTTCTTCTCGTAGAAATTGGACGCGCGCAGCATAATGCTGACAGGCTCCGCAGGCATGACGGGGAAGTCCTCGGTACGGGGGAAGTGAGTGAGACCGAATTGCAGGTAGCAGACGATATCGGTGTTTTCGATGTTCTCGTTGCGCTTGGCCCAGTCGACGATGGTCGAATTGTAAGGGTGGTTTTCCTCGCCAGTGGACTGGCACACGTAGTCGCCAGCAGGGAAGAGCTCGTAGTCCTTGTAGGGGGTGACCCAGAGGGGCTTGCGAGCGAAGCCGGCGCGGTTGTAGACGGTGCTGCCGGGCTTGGCGAGGAGAGGGGGGCAGTTGTTGTTGAGAATCTTGTAGCCGACGGGCTTCTTGGCGACGGTGTTCATGCGGTTGGGGTTGATGATGTCCCATGAGCGCTGGGTCTCGTAGCAGTAGTCGGCAGCGCCCTCGAGGGATGTGCGGAGGGGGGTCTTCTTGCTGAGGAAGGCGTTGCCGTAGGGGTTCTCGGGGGAGCCGACGGCGTGGTCGGCGGAGACAGCGTCGCTCTGGACGACGGTGTTGTTGGGGCCGTCGATCTCGGGGTCGATGCGGAGGGAGAAGATGTGCTGGTGGTTGTGGGCGGTGATTTGGGGAGCGACCTGGGTGCCGTAGGGAGCGGCTTGCTCGGTCTCGTGCAGAGAGTAGGTGTTGAGCATACCAGTCAGCTTCATCTCGAGCTTGTAGGTGCCGTCCAGGGTGAACGTGTGGTAGAAGCCGTACTCGTAGTTGGCGGCAGTGATGATTTGGGAGATGATGAGCTTGCGGTCACGGGCCGAGATCACGGTGCCGTCACGGTAGTCGGTGTGCTTGTACAGGAGGCCGTTGTCCTCCTCGTGGATGCAGATGGCGTTCTTAACGACGGCAGCCTCACCGCTGGAGGTAGACATGACACCGTCCATGTAGTGGATAGCACCCTTGCAATCACAACCCAGCTTCAGGGAGTTGGTCATGAGACCAGTGCCGTACTCGCCGACATCGAAAGCGTGCTTCTTGTGGTGGGGCTTCTCGGGGCAGCCATAGGGAACAACCATCTCGACGACGGAGATACGGTTGAAGAGAGTGCGCTCGCGGTCCTCGTACATGTCGTGGGAGCGGACATCGGAGATGACAATACCCTCGCGGTAGTTGAAACCAATGTGCATCTTGTAGTTGGCCCAAGACAGCTCGTTGCCGCGGATCTTGAAGGAAACACCCTGAGGCTGAGTGATGTCGATGGGCTTGAGGCGGTCGTGGATGTATCCGTCGCCGATGAACTCGGGAAGGTAGTTGTGCTCCTTGAGAGGGACGGGGACACGCTCGCCATTGACCGTGCGAACATCAACGCTGAGGACCTCCTCGGTCTCGGTATCGGCGACCACGGAGAAATCCAGAGGGTGGGCGTACTGGTTGTCGAACTCGGAAGCACGGTAGTAAGCCAGACCCTGCTGGAGACGGCGCTCAAAGCCCCAGCGCTCATCGATACCAATAGCCCAGGCATCGAGGAAGACCTTGCTCATATCGGTGATACCAATCTCGGCACAGGCGCGGATAACGCGGGCATCCTTGCGGGCGATGCGCTCCATGACATCGAGATCCTCGAGAGTGAGGGTGGGCATCACGTTCTTCACGGCCTTCCATTCCTCAACCTTCTTGGTCTTCAAGTTGACAATGACCTCGGCGACTTGTTGAGTCTCGCGCTCAATGATGATGGCGAAAGCGCGGCGATCGGGAGCGGCAATCTTACCGGCCCGGAAAGCCTGGTACTCGGCCTTGGGAGGCTCACGCAGAGTGATGCAGTTGAACTTGACGGTCTTGGGGCTGGCATGATCGCGGATGATCTTGGCCGTATCGGGGATTTCCCGAATGGTAAGCTGGTCTATACAAAAAAAGTCAGCGGGCGATTTTCAAAAGCAGAGAAATAAAATTGCAAGTCCGTACCTAGAGGGTGGGGAACACCCTGGGGGAGCATCGCAGTGGCAGCGACACTCTCATAGTCGCTCTCCCGGAAGATCGTGTATCCCGGGATGGATGTGGTATCTGGGGCAGAAGCCATGATGGAATATAGTACAAGAGAAGGACTTGTAGAGCTGTGATAAAATCAGCATCTTGTGCCGTCCCCAGCCGGTCTTTATAGCTAAGTGTTCGCCTCTATCTCGATCGATAGAGTCCGCAAGGACCTGCCTAATCGGGCAGTTCCAAGGATGTCTGGTTCAGAAAACGAAATCTCGCGACTCTTCCCGAGTCCACTTCTGTCCACACGGTGGATTCTTCCCTGCCGTTTTCTCAGTTTGGTGAAAGCCTGGAGAAGGCTCTTTTGAACTTACGTTTTGTTCTTTCCTTTTGCCTCTTTGCAACTGTCATTCCATAATTGCTGTTTCGTAACGCTTCTTCTTGCGGAACTGATAGCCAATCAGAACGCCAGAAGCCGGGATATCCTTGGCCGAACGGTCTGTCCAGCACAGAAGCCCCCGACTATTGTGCCGATCGGGCAGGTTGACCCTACATCCATCAAAAGTGACAAGAATTCAAGCTTATCTGTTTATCTTTCTATCTTTTCATCTTTTCGCGCGGGGAAACCACGTGAGGAGCAGGCTTTCTTAGATAATCTCCTGCAGGGCGCATGTCATCTTAAAGCCGGAAAATATTATTCAGGGTTAAATTTAAGCTCAGTCAAGATCAAGTCTAGTTAGATATTGGCTCTTGATGCCCATATACAGGATCCAGACTCATCTGGTGTTTTATCACCCTAGGATAATTGTAATCGCCCTCACAAAATCGTGATTCTCACCCCGGCGCCTTGAGTTATCCTTATCGTTGCGTGGACCTCCCTCTTTAGGACTAGCGCCTAGAGGGGCAGTGGTGAGTGGCCACTTTCAACTTTGATCCTCTTATCCTCTCTCGATTCTGATTAGCTCCTCAACTATTCCCCAATCCCCACGCTTCCAATGTAAACCCCCCGACTCGGTTCTCTGGTTTCTGGAGATGCCGTGTGGGTCTTCCTTCTCCAGATATCTGCGTTGCCCCCGTGCATCTCATTTGCCTTCTTGATTTGGCATGTCGTGCCGAATCCGTTATCAATGATTACCACTCATGCAGCTACAAGCTGGTGGACTTAAGAGCTTGCACATCGTCAGTTGTCCTAGATCGCCTGTTCTTTCCTCACAAGTCAGATTGGCAAGAATTACATCGTGCTTTCTGATCATACCAACATCATGGCCTCTTTATCCGTTCAGTTGACCGCCCCTAATGGTCGTGTCTGGTCCCAGCCGACTGGATTGTTCATCAATAACAAATGGGTCAAGTCTTCGAACGGCGAGAAGATCGCAAGCATCAACCCATCGTACGTTTTGCAATTAGGCCTTTAGCTTGAAGCGATACAGGGAAGATAGTTCTCGCTGCTAACACTTTTCCTGACTTCAACAGAACGGCCAAGGAAATCACCTCTGTCTATGCTGCTTCCGCGCAAGATGTCGATACCGCTGTTAAGGCTGCCCGTGCGGCCTTGAACCACCCCAGCTGGCGTGATCTTCCTGGAAGCGATCGCGGCAAGCTGATGAACCGCCTGGCACAGCTCATTGAAGACAACCGTGAGACGCTCGCGACGATTGAGACTTGCGACAACGGAAAGCCATATACTGTGTCGCGGGACGACGACTTGACCGAGACGGCAGAGACCATTCGGTACTACAGCGGATATGCCGACAAGATCTTCGGACAGGTTATTGATACCACCCCTAATAAGTTCGCTTATACCGTTCGCGAACCCGTCGGCGTTTGTGGTCAAATCATTCCGTAAGTAGCTTCAGAAGCCTTGGCTGGAGTTTTGTGTAATATGCAAGCAGCGACTGACTCTCTGCCCATTTGCAGATGGAACTTCCCTCTCTCGATGGCCGCCTGGAAGCTCGGCCCTGCCCTAGCATGCGGTAACACGATCGTCATGAAGCCCGCCGAGCAGACCCCTCTCTCAATCCTGTTCCTCGCAAACCTGATCGTGGAAGCTGGCTTCCCCCGGGTGTTGTAAACATCGTCAACGGCCACGGAGCCATCGCAGGTGCCGCTCTCGCCTCCCACATGGACGTCGACAAGATCGGTTTCACCGGCAGCACTGCCACCGCCAAGCAAATCATGAAGATGGCCAGCGTTAACCTGAAGAACATCACTCTGGAGACCGGCGGTAAGAGTCCTCTAATCGTCTTTGACGATTGCGATCTCGAGCAAGCCGTGGAGTGGGCACACATCGGCATCATGTACAACCAGGGCCAGATCTGCACAGCGACATCGCGCATCTTAGTCCAAGATAAAATCTACGATAAATTCCTCGCCGCATTCAAAGCCCAAGTCAAAAACGTCTCCAAGGTTGGCGATCCCTTCGACGAATCCACTTTCCAAGGCCCCCAGGTAACCCAGGCCCAATACGACCGCATCATGTCGTACGTCGACATCGGGAAATCTGAAAAAGCCACCCTCTCCTACGGCGGAAAGCCCTTCAAGGGCGTCGGTGATGGAAAGGGCTTCTTCGTCGAACCGACCATCTTCACCGACGTTTCTCCCAGTATGCGCATCTACCAGGAAGAAGTCTTCGGTCCCTTCGTTGTGATTGCCCGCTTCAGCACGGAAGAGCAGGCTATTGAGATGGCCAACGATACCACATACGGTCTTGGAAGTGCTCTGTTCACTACTAACTTGACTCGGGCGCACCGCGTTGCGAAAAAGATTCAGGCTGGTATGGTCTGGATCAACTCTAGCAATGATAGTGATTGGCGCATTCCTTTCGGTGGTGTGAAGCAGAGTGGTATTGGGCGGGAATTGGGTGAGGCTGGTTTGGATGCTTATTCTAGTATCAAGGCTATTCATGTGAACATGAAGTCTAAGCTGTGAGCTATATCTGTGTGAATATTTTGTGTTATGGGTTGATTAAAATGGATACGTGTATTTTTTTGTCTATGGATCTTTGTCTCGTTGTCTAAGATCAGGGGGGTTTTAGGGTAATCTATCAATGAAAGCACTGAATTTGGTAGGCAGATGAAGTGCACGGTGGAGCTACATACCTATATAGGTGTATCGTAACGGAAAGCTCCCTCCAGATAGCCACCGTCCTACCTGATGGTAACTCAATGGATCTGGACGAATAATCAAAACGAGGACCGGTCCCGACCTATTTTGCATTGAATCCATGCCATCACACCCTACAGCATGAGATCTCTTGTATTTAGCCAAGTCATAACCTCTTCTCTACAACCTCGCTGTCGAATAAAATAGGTAGACTCTATTCTCGCTCGTCCACATCTACATATATATACCTTAGGTGGTACTCTGCGTTTTTTTATGGACTCGGGCAATTTCATTTCTTTAGTTAGAGCAACCTGACGGGTTGGTACTCAAGCAATGCGGTTGAGATGGCCATGTGGTCCACATGGGGCAATTAAAGGCTGGAGCTACCTACTTAAGCATACAAATTAGGCGAAATATTGAGCTCACGCCACATTCTGCAACAGTATTGTCCCCACTATGGCATCGTGCAGGTAGGATTCAAACATCCCGTTTGGGAAGGTAGACGCGGGTTATAGAATGTGCATTCTAGAACATCTGATTTTTCACGCGGCTCTCGACTACTATGATGAATTTAAATAGGGTAGGTCTTACCTCTCTTCCTATAGAGCAGCGTGTTGAGTAGTTGCCCAACTGCGTGATACACCAGGACCTTGATGTTCTTCGTTCATGGCTCCAGACGTAGTATGAATTTTAACCCCAGCCGTCGAATTCTGGGGTAGCCGACCGTAGATCGCTCTAGCCGATTCAAACCTGTCACCGAACAAGGTACCATCTGATTTCCTGGAGAACTCCGTACAAGCGACACATTAGCCTAATTTAGACCACCCTGCCGATATTATTCAGTGGACCCATGTCGGCCATACTTAGTGTGTGCGTGTACCTTCCCGAAATGGGTGCCGAGGCGAAAAGGCGCCGCGCTTCGCCGTGGCGATCTTCCGACGAGACCGACACGGACCGACTATGGACTTGACGGGCAATCCATTTATAAGACCAAGACACGTTCACAGGTCGCGAAATATTGCGAGGGAATTTGCGAGCCAAATATAAGCTCGCCCTGGCAGCTAAACCGGAAAGCACTCCCCAGAAAGGTTTAGAGCGCGCCATTTATTCGCGGCTGAGAAGTTTGATCAGCCAATCAAAGCCCGTGGCTCGTTTGCGACGCTATACTTCGAGGAATCTATTTGAACAGAATGAGGGACACAAGTCCCGTTTGTCGCTTCGAAATTCCTTTTCATCGTGCTTTGCAATAAAGATTTAAGTCATGGCTCCTTCTGATTCCAAGAGAAAAGACGCTTCGAGTGCCCGACATCGCTCCCATAAAGGCTGTTGGACGTGCAAACGGAAACGCATTCAATGTGACGAGACGCGACCCGGTTGTCAAAAGTGCAGCTCGAGGGGAGTTGCCTGCGAAGGTTATGAGATTAGACTTCGCTGGGGCGCTGGTATCGCGTCAAGAGGTCGATACAGTGGGGCGGAGAAACCTGTCAAGGAGTTTATACCTCCACCATCAAAGCGCAGGTGGGATCTACGTGACAAGGGCGAGCAAAGAGAGGAGGGAGATCATCAGGGGCAACCCATTTTGTTATTCGGTTCAAGTTCCGATGAAGGTATTTGAGTCATTCGCACCTTCGAAGAACGAAGCTTACAGAGTCATCATATAGTCCGATCGATGGCACATTTGAATCAACCGATTTATGAACGACCGACAGTGAATATCCTGAACGTACCTTATGGCGATAGCCAAACCGACTACATACATATTAAGAAACACTTTGAACTTCCTGTTTCAATGAGGAATTTCGAAAACACGCAGGAACATCTACTTGGAAGGGGTTCAACTCAATATTCAAAGAATATAACAGGAAGTCCTGCTATTCTTGCTTGAATAGGCCTGTGTATTGAGATTTTGAAGCGTTTTATGTCTCTTCGGCAAACTATAATATTCATGAATTATGAGATTCTTCTTCGAATCAAAGCTAATTACATATTACGTAGCCTTATTAAGTAGGCACTCTCCGACCCAGTTTAAACCTTGTAGATCAACCGACGGTTCTGACGATCTGTCAAATCCGAGAACGCATTGGCTAAATCGCTCACTTCGTCGATCTCTCCACTTTCCTCCATCTCGCGTCTGCGTGCGGCATTTTCCCTCGAATAGACAAAGTACAAAATCGAGAAGAGAATGATGTTGATGATGAAAGCCGCAAGAGTCACAAAGACACCAGTTGTGTACTTTGGTGCCTGCTTGGAGAGGAAAGTTTGCGGCGAGATAATGTTTGCCACACAGTAAGCTGAGAAGAACAGAGTACCAGTCACGGTCTTCTTCGTATATCCAGCAATGTTAGCCGCGAGAATCGAGTACATCATTCCTCCTGCTGCTGCCACCATCGGGATCAGGAAGATAGCCGCAAGATGAGAGCTTAAAGTGGATGAGTTCACTGGAACTCCGTAGAGGATGCCACATGAAATGATTCCGGGGATGTAGCAGCCAATGATGGTGAAGATCTGTTTGCCTTCGCCCCATTTCGATGAAAGGAAGAAGCCGACGAGGATCATTGTGGCTGCCATGACAACACCAACGGGGATCTGGAGCAGCACGGCTTGGTAAGTGTTGTAGCCGAAGCCCTTGATGATGATTCCAGTAAAGTTGGTCTGCAGACTGTTGGTCATGTTGTGGCAGAAGATGGCAAGCAACAACATCCACACACGGTAGTCGGATAGGGTCTCAATAACTTGATCCTTCTTGTGGTGGGTGTTCTTGACACCAGTGCGGTTATCCTTGAGACGTTGAACGGCAATAACTCGCTCGCGATCTGAGAGCCACTGGCATGTGAGGGGAGTATCGGGAAGCATCCACCACAGACTGACTCCAACAAGAACAGTCAAGGCGCCGAAAATGATAAACATCCATTGGTATGGGAAGATATTATCAACCTAAACGGTAGTCAATATCCCCGCCCAGACAATCAACAATTAACGATCTCAGTGGTACTCACATTGATGTGTGCGATAGCCCAGAACAAAACACCGGCCGGGACTGATGCCAGTCCGTTGGCACTATACCAAAGACCGATACGAGCTGCCTGCTCTTCTCTCTTCCACCATGACGAAGAGATCAGAACAAAGCCGGGGTTGAGACAGGATTCAAAGACTCCCAAAAAGAACCGAGCAGGAGCGAGTGTTGCAAAGCTCTTGCAGCTTCCAGTAGCGGCAAGTGTAATTCCTTTTGAACATGTCAGCCGATGCTTTATACTTGAAATCTGGACAAAGAACTAACCCCAGAGGATGAAGTTGACAGTCAAGTATTTTCCGGTCGGAAAACGCTGCATGAGGTAGTTGGTCGGATATTGGGCAACCTGGCATTGAAGACTGGTGTCATTTTGAGACTTCATCAAGGTCGTTGACAGAAGATTCTTACAAGATAACCAATGTAAAACAGAGTAATCAGGAGACTGAACTCCTGTCCTTTCAGGTGGGCTTCAGTGATCATGCCGTATGTTGCGGCATAGCTGATAGTCTTTTATAAACATTAGTCTTCTGGAAAGACAAGTTTCGTGGACATCAACACATACCAGCTTGTCAACAAACTGAATTCCGTTGACAATCAACATTACAGTCACCAGGCGAAGGTCAATCTTCCACCTCAGTCGTCTTTCTTCCTCTGGAGAATACTCCACGAACTCGGTCTGAAGGATATGAAGGGCTTCATCACCGTCTTGGAGCTTGTCCGCAAGTACTGCCGGTCGGGTCATTGAAGGGTTCTCCATCTCTATGGCCTCCGCACCGTCTTTGTTTGTCTGTGCTGCCATTTTTGCGGTGTTGTTCCAAGCCCAGCTCGTAGGAACAGTGAAAATGAAGTCTATGAGATATACCAGGCCTTTGAAAAATCTGGAGAACCTGGGGAGTCACAGAGACCCCCGGCCTTTTATGAACAGCTCCCCATGGGCGGATGTTCGTTTCATAGATGCTGTAAACGCCACAAATTCACCGTCGCTTAATTCCTACACAGCGGTATTGCGCTTTTCCGATGTACTAAGCTGTTGAAAAAGCCATAAGCTAACCCCGCTTGGACCCCATGAGCTCCAATACTCGTTTCTCCCCGCGTTTCCGAGCCGGGGGTGGAGCCGAAGTATTGCCGAGCATGCAGCTATCTGGGGCCCCAGAAATCGATCTAGATCCTTTCGGGACAGGCTCAAAGACACTAGCTGAAGCATGATTCGCACACGGTATGTAGTTTCGGCTATTTTTTCGTTTAGATACTACTAATCTAGCCGCTGGGGAAAGCGTTCACCCTCAATGTAGATTCATACACCTCAATGTTATAGGAGAGTCTATCTCGCAAAGACTGGTTTTCTGCGTTGATCTGCTCGTTATGCCATCGGACCTTGGAGCTACGACCTGACAAATGGGAAAATCCCCGGATGTGGATCATAATGGATCATAAGGAGTTTCGAGACATGGGGGATAAGCGTTCTCAGCACAAAGCTTAGCATAGCTTGACAATCGTCTCCACATGAAAGCCCCGCAAGATGCAGAAATTGATTATCCGGGCTTATAAACCCCGCGGCTGTCTACATTTCTGGAGGAAGTCTCCCCGCGTGATATACCTGATATACCCCAGACAAGATTCCAAGGCAATTTCCCGTCTCTTGTCCAATCCCTCAATCGTGACTCGTTTTTGAAAATATGGCGGCCGGAGACAAGGTATCCATCAACGCGCCGTCGCTTGGCGCAAATATCGTGGGATCATTGGATCAAGAGAACAATGTTGCCCTGTTTCGGGGCATTCCATTCGCATCTGTGAACAAACGTTGGACTCACAGCGAGACATTGCACTCCCTTGACAACGACTTTGATGCGACGAAACTTGGACACAGATGCAGCCAATTAAGCGGAATGGTGTTGGTCTCGGGAGGAACCAATGATCCTTTGCCTGGCGACGATGAATTCAAGTGTCTGAATCTAAATGTCGCCGTACCTAAAGAGGCTCTATATGCCCCAGATTCTAAGCCACTGCCAGTTATGGTCTGGATCCACGGGTGAGTTTTCTCAATGCCTGTACAAACTACGACTTTTCTAACATGTCTTTGATTCACTTCTAGAGGTGGCTTTGCTTTCGGTGCGAATTCAGTCGCTCGGTATCGTCCACAGGCCCTCCTCGTACACGCACGCAAGTGTGGAACACCGATCATCCTTGTTTCAATAAACTATCGACTCGGCGCTTTGGGCTTCTCGGCTTCCAAAGACTTGGCCGAAGAAGTCAATGGCGGTTCTCGAACTCATCCTATGGGCAACTACGGATTTGTCGATCAACGCAACGCACTTGAATGGGTGAACGAGCACATTCAAGACTTTGGAGGAGATCCGTCCAACATCACTGTCTTTGGTGTTAGTGCTGGGAGTGTCAGCATTCACTTGCATCTCCTTGCTGAGCATGCTCTATTCGATCGCGCTATCATGATGTCGGGTTCAGCACCGGTCTTGAGCCCCAAGGAGCCAGAGACCTATCAAAGAGACTGGGATCGTCTGTGTGATAAGACGGGAATTAAAGCATCAACGGCTGCTGAAAGGCTAGAACAACTTCGGTCATTGGATGTGGATGTCATCCTGAAACAGGCAACCCCTGCTGCTATGGGTCCCGTCGCGGACGGCAAGTTGCTCAAGTCGGGCTGGACCTATGAAGAGAATGTTTCCAACAAGCGATGCAAAGAGTTCATCTTGGGAGATACCAATGTTGAAGCTATCATCTTCGATGGTTTGCTCAAGCGTCTTTCTCAAGCTCGCTTCCACGAATTGGTTGACGAGGCTTTCTCAGTCGAAGATGCCGAACAACTATACCTCAAATTTGGTTTCACTCGTGAGCCACAATCCGAGGAGGATTTCCGTAAAGCCTTCAGGCTTCTGGTTGGAAATACTTTGTTCAACTATTCACACGTTGGTATTGCCAAAGCATCTAAGAACTCTGATGCCTGGAAGGACAAGGTCTACCTCTACCACTTTGAGCAGCCTTCTCCATTCCCGGGTCCAACTCACGGCCTCTCTTATCACGGTCTTTGCGCAATGCTCATGCATTTGAACGAGCTTCCCAATTGTCCACCACCGACACAGGAAGTTTCGTTAGAGGCTGCTCGTATTTGGACCGCCTTTGCCCACGGACAACAGCCATGGGAGCCATACTCTCAGAACGGAAAGTTCATGCGCTTTGGTCCAGATGGAAAGTCGGACGTATATGATTTCGAAAGCGATACTACGAGAGACTATAAGTTCCAGACGTGGCTTGGCGAGCATATAGGCGAGGTTGGGTCTTTTGTCGGAAGACTTGTCATGAATCTCGAGAACAATGAGGCATAGATTAAATCCAAATTTACAATTACAGAATAGACTTGATTATCGATAGAATAATGCATTCGTGTAGGCTTGAAACCATCTCTTGCTCAGATGTAGACTCTTCAACACGTATATTTTCACCGAGAATGATCGCCCCCTCTATCGACGAGAGTGCCCAGGTGGAAGAGTCCGCCCTTCTGTCTCCATGAGATATCTCAATTTTAATAGAAGACTCTTTCAGCTCTTCCTCGGTAGGCATATAGAGAATCATTAAATAAAGCACATCCTCCTTAAGATTCTTAAGCCAACCAACTTGCTCCTTCTCTTTCTTCTCAACTCTCAACTTGTCTTTTCAGGGTTCACTCGGCGGGAGCCCCTGCATAGTAGCCCGTTTCTTATCTTGTGATTCCTTAGCCATTCCAACCCGCTCAATGGGGCCGGGCTTGAGATTGCACAAGCCGCTGGTAATTGCCGAGAGCAGCGTTCCGTTGTTAGCGGGCTGACTCGGGTCATTGTATCGCGAAACAAACGCCTTTCTTCCGGAGTCGGGGAATGGCAGAATGGCTATCTCTTATCAGATCACAGTGGTCAAAGCAGGCAAGACTCAGTCTACTCAGCTGGATCGTGATTTGAGTGCTTTACATCGTTCTAGTCACTCAGGTACCAGGCAGTTTGATAAGGACTCGTTATTCATTTCCATTGAGGTATCAAAACAAACAGTAACAAAGTAGTCAGACTATTCTACACTCATATAACACAATATTCATAGACCATGCAGCCGTTGGATCGAAAATCAATTCCATGATACCTGGCGGAGCCTTTCATACTGTTAGCTTGAATTCGAGGTGATGAGCTTCACAATCAAAAATGGTGGAAACTTACAAAGCTTTCTCAGTCGTCGTAGATTCCTTCGCTCTCTTCATTGGTTGTTTATTCGGTTTCTTCGGGTCAAAAGGTCTCAACAAATTGAAATTGCACAAAAGGTCTTCCGAAACGGACATGCTAGCTCCGCAATTGTCGAATTCCCCACAATACTAGATCAACAACGTCAGCATATTCCATCAAGACAAGGGTACAAAAGACTTACATTTGGTGCAGAGAATATCGTCACCAATGACTTATTCCCAAAGAACTCATACCCACCCTCCACCACCATATGCGACCGGCAAACCAAGTCCAAGCTGTGATGTTTGAGGAAGTTCACAATCGGCGCCTTGCCAAAACACCAACTCACGCCACGATCATCATTAGGTCCCCAATCCCTGATGTTGGCGGGATCGCTCCAGAGAAGATCATTTAAAAGTCCGTACTCGGGCACTTCAACCGGCCGAGATATTTTCCGAATATCATCCATATTGGTAAGATTGGGCGAAAGACCACCGTGAACACAGAATATCTTCTCTGCGACGATGGCGGCAATAGGGAGACAGTTGAAAACATCTGTGAAGGTCTTCCAGATTTTGATGTTGCAGCGTCGCTTGCATTCATCGTGGAATCCGTAGATACGGGTGATGTTGGCACATTCGTGATTGCCTCGGAGGATGAAGAAGTTCTCGGGGTATTTGAGTTTGTAGCATAGCAGTAGCAGCATTGTCTCGAGGCTTTGCTTGCCACGGTCGACGTAGTCTCCGAGGAATAGGTAGTTGGTTGCCGGTGGATAACCGCATGTATCAAATAGTCGAATGAGATCTGGGAATTGTCCATGTAGATCGCCGACGATCTGGATCGGAGCATTGAGCTCTAGAAGAACGGGTTGAGAAAGGAGAATGTTGCGCGCATTCGAGCAAATAGCTATGATCTCGGCATTACTGAGACAGACGCTTTTGGATGGTTTTGAATATCCGACTCGGAGGAGGCGTGCAATCATGTCGTCCAAATTCACCAATGCTTGCATATTCTGCCGGTCTCTTCTTGAATCATCCCAGATGATGGAATCGAGATCGAGGGAATTGCTCTTCCGTAAAATTGAGACCGGCGGCTTCTTGATCGGATTGAGCGGGTTACCAATCAGAGTCTTAGCGGGTAATTGCCTTGCTGCGTCAATGTGCTGTATTTGGCCCGATTTCTCGGTCGGCGCAGCGTGGATAGTTGTATCGGGAGCTCGTTGGGTGTCATCTTTGCTAGAACGCCGTAGATGCTGGCCACTTCTCTTCAGCAGACTCAGCAAGGATAGACCTTTCGGTGAGCTTCCTTTAATATGACTGTCAAGGAAATTCGGGTTGCTCGGGGGGTGCTGCATGTCGAAGCCATCTGTCTTGGCTGCTGCGGCTCAGAAAAACCGGTAGCTTGTGCAAAGAATTAAGTTTCCTGGGGTGTTTCAAGACCTTTTATCTTGCAAGTTGAAGGAGCCTAGGAGGAATACTGGTTTTGAGCGGATCCTTGGGGGGTCAGCTCGGTATTATTGACATGGGTTCTGACAGTTAAGGCGTTAAGGCGTTGGCAAATCGAAGATCAGCTCCGTCGCATGTTTGATCAGATTTCCGCTCCTCCAGAGGGGCGGGCGTTATCATGTTGCCTGCTCGGCTCCTCCTTGGACTCCTCCTTGGACTCCCTCCTCTGTCAGCGATACCCGGAAGCGGGGTTGTACGAGGGTCTAGCTTCCTTGGCATCACCTTGGCAAGGAGGGTGGCTTTCGAATGGACAGTTTATTCCCTCTTAGTATTTCATGTGATAATGACATAGTTCATATCAGCTCTAGACCAGGGTATGGAAGATAAGCAGATATCCCTATAATCCTAGGGTTGTGGCCATCCAATATCTATGATCGATGCTATCCCAGATATTGTCGATCCCAGAAAATCAGATCCTCCCATTTTTGAACAGCAAAACGGAAACGGTCCTCGGGAGAATCATCATCGACTCTCCCGTCCACCTTGTGTGGGGCGTACCGAGTGATGATCATTTTGGAAAGTGGAGAAAACTGAAATTCCTCAGGATCCTTGCTAACTGGCCACCACCATAATGAGGATTCCCCACTCGAACCTCAAATTCGACGAGTCACAACGAATTCGCCTCCTTTATCGATCTCTTAGGTTCCAAGTTAAGGTCACTTGACCTTGGAACAGACAAGCTTAGACTGGCAGGAAATAGCGTCCATGATAGTCAGTCGGATGATGCACAGCCCTGTGGGTCGTGGCTTTCCCCATTTCTCAATATTGTGGCTGTTTTTGAGTCAATCGTAGTCAAATCGCCTCCTCGGTTCTCCTCTTTCCCCTCCCCTATTCAAAGGTCCGAACCTATACACCTGGCAAATATTAATTGCTATCCTTGCAATTTGGGCCTTGGCTGCTGCTAGTCTTGCTTTTCCTCGGTCAGTTTTTCCTACTCACAATGAGCAATCCTAGCTCCACTAATCAGGGGTTTCCATTGGATGGCCATGACGACACGACATCGCATTCACATCTGGCACACCTAGACAGTGCTACCATCACAAATATCACACCACAGATATTGTCAAGTGCAACAAGAAGTGGGGGCCTGACTCTATGACTCTGTTCTCCCACAAGACTACGTAGCATAATTCCACTAGATATTAAAGAGCAAATTAGTTATATCGGCTAACTCGCCAATCCTCAACCCCGGTAACTCCAAAGATAACTTGAAGCTTAAATTTAATTTACCATGAAATATCTTCAAGTCATACCCCATCAGCAATTGTTGCATTATAACCCAGCTTTGGGAATTCAGTTGCGAATTGGCTCTGAGGGAGGCGGTGATGCTTATTGTAAAGGGATTCTAGCTTCCAAGGCTTTAGACACGATAGGAATCATGGGTGATAAGACTTCCATCTGGACACGAGGCTGTGCATGAATTAAAATGACTTCCATGGTCCTGCGAGCTTGGCAGGAACGTGTTCATACCAGTACATAGAAGGCGTCTGTGCATGAATGAGGTGTTTTTCTGGCTCTAAGACGTCAATTGGCCCTTTCCAGACTTGCGATGGAGGGAATTCATTCTCATATTGCGCGTTATCCGACTGATGTGAAGGGCTCTTGAGCCTCCTCTGTTTCGTGGACAGAAGAATGTGCCAGTGGGGCCGGTTTGGGAGGTTGATTATCCCAAATCGTGAGGGTAATAATTCATCCAGTCAGAGATACTGTTGATAGTGGATTTCACGCATACGCTCCTCGGTGGATAGAAAGTAGAAATTGATGGAGCAGAAAAGGGCGATTAATCGTGATTAACAGAAAAGACTGAGAGCTAGAAACATGTTTCCAGCTAATCCACTAGATTTTCTGAGATCATCCCAGTCCGGTTATTTACCAAATAGTCTATCAATTTCTAAGTATTCTCGCTTGACTCCAAGATCTCGTATTCAGTTATGCTCAGTTCCTGCACACGATAAAGTACATATTAATAATAATTCGACGGCCGCTTTCAACGACATCGTTGCGCAAGGCGATGCAGACAGACCATGATTTAAGGCGGCCATCTAATCTTGAGGACTTTGGACCCAGGTCTAATTCACAGGGACCGACACTTGCGACAAGGATTTCCCTTCTCGTCCTTCTGTAGCAGGAGTGGAGATAGATTGAAGAGAGAGTGGAGAGAAAACTCTCAAATTTGACGGCCGGTGAATGTAAGGCTGATGAATATCGCAAAGTTGTCCAGGTGGAAAAATCACTATCTAACTGAACAGAGAAAGCACTGCACAAGGTGTTTAACGCAAGCTTAATCGCGACGGCTCGCCACAGGGAGTGCCTGCAATTCAACGACGAGGGTTCTCTACCCGAGGAAGTCGACAAGAAGGGACTACCTTTCGTCGCTTGCACTCAGGCTCATAACCTTGTGCGTTGTTTTCTCTCTTCAGGCAGATGGTGATTCTTCTCAGGTGTTGTATGATACTGAATGTTGAACGGTGACGATCGGAATTTCGGCACAAAGTTCACAGAGAGAAATCCTCTTATAGCGTGTGTCGCTCAACTTGGTCTCCGAAGCAATTCCTCAAATACGAAGGAGGAATTTGTAGCCCTGAATGGAAGCCATACGGTGTTGAGGAGTTGAATGTTGAGAAAGCAGTGTCGGTTCGGTCCAGAGATCAGCAGCCCTGAGAGGACGGGTATTCGGTGTTCAAAACACTGGTGTCCAGAATCAAGTTAATCATATGGTATTCAGCCTAAGAGGTGGTGCTTAGGAACAGCAAAGTATCTTGGAAAGCAGTGCTCAAGGGGAGGTTTCTTCATAGGGATGTGGCTTTTTTTGTCCTCGTAGATTTGAGCCTTAGAGGCAGCCTTGATCAGCTGGATTTCATGCTTGTCCGGGTGAACGGGCATGAAAGAAGGAATTTCGATGCGAATGGGCACATATCCCCCAAGCAAAGGGAATCGCCATACCATACTTCGATTTCTGGGTTGTTTTTGGCCATAGCTTCGATTGTTGCATCGATGATTGCGCCTGGTACTTATATGGACTCATGCTCAGCGGCATAGCAGACCAGATTCCAAGTGTGTCAGAACGCGCGAGCAGAACGAGTAGGGCTCGCAGGTTATCGATCGCAGTCCCGAATGTCGCGTGGAACGGGAGCTCTCGAGAGACACCTCGCCACGGAGAGTGTCCGTATGTAAATGGCGAGGGTGTTCACCCGAGGAAGACGGCGTGTGGCGATTAACTAGCGCCGAAAGCCCTCTGGCTCATGAAAGTGAATCCATGAGCCCATGGGACTGCATATTGAATGCCACTTCCACGTCATTGCCCTCAGTTAAGTCCTTTGTCCCAGAAGTTACAGGTTTACTTCCAGTCCCCATTCATCAATCTCCCTTGCGTCCTGGGTCTGGATAATATCGTGATTCAATTTAATATAGGCGTTAGGTTGGCCCAGATATTTCGGCTAAGCATCTTCCCAGTCTTCGATGATCGGTGCCAGTACAAAAGCCGGCCCATCCAGTAGAATACCCGGAGAAAATCTTCGAAAGGGATGTTCTCGAAGAAATAATTGACGACTGCCTTGGGTCGTTATGGCAACGAAGGTTCGCTGTGCTCTTCTCGATGGCTTGCCCCGTGTATTCCTACAAGAACAATTCCAAGGTTAGAATATAAGAAAATAGCAGTAACGGTCTCGATTAACGAACCTTGAATCCCCGAAGCGTTGTTGACTTCCATTTTCGAGTCCAACTACCTATATCCTGCGTCGCAAAAGTATACTCAGCCGGGTTTCTGTCGATGTGAGGCTAGACCGTGTGGATCAAATGGTCTTAGCCATCATTAACCGCATACTACCGGAGATAATGCCAGCGAACCCCCTCGTCGAAACGTGCACGCTCTGGGATAGCCTGACTCTCCGCCAGAACAATGTCATAGGTTTCGGCTGCGCTGTTGGACCCATTGTGTTGTCCTTGAGAAAGATGCTTTTTAAGCAGTGTTTTGTAGACATGAGGCTAGTTCTGACACCGCTCAAGGGTATACGGTGAGGATGAGTTAGCATAGTCATCGTTATATGCCCACCGATGGATGTATCAGGGGGACTCGGAATTCGATAAGATATAGGGTCTGGAGGAGAAACAAGAAGATTGCTTCTTTCTTATTTGTAGATGATCGCGTATCTAGCGCCAATATGCAAGGAAGCAAAGCAAAGAGGGGAACGAGTCAATCTGGTTCGAGTGTCTGAGGATAATTATTCAGAGAACAGGACGGGAAACAAGGAAGAGCAAGGCCTATAAAGGCCGAAGCAATCAATCGCGCTGGGCCTGGAAACGGCCATCAGGGAAATTCCAATGGGAGATCCCATGGGGATTTCCTGGGGAATCCCGCTCCATCAGTAGAGTAGAGTAAACATCCATCTCGAAGCGTGACTGAGCTTCTATAACCTAAGTTCCATTACTGTGTACCTATCAAGCACCAAACAGCCATAGATCATCTGGAATATTCTTCCAGAAAAAGGAATCTCCCATCATGGGTCTTACCTTGCATATCACAAACACCCCAATCAACATAAAGGCACATTCTGACGAGCTTCCGATTGATTGGTGATTGTACCATGGATGAGATGAGAATCCCCTGTGTGATTGTCAGGAGTTTTCTCGAGGACAGACTGAGGGTGGTCGTGCTTTTGTGTTCCGGTGCGCGAGGAGTGAGCGTGACTTTATGGAAGACCTTAGGATCAGTGGGTAAGGTTCGCTCTGCTTAGGTCTAGGATGAAACCTGCTTTGGTATATTTCACCTATAGCTAGCTCATCTATATCTATGGATATGGGTCACTCGCCCCGAAGATCTAGACATCAACAAACAAGCCCTAAGCTCGGACACAGATTAAACTTGCTTAATCTTCCTCTTTATTCATATTATTCAGACTCCGTATATTGGATATTCCCCGAGTACTCCGTACACACCAGCTAAAGAACAATGAAAATCATCGGCATCCGCGGTCTCCGAGACCAACACGGACCTCTCATTCGACAGCCCCACGACCTCCACAACTAAACCCAAAAGGGGGACAAATCGGATCTGTAAGATGAATTGCTCCTCCAAAAACCTACAAGGTTGTGACGGTGATTGGAACGAATGAAAAAGGGGTGGAGACAATTTAGTACATACTACATACAGTAGGTAAACACGACCCCCAACATTTATCATCCTCCACGATCTCATCTCAGCATTCCTCTTCACCCCGTCCCATTCCCTCGTCCCCAGATGGCGGCGCCCACGCACTCCCAGCGACCCCCGGTCTGCGGGGGATCCGCACGTCGCCGCAAGACTGAGCAAGCTACAGCAACAGTGACAATTACGGCAACAGCAACAACTCCGCTCGAACCCGCTTCCAACGGCCATGTACAACACGAAGCCAAAACCGCCCGGCCACGGAAGAAGCCGCGCTCACTCCTGCGACGCCTGAAAAGGCGCGCGATCAAGCATACATGGTCAATCCCACTGCTCCTCCTCGTGGCATTCGCCTCCCTCTACACCCTCGACCCAACCGACACCAACATAATCCACCACTTCATCTTCCTCTCCTACCGGCAGGACCCTGCCCCCGGAACCCCAGGGCCCGCCCAATACGGCAAAGGCCTCTGGGACATCGCCTTCGTCTCCTTCTACACAATCGTCCTAACATTCACCCGCGAATTCATCATGCAAGAACTCCTACACCCACTCGCGCGCGCATGCGGCATAAAATCCCGCGCCAAACAACTGCGCTTCATGGAGCAGATGTACACGGCGATATACTTTGGTATCTCAGGTCCGGTCGGGTTGTATGTTATGCGGCGCACGCCGGTGTGGTATTTTAATACACGGGGTATGTATGAGATGTTTCCGCATCGGACGCATGAGGCGGTGTTTAAGTTTTATTATCTTTTTGAGGCGGCGTATTGGGCGCAGCAGGCGCTTGTTATGGTGTTGGGGATGGAGAAGCCGAGGAAGGATTATAAAGAGTTGGTTGCGCATCATATTGTTACTTTGGCGTTGATTGGGTTGAGTTATCGGTTTCATTTTACGTATATTGGGATTGCGGTGTATATTACGCATGATATTAGTGATTTTTTCCTTGCGGTATGTTATTCCTTTCTTCATTCCAGGGCATACTCCCCGAATATCAGGTCTGTCGCTAACTTTATACTTAAGGTCTCCAAATCCTTTCACTACATCGACTTTCCCCTCGTCATCCCCTTCTACGCCCTCAACGTCGGAACATGGATCTACCTCCGACACTACCTAAACCTCCGCATCCTCTGGTCCCTCCTAACCGAATTCCGCACCGTGGGCCCCTACGAACTAAACTGGGAAACGCAGCAGTATAAATGCTGGATCTCGAATATCATCACATTCGCCTTGCTGGCCATGCTGCAGAGTTTGAATCTGTTTTGGCTGTATTGTCTGCTGCGCAGTGCGTGGAGGTTTATTTCAACAGGGGAGAAGAAGGATGATCGGTCGGAGGATGAGGAGGAGGGGGAGGGTGAGGGGGGTTTGAATGGGAATGCTAAGGTGAATGGGAGTGGGAACGGGGTGGCTAAGGCTCATTGAAGGTTTCAATGAAAGGTGAGAATGAGGATTCGAGACCTTTGGGCAGGGGGTTTGGTTTTGTTTCTTGGGTGTTGGCATTATTGCCTACTGTGGCGCAATAATGTTGTCGTCAACGGTAAGGTTATCACCCTTGCATTATCTCATCGCACAATGGCCTGCATGAAGCGATTCGGGTCGGGTTCGCCCGAAACTATGATTCAAATTGGGTTTGCTTGTCTTACCAGTTCCACGATTGGAAAGTGGGTATGGATGGAGGGTAGGATCATCCAAGGAGTGTGGACTGGAAACTGCATTGAACAGTTGTATATGCACCACCACGCATCTGTATAATACTTTGCACCTGTTCACCTGTCATTTATTTACAACCTCAATGTCTAATATAATGTCTAATGAAGCACATACAACCACACTACACTACATATCTCTCAAAATCGAATCAATTTTGAAAAGCCTCTCCTAGTACCTAGGGAGGCATATTTCATTCATTCCAGGACATGTCTTGATACCTTCCATAATCAAGCCCGCAGCTCTCTAAGTGAAGTAATATCCGATGCCATCGCCATAAGTGCAAGGTGCAATTGTGCGGGTGTAGATGTCTGTAAAACAAAAAAGGAAAAAGAAAAAGGAAAGATGAGACGAGACCTGAAACGCTAAGGCCTTGTATATACAACAAAAAATGAATGCAGAGCCAGCCCAACGCCGTGTTCCCCATGTATCGAAGCCGCCCAAGGCTTGTCTTCCAATGATGTGCGATAAAACGAAAAAAAAGGCTGGGAATGAGAGGGTGGGTCATCATATGAACAAGAAAATGAATGAGAAAGATGCAGGAAAATGAATGCCGATATAGACATGTAAGGAGAGGAAATAGAGTCAGGTGGTATGATATGTTCAAACCAACCGCTCTTCCTGCCGTGGTACATCGTACCGCCGTGACCGCGAGCTGTCAGAATCACTAGTCGGGATGGAAGGTAACGTCGGCTGAATGACATGCCCGAATTGCGGCTGCGGTGCCTCGGTGATATCCTCTTCAGAAGGTGACCGAGTAGAAACCGGTTCCCAGACATTCCCGCGGGAAGCCATATGGCCATCCTCGATCTCGAGGTTCTTCTCCAGCGGCTGGAGCTCAGTGATACGGCGGTTTTCGACAAGAACGGTAGAAGAACGGTTATCGGCGAGACGGGTGTATTGTTCAGCAGGTTCTTTTAGGGTGAAGACGTAGTAGAAGCTGATTAGGAAAAAGATGAGGAGGGCGAGCATGAAGACCGCATTTAGGAAAAAGAAGAGGACTTCCATGACGCCGCCGACGAGTTCGGGGGTGTTGAAGACGTTTGTGAAGAAGAGGAAGAAAATTGAGCTGAGGAAGTTGAGGACGGCGGCGATGATGGCGAAGACGTTGGCCGTTTTGTTCATGTACGGTCTGATCACGCAGGTGGCGACTAGGAAGGCTGTTTCGGCGATGAGGAGGACGATGGCTTGGGCGAGGGGATTGGATTGACCGAAAGCGATGACGAGGCCCTTGGCAAGCGTGTAGAGGAAGAGCGGGATCATGAAGTAGTAGGCCTGTGCTCTGTAGTTGACGTATAAGAAGCCCCAGCGGGTGAGGCAGACGGGGTCCGAGTAGAGAGTGTAGGCGGGATTTTGGCGGAGGGTTCGTGATAGTCGGGCGCGCTGGAAGACCTTGAAAATTGCCCAGCAGAGGACAGCGGTCATGGTGAGCCACATGCAGATGGCCAGGACGATTTCAGCGGCCGAGTCTCGGTGAATCAATTCCCATAGACCGAGCGCGCATATCTGCGGATATCCAATCGAAACCAGTCGATACAGACTGCCGCGCATAAAGTCCTTCCAATCAGACGAAGCGACCATCGTGCGCTCCAGATTTGCGCTTTTCGATTTCCTAGCCAGTCTCGGTAAAACCAGCTTGAGGAACAAGATCACCAAGAGCAAGGCCACTGTCACAAAGTAGAAGAACAAATAACTCGTCATGAAGATGTTTGTCGGCTCGATGTTGATTCGGAAACCCACGCGCTCGATCCCTTGCACCTCGATTTCTCCACCGTTCTCCGTCATATCCGTGGTACGGGCGACCAGCGATCCGGGGATATACGAGCGCTTCTGCATGATCACCGAATACTCATCGGTTTGCGTAAGAATCTTGGACGGCGTACCACCCGTCGCACGCTGGAACCAAGTGCAAATAGTCTGCAAGAAAGGAGCGCCCACTAAACCCATCGTCCACTGCCAGAGTTGCGTCCATGATTGCACCAGCGGGCGCTGATTGACGGCCGTCATACCCCACATGGCCATACTCTGCATAAAGCCCAGGAAGAGCAACGTGCGGAAAGCGACGTGGGTTGCGATATTGGCGTGACCAAGGATAGACATGACCACCGTTGCGAGAAGTCCTAGTCCGATCAGCACGGCCATGGCCCAGGCCACGCCCATTTGGTCGACTGTCACGCCATTGTTGACACTGGCCTGAACACAGGTAACTTTGCTGTTGGTATCGGCGTCTAGGATTTCCAGACGAACCAGCGCATCTAGATCGGGGACGCCATATGCAATGCCTATGCGTGAGAAACTCGCATGTCAGTAAATATTCATCGTGGTGATGATCCGGCGGGATCCGGTAACTCAATAATTCTCGCGAGCACGAGCGCGACGGGTTTGCTATCAGATAAGAACGGCATTGCCGGAAATTGGAACTCACCCGGGATAATAGACAAATCGGCGCCCGAGAGATCCAGTGGAACATTTGCAATTTTCAAGGCCGTATCTTTTTGCAGCGGGCAAAGCGCATCGACATTCAAGACGCAGGGGTCAAACGTTTTGGTGGTAGCTTTGTAACCGTAGACGTAGAGTTCGAGTTCGATACGAATCTTGCCGGCATAAGTCGCCTGCCCATCAAAGCTCACCGTCGCACTCATATTCCCCGGCGTAAAGACAATATCGAAATGGTTGATCGAAATAATTCCATCATTGGAACATGGAATGAGGGCGTGAGATTGTAGCAACTTCTCGGCGGCAACGGGCGGGGCCAGACTGAGAGCGAAGAGGCCAGCCCTCGCCAACCATCGTGGAAACCGCATGGTGAGAGGAAGTTAGGAGAGAGGATTTGGCCCAGAGAGGGCGGGAAAAGCGAGTGGGAGAGTTGCTATCGAGAAGCGAGTGTGTGAGTGTCGACAGCAAGGTTTTTTGGAGATGACGGATGACGGGAATTAGACGGATGTCAGGGACAAGAAGTACGCCATGATTGGGATCGGGGACCGGTAAAATGGAATGGAATAATTGGGGGGGGGGGGGGGGGGCGTGTGTAATAGTCACTACTGGGATTTGGGGGCAGCGCGCCTGGGGCAAGGCAACATCATATTTTTATAATTTTCTTAATTTTCTTTGCATGATAGCCAAAAGGAACAGGCTGGACCCGGAGGAGTCAAGGGTGGAGTAGCAAGGATAAGACACCCTGAGACTAACTCCATCAAGTTCCATAACCATGAATATGCTTACGGAGGGCTTACTCTACAGTACCACATACACGATGTACTAATCATTAAATGGTTAAAAGGGACTGTAAGATATTAATTCAAATAATCTGCAATATCCTGCGTATAAGGCAATATCAGTCTATCCCCGACTTGTCCTCATTAACACTGCCACACCCTCTCATCAACCCCGAATGTTTCACTTTCCCCGATCGCTTTGTTATCGATCTGACCGTAAAAGGAAGTGGTAATCACTACATCACTACTACTTTAGTCTGCATGTCGATCGTGAGATTCAAGAAGATCCATGAAATCAGATTGATCCCAATGCCGAGACGAACCATAATCGTTTCTACTCCTCCAATTTCCGGTTTCGTACCAGCCACACTAAACTATATCCGATATGATTTATCTATGACTTACTGCAGTACTACTGCAGAGTATATCATGCAGATTTGCTATCGCAACTAAATCTCATATCTTCGAATTGAGTGTGCAGACCCTGGATTCGATCAGTCCCGATCGGCCTCTTTACTTGATGCACTGATGTCATCTGCCGCTGGATCAGCGGTTCAGCGGGGACTTGACCAGCAAAATGCACACGATAAACCATAGTAGTAGTCTCTCGACGTCATCGCTCTAAGTTGTACGTAGACAACGTGGCTGGTGAACAAATAATCATGCTGTTCAAGATGTACCACAGTGGGTTCATACAAAGCAAAAAGAAAAGAGACCGACACAATTGAAAGAATCCCCCTCTTTTTGCAAATCCCGCAGGTTAAACCCCAAGAGTCGAAGAACTACTCCGTACCTACCACCATTGAATATTCCGTAAGCGCCGCGAGCATCCGGTCTGGCTCCGTTGGGCTTGGCTCCGGAGGTCTCGGGAGCCGAACGAGCCGTTACACTGAACAGAGCGTAGCGGTCATCCATACTGTAATAATGTATGCCAATACTGTACCGTCGTAGTCGTATCGATATTAATAGCAACAATTAATAAGATACGACAACGTGCTTCCATGGAACAATTTGATCCGACCGCTAAGAATCTCGAACATTGAACCATCACCAACCAATCCACATCTGACAACTGAACTCCATACAAACCACACACGCAGTAGTCTTAACGAGTCATGAAAATAATATCATAGGTGTTAATCAGATCAAAACCAGTCCAAACCCAAACTGTACTCGTAATCTGATGTCGTGCTCATCCTTGAACCCAGTCCCTGAATGGCTGCAGGGGAAAGGAAAAAGAGCCGGTCTCCGCTCCGTAGGCGCAGGCCCACGAATAATGGCACCTCCGGTGGAGTTGGCAGCATGATTACTGTAATGCAGACAGTTGACTAGCAACTTGCCCAATAACCTAACCCCCCTTCCCCTGAGTTGTCTAAACTGTATAGCGACCGAGCTACTTATTACTACTAGCTAGGGGTCTAGGGACCATCACGGAGACCACTACTGTATCCCACTAGTCTAGCCTAGTTAACTTGCTAAGAGAGTAGCGAACACTAGAACTCACAAGTCAGAGTATTCCGTACTGTAATAACTACTGTATATTGGTACGAGTAGGGGTTCAATAATTCAACTCCCTACACCATGTCGCCATTTACATAGCTTTTGACCTAGTATAGTACATAATAAGTAATAAATACTCCGATACTCCGCGCCGAATCAGTCCCTTATTGAATTATCCCACCTAATAAATGTGGCTGCGCACACTTACATACTACTACAGTTACAGTCTCTGTAATTGTACAGTCCAAGAAACCAAGACAACTGTGGCGTACCCATGTCTCTCTTTAGCTCGACACCCCCTCTAAATCAATCTATATTAACTCACTTGTGTTCACTCACACTGGTACTGCAAGTGGCAAGTGCGGAGGATTGAACTTGGCGGAGACACTAACAGGGTCTGACAGCCTTGGTTGCTGAGCTCGGGCGTTCATCCATTTGACTAGTCTCCTGTAGGTATGTGCATTAATTAGATTTGAACGTGTGACTGCTCTACTAGTCTCCATACAGTAAGGTGGGAATGAATGTGACTGCGCTCAGTTGCGCTTTATTGTTACTCCGTGGCCTAATCTGGATGGTGTTGCGTAAGCTGGCTGGGGTAGGGTGCTGCGAGGCTGACCATGTGAGTGTGAGGGAGATTGAAGCGAAGCTTGGTACGGAGGACCCCGTGCTGAGGGGCTATTTTAAATATTTAGTGGGCAAAATAAGGCTGAAGGAGGGTTGAAGTTTGTTCTACGTGGGGGATCAACGGGGGTCGACTGACTATCCGTACGATATACAACCTTAGTTCCCGAGTGTAACAGCTCATTTTTGCTCCAGAAATGTAAAATACCATTGTTTATTCCCAAGTAGCAAGGATATCTCCTCGCAGTATGCAAAAAAGTAGCAATATCTAGCAAATGCATATGTAGAACCCCCTGCCCCAACCCCAATCCACTCTTCACCTCCATATACAACTCTCTACGAGAACCGCACACCTTGACTAGGATCCCACGTCCCACCCTGCCCTCTCCCCGCCGCCGTAGTCGCAGGACCAGCATTTGCACCAGGCGGTACACCCGCCGAGTCAAACCGAATGCCTATCTCAGGCGACCACATGCCCGGCGTCGGCACCGAGGGTGGAGGGATCGCGGCGCGGACTGGTTGCGGTGCAGTTAGGGGCGCGGCAGTTCCTGAGGGTCGATGGGAATGCATCTGTACGGGTACTGGAGCCGGGGCCGGGGGTGCGGGATGAGGGGCTGGTTGAGCCGGTGCCTGTGTCTGGGCTTGTGGAACACTTGAGTATGGAGAGGGTTGGTGGTGTGTGCGGGTGGTTTGGGGAGAGGCCTGGTGGAGGTGAGGCTGAGAGAGGCGGAGGGATGCCATGGCGGTCACGTTGGAAATATCACTGTGTGATGTTAGTAGGTGTATGATAGAAAATTTTATGCTTATCGAGCAATGGAAGGATGACTTACGCTTCCAATTGACTCGCCTCCATACGGCGCTGGTGCACAAAAGCCTTTGCATCGTCACGGAACCGGCTGACGATCTTGGCGAGGTCGTTGTAGAACTTGCGGCCGACTTCGAGATTCGAAATAATCTCCTTGTACTTCAAGTATCCGTTCTCCAGCTCTTGGAGGGCAGTCTCGCGCTCTTTAGTCGAGGCATCACCCTTGTGTGCGCGAGTGAAAGCAAGATTGGCTTCGCGGACTTGGTCGGAGATCTGTTCCTGGTCTCGCCTTTCCTGGGCGAGCATATCGTTGTCGGAATCGTATAGTCGGAGACTATCTTCGAAGAGATCTTCGAATTGGCTGGCCTGGATGGCTTGCATTGGGAACTCGCGTTCTAACCGTGCCGTCTCCCTCAGGAGAGCAGGGTCTAGATATTTGTCAGTCATTTATTTCTCGAGAACATCCCACAAAAGCAAAGCCAGAGCTGGGGTATAACATACGGATATCATCTGCGCGAGCTTTATCCTTGAGTGTCTGGATTCGTCGGCGCCGCCGGTTCTCCATCCGACTAACCTCACTCAAGCAGCTTCGCAATTTGATAGCCTCCCTCTCTACCTCCGGGGGAATCGCAGCTCTACGACTACTGGGCACGTAAGATTCGAGATCCCGATTTGTTCCCGTCAAGACCCGGAAGACAGCCTCGGAGTCGCGCAGCTTACGCTCGACCAAATCGTCGCTGCTTTGGGCGGACGTGAAGTAACCACTGATCTCTTTCGACGAGTTGTAGATCTTCGGCGCGGCGGCCTCGGAGGTCTCGCGCGCCCATCGATCGGTGCCATACTTTCGCCGGGCTGCATTGTCCTCGGCCTTTTCGGCAGCTAGCAATTCAACACCTTCGTTGTATATCGATCGATCGTTGGACTTGACCCTGGCCGTGTCTTCGACTGACCGGCGTAGACGGTTCAATCCATCTTGTTGTCGCATCTCCTCTGCGTGGGAGACTACCGTCCCTGGAACACCGAGCGGTTTTTCCAGGGCTTGTAGCGAACCTGGGAGGTTCAACGAGGACAGTAAACTAGAAATTTTGTTAGCATAGGTCCCATCTCAAGTCCTGCAAACCAGGAATTCCAGACATACTCTCGAAGCTTATCAGTCATAGACTCCAGTTCCCCAATCAGGGTCTCATTGACCAATCTGTCCCGGCGATCGGAGTAGATGCTAGCCGCAATATGCACAGCATAAGGCACCAGTTTCGAAAACAACGGCTGACCCAACGGTCCATTATCTCCAAGCATCGAAATCGCATCGGTCACCTGCGACGGCGCCTTGGAAGCCACCATGCTAGCCCGATCCAAACTCTTCAGCTCAGACTTTGGCGGCACGGCACTAAGATATATTACATCATTGTCTTTCTCAGCCCGCTTCAAATCATCCGCAACACGGCTCTTCAACCCATTCAAATCGCCGAGCACGGTCTTGCTAATCCACCGAGACTCCTTAAGTCCCTCGTTGACACAGGCCAAGCTGTCACGTAACCGCGCCACTTCCTCTCCATACTTGCGCTTCTCCAAGCAGTCCAGCGATTGCCGGTACTGCGCCGCGGCAGCAAAATGATGGTGTTTGGCGGACATATGGTGGATCCATTCCGTGGTAATAGCGTTCGACTTGACGGCAAAGTCACCCGCATCGGCGTAAAAGTCGGAAACCTTTGCCGCGAGCCGAGCAATCGAGGCATCTTTCAATCCATCCTTGACGGCCTTTTGCCAGAAGCATTCTTGGCCTTGCGCCAACAGGAGCTGCTCCAGACTTTGCAGTGTCATCTCATCCATATCTTCCGGTGGGGACGAGCGCAGATCGGGGATTATGTCTGTTCGGAGGTGGGCCAGGACTCCGGCTGCTTGGCAGAGATAGTTGCATGCCTGCTTGAGGCCATCCGCAGTTGTCCGGTTTAGCGCGTATGCAAGTTGTGAGTACAGCGCGGCAAGGTTGAAGAGGATGTTCGCTAGCTCAAAGCGCAGGTTATTTTGGGATACTAGACCAGACCACTAGTTAGCATATACTCGAGAGATGACAAGACTACCCCCACCACCAAGCTCCAACTCACCAGGTCGTGTCGAATTAAACCCTAATGCGGGATACCACGAAAAGTCGACCCCAACCTATAATAAAAACCAGCCGTCAATTACACAGCCCTCAACCCAAATCATCGAGTAGGGTCGGGAGAATCGCGCACATCAATTGGAAATTTCCCCCCAAGCCACTTCAACTGCGCCGCATACGTGACCAACCGACTAATACCACTAATATGCGGTTCCTGGACATTAACAGCTTCGCTCCGCAGACGATCAATAATCATTAGATCGTCCGCGAACATATCCGGGCGCTGGTCATATTTGGACGAGATATACTGGGTGATAGCATCGGATAGCGAGACAGTATGGGACCGGCGGAACGGGAGTTGTAGGATATTGCTGTGTTGTGGAGAAACGGGTGTGAGGTTAGATTAGATCTTTTGGAGAAATGACTTGCGGTGTTGTTAGCTACTTACGATGTCATTGTTCGAGATAGGCGGGGTAATGAGGGGAGGGAGAGGGCAAGGTGGGAGTTGGTCTGGGCGAAAAACGAGGTTTCGTTTGTTGACCGCGAGACGCTGCTGCAACCCCACCGGGCAACGGGATGACGTGTGGACAGCCTAAGGCAGCCACTCCGCATGGCACGAGAAGTGCGGATACGAGATGCGAGATGCTGCATAGATGTAGATGCCGAGCTAATCTTTACATGAATTACGGTGGATATGCTACAGCTTACAGCCTACATATCAAAGTGTGCATTTGAAATCCCAGCGTCGTATTTGCTGATGAGCAACCAGCTCATCCATGTAGGTATGTACTTGAACAAGAAAAAAAAAAATGGCGTATCTCTGGGGGAAAAGTACAAATGCGGCAAATAAGACCAGCCCCGTAGCTAGGGTGGTCGATCAAACTAACCCCTCCCCGGGGTCCCCAACAGATCCTTCAGTTAGGCAGTTTGTCAATCCGAGCCTTGATGTACTCAAAAAGACTGAGAAGGATCATGTTGTTGACCCCGGTTCGGACCAGAATAATGGAGATGCCTTTGTACATGCTGGACTTGGCGACAGCCACCGAGGCCTCGCCGATCTCCTTGCTCTTTCCGAGCAGCACGCTCTGTGCTCGGGTCTTGCGGGTGTCGAGGGGGTAAGTCTATGGTAACGAATTTTTCTATTAGTATACTCTCACTCGCGATTCTCTCTTCATCATGATGTGGTCAGTGGTGAACTTACGCAGAACCAGGGGATGGTGCTGCAGATGGCCCCAGCAATCGCGGGCGCGCCGAGAGGGGACTGATCTGATCCGATCTCCTTGGCGGCCACCTGCTTCACGGTCTCGTAGATCCCGAAGTACATGGCTGTGCCCACCGTGTCACGCAGAGCGTGCAGGTGGAAGCCAGTGTACAGACCGCGGAAACCGTGCCGCTTGATGATCTGCTGGATGGCCTCGACAGTGCCGATGCGAGGCTTCCTGCGGAGGGACGGGTCGCAGGCTGCACCCGGAGCTGCTTGAGCTCGGTTGGAAACCAGAACAGAGGTCTGGACCACGTTCTTGGCGAGCTCAAAGGGGCCTAGAAGAGAGGGGAATTGGATGTTAGGATACCAAAGAAATCAAGTATGTATGAATATAAATTCATGGCTTTCTTACATGCAATCGGGGCTGCCACCAACCCAGCAAAGGCGCCAGCAAGAGTAAAGGTGAGAACGCCAGCCACCGTCGGCACTCGGCCAGACTTGTCGTTCAGGGGATATGTGCCGGTGATGCGCTTGACGATGTCGGCAATCCCCTCTTTGGCATAGTTGTAAGAGGTGAAGTTCAATACCCTGACTGCAGTCACACTAGCCAGTGGTGGAAGAGCACCTGAGAAATGATCAATATATCAGAAATGCATTCCAGCTTGAGGAGACAAGGCTGTTTCAGAAATTTTGATAAAAAATTCTGACGAAAGAGCCAAACATGCGACGAAACAGACAAAGATCTGACGAAACAACTGCAAGGCTGAGAAAATGAACAACTTTAATACGTACCTGCCACATAACCACGCGGTCCTTCAGTCCGCCACAGATACCGGGCACACTGGAAGATGTCCCTGAAGTTGTGGCTAGAGGATGCACTTTTGATTAGCTCAACCGCTCCAAATATAGGATATTCAGGTAGTAACTTACGTTTGCATGCGAGTCTTCACATTTTCCAGAGGAGTCTGCGAGGAAAGGGTCATCGGAGTCAGTAACAATCGTGAGAGAATCCTCGCCGCCGCCGCCAAGGCGATTGGACTACTTCAGGTCTCAAGAGAATGATATGAACTCACCACTGCCAGAGTTGCGCAGACAGTCGAGGTCGCCGAAGCCACCTGAGTCTTGTACTTCTTCAAGAGTCTGTTGCGAGTCGATTCATCCATGATCCAGGCGTTTCTGGTTGGCATGATGGCGGGTGTGGGGTTGGAAGATGGAGAGAAGGGAGGAGCATGTTCAGTTCGTTTACCAACAGTCATCCCTTATATAGTTTCCATTGGACGGGGGCAATGGCAGCTCTGGCAAACGTCGTGTGCTCTTTCCCTCCCAATATCTCAGCTTCTTTTAGATTCCGGGCACAATTCTCAATCCTCGACGATGCGATCGTGACCGCGACAGGCTGGGGAACCCAATGGAACGCAAAGCGGCCTCTCAGAAGCACTCGGAGTAGACCGTTTGGCGTCCCACAATTGACCATCTACTAGACTGGTAGCAGTCTGGAGGCACTCTTTCGATCGATCTAGATATGATCCAGCCGGATCTTTGATCTATGTTTCGGTTTTTGTTGTTGTTGTTGTCTTTCGGGCAATTCAGGCAACGGGATGTTCGGCTATGAAGGTCGGGACAAGCAGCGGCAAGTGGATTGAAACCCCCGCGGCGAGACACAGGCAGCGCAAGCTGTGCTGAAGCAATTAAATGACTGACGGGAAGGAATAAGACAATTCCGAATGAAATCCTCTGTACCAGACAGAAAACAGTTGAATTGGATTGGTGTGGTTACTGGTGTGTCTCCCTTTGCAATTGGGGGGGTTGAGGGTTGATGGTTGAATCTCAGGAAGCTGAAAAGCCGATCGTTAGCGTCCGACCATCGCTCATCGCATCCAGTGGTCCGTTTCTTCCCCGTGACCCACTTCACTGCAGAGACCAGAACAGAGGGATCAACCCACTGGAGCACACTCTATGCCCAATTTCCCAGATACAACAAGCCCAATCAACCCACGAGAAGCAGGGAGATGAAGAGGGAAAGAAAAGGGCAGCCAAAATGGCATGTGGACCGAGCTGAAAAGATGTGCTCGAATGGGTTTAGGGCCAGTCCAAGTGACGTCGTGGTGAAGTTGGGCGGGGGACCCCCACTAAAGTCGTCTATTATACAGATACACTACCATAGCTGTTGAAGCTTGGTATATGTTGAAATTCTGGAAGACTACGACTATAGCTGCAAACTGCGGCATTTGATCTTGGCCAATTCCCTATCTTCACTTCTCGGTTGTGCTGAACAGAGCTCCGCTGAGGCCCAATGTCCATCACAAAAGAGACTCTGGCAGCGGTACATACTTCTCCTCCGGTCGCACTCCGCACTTGCCAACCGGTTTTGGCCATCGCACCCCAGACTGACTACAATCAGTCATAACGCGGACTACTATGCATGATCTGGAGAAAAAGGAAGGCCATCATTGGACTTGCTCCAGCATCGAGTTGCGATTCGATCGCAGCTGTTCAGAAAGGGAAAGCGGAACAAAAAGGCGCATTGAAGACAAGAGCCTTCATTCCAGACCCATCAGAAGAGCCATGATCGGCGATAAGGACCAGTCCGGACCCATGGGACAGAGACCAGAACCAGAATCCATCTGATTTCCATCACTCAGAGCAGCATCTGGCATCTGATATCTTGCTGGAGGACAGTCCTCCGACCGTGCAATGGTAGCTCTCGCAGGGATACGATCCTTGGTGCGCCTATCGATCATATTGCGTTTGCAGCCCGCCAATGGCAAATGCCGAACCCAAACCTTGGGAATGGCAGGCATGGAACTTGGTTTTTGCTTATGGTTAAGTTGTGCAGTTTCCAGCCTCTATTTATTGGAGTTATCAGTGAGGTGCTGATTGGGAAAGTGCTTGCAGATCATGGAATTGGATTGTTGGCGAGTTCATCGCGGGGGGGAGGTTTGGACCTTGCGGAGCTTCCCCAGACGAGCTATGAGCTCGTCTCATGGATACACCAAACGGGCTGGACGGCCGTTGCCAACTTCAGAATCGAACTGATTCTCCTATTCATATCACTATGTAATCAGAACGAGAATGCCCCCGCATGGATCGCATACATAGCATACCTATCGCACCTGCTCCATTACCATTCTTGGAACTGGAGAATGTGGAGAGGCTGGGGTATTCCAGTCCAGTGTCATTGTGTCAGTCTCTTTCTGGAGGGCTGTTCATTGTGAAGTGAAGAGTTGGAAACATTGTATTATAATCATAGACCATAATGAGCTTCAACAAGAGATCATCACATCGACCATTGACACGTGCACGTGATAATCGATGGTTGAAAGAATCCTCATCGGCACATGTCTGATTTTCATTATATAGCTGCCGTACTCCATATAGCCTATATCCAATCGAGTCCCAATATGAAACAAAGCACGACGATCTCCGGGAAAATCAGTATTATGCAGCGCCAGATTTTGTGCAACTTGGCCAACTCCCGTACTAAAAGATGTTCAGCCGCCCTCGGGCCCAGCTTCCTCGGGACCTCGGTCCTCCCCGCAAATCCCCAGTCTCTCTTCTCCCCACTCGTGACATACATGGAGAACTCCTATATAGGCGCCCCGTTCGGGCATCTCCTACTTCACGACTAACCGTCTCCCAAAAAACACACTCAAACACCTAACCCCCTATCTCCATTTCCACACCGACACCATGGTCAAGAAACAAACAAGTCCCGCCTACGTCCTGGGCGTGGGCATGACCAAGTTCATCAAGCCGCGCGGCAAGGTCGACTATAATGAGCTGGGCTACGAGGCTGGTATCAAGGCCATGCTGGATGCCAAAATCACCTACGACGATGTCGACCAGGGTGTTGCCTGTTATGTCTATGGTGATAGTACCTGCGGACAGCGCGTCTTCTACCAGTTTGGTCTGACCAATATCCCTATCTACAATGTCAACAACAATTGCTCGACCGGTAGTACCGGTCTGGCTATGGCTCGTACAATGGTTTCGCACGGTGCTGCGGACTGTGTTCTCGTCGTCGGCTTTGAGAAGATGAACCCCGGTAGCTTGCAATCGATGTACAATGATCGTGCCAACCCAACTGGTCTGTTCGGTATGATGATGGCCGAGACTCGCGGTATCACCAACGCCCCCGGTGCTGCGCAGATGTTCGGTAATGCCGGCCGTGAATACAAGGAGAAGTGAGTTGAGCTTTACTCTAGAGCACTCTTTACGAAGTTATACTGATACAGATGCACCTCCCTAGATTCGGCGCTACAAACGAAGACTTCGCCGAGATCGCTCGCATCAACCACGAACACTCCAAGCGCAACCCCTACTCCCAGTTCCAAGATGAATACACCCTCGAGCAGATCATGAAGGCCCCCATGATCCACGAGCCCCTCACCAAGCTCCAGTGCTGCCCGACCTCCGACGGCGGTGCCGCCGCCGTCATCGTCTCACAGGAGTTCCTCGATGCCCGCCCGCACCTGAAGGCGCAAGCCATCCAGATCGCTGGCCAATGCCTCGCCTCCGACACCGACCAGGTGTACAACAAGAGCGCGATCGACCTGATGGGATTCGGCATGAGCCGGTATGCCGCGCGCACTGCTGCCGCCGAGGCCGGCGTCAACGTCAAGGACATCAAGGTCTGCGAGTTGCACGACTGCTTCTCGGCAAACGAGATGATCACCATCGATGCGTTGGAGCTCTGCGAGCCTGGTAAGGCGCACGAGATGGTTCGTCGTGGTGATATCACCTACGGTGGTAAGATGGTTATCAACCCCTCCGGCGGTCTCATTTCCAAGGGTCACCCACTGGGTGCGACTGGTATTGCTCAGTGTGCTGAATTGGTCTGGCATCTGCGTGGTTGGGCTAATAACCGTCTGATTGCCGGTACTGATGCGGCTTTGCAGCATAACTTGGGTCTTGGCGGTGCTGTCGTCGTGACTGTGTATAAGCGGGCTGATGGCAAGGTTGCTGCGGCGGTTCCCTCGGATGTTGTGGGCAAGCTTAATGGTCTTGGGTATAACCCTGCTGTCGAGGCTCGGGGGTTCACTGCTGAGCAGGCCAAGTCGGTTGTTAGCAAGAAGCATAGCAGTGAGTGGGCTGTTGCTGATGCTCAAGACCGGGTTCTTGCTCGTTTCTAAAAAGCTTGTTTATGCTTTGTGGAAATTGTATATAGTATAGTATGATAACGATTCAATTCAAATTATTCCCCGATTAGATTGAAGTCCTTTGAACTCGTACACGATGATCAGATCTATATTATCACATTGATATAAGAGGTATATGTACAAATTATGTAAAGAATAGAAGAGCCCAGTCACTCCCTTCACGAGTGCGTAGCCTCCCAGTCATCAGGAAGCTTATAATACTTCGGAATCTGATACTGACCCAGACATGTCCCCGGGTTCGGACACTGCAGTCCACACCTTCCATACAACCGACAATAACACTCCTCCGCACTTGGACAAGCATCCCGATTCAACTGCGCAAGATCCACCGTCCCATCAACCTCCATCTTCGAAAACAAAATATGCCACAAATACGACAAAACACGACCAGCAACCCGATCATCCTGCGGCGCAGCCTGTCCACCCCTCGCCAAACGCCTCCCATCCCCATCCACAACCCCATCCAAGAGCCACTGCCTCAGCGCAACATATTCCTCTCTCGTATGCTGCCACATCCGCTCCCGCGAAACGACAAACTGCGCACAACACTGTGAGCGCACTGTATCCGTCCGTCCAAGCTTTAATCTCGCATTCAGCTTAGATCCATCCGCACCCCCGAATATCGCCGCCAAAGCTTTGGGTAGGGCAACATCCGACGCAGCGCGCGCACTCCACGGCGCCACCGCAGACTGCAGTCTCATCTCGAGACTACCCTGTGCCGGCGCCGAAGGTAAACACGTACTGGTACTCCAATCACAACGCAGATTGTGATACCCGGAGGAATCCCGTAGCGCACGCTTAACATCCAACGCCTCCAGCAGAGCCTTATTATCATAATCCGGCGCATCATTATGCCATGCCCAGCGCGAGCCGTGCACAAATACCGCGCCCGCGGCCGGGATCTCGGCGTAATTGTCAATCAGGAAGGTAAGGTAGGCCATGGCCTCGTGGCCGCGGTTCGCGGGGACTTGGAGGTACTCCGAGGGTTTGTCGGCCGGGGCATCGACATCATAGATGCAGATGTGGTAGCGATCTGCGAGGGATGTTACCCAGGATGGATCACCGTCTGCGTCCACGTGGGAGACGATCAAGGCGGGTTTCTTTGTGGTTGAGAGGTCGGGACATTTGCCGCGGATTTTGGGGAGGGTAGGAGCGGTGGTTTGGTAGCGGATTTTGGTCCATGCGAAGGTTTGAGGGATGCTTGTTGGTCGGTTCAGGTAGAGGATTAGGAAGAGGATGGCGCAGAAGAAGATTAGTTGGATTAGGGACCTGTGAACTCTGCGCGGCATGGTTAATACATCAGTATAAACTTTTGGATTTTCTTTTCCTGTCTACGAGGGAAAAGAAAAATCCAAGAAAAAGCAAAGGTGGAGCTCTTTCGCGCCATTACTATTTGATGATAACTAACTACGGAGTCTGGTAGTTTATTTGGCGCCGGAAGTGACCGGCGCAGACATGTGGATTTCTGCCTGAGGCATGAAGACGATAGCCCAGGCCTCACCTTGAAGCTTGTCTCGTATCAGACGTGACTCACTGACCTTGGACTGCGCGGGACGTGTCTGAACAGCGCATGCATAAGGCCGAAATCTATATCGATTTAAAGCTCGGTGCGAGTCTGTCATTCGGGAGATATTTTCGGGCCCCGTATGCAAATGGCAGAAGTCCCATCCAGCTTCGGCACCCCCGAGGCGCTCAGTCCCCTCATATGCCGCACAGAAAGTGATCCCCGCCCTGTAGTGGTGATGACGTGTGGAATAGCAGGTATGTGAGAACTGAGATTATCAAGTTGATGATAACGCCCAGAAGAAAGGCCATTTTAACATGTTTACGAGGTCCAGGGTCTGGAAAGTCATCAATATCCAAATGGATCCAATCCAACCATCCATCATTTCACCGTCTCTCCATCGACTCATATATCTACAGCCATCACGGTCTCTATGGAGTGGACTACCCCAAAGAAAAATATAACGACTATCAAGAAGAAGCCGCCGCCGCACTGCGGAGCGAACTAGCCCAACTCGTCCAACAGGGCTCCCGGGATGCCATCCTAGACTTTGCATTTGCATTCCAGGAAACGAGAGATGAGTGGAAAGATCTAATTGAAGAATCAGGCGGACGCTGGGTACTGGTGTATCTGGATGTGGATGCTGATGAATTGCGGCGGCGAGTCAAGGCTAGGAATCAGTTGGCTGTTAAAGATGGGGATTCGGCGTTTTTGGTGACGGTGGAGATTTTGGAGAGTTTTATTGCTGGCTTTGAGAGGCCTGTTGGTGAGGGGGAGGTTGTTTTACGTCTTAATGATTAATGAGTGAGTGGTTTGGCGTTGTTGTCAGACTGTCTACCCTATCACCTAGCACCTAGATTCTTGATCTCGCGAGAGAGATATGTTCACCCCGCCCACGAATTCATGCAGCCTCTTTGCTTTGCAGAATGTATCTACTTCTACTGCTACTGATATCACCAAGCATCGGTTTAATCCTCCACTTGATTTACCACACTGCTGGGGGCTTAGTTCTAGCAGTCGAGAAGCGATTAGCATAACATGATGACCTGGATGGCATGACTACGGGCATACCCATTAACTCCGATATCAATAGCCATGAATATCAAAATTCCGCGGCTAATATTGTTGAGCCTTCGAGATTTGTTCGAGTTCCAAGCATTTGCATGTCCAGACTAATGCACCTCCGTAGCTCCTTCCTAACGAACGGGTTCTCTGGCAACGCGCCGTAGCCCCTGAGGCTATCTGAAGGCCTAGAAAATAAATTTACATTCTATTGCTCAGACGGGATATTTTTTGAGAGTAGACAAGTAGGGAGTGTTGCAGCCTCGGAGATAAATACTGGAACCGTGTTGATGCCCGAGAAAGTTGACAGTGAAACATAGTAACTACCTAAACAATTCAACGGCAACCCGATCAAGTTATAGAATTCTCTAATAAATATATTTAAACCCCGAGAATTGGCATATTCTAAAATTTGGGACGCTGACATCATGATCCCCGGCAGCTGTGGAGGGCCGAATAGCTTCACGATTGCCGAAAAATAACGCACATGTCAGTTTTTCTCATAGTCGACTTGTAAGTTATGCATTGAACGAGACATTCTCTCAAGCTACACCTATTTCATTTGATCCACTTCATATTTACCACACCTGAATAAATATTTACTCTATCATCATGTCGTCGCCACAGAAAGTCACCTTTCCCTCCCGCAACTACAAGCTCGCCGGCCATTTCTATCCTCCCGTGGCCGGCTCTCCCGATCGCTCAGGCGCAGCAATTATCATTGCGCACCCTTAGACATCCATTAAGGAGCAGTCGCCAGCAAACTATGCCCGCATTCTGACCCAATCCGGTTTCACTTGCCTGGCCTACGATGCCGCTTACCAGGGCGAGTCGGAGGGCGAGTCGGAAGGCGAACCGCGAGACCTGGAAGATCCCTACTAGCGTGTCGAAGACAAGCGTGTCGAAGACATCAAATGCACCGCAACCTACCTCATCAGCCGCAAGGATGTCAACTCCGAGAAAATCGGTGTCCTCGGCATCTGCGCATCAGGCGGGTATGCCCCCTTCGCAGCTCAAACCGACCTACGCATCAAGGCCGTGGCCACCTCAGCTGCAGTCTGTGTCGGCACCATGGCTCGTCGCGGCTTTGACCAGGATACTTCTAACATGGATATTCTAAAGACACAGCTCGAAGCTGCTGGAAAGGACCGCAATAGCGACGTGGGCGGCGAGAAATTCCCCATCGTCCATCTACTCCCTGAGAAGCCGGAGGATGCACCAGTGGAATTGCCAGAGTCATTCCGGGACTTGATGAACTACTACCGTACCCCGCGTGCTTTCCATCCTCGGGCGACGAATACTTTCCTGCCGCGCAGCTGGGATATCATGAGCAATTTTGATGCTTTTGCGCATAATGATATGATTAGCCCGCGACCTCTGCTTATGATTACTGGTACCAAGGCGGCTTCTAAGTGGTATAGTGAGGATAGTGTGCAGAAGGCTAAGCAGCCTAAGGAGCTGTACGTTATTGATGGCCTGACTCATGCGGATCTTTATGATAAGGTTGATGAGGCTGGCGCGAAGTGTGTGGAGTTCTTCGGAAAGAGCTTGGTCTAAGTCTGTATCAAGTTTGGGTGATTAATTAAGGAAATTGAGATTTTGTGAAGCTCAAATGTATTGTATAGATTGTATAGCATCCATTCGAGTTTTATCCGAAAATAAAAGGTACTTTACTGTTAAGATCAAGGCCATCTGTACTGTGTACTTGAGATGTTCTTGGCCTTGATATTGGCCCCGCAAAACAATATCACACGTGATATGGTTACATAATCAATTCTCGCGCAGCCACAAAATTCCTTCCGCACAGGACTTCTCCCTTTCCTTTCTTCAACATATCCACGGTCTCCAACATACCCTTGTGCTTGGACTCAATTCCATCCGCAAATTTTAGAGTGAGACCCAGACCGATGAATGCTCTTCTAATCCCGACGTCTGCTTGTTGGATCGGTTCTGCTGTTCCTCATCAAGGCGATTGGGTTCGCTTTTGAGCACACACACCTTACCCCTCAGGGGCCAAAGGATCTGTTTTCCCTCCCTATTGGAATCTGTGGCACATTGTCCTTCAGATATGAGATATGATGGGAGTTGGGATGCACTGGTCGCATTGTTCTGGAAAGGACGTGTTGTTGCCATGTTTATCTCGGCATGGAAGCCATCTCGGCTGGTTGCCGTTTACCTACTCGAAGCTCCGACCTTGGACTTGCGGAAATTGATGTTTTTTCCTTGCAAATGCATTGTCACTGCCACAGGAGGTACAACGCAATACAAGAACCCTCGCCAGTGACTACTAACAAAACAGGACACAACCTCCAGCCCCTCGCCACGTAGAGCCAACCCTCTGGCATTTCACCCATCACTCCCCCATCCCCCTCTGGCACTTTCGAAGTCTCGTCTCCTTCAGCTCTCCATGATATTCGAGGTCAAATTTGTGCCGATAGTGAGCTTTCACAGTTTGACAAAATGTCTTTCTGGAAACTCCCTCGTGTTGCGTCCGCCCCCTCTATATGGGGCTGTGCGTGTCAAAGTAGGGAGATACATTCCTTGCCATATTGCAAGACGTGCTTCAGTCGATCATCGCCTCGTGATGGGGCGCGGTTGGCCCGAGACACGTCGTGGTTTGCGTGTCTGATTCCGATTTTTGTGGAATGTTGACGATATGAGGATCTACACCTTGTTTCAGCCCTGGTTGCCTGCTTAGTAGCATAGATAGCTGTCAATGCATTCACTTAAGATTGATTTTGAGTTCAATCGTAATCTTCTAAATGTGCCGAAATGGTTTCTGATTGAAGCCCTGCCTCCGCATCTTGGACAGCTGTCTTGGGGACGCCCACTATCTTTCGTTTTACTTATAGGAAGATTTCAAGAAAGTTCCAACGGACAATACTATCCCTTAAAACCCCCGTGGAATGTACAGGGCCCACTGCTAATCTCTTCGAGACCCTGCAACTGGGTTGCTCCTTCGTCCCTGTAGGGCCTCGCGGGATGAAACCCATCCCTTGTTGTAAACCCCACTTGGAGATTGTGGTCTGCGAATCATTTTCAACGCTACAGCTGGAAAAGATGCATATTTTCATACCCGATAAGCGTAGTTCATATCTTGAGAGTTAAAATGATGCATTGGGTCGTGTGGAAAGATGCAGGCCGATGTTTATACCACTTGCGGCTGGAATACCTCGCGTCAGAGTAATCCTATACCACGTTGGTTTCTTCCAACCAGGGCTCTCACCCTGTCTTCCCTATCACGCTCCATTCTTGCCCTGTAACAAATGGGATAAAGAAGGGGCTTGGTTATAAATCTCGCATAACCTCCCACTGAGCTCCCTGCCTCTCGTCCTTCCTATCAGGCCTTTGTCCATACAAAATACACTCGTTTACAACATAAACCATCACATTCATTTAGCCACTTTACAAGTTCATTTAATTCTCTCTCACCTTTGATCATACTCACAAACAAAATGGCTCGCTTCAGCCTTTCTTTCCTCGCCGTCTTCCTGGTTCTGGCGGCATTCGTCATGTCCATGCCCACCAAGCGCGATCAGAGCAAGGGTCTGGGACTTGACACTGCTCTCTCCGAGCTGCAGGTTAGTGGTCAAGAATCTGCAATCGACAATGCTATTGTACTAATAGATCTGCTACCAGGATGCGACCAAGTTCATGAAGGGATTGGACCACAAGGACACGAACGACCAGAACAACCAAGCCAAGAATGAGCAGGCTGCAAAGCAGGACGCTGCCCTGGCAGACCAGAAGGTTGCGGAGAAGGAGCAGCCAGCTGCTGATACCACTGCTCCCACTCCCACTGAGAAGGGACTGTACTCGGGCAACTTCCAGACCCCTACTGCTACACACACACACCACCCTACCTCCCAGCCTAATGCGCTGGGCAATATCCCCCTGATCGGTGGCCTTCTGGGTGGTACTGGTGGCCCTCTGTAAAGTATTTGAAAGTCATTTTCAAATATTAACTCGGGAGATCAGGGATTAGATGCAGGGGGACTTGATTTTGCAATCCACTACAAAGGGAAATGTTTTATTTTCAATCTGTACTTTTTACACATCGGCGGTGTTGAAGGAGAACGCGTTCTGAGTTATAAAACCAGTTAGATAGTTCAATGTTTATCTTAAAGGTCATATCATGTTAGATTGTCACGCTAGGTCATTCTAATAGGTAACTGTGATACCCTAGTTGATTGCGCTCAGCACTCTTAATTCATTCAGCTGTTAATGGTCTTAATATCTTTGTATTCAAGGGAGCCCTCCAGGGCTAAGACACGCATTCAGCGTTTCGGCTGGCTAGCTTGCTGCCGCCCTTCGTACAAACCAGTGTAGTACCCTGCAAAGTACCAAGACATCATGAGATTTTTCAAATTTTCATCTTGAACTAGAAATGAGTCAGTTTGGTCATCTAACAAGTATGAGAGCAGAAGAGCCTACCGTGGGGGAGCACTGCGCCAGGCATAGGCATAGCGCCGGCGGGGAAGGTTGGGCTTGGACCTGGGTTGATGGTAGGGCCACTTCCTTCGGCGACTGGAGGATTTGACTGAGCAGAAGGATCATTTGTCTAAGATAAATCAGCAATCATGAAATAAGCAGTCATGCCCGGTTAAATGCATGCATACCTGAGTGAAATGCGCAGCTGCTGGTTCGCTCTCAGCCACCATAGCATCATCCTCAGCAATCACATCTCCTTCATCAAGAAGATTTTGCTCTTCATCAAGACCTGCTCCTTCAGCGCCTCTTAAAACATCCTCAATATTCTCGCCCTTAGCATGAATACTGTGATAGAGCTGCCATTCAACAAGGTCAGTCAGATAACGGTCACGTGAGTTATTAACAAACATACCTTGTACTCTTCAACCGCCTCATCCCAAGACTGCACTAGAGCAGAGTCATCCCAGATCTCCTCATGAGTCAGGGACTGATCATGTTTAGACTTCCCCATGGCCGCCCTTAAGCCTCTCAGGGCGGAGGTGGACTGAAGTCTGGCGTGGTTGGTCGTCTGGCCGCCGGCCTGTGGAGACTCACCGCCTTGGATGCAGGTCAGCGAAAAAAAAAAGTTTCCCGCAGAGATCGTAAACCACCAGATTTCAAATCACATCAACCAGACTCAAAATGGCTCCTGATAAGAGGGCAAGCAAGCGCAAGGGTATGTTAAACCTGTACTGTTCTTTCCAATTGTTTTTCAAGACCCTAACCCGAGTTAGCAGCACCTGCCGCCGCCAGCGATTCTCCCGCGAAAAAAACCAAGAAGGTCGAGGCCAAAGCCGCCAAGGTCGCCGAAGATGCCGCTCCCAAGTCTATTCTGAAGAAGAAGGAGAATGGTGCTGCTAAGGCTAAGGAGACCAAGTCTGAGACCACCGCAAAGGCCAATGGTGCCCCTACTCACCAGGCCAAGCCCCGCAAGCGTGCTGCCGATTTCCTCAGTGAGGACGAGGCCGAGAAGCCTGCCCCGGCTGCTGCGAAGAAGCCCGTTACCAAGAAGACCAAGAAGGATGAGGCCACCCCCGCACAGGCTGGGAAGAAGTCTGCCGCCGCCAAAGTCGCCAAGCCTGCACCGAAGCCCAAGAAGGTAGAGGAGGCGCCTGAGGAGTCCGACGGCGAGGAGTTCCAAATCGATGTCGAGTCCGACGAGAGCGAAGAGGAGGAGATTGACGACGTTGAGGATGACCAGACTGCCGCCCTTATCAAGGGCTTCGAGAGCAGTGGTGACGAAGACGAGTCCGGTGACGAAGGCTATAACTCCAAGATGCCAATTCCTAAGATCCCCGACACCAAGAAGGCAGAGAAGAAGATGAAGAAGCTGCAACAAGGTGATGGCAAGGGTGAGCCCGGTACCGTCTATGTCGGGTGAGTTTATATCCAGTCTAAAATTCGCTTTATTTTGATTGCATTTGCTAATACCTGGCTTCTTCAGACGCATTCCTCACGGTTTCTACGAGCACCAAATGCGCGCATACTTCTCCCAGTTCGGCGAGATCACCAAGCTCCGCCTCTCTCGCAACCGCCTGACCGGCCGCTCCAAGCACTACGCCTTCATTGAATTCGCTTCTACCACCGTTGCCAAGATCGTTGCCGAGACCATGGACAACTACCTCATGTACAGCCACATCCTGAAGTGCAAGTTCGTTCCCGCGGAGCAGCTGCACCCCGAGGTCTGGAAGGGCGCCAACCGCCGTTTCAAGCGTACCCCGTGGAACCAGATCGAGCGCAAGCGCCTGTTGAAGGGCAAGACACGCGATCAGTGGTCGAAGCGTATTGAGCAGGAGCAGCGCAAGCGTCTGGCTAAGGCTGACAAGCTGAAGGCTATGGGCTACGAGATTGATCTGCCTCAGCTCAAGGCTGTCGAGGATGTGCCCATTCAGGTGCCGGAGGAGAAGGCTATTGAGGGTGCCGAGGCTACTCCTGCCGTGGAGGCCGCTGAGGAGCCTAAGGCCATTGAGGCCCCCGCCACCACTGATGATACCCCTAAGAAGACGAAGAAGGGCAAGAAGACAGAGGAGACTCCCAAGGAGGAGGTCGCCGCAGAGTCCCCAGCAGCCAAGTCCCCTGCTACCAAGACCAAGAAGACGGCTAAGAAGACTGGCAAGTCCAAGGCTAAGGCGTAATGGGTGTACAAAATTGTTATTTGGTGTTTGTTTCTTTCTGTCCATAGCCATGTCATGCATTATTCTGAACTATTGCATAACTCCAAAGACGATCCCTAAAAACCACCATAGACCTCCTAGTCCAGTTAACCTTGCTAAGAGCAGAAACGATTTTCCCTCCACCTCCTGTAGAGGTAATGTAAATGACCTTGCAATGGTAGGCCTCTGTAGATGAAGCTCCAGGGCAACTATACCATCACATGACCCACCTCGTCCCAACACGACCTAGCTCCACGGTCACATGACCACTGACCCCATCACATAAAAAAAAAGACCCACGGGCAAAATTTCTTCTCCTTCTTCCTCTCCCCAACTCCTCGCTCAAAGAATCGCATTCAAAGCTCACACACAAAGAAGAATCTTCTTCTTTCAGACACTCGCTTTGGGAGAAAGTCCCCGGACAACCTGCGCTCTTCCCAGAGTTCTTCAAGCCAGGCATTGCGGAAACGCGCCGCCATAGAAGCAATTCGATAGCGGCTTACGCCCTACTCTCACCGGCCCCTGTGCTCGCCGTCCGACAGTCTCCGCTGGATACAATGGGGCGTGCGGCCTGGGGTTGGAGGGGGAGAAGGGGGGACTTCGGTCTTCTCTTGTATTGGGTTGCCTTTCGTCGTGGTTCGATAGTCATGCGATTGCCCTTGTTCCTTGTGGACGGGGTAACTCAATGGGGCTCATTCTTGAGGCGAGGAGTTCCTGTCTTTTTCTTTTTCAAGAGTCTGTAGCTTATGGCAAAGCGGTGATGGGCTGGGCCTTTGCTGCTCATGTCCTTGCAGAAGCCCTGTCGAAGGGGCCGGACTTTTTAAAGACAGTTTGCTTCTGAGATGAGATGAGACTTTTGTCTTTTGCCTGAGCTCGTGTTCGTGTGATGATATAACAATCATAGAGTCAAGCCCCGAGATCCCCCTAGCTACGGCAGGGGGTCCTTGACGAGAAACGATTTTTCATATATCTGATGAACATCTTGACTGGCTTTTCTTGTTGAGGAATTGGGAGGTTTCAATCTAGCGCGTCAACGGCGTTGCTCGAAAGTATCTACAAAAAATGAATTCGAGTTCTCTCGGTTTCAAGAAATCCAGACAAGTAGTCAAAGCGGATGCACTAGGTCTTCTTTTGTGTCGGTCTTCTCTCTCATCTGGGGTTCTTGGGTCCTGAAAGCGCCCCAATTTGCTTTTTGTGAAATCTCTTCAGCTATGTTCTAGCTCTAAACTGGATTGTTTCCCCTTAGATAGTTGAACAAATACAAAATTCGAATCTATCCTATCCTGGCACTCATTGCTTGCTTCTTTTAGATCATTGAGACAGCTGTTCTCCCTGTCTCGTCATATCATTTAGTGCCCAGATGCGTACGTACCTCGGCCATTGAATCTTACACTCTTGACTCAACAGCCACACCCTCATCGTAAATAAGTGCTTGGCCAACGCTGCTTCCACTCAACACTTGCTCAACTTGCTTATATTGAAAACAATAACATTCAAATTGTATCTTAGCTGAACGACAGTTATGTTTATGTGCTATACTAAACCGTGGACTAATTCCACGAACGGATAATGCGTTCAATCTTAAAGACTACCGCAATCATCGTGTGCCGAATTTAAAGGGCATTTTTGGAATATGATCTCCGGTCCATTTCCCTCGTACTCGTCCCGTGAAACCATCATGTGAAAGAATTCCGCCTGCGATGCAAACTTGGACGCGCCGATCCAAGAAGATGGATACCATTCTTGAGGTGCAACGACGTATTGAGAGCCCCGGATGAAATTCATAGATGAAAATCAATGCAATGCTATGCGATACTCATTATACCCGGCACTCGACGGCCCATTTTATAATACAAGACAAGACACCCAGCCCTCGTAGAACGGTCATCATATCCATTGTCTAGATCCATTTCCATTATAAGACAGACACAAGTAGGTACTCGGTACTGTCATGGTTTTTTTCTTCTTTTTCTCCTTTTATCCTCATCACTGCGCCTTCTTCTCCTCCCCACCCACCGGCACAGCAGCAGCATCCTTCCTGCTAAGCAGTTGCACAAGCATCGCCCCAATAATCTCTCCCAAGAACGCAACAGCCGTCGCACACACATTACTCCATACCTGAATACTGACGGAACCCAGCGGCGCGCGCGGGAACGACAATACCCATTCCACATAGTACGGGAACCAGCCCTCCGGCAGGGCGAACACGGGTGTTTTTGAGTACCAGAATTGCAGGAAGATCTTTAGCCCGTTTGTGCTGAGCCAGCGGGCGCTTTTGACGCTCCAGTCGAAAGACGTTTTTTGGGCGGACATGGATTTGTCTGTGGTGGTGGGGGGTGTTAGTATGAGGACATGAAATTGCGGAACAGACTATAGCCTATATTTTCGGCTGTAGGGTATAGAATGTAGGATATATGTGCAAGAATACGTACTCATCGCCTCATACTCCTCAAGACTCTTGTCATGTCTCCGACGCAGCTTGGCCCACTTTGCGAACTCGTCTTGCGAGCTGGTGCTGTTCATTTCGCGCTTGATCTGGACGACTTCGCGCTTCATGCGTTGCTGTTCGCGTGCATTGCGGGAGGTCGATGTGGGTAGTTTGAGGTATAGCTGCCATAGCTGGATAGTAGAGATGAAGCGTGTCAGCTAGTGATCTTGCTTACGGCATGTTGAGGGCGCCCTAGGGAGTAACGCTCTAGCACGAAGCTTGAGCCGGAGAACCGACATACCAGGGCATCGATTGTAGAAGCGCCAATTGTGTTGACTAGGTAGATTGCGATGTGCACGAACAAGATCGTGAGCACGAGGGAGAGCATGATGGCGGGGGTGAATGGCCGGTTGGCCCGGGGGTGTATCCGAGTCTGGCGTGAGGGACAAAGTGAGGAGGTGGAAAAGTGACTGGTGGACACTCTTTCAGAGTAGGAAGCTCTGCTGGTTGCTGCGGAGGAGCACCTGTGCTGTGGATGTTGGTGGTTGAAGTCACTCGGGATGGGAAAAATGACGTGCGGAGGGCGATCTGGCTGGAATTCGGCGAGAGTTTCGCTCCTGCTGTCCGCCTCCACTTTTGTGTTCCCCCTACAACTATGGAACATTACTTTTCCCCCACAAAATCATATTTTGAAGAATAAAGCACTTTGATGACAAAGGAGTCATGCTTAGATTCATGATTTGTCTTTGATTATTGCGACTTCAATCTCCAAATTATCCATGACGGCCCCGGCCGATGCATTCCAGCAGCTTGCCGGTGTATTCGCTTCTCGAGGCGACAAGATCCTCGACATCGAGATCATCCCGTCGAGTCTAGGCTCCCCGTTTCTCCAGGATGGATGTGCCATCGGCATCACCAAAAAGACCCTGGTGCAAGCCTACACAGTCGCCCGACAACTCTTCTCCAAAAAGCTCATGCCTATGACCGAGGATGACCTGCTCGTCAGTCTCCTAGAAACCGATTCGAGCCGGGGCATCGCTTCAGATCAAGTGACCACCGAGATCATGCTGCTCTTTGACTGCGAACACTTGACCGCGTGTAACTGGCGCAAGCGCCGACTATTGGCTGCTCTCGTACGTAGAAAGGATGTGCCAGGTCGAGACTCGACGTTGATTCGGATCTTAAAAACGGAGCTCACGCTTCTACAGAGCTATCAATGCTCACCACTGCATCGACATACCAAGTCACCAACTTTATGGTCACATCGGATATGGGTGCTGGAGCAGCTTTTGAAAATAGAAGAGCAGAGTCCTGAAGCCTTGCTGGACCTGGAGCGCCATGAGCTGGCCGTCGTCCTTCGCGCTGGAGAGCTACATCCGAAGAACTATTATGCATTTACCTATATGCGCCAGCTACACGCTCTCCTTACAAGAAGCCCGGTCGAGAAGCGGGATTCTCCAAATTGGTCAGCTGTGTTGGCGGCAACATTAGTGAATCCCGTGCTGGACTGGTGTCTTGCTAATCCACGGGATATTTCTGGTTGGGTCTTTGGAATATACTTGCTAAGTCATGTCCCGGACCGACAGCTTCAAGTCGATGCGGTTGGCAGAGTGCTTCGTTTTGCACGGGATGTCGGCTGGGAAGGCGAGAGTTTATGGACATTTATTGATCAGACGGTGCGCCAATTTGATCTTGAGAGCGTGGTGGACGAAGCGTTCCTCCTTGATCAAAAGAGACGAGAACCTGTATCCACCACCGTTGTCAAATCCTCTTTGACGAAGTGGCCATGGCGAGGTCGGCTGGACAGGGCCAGAGCCTATTGGGCTGTATATGGATCCAGCCATGATACATAATAGTACTTGGTTGTACCATATAGCAACTCATTCCGTTTTCTCTTCCTCCTTCCCCTCCTCCTCCCCATCCCACCCATCACGCCACGATGCATGGGTATCCGGGGAATGCCTAATCATAGACTCGTTGTATTCTTCATTATAACATAATTTTACCAAGAAGGCAATGCAGGAAAGATATGGAATATTGAACGCCGTAGTCGCAACTGAAAACGCCTCGCTAGACACCGGTCTCGTCAAATGAAGCCGGTGGGTATGATCTATGAACTTATTTCCCTCCTTTTATCACCCTCGTAGCATTGTGCTAACATTCACACACTCCAAAGGATGTGTCCATCGCGCAAATTGGCCTCGCGCTCAGCCCCGCCACCTTGCCAAGTTTATCCGTCCCAATCGGATTGACGAGATGTTGATGCGCGGGGGCGAAGAGCAGAGAGCAACGAGGGTTTCGGAACATTATGGGAAGAAAAGGTAGGAGTTTATTATTTCTTTTTCCCTCCTGCGGCTTCGGCGGCTCGTTTTTCGTCGGCTGGCGAGGAAGTAAACAGGTTAGTTTGGTCAAACTTGTGCGGGCTATGGAGGAAGGACACGATCGTCTCGACTGCCACATACCCTTCTTCTGCTTCTCACGCATGATAGCAGCAGCATCCTCCTTGGCCTTTTGGAACTGCGTTCCCGACAGGGTGTTCTTGGATTTCTAATTGGACGAGGAAAAAAAAGCTCAGCCCACTTGTCTATGTCTGGGGTGGATGCAGTCGCAGTCGCAGTCGCAGTCGCAGCATAGATCGATCGCGGGACCAACTTACCGAAGCAGCCGCCTTCTTCTGGGCCTTGGCCCGATCGGTATCGCGCTGGTTACCCCGGGTCATGGTGAGCGGGATATAAGGATGACAAAAGAAAAAACGAAAATAAAACGAGGATTGGGCGCAAAGTCGCACGGATTTGGATTTGGAGTTCGAGATAACAAGAAGAGGAAAGAAAAAAGTAGAAGAGGAGCGGGCCCGCTTCCCCCGGCGTTAAAACTGCGCAGGTTTCGGCGAATCAGGAGGCAGGCCGAGTCTATGAGCTCGGGGCCATTTTGGGTACATATTGCTTTTCTTGGGACATGGACTTGGTGTGGTTCTTCAGCCTCATCTTGGGGATTTGGGATAAGAGCCTTGTTGGGGTTTAGTGGGGCCCTGGATTAGAGTGTTTGAATTGTTGATGCCCGTCATTTGTTTCTGGTTTCTGCACGACTCCTGGGCGGTTGCGGTGCCGCCGTGACTGGGCGCGTAGACTAGGAGGAAGTTTTGGAGAACTTGGGTTTGTTGCATAACCCAAACCCTGAGGTGAATATACAGGGCCATGTTTGACTCGGAATTATTTGCGCTATCACTTTGTGCAGGATCAAGATAGGGCGAATATCAAACATCGGCTCAAGGTCGCCGGCAGTCTATACCTGGAGTGTGTACTCTGTATACTCTGCGGAGAGCATCTCTCAGCCAATCAACTAAGCGCCGACCAAAGGGGCCCAGTTTGAAGCTATCCAGTTTCACCATCTCGATTACCAAAGACTCCCAGCCTATCCTTTCACGGCCCTGAAAAACAGCCCAGAATCGAAGCTATGCCAATCTTGATTCAGGCAGAGATCTCCCGATCGATACTGGTTAGCCAACAGCCCTGTTTAGGTGCCTGCCAATAAGCTTCCCCAGAGCTGCCTTGAAACAATCTTTGCCTGACCCTTACTCATGATGTTTGTCTCCTAACAATCCTCTGAGGTAGACACTAGTAGTAGACTGGTAGGTAGTTTGCTCGCTATTGTTCGCTGCCTTCCAAAAATACCCCAAACAACGGAGCTTACTTTGCCTTTGTCCATGTTCTTTGTCCAACTTTTCATCTAGTATCTTCTTTTCCCAGTCACCTCCCATTGTTTCAGATTTGCCTATTCATAGGCTGATTGTCTTGTTGCAGACTGTTTGGCGCCTGCAGCGTGTGTTGGATGGACTGAATGAATGGAAACAAGATGAATCACCCAACAACCCTCCTACCTACCTGACGTCTTTCCCTTTTCCCATCCCTTATTATTCAGTCCTATTTCTGCATTCTCTTTCTTCCTTTCTTCTCCTTTCTCTCCGTTCCTCGAGTTGATCTCGCCATTGTCCATTTTATTCTTTCTTCCCGGGACTCGGTTTTCTGCTGGCCAGTGACTTCCTTCCCAGTCCCTTTTTAATTGCTCCCTGCTCAACTGGTTGTCTCGTCTCGTCTTGTCTTGCCTAGCAACTCAACGCAGACATATCGACACATAGAATATCTGATTCCGTTGGAGGATCATCTATTCATCTTCCTGCTTTTAACCCTTCCCTGCATTCATTCTACATATCGAAACTCGTCATGATGTCGAAGCTCAAAGAGTCCTTGGCTGGTCCAGGGTATGTGATACTCAATACCATCCGCGCGCTCAACATCATCGTCTTTCTGGATATCATTGCCGCTTGCGCCGTCATGTTGGTCAAGATCAACATGTACAACGGGTGGTTCTTCTTCCAAGCCGTCACCCATGCAGTCATTGCTCTCATCAGCAGTAAGTACCTACCACCTACTATATTCCCCTCTCAAAGCAAAATCTTGGATACATACTGATAACCGTGAACAGTTGCGCTCATCATCTCCGAGCTACCCTTCTTCCGGGAGTTCTTCAACCGCCGATACCCCATGTTCGGCGAAGAGGCCGGCTTCTTCGCTCTGGCAGCAATCATGATGATCCTCGGCGTCGCCGTGCTGGGCAACCTGAACACAGAAGTCATGAGCCAGCAGTCCCTCGGCCTGGCATTCTGGAGAATCATCATTTCAGCCGGCATCCTCGCCATGGTCGTGAGCCTCGTGAATATACTCGCAGTAAGTCAAAACCCCAACCTTCCTTCTTCTCATCAAAACCATATACTAATCCCCATCAACAGACCCTCATCTTCACCAACCGCACCCAGGGCCTCAGCGCCCGCCACGTCCGCCAATACGGGGCCGTGGCCCCGCAAAAGGTGGTGAGTCGGGCCAGCAGTAACCGCTCCTTCCAGGCCAGTCTGAATTTGAAGCGTGAAGAAGACTCGCTCCCAAGCTACACCCCGCAATCTGCCACCAAACGCTTCACCAAGCGTCTAACGGGCCGGTTTCCCATCAAAATCTCCAATCCCATGAACCCCACCAATAATGGGACTAGTCTGACTGCGCCGCCTATGAATGACGCTGCATCTTCTCGGTACTCGCGTGACTCGGCGGGTGTTACTATCCCGGACCCGGCGCATCATCCTATGTATGGGCATGGAGCGAGTATGGTTTGAGGGCGGGATAAGAGGATTGGCGTTTTGGGGGATTTGCATGAGTTGGTGTTGATTTTTTCTAATACGCGGTTTCTCTCTTTTTACTTTGTTTCTTGATTTTCGGATTCCCTTGTATTGATTAGCCGGCGTTTTTGGTGTGATTTAATGAGACCCCGGATCGCGATGTTAATTGTTTAGAATGGCCTGATAAGAGCTGTAGTGTATTAGGTCTTAGACAAGTAAAGTTCTCAATTAGGAGCCTTGACAAGGTACCAGATATACTTCAGTCATGGAACGGAGAAGCGTCGATAGATACCGTTGTTACTGAAGTATACAATGGGGCTACAGACTAGACTCCACTGGCCCCAGAGTCGACCGCTTTGGCCCCCGAGTGCCAGTTGGTCGCATAACATAGTTGGTCTCTTCCAGTCCATACACCTTTCACCTCGCCTTCCAACCTCCCGCTGGCACATTTGATGAGATAGGGATCCTCTCTTTGCTGGCGACAAACATGGCTGGCATCGGGATCTCTTGGGGGACGTAAGTTTTTTTCCTCCAGTCATTCCAGCACTCCCCACCACTTCTCCGCATCCTACTCCGACGCAAGACCCCTCTAACCAATTCTTACAGCGTCAAGTCCCTTCTCATTTTCTTCGGTCCTGTCCTCCTCCCTCGCCTGATCAGAGCTTACCGCACTCTCCGCGTATCAATCGCAAGCCGGCCTCCTCCACGCCCAATCCCCGCCGGCGCCAGTCGCGCATTGAACCTCTTCTTCGCCAGCATCGCCCTCTTCCTCGTCCTCAGCCTCCCATTCAACCCTCACGCCCCCGAACCCAACATTTTCTCCCTCACCCGCTCACGCATCAACACTCCCATCGATGTGGTCTTCCACCGTCTATCGCGCCTCCGGCCGGACAGCATCTTGACGGACGCCGACGTACGGCTACGCGAGAAACTCACCTCCCTCGGAGCCCGCAAGGTCTACCTCACCTTCGGCCCGGACGCTTTGGTCTCATGCCAATACTGCTCTTTTGAGGATCTCAACACCTACCTCCTCTACTACCTGCCATTCCACATCCTCCTCCCACACCTGGTCCACCTCTTGATCCTAGGCGTAGCCACATCAGCCCCTTTCGCAGGCCGCGAAGCCGCCCGCTGGCGCACCAAATTCACGCTCGCCGGCCTGGCGCTAGCAGCACTGGACATCTACATTGTGGCACGGTACGATGCAATCACATCGGCTTCCCCCGCCGTGCGGGCAGGCCAAGTGCCCCCAATTGGTCTCTACAATCTAATTTCCCTCCTCCGGCCACTGGCATTTACCGTGTGTGACGTAACCTGTGCAATCATCATCTACCTCTCCTCCACCAACCGGTTCTTCTTCAAACCGCCCTCGCAGGCCGACCAAGTCGACCAAGCCGTCTCCGCCGCACTGACGATGCTGACGGGCGCTAACAACAAGCTCCATGCGGCCAGTGTGACCCGCAATGCGGTCGTTCGGGATAAGGCGCTAAAGACGCGCGATGATGTCTACTGGCAGGCGATGGTGGCGGTCGAGAACCCCACTCGAGGCTCCGGGGGAGCCGGGCACGGCCAGATTGAAGGTGTGGAGCGGGTGGACGTGGTGAATAATATTTGGGAGGAGGAAGAAGTGGCTCGAGCTATGTCGCGGGCGATGGCGGGTCAGGGAGGAGTTGATTTGGCGCAATTGGGGATGAATGCGAATGAGTTTGTGCGCGGTGTGACCGAGGGTTTGGATTGAGGCAAACATGGGATGGAGTCACGGAGGATATAACCACGTATACTACTGCGACTGTGGAGTACGGAGTATAGTGTAGAGTGGAAACTTGAATGTACATGCTACTATTTTTTGTTTCACGCCTTAAAATATATGCCGAATGATCTAGAATACTAGAATCATGGCTAGAATTTCAACTACTGACACGAGTATAAACTACACTATGTATATTTCAGACTATCAAAATTTAGTCTTTTTTTTCCAGGGTTTGGAGTTTATTTTAGTGTGTTACGGTACCATCCATAAACTGGAAACTATACCAAACCCTCTCCCAAACTTACCTATAGAATCAAATCAACAATGCACAAATAACCCCCTACCACCACCCCATTGTAAAGTACACATTGCCATTCTATTTGAATGCTATAAATCTCCTTAGCCCTAACTCCCTCGATCAAAATTCCCGCCACCGCGATTCGACGAGGCGGTGTGGAGCGTCGATCGTCATGTGTTGAGGAGTGTCTTGAAACGAGCTTCTCACCGTTTTCCCCCTCTCTCTCCCCTCAATTGCTCCTCACTTATTCTCCTCCTCCTCTTCCTCCGTCCCTCGCTACACTACTGGATTCTGGTAATCCTCGAAAAAAAACATAGGTTCAATTTGCAAGACCTCGATCTAAAAAAGAAGCATCTTGCATCTTGGCACTTGCCAAATCCTTTTTTTTTTTTTTTTCCCTCTCCTCGCTTTGACCGCGCGGCGGTTCCGCCTATGAGGCTTCCAGACTTTCTTCCAGACCCCCATTGTACCCATCGTTACCCCCATCCCGCTCTCCTCCCAGCTTAATTAGTGCCGGGAACCAACAGCCCTCGCTCAATTTCCTTTCCCCGGCCGCAAATCAACCCTTTCGCGACACACAGAGCTACTTCTCCTCCTCCTCCACCTCCTCCCTCCCCCCTCCTTCTCACCCGTTGCGACCCCTCGGTCTCTCTTCTTCATGGCCAAAGAGACCATCGCGCCGCCTCCGCCGGCCTCGGAGCTCAATGTCTATGTTTCTAGCCCCAGTGGCCCGCGGCCAGCCAAGGAGACCACGTTCCGGGAGTGGGTGGTCACCAACCAAATCGGTATGCATTGAACACCAACACCATTCCAGATTGCCCTCCGCGACGTGAAATGGCGGCACACTCGAGATGAAAACAAGAAACTCTTTGCGTCGCAAGCAGGACTTGCGTTCGCTGAGCTGTCTATTCTTTTTTTTTGTCTTTGTTGATTTATTTCCACTCTTGTCTTGAGATTGCTTAGCCTCGGTATTCTGCATGACCAAAGTCCGTTCTTGTCCCGCTAACTCCTGGCCACTCCCCGGCATTGTCTCGGTATAGGTATCTCCTTGACCATCTTGGCTATGTTGCTGGCTCTTCATAACCTCTACCCATCGCTGCGCCCGTATACCCAGCCTTTCTTCGAGCTCTCCTATCACGACCCCGCCTCCAACACATATGTCCAGGGTTGGAACGATGTGTACTTTGTCGCTAGCGCCACTCTAGCGCTGACCGCGATTCGCGCCATTGTGATTGAATTGGTGATTCAGCCTATGGGACGCTCGTTGGGATTGAAGCGTAAGGCGGCGCTTCGATTGGCCGAGCAGGGTTGGCAGGTTCTGTACTATGGGTTCATTTGGTCCATTGGTTTGGTATGTGCTTGGTTGGAATATGTCCCGTTGGAGAAATATGTTGTATGGAGGGCTGACATTCTCTTGATTTCGTCTTTTTGCAGTATCTCTGGAAGAATTCCTATTATTGGTTCGATTTCGGCGCCATTTGGAATGAGTGGCCGGCGCGTCCGCTCGGTGGTCTCATGAAGTGGTATATCTTGGTGGAATTGGCTTTCTTGCTGCAGCAGATCTTCGTCATTCATGTGGAGGAGAAGCGCAAGGATCACTATCAGATGTTGTCGCACCACGTTATCACCAGCACGCTGCTCGGCTCGGCATACATCTACGGCTTCTACAATGTGTCCAACGTGGTACTCTGCCTGATGGATATTGTCGACGTTCTGCTTCCCGTACGTTTGATCTTCGGACCCGTTAAAGAAAGCCTCTACCTTTACTAACACTCGCAATAGTCAGCGAAGGTTCTCAAATATCTCAAGTTCCAGAACGCCTGCAACGTCGCCTTCGGCATCTTCATGGCAACCTGGGTCGTCACCCGCCACGTCTTGTATAACATGCTGTGGTGGTCAATCTACAAGAACGTCCCGCAACAAATGGCCTACGGCTGTTACTCAGGCAGCTCCGCAAAGATGATCAGCACAAACGGCTACCCCGACGCCTTCGCATACATGTTCGGACCCTTCCGCGGCCTAGAGAACCCCATTTGCATGAACCGCACCATCAAGTGGATTTTCCTCTCCTTCCTACTCTCCATCCAACTTCTCTCCATCGTCTGGTTCAGCATGATCGTCCGCGTCGCCTACCGCGTCGTGTGCAGCGGCGCCGCCGAGGATACCCGCAGCGATGAAGAAGACGAGGTCGAAACCGATGATACCCCCGCTACAAACGGCACCGTGCGGCTGGCCGCCAAGGAGGGCGCTACCACTGCCCCCATTGTCGTTAATGAAAACGCTCCTGGCCTCGACCGCCGGCGGTCAAATGGTTCGGCTTCGGTGCGTGCTAGAGGTCGGGGCCGTGTACCCTTTGACCAGAGTGATCGGAAGGCCTTGTTGGGACGGATTGGATGTGACAAGCCTACTTAAGTAGCCCTAGAGAAAAAAATTCTCTAGGACTTTTGCTTTTTGGTCGGCTTGTCTTTTTCTTTGGTCTTTGGTCTCTTTCCCTTTTGCTTGTTCTTTTCTCTCCGTCCTGGCGCATTATGACGAATCCACTTTCGACTCCCGTATTTACTGGCATGCCGTGATGTCTGTTTATTCTTTTTTCCCTGCTCTTGCGGGTTTGGTGGTCATCACCTTTCTTCATTGTTTTATCAGCAGTACGCAGTACCAGCACCCCCATATGCACATGCATACCTCCCCCCACTCATACACCAGCTAAACTCGGGACAGTGTACCGCTGATGGAAATGAAGTGATCGAACAACGATGATCTGCTATTTTCACCCTCGGCCTCGAGTTACAATTCCCCTTCCCTCTATCCTTCGCCATCCTTCCTCGCCAGGTCCCTATCTTATATCCCTGCCCTGCTCTGTTCTGTGCTGTGGCTGTTGTTTATTCTTTCGTAATATCGTCTTCTGTTTCTACATCCATGCATGCTTGCAAGTCCTTTTTGTGCTTGCTTGTTTGCTTGCATTGTTCGTGTTTTCTTTCTATGGACCTGTCCTGGCCTGGGTTGGACTGGAGTGGACTGGAGTGGAGGGTCTCGGGCCTTGGTTGTTTTCGTGGGAATGTTGTTTTTGGTGTGTTCAGGTTGTTTTGGGTTTTAAATGTGGTTAGAGGTTCCAGCAATTAATACCCAATACCCAATGGATTGCATTTGGATTTTTTGTTTTCTGGATTCATTTTATGGATGAGGACGAGGATGGGGATGAGGATGAGGTTGACTATGGTATGGTCTAGATTTTGTGAAGACTAGGGTTAGATTTGGGTTATCATTGAGTATTTAATGCAGGGTCTGTATGTGTTCAGTCTCCCGTTGCTCCCGAGGGCACATCTATCAATGTCTGCGGCCAAGGCCTTTTAATATAGAATACTAGAGAAGAGAGTGAAGTAACTGACACGAAGAGTTACGAATAGACACTTAAAAATCAAAGTCAAAGTCAAAGCTATCATATTGAGCAATATCAAGCTATGTGCCAAATACCACGTCAACCTATCTTCGTACAGGCCACAAGAAATCTTGACTTCAGCTATAAGAAAATCCAGATTTCCTTTCCCCCGAGGCCATACCTCTCACTCGCAGGGATAACTCTCTGCTTCACTTCGGGAGCTCAAATTGAGCTTCTTCAACATCTTCTTTATCCGACGCGATTGGTCTCTTCCCAAATCTATATCCCCAGTCTCCAGTAACAATCTGACCACCTTGGAATTACCCTTTTGAAGAGCAGTGCGTATTGGACTCCAACCCTTGTCGCTCCCGGCGTCCACATCCAGCTGTTCGGTCTCCAAGAATAACGCAATAACTTCATGATGCCCACGCTCAGCGGCACAATGCAACGGCGTCTTACCCCCATGGTCTTGCGCATTGATGTCCACCTGACCAGTCTCTAATAGAGCATTCACCACCGCCGTATTTCCGACCAATGAGGCCCAATGTAGGGGCGTCCAACCACTGATGTCTTTTGTATCTACTTCCACCTGACCAGTCTCCAACAACATCTTTACCTCTGTCGCAGGTTTTCCACATAAGGCCACAGATATTGGCGTCCATCCACTCCGATTCTTTGCATTTATGTCCACCTGACCAGTCTCTAATAAAACCTGCACCACTGCCGTATGTCCGTATTAAGTGGCTAAATATAGCGGCGTCCGATCCCTGCAGACTTTCCCATTGACATCCACCTGGCAAGTCTCTACTAAAACCTCCACCACCGCCGCATGTCCTTGTATTGTGGCCCACAATAAGGGCGTTAAACCCTTGTGGTCTTTTGCATCCGGTTCCAGCTGACCAGTCTCTAACAACATCTTCAAAATTGTCGTGTGTCCTTCAGCCGCGGCTGCAATTATTGGCGTCCGTCCACCAGATGTCTTTTTCTTAAAGTCCACCGGACCAGTCTCTAGTAACATCTTCACCACTGTCGCATGTCCTTTAAATGAGGCCCAATATACTGGGGCTTTACCTTGAAGGTCGGCTTTTTTGATATCCACATGTCCGCGATCAAGCAATAGCTTTACCACCGCTTCATGCGATCGTCTTGCAGCCAATTCGAACGGAGTTCGGCCCCATCGGTCTCTTGCGTTCACGTCCACATATCCAGTCGCTAGTAGCAAATTCACCGCCTCATCATGGCCATTTTCTGCTGCAAAGTGTAGTGAAGATCGACCGGTACTGTCTCTTGTATCCGCATTGACTGGTCCAGCTGTCTCAGACAAGAGTTTTACCACTGACTCGTGACCGTTCTTGGAAGCCAAATGTAATGGAGTCAAACCCGTCGGAATATTTCACCGTGATAGGACATCCATTTTAGATAGACAGTCGAGCTGTACCCATGTTTCCTGTCTCAGCAGCGTAGAACAGCGCACGGTGGTGACCATGTCGAACATCATCTCGACATAGATTTTGATTGAGGATGTGGTCAAGTCTTCTATTGGCTTGGCATACCGAGTTGATGGCACTTCGCCGCCCCAGGAATGTCCCAATTATCAGGTAGATCTCTGTGGGTAAACCTGAGAAAGACATTTGAAAGACTTGTAGCCTTATGCTCAATGATGCTAGTCTGGTATTAGCCAAGATATCCGAATTATGCATGTAAGCTATCTGGAGGCGATGATTTTCACAAGCTTTCAGTCTGGTCAGTTTGCTCACAATCTCTTGTTTAGTGCTCATGTTTTAACGAAGAGAATAATTGAGCCTGCCTGAGGAGAATATGAGAGGCCCCAGGCAATTATGCATTATTTAGTTCACAATACATACTAAGCCTTTTCGATACACACTAAGCCCTTTCGGGACGTAAAGGGTTTGATATGTTTGCATGATAATGAGTCACATGACTAATCTTGTCGCATTTTCCACCGCCGACAGGAAGCTCACCGTTATCGCGTTGCCTTCACCTGCCTTGCTTTGAACTGCTGTCTGATCAGACCTTAGGTAGATCAAACATATTTCTAACCTCCTTAACATTGACACTTTTTTTCCCGGATACCCAACCTTTCACAACCAACCGATCTCAAAAGCGCTTTTGTTCCGGTGGCGCAAGAGGACCGGCTATCTCCAGATCTCAAATTCCGTCACTTAATTCTCTCGCCACTCTTGACCATCCCTCAAAATGCTTCCGACAATCACACAAGACTCGCAACTTGCGACCGCGGTCGCTAACGCTGTTCGACCAAAATTGGTGGAGATGGGTTGGAGCACCGACGACGGCCAGGAGTCCGCTCTCATCGAATACATCGTCTTGATGCTTGTCAACGGCAAGACACAGGAGCAACTGGCAACTGAGCTTTCGAACGACTTCCTTGGACTAGATGAGGGTGATACACAGGCCCTTGAGTTCTCCAGATGGCTCTTTGGTCAAGTTGAGATCCTTGATCAACAAATCAACGGTGTACCCGCGACAAACGACGCCGCTCCCCAGCACGTGCTATCTGCCAACGCTCAAGATTTTACCCCACAAGGAAACGGGATGGATGCAGAGATGGGCGATGCAGGCGAATCTATGTGAGTTTGCATGCTTTATCTAAGCTAATGTCATGTACTGACCCGCTTCTTCACAGCCCCACTGGCCCCAAGGCTATGCGCAACGGCCGACAAGCTGGCCGAGGACGAATGTTGAACCAGATCAACCGTAGTCTGGACCGACCAGGCGAAGGCGCACTTCACCGCGTTCGCGGACACCAAGGAAACGGGCGCATTGGAGGCCACGGTCAGAACCAAATGAAGGGAAACCGAGGTGGCCGTGGAGGTCGAAACATGGGTGGAATGGGAATGGGAATGGGAATGCAGGGCAACATGGGTAGTGGCATGATGCAAATGAGCCCCGAGAATCAGATGCAAATCATGTCCATGCTGGAAGAGCAGGCACGCATGATGTCTCAACTTATGCCTGGTTTCGTTCCTCCCGCCGTCAACCCCGCCTTTCAGAATGGTGGTCAACAAGGCCGCTCACTTTTCGACCGTGTCGAGCCCCAAGGCCGACGCGGTGGACGTTTCCAAGGACGTGGAGGACACCAACAACAACGAAGCAAGGGCGCAGAAAATGCCGATGTCGACATGGATACTGGAATGGACGGCGAGCAGGATGAAAGCAACCCTAACAATATCTGCCGATTCAACCTCCGTTGCACTCGCAAAGACTGCCCCTTCGCTCACCAATCTCCCGTTGCTCCCGAGGGCACATCTATCGATGTATCAGATGTCTGCTCATACGGTGCCGCTTGCAAGAACCGCAAATGCACTGGTCGCCACCCATCTCCCGCCGTCAAGTCCGCCCACCAAGCCGAAGAGATGTGCAGATTCTTCCCTAACTGCACTAACCCACACTGTCACTTCAAGCACCCTGATATGCCGATGTGCCGCAATGGTGCCGACTGCAAGACCGAAGGTTGCAAGTTTACCCACGTCCAGGTTGCTTGCAAGTTTAACCCCTGCATGAACCCTCGCTGCACATACAAGCACGCCGAGGGTCAGCGCGGTAACTTCGGTGACAAGGTTTGGACAGCGTCTGGACCAACAAGCGAACGCAAGTTCGTTGAAGACGAGAACGCGCCGGAGGAATTGGTCAAGCCCGAGGCAGGCGAGGCCTCCCAAAGCCAGGAGCTTACCGCGTGACTACGCCTTGTTTGACGGGTGTCGAAAATGAAACATGATATTATTGGACGCAAAAGAGAGAGTGCTCCTCGATGGAGCAGTCCTGTACACAATCTGATCCGTGATGATGAATGGTGACTAGGGTGGGCGTTCATGATGCATTTGCTTGATGGACCGAGAAGATGGGTCCTTTTTTTTTGCCTGTACATAGATATTCCCCGAGATGAAAGAAAGAAAGCGACAGCGTAATAACTCTTGCTTCGCACAACATTTTCAGATGACTTATTTCTGTTCAATTTCTGGGTAGATCGTATGACTTGTAAGATGTCTGCAGCCAGGCGTAGCTTAAGTAAGTCGGCCTCGGCCGCGGGGACTTCCATCCGGAGACCATCGAGATCGCCGCATTCCCCAAACATCCCAATGACCCCAACTCTCTGCCATTGAGATGCGGCTACTGTGCGCCTCTAATGGACTCCGATCCAGGCAAAGGCCACTAGTTTCCGCGATTCGCGGCCAACAACGCGCTTACAATGCCGCCGTGATAGGTGCTGGTATCACGGGCCTGACGGCTGCTTGGCAGCTAGCTCAAGACCCCCAGTGCTCTAGGATCACACTATACGAGAAGTCAGCTTGTCTAGGTGGCTGGCTGAACTCTGAGACTATCCCAGTGGAGGGTGGAGAAGTGGTATTTGAATATGGTCCTCGCACTCTGAGGAGTGCAATGCCAGCATCGCTGCCACTGCTTTACTTGGTGAACGAGCCCCGAATCACTCCCCTTCCACAGCAATTGAAATCGCTGACTTATTCCCTTTGTTAATCTAGGTTTCAAATCTAGGACTCTTCGATGAATTGATCACAACCTCCAAGCGAAGCCCTGCTGCGCTAAATCGGTACATCTACTATCCGGATCACCTAGTCCGCCTGCCCACGCCAGATCCCAGTCTCTCGTTCACCCAAAATGTGCAAAATATCTTCAAGGCTGTCATGAATGAGCCGTTGTTTGAAGGATTGGTACCTGGTATCCTCCTCGAGCACACCAAACCCTCGCGGCCACCAGAGCTATGGGGCCAAGACGAGTCCATTGCCCAGTTTATCTCTCGGCGCTTCAACCACAAAGTCGCGGATAATTTGGTGTCAGCAGTGATGCACGGTATATATGCCGGTGACATTGACCAAATGAGTGCCCAGGCGATATTGGGGGGCATACGCAATCTGGAAGACGGCGGCATCTTGTACAATCTGATTATGAAATCGATGATGAGCAAGAAGACGAGGTCGATGGATGACTTTTTGGCTGTGGATGCAATTACCAAGACACCTGAATCTGTGAATCGCACAGAAGATATCTTCAGGGTGGTCAGGAAGGCTAGCACGTTTACCTTTAAGCGTGGAACGCAGCAGCTTGTTGAAGGCTTGGTTGAGTCGTTGAGGGCATCTAAAAAGGTCAACCTCCAACTCAACGCAAATATCACGTCCATGAACCCACCAGACAATCCTGGGGATCAGATAAAGGTATTTACTCCGCTTACCCCAGTCGGTACCATGTTTGACCATGGAGCTTACACACGCTAGATCTATACCGGGACAAAGGGCGTTCAATCCTTCGATCACGTTATTTCTGCAGTCTCTGCACCTGCGTTGTCCAACATTCTAGATCCTCAACTTCGAACCTCACTCGAAGAAGTCTTTGATCCAGAGAGCAGAGAAATGAGGCTCGCTCTGGATGTAAAAAGCAGTTCTAAACCCGTAACAAACACTCTCGCAAGACTACAATTACACTGTGACGCAACAACCGTGATGGTCGTCAACCTCTACTACAAAAATCCCAACCTTCTCCCCGTCGATGGCTTCGGATACTTGATCCCACGCTCTATACCCTACGAACAAAACCCCGAGTGCGGTCTAGGCGTGATCTTCGCCTCAGCATCCAGCATCGGCGAAAGCCCCGTGGCTCCCTATCCAACCGTCTCGCAAGACTCTGCCCCGGGAACCAAGATCACCATCATGTTCGGCGGCCACTACTGGGACGGATGGAAGAAAGAAGATTATCCAGATCACAAGACCGCCGTGCGCATGGCGCGAACCATGCTAGAAAGACATATCGGTATCACCGATGACCCGACGCTCGTGCGGACCCGATTGCAAGAAAATGCGATCCCGAAGTATAAACCGGGTCATTTGACGAATATGTATCGGCTGTCGTTTGCGGCTAAGAAGGATTATCATGGCCGGCTTGTTCTGGCTGGGAATTCTTTTAACGGTGTTGGGGTGGGTGATTGTGTGAGACAGGGTATTCTTGCGGCTACGCATGGTGTTGGTCGGCATGAGCTTCAAGCTGGACCGGGGGATTGGTGTCCGTGGAAGGAGTTTAATTACCAGGATTGGGATTTGAAGGGTGGTATTCCTACAGCTCCGGTGCGACTATTTGAGTCGGATGTTTGAATGATATACAGCAGGGTCTACCCCATCGCAACTTCATCAGCATCACCTTGATCCTTCTTCCTCTCACCCCTCTTTTCTTTCATGTTACCCTTCCCCCGCCCAGCAGGATTGATGATTGTTGGATAAGGTTACATTGTACATTAGACAGTCAGGCAGATTATTGTACCATAGTCGCATTAAAATCTAGATGCTAAATGTATAACACCAGACGTGGCTGGCAAATACCAGATACCGAACCTTGGCTGTTCCAAGGCGCGATTACCCGAAGACATAGAAAGGGAGACCATGTAATCAAAAAATTCCTTAGACTATATCTCTGTAACTGCAGAAATAGACTTGAGAGTCAACTAGCAGCTGCTTGCCTCGAAGACAAGCACGTGGGATATGCGTGGAGGCGTTGCCTCGCAGATTGGTGGAAACGATGACAATTCAACCCACGAATGCGGAGCAAAGATTGGTCGAAAGTGGGCAGCTGATCATATCATGGATATCTTCGGGGCTCGGGAGCGTCGACAGCCTCGATGCTGGTGAGATATGGGATGGCACCGCCGATCCTGATGGAGGTTCATTCAAGTAGTATTGCACATAGCAATTATCGCCGTCTATTGCGAGAGGTGGGTGATGCATGTTGTAGATGGCGAATACATCAGGCCTTCTCTGGGCTGGCGTTTTCCTTCTTATCGCCGTTGGAGTCGAAACCGAGGGCATCCAATTGACGGATCAGCTCCGGGATTTTGATAAGCTTCTCCAGCTGCTCGGGTAGAAGCATTTCGCCTTCATTCTTCTTATCGCGCAGGTCTCGCGCCTGCCGCAGCTTCTTCTTGAGGTTGCGAGCCTTCTTCTCCTTCTCGGCTTCGATATCGACGGGATCTTCGACTGGCGGCTCCTCCTTCTTTGGGGCTGGCACGCGCCAGTTGTCGGAGTCGGCTCCCTTCTTCTCAGTAGCAGGCTCGGGGCCCTCGTTCTCCTTTGCCTTGCGTCTGGCCTCTCTCCGCTTGGCGTTCTTGTTGCTGGCGGATGTACTAGCGGCCTGGGCTGCCTTGTCCTCTTCGCTGCTCATGGCTTCCGCACCGGGCACCCCACCTTTTCCTCGGGTTTTCCATGCAGCGGCTGCGCGGTTCCTGTAGAGCTCGACATCCTCTGGGGGCTTGTAGCCGGGACGAACTCGAATTTCTCGACGCTTTGAGCCGTCTGCTCGTACTGAAGAAGGGATGTAGCGCTCGCCTGTCGTGGTGTCGGTAGTGATACCGGCGGAGGAAACGTTGGAGGACATGGTGAATGTGGTGGATGTTGAGCGAAGTAATTTTTATTTCTTAAAAAGCATCAAGTTGCGAGCCGACCGGGCACGAGGCCGTAAAGAGTGAAGTCCAAGGTCAAATATCAATGAGAAGTGCAGTCCAGCCAAAATAGTTTGTGGTGATTCACAGCAAATAGCAAATGGGGAAACCAGCCGGAGGACCGCGGGCCAATCAGGGAGCCGGGAATTCCCGTGCTTTTCGTCCTCGCGAACTTCCAACTTCCACTTCCAATCCTCGTCTCCAGCCTCGATCCTCGACTCCCAACTCTCCCCGTCGTGTCAACCACCTCACCTCCGTCACAATGGCCGGCGTATGTTCTTCTTCTCCCGATGCTGCTATGCAAGCCGCATTCTGGCAATTGCGAGACTCCTAGCTAACTCCGGGCGCATTCACAGATCTCCAACGCTATCTACCAGCACGTCTTCCCACCCCCGACCTAAAGGTCGCAATTGCTCGACTGGACTCTAACCGTGGACTCTTTCGACCTATTTAGGAGCATCATCCGCAGGAATGCTGTCTTCCTGACCACCATCTTCGCCGGTGCCTTTGCTTTCGAGCTGTGCGTTACATTCGAATCTCCCCTTCCATGTCATACCACCGGGTCTCACTAAACAATTGCGATACAGCTCCTTCGACACCGCCTCCAACAAGATCTGGGACACCTGGAACGCCGGCGTATGTTCTCCCGACCCAATATACCCTATCAGCCCCAACATTGTCCCTAGCCGTTCCGACGGTCAACGTCCCGCGGCCCGAAGCGGTCTTCTTTGCTAACGGTTCTCCAATTACAGCGTCAATGGAAGGACATCAAGCCCCGCTACTTGGTCCAGGAGGAAGAGGATGACGAGTAAAGGAGCCCCAAAGCTCTTGGTTGTGACGGTATAGATCTATCGTGAGAAAGGGGTCCTTGGTAGTGGAAAAGCGCGAGGCGGAACTCGCTATCACCCTGTTATTGTACTCATTCCAGCTGCGGGCTTGTATGTGATAGAATTTGGGATATTGTATTTGACATGATCATTTAATTTTTTTTCCTTAATTTGGTGGATGTATAGATTGAAGGTGATGCAGTTTTGGAGGGTGATGATTACCTCGGAGGCTGGATCGCTGTGGCGTTTGCAGCGAGACCGCTCCGTCGATGTCATAGTCAAAAATACTCGAAGATCAACTCCGGTAATCTCACTCGACTCATGTGCATTGTATCTTCCCGTTCTTTCTTCTTTCATATAGAACTCGGAGACAACATCTTTCTTTTTCACTTCTCAATTTATTCCGCAGACGTGCTGTAACTGGCCTGGTCTGCCTGATTGTCGACCTCATCGGTCCACACCTCGCCTGTCTTCCTTTCCCCCCACTACGATCTGCTGGGGTCAAGAAACTGAAAGACAACCACCCGACAGCCCAACCCGGCGTTGAAACCCTAAGCTCCTTGGTGTCGCCAAAAGTTTTGTCTCGACTGCATATCCCTCACGCCCCCGGTACGATCGTTCTTCGTGATTCGGATTACCTCGAACGCCGTTTACACGCGCCAACGGGCCTTCCCATCAGACGTCAGTGACAGCCGAGCGGCACCCTGCCCTCTACCTTCGTCCGACACCCAAACCATGCACATGCTCGCAGAATGTGAGAGAATCCTCGGTGAAGGTCTTCTACGATTGCCTTCGCAGCATAACTACCGCTATGGCCCGAAGGCGGAACGCGACCTGCTAGAGCTTCTCTTCCGGTCGCTCGTCGGGCACAACGATGAGCTGGTAGCTCACCTCTTCCCGGATGGCACACCAACGGGGTCATGGAAATTGGCGGACGCGCAAGGCGCTCGTGAAGGAGCCGAGTATAGCGAGGCGGCGCGGGGCAAGCGATGCGGGCACATTTTCCGAGCGGGAGAGGCAACCTATCGCTGCGTGACTTGTGCTGCGGATGATACATGCGTGCTGTGCAGTCGATGCTTTGACTCGTCAGATCATACGGGGCATCAGTATCAGATTTCGCTTTCGTCGGGTAACTGTGGCTGCTGTGACTGCGGAGACGATGAAGCCTGGCGGCTGCCACTGTTCTGCGCCATTCACACCGACAGTGGAAATATAAAGGGTAAAGAGCGGGCAGAGCGAGAGCTGCCCCCGGACTTGGTGGCTACGATTCGGTTAACCATCTCACGGGTTCTGGATTACTTTTGTGATGTCATCTCTTGCTCGCCGGAGAACTTGCGGCTAGCAAAGACGATGGAAGGCATCAAGCAGGATGAAGAAGCGTCTCGATTGCGTCCAGGCTGGTATGGTGAGGGTGATCAGGAGGAGGAAGAACCCGAGTTCGCCTTGATGCTTTGGAATGACGAGAAGCATACCATCCGAGACGTCGCTCACCAGGTCACGCGTGCTTGTCGCGAGCGCGATAGCTTCGGTGTTGCGCGAGCTCATGAAACCAACGATATTGGTCGGAGTGTCATCAAGTATTCGAAGGATCTGCAACGCCTGCTGGCGGTGTCCAAGATCATTGAGGAGATCAAGGTTACAGTCTCGGTTCGATCCGCTCGCGACACCTTCCGGGAGCAAATGTGCGGCGCGATCGTTGAATGGCTGGCAGATATTGCTGGATGCAGTATCCTGGATGACAATGAAATCTTCCGCCAGATTATTTGCGAAGAACTGCTCAGCCCGTGGCGAAAGGGGAGTGGTGCTTATAACGCAGATATCGGTATGAAGGGTATCGATGACCACCAGGAGACGGAAAATCAGCTTCCTGGTCGCACCGTCTTGCTCACTCTCCCTCCGCATGGACAGATAGTTCTTGCAACCACCGACGAGGATGAGGATGAAGAGGGAGACGATGGCAACGAGCAAGATGAAGATGAAGACTACGTCGAAGCTCACGATGATGCGGATGACGAAGACGATGATATGGATATGGAACTCGCCCGCCTCCAAGCTGAGGCTGACGGAGACGATGACGAGGAAATGGATATGGGCAATGAGGAGGAAATTGCCCTGGCTGAACGCATCTTAGCAGGACTGGCTAGCACACAGCACATGGCTCCTCGCCCAGCTCCGCAACCCACGGAAGAACAGGCTGCTCAGGAGGATGAAACCGACGTTGTCGCTTCCAATGAGGGCGAAAGCCAGCCATCCGCTTCTGACAGCTATGTCTCTATTCCAAAGACCCCTTCGGGAGTAATCAGACCTCCTCCCGCACGAACTGAAGGCCACTGGCAAGTGCGGCCTCCCATACCGGCTGTCGGTGAGAAGGTTGCGCCTTATGAAGACCTCTGGCAACGCACTCGTCTAGACTGGTTGGTTCTGTTTGATCTGCGGCTGTGGAAGAAGACTCGCACGGATTTGCGGGATCTCTACATCAGCACCGTGGTCAACGTGCCTCAATTCAAGCGCATCATGGGTTTACGACTCTCTGCATTGTATACAGCTCTGGCGCAACTCTATCTCATCGCAGATCGTGAGCCGGACCACTCCATCGTCAACCTCTCCCTTCAACTTCTTACGACGCCTTCCATTACGGAGGAGATTGTTCTGCGAGGCAATTTCCTTACCAAGGTCATGGCGATTCTCTATACCTTCCTGACAACACGACAGGTGGGCGAACCTCAAGCCGTCAACCCGAATGCCACGTTGGCGTTCGATGCAGGTTCCGTCACAAACAGGCGCTTGTACCATTTCTTCCTTGATTTGCGCTACCTCCTTCAATCCGAGTATGTCCAACACCGCGTGCGGACCGAGGAACAGTACCTGCCTCAGTTCCTGGACTTGGTCAAGCTTTCGCAGGGTATCTGCCCTAACGTTCGTGCCGTCGGCGAGCACGTCGAGTATGAGACAGATGCTTGGATCAGTGCCTCGATTCTGATGCGAGAAATCAACCGCCTTTGCCGACAATTCTGCGAATCTTTCCGGAATCCGGAGATTGATAATGGTCAGAACCTGTTGCGGGCTATCAAGACGACTACTATGACCGCGATCATGCACTCGGCGGGCGTGGAGCGAAAGCGCTTCGATCAAGCCGAGATCAAGGAAGAAGTCAAATTCAAGACTTTGCCTCCGTTTGATTTCGAGATGGGTTCGTCTGGTCAAGTTCCATGTCACCGCGTGGTCGAATTCGCCGTTGAGAAGGGATCGATCAGTTTCCACCACGCAATTCACTATACCCTGTCATGGTTGATTGAATGTGGTCGCGGGGTGAGCAGCGAAGTCATGCGGGGTGTTCTCTTTGAAGCTGCCCAGAATGCTAGGGTAGAGCTCCACGCTGCCAAGGTCGCTGGCAACAAGCAAATAGACGATAATCTTCTCACCCTTAGTCCGGAGGATCTTCTTCTGACCATGTTTGACTACCCCCTGAGAGTCTGTGCTTGGCTTGCTCAGATGAAGGCTGCCATGTGGGTTCGCAACGGTCTGAGCCTTCGCCACCAGGCATCACAATATCGCGGCGTCTCTTCTCGAGACTTTGCATACTATCGTGACATTTTCCTGTTGCAGACCGCAATGGTGACCTGTGATCCCAGCAGAGTCCTTGCATCTATCGCTCATCGCTTCGGCATGGTTGATTGGATGTCTCGAAACTACATGCCTCGTAATGGTTTCGAGGATACTCAGATCGTCGACGTCGCTGAGGAGTTTGTCCACTTGCTGGTCATCTTGTTGACCGATCGCACCTCCCTGACTGCCATTGATGATAGTTCTCACTTGACCAAGGAGAACATCAGTCGGGATATTGCCCACGTCCTGTGCTTTAAGCCGCTGTCCTTCTCTGATCTGTCAACCCGTCTGAGCGACAAGCTACTGGATTCCGATATGTTCCAAGATGTCCTTGAAGAGGTCGCCAACTTCCGCCCTCCAGAGGGCCTGAGCGATTCTGGAACATTTGAGCTGAAGTCTGAGTTCTTTGACCTTGTGGATCCGTACAGCGCGCATTACACCAAGAACCAACGAGATGAGGCGGAGAACATTTACAAGGAATGGATGGCTAAGAAGACCGGTAAAAAGGCATCTGACATTGTGTATGAGCCCAAGCTTCGTCCCATTAGCTCGGGGGTGTTCTCCGATCTGCCGCGCTTTACGGGGACTATGCTTTTCGCACAGCTCGTTCATCAGTGTCTTGAGTATGTTGTTTCCTTCAAGGAGTGCACCTCTGCCATCCCTCCAACTCGCGTGGAGACTTTCCTCCAGGTCATTCTGCACCTTGTGCTCGCTGCAGTACTGGAAGACAACTCTGAAGATGGCAGCATGGAGACGGAGCAGAGTCAGTCATTCAACTTGCATGCCATGTCCAAGTCTCGAGAGATCAAGGCAGGCAACTTGACCATTGTCGGTCTTCTGGAAAGAATATCGGTGACCAACGAATTCTCTGCATGCGGTCCCAAGATCCGTCACATTCTCAAGCGTCTGTGGCAGAAGCGGCCTCGCACCTATACCTCAGCAACTGCCTCTCTCAGGTTCCCCTTCGATCGCATTGAAACCAGCTCGCCCGCCATCGACATCGACAATGAGAAGGAACTCAAGAAGAAGCAGGCATTGGAGAGACAAGCTAGAGTGATGGCCCAGTTCCAGCAACAGCAACAACAATTCCTGAACACTCAAGGAGACATTGACTGGGGCGAGGAGGACTTTAGTGATTCGGAACCGGAGGCACCAACGGCTCATGAGGCTAAGGTTTGGAAGTATCCTAGCGGGACATGCATTTTCTGTCAAGATGAGACCAGCGATTCGAAGCTCTATGGTACTTTTGCGTTGATTCAGGACAGCACAATCCTGCGACAGACCGACATCAGAGACCCTGACAGGATCCGTGAAGCGCTCAGGACTCCTACGAGCTTGGATCGATCTGCAGACGATATCCGGCCCTTCGGAGTTTCCGGAGAGAACAGGACAACGATTCGCCGGCTGGATTCATCTGGAGGTGAGGTCATCAGCGAAAAGGTTGGTCTTAGCAAGGGCTTCAGCCCGAAGAGCACTCTGCGTGGACCTGTGACGACTGGCTGTGGTCATATCATGCATTACTCGTGCTTTGACGTTTACTATACCGGAACCCAAAGACGGCATAGCCAGCAGATTGCCCGGCATCATCCTGAGAATATCACACTCAAGGAATTTGTGTGCCCGTTGTGTAAGGCACTCGGCAATGCATTCCTGCCCATCACTTGGAAGGGCAAGGAGGAGTCATATCCCGGCGCGCTGAACACTGTTTTGCCGTTTGATGAGTTTATGACTACAGGGCTCAAGAGTGCCCTGAATCAGTCACAGAACTTCCCTGTTCTGATGATTGAGAAAGACAAGGCGTATCAACAGCCATACTCTGACTTGTTCGTCGATTACCTGTCGAAGACCCTGACACCTCCACTCTCTTCGAGGGTCGGCCAGCTTATGACTTCCTCATTGCCTTCAACTGGTGCATCCCACCCTCTGTCATCTGTTCCCCGTCTGGCCATGCCGGGCCTTTTCCCCACGACCGCTGAAGACTTGCCACCAACGAGCCCCTTACAGCAGGTCTCGACGCCTTCGGACAGCCCTATGACGGAGCTTCTGCAGATCTACAAGCGTCTTAAGAAGACCATCAAGATGAACCACATTAGCTCCATTTTCAATAACAGTCCTGATACGATGGTCAGTGATGAACTGGTGCACACGGACTCTTTGATCCGGAGCTTCGGGTTTAGCATTTCGTCTGTCGAGATTGCCCAGCGTGGTGTCGAGTCGGAGCCCGGATCGACTCTTCTGGACAAGATTCCGCCACTAACCTTGACGCATCTCCGTATTTTGGCAGAGACTGCTTTGACCTATGCAGCTGTGGGATGTGTTCACTCAAGCAACAGCCCGAAGAGTCGACCTACCCACGAGTTCCAGGAAATGCACCGGCAAAAGCTATGCCAACTGCTCGTCGGACATCCTTGTTTGAGCGGCACACCCCTGTTGAACGATGTTAGGAACATCGAACCGCTGCTCGCCATGGATACCTTTGTGTTCTTGGCGGAATGCTCACTGTCTTTGCTACCTGTTCTCCGTATTGATGTACGACACCTCGTCCAGATGTGCTACGTGGCTGAGATCGTCAAGGTTGCTGTCACTTTCATCCTGTGGCCGTTGGGTCTGAAGGAAGAACTTGCACACCAAGGAGATAATGATCTCGCTGGATCTGATGTTTCAGCCGATCGACATGATGTCACAAAGCACTTCTTTGATTCCATCGTTGCAGAGCTCAAGGCCAACTCTGTTGGACGCGCCGAGGGCTCCTCGTTCCCGGCCGAGAGCGGCTACGTGAAGGATGGAGAAGAGTCTGCTACCCCGAGCGTCATCCTCGCCCTCCGCCGCCTTGTCTCTAGCTACGCCCTGACATTCCTGCGCAAGGCTGTCATCCTGCTCCATGTGCAGCATGGCGTTGATTTCCCCAACACGGGCTTTGCTGATCTCGGCGCGTCGGAACTGGACCGACTTACCAAGACTCTTCACCTTCCTACGCTGGACGAGATCTTCATGTCTGTCAGCCCTGCACGGAAGAGCAACAGCCCCTTCGATGCCGTCATCTCCGGTTGGATCTTCCACTGGAACGCCTCGCGCTCGGGCATTCGCTTCGAAGATCACCGTCTGTGGCCTAGTCTCCCACACCCAGCCATCTTTGAGCTTGTCGGTCTCCCTAAGTACTTCGACAGCTTGATCGAGGAGGCCAACAGACGTCGCTGCCCGAACTCAAAGAAAGAGCTCAGCGACCCGAGCATTTGTCTCTTCTGCGGTGACATCTTCTGCTCGCAGGCAGTGTGCTGCATGCACAACAAGCTGGGTGGTTGCAACCAGCATCTGCAAAAGTAAGCCCTCCCTCCTCCTTCTCCCTCAATTAAATTCTCTACCACACCAAACTAACATTCCATCTCCTTTGCAACAGATGTGGCAAAAACATCGGCCTCTTCATCAATATCCGCAAATGCACAGTCCTCTACCTGCACAACCACAACGGCTCATGGCACTACGCACCCTACCTCGACCGCCACGGCGAAGTTGACCCCGGTCTACGCCGCAACCGCCAACTCATCCTTAACCAAAAGCGGTATGACAGACTCCTGCGCGATGTATGGCTTTCGCACTCGATTCCTGCCACGATCAGTCGTAAGTTGGAATCGGAGATGAATAATGGCGGGTGGGAAACGATTTAATGAACTACTTTGATGCAAAAGCTGGATTGGATCGTTTGCGTTAGTTTCGAGTGCTCTAGATTCTTCTTTTTCTTAATTGGTGACTTGACTTGACTTGAGCGTTGCATTCTTTATTGAGGGTTTGTCTTTTTTTTTGGTTGTTTTTACTTTATTCTTCGATTGTATCTTTGTTTTTTATGTGTATATCGACATTCTTTTACTTCTGGTCCCGGTAGCATTTAGTTTAAATGCCATTCTTCAAAGTGCCTTGTTCCAGAATAGTTTTTCCGGTAAGCCTGCTCGCCTGACTGTACTCCGTACAGATTCGAGTATATTGGATCCGCCATTCGTGAAGTGAAAGCGTTCGTCCGAAGGTATGAGAGGCAAGATCTTCGAGTCTGGGACACTATCAAGTGGTATTTCCAGATCGTGTCATTTCGACTGATATCTTTGCATCTATATGTGAGTAAGGAATAGGAACGAACCAAAATCTAGAATTCTTGGTCACCCAGCGCTGAGCTTTCAGGGCGACCCTTAGGCACGATAAGGTTTATCTTATCGGATGCCAAGCCTGACCCTGCTTGATCTCAAAATTGACGTCGACTCTAGCTCTTCCTGAGCCCCAACTTGCAGCAATGAATAACGAGCAGTTCCGGCGACTTCTCGCCGATAATACATCGACTTCCAAGTCCGGCGACAAGTCCGGCTCGTCGTCGCGCAATGCACCAGCTGGTGGCGCCACTCCGAGCGCGCTGGGCTCGCGAATGCGCTCTAGTATTCCCATGACCCCGTACGTGTCCAGGATCCTTAACTTGCAAAGCGCTTGGTACTGACCGTGATTTTATCTAGGCGCTCTGTTACAGGGGTTGACTTCGCCCGACAGCTCGCGGAGCATCGCCGAGAGGGCGATCAACGTCCCGCGAAGCGTTTCAAATCTTCTGCCGCGCCAAAGGGTAGCAAATTGGCTACCGGGTACCAGGACCGCGCACAGCTACGTAATGCGGATGATGAGAGTGAGGATGACCTACAGAAACGGGTCAAGGCCCTCGAAGACATGGTGAAACTAGGCCAAATCGATCAGGCGACGTTCGAAAAGCTGTGCGGCGAACTCGGGGTCGGTGGAGACACGGAGAGTACACACATGGTCAAGGGCTTGGATTGGACGTTACTGAAGCGAGTTCGTGCTGGTGAGGATATATCGAAGGCGCCTGAAAAACCGGCTCCTCCCCCGGCAGAGGAACCGCCTGTTACCGAGGAAGATGCAGATGAGGCGTTCGAGCGGTTGATGGAGGAGAAGGGTTTGGAAGAGATCAAAGCAGCGCCTAAGGAGCCAAAGGAGAAAAAGAAAGGAACAATGGCACCACCACCGCCTCGACCGAAGACACGCGACGAAATTCTGAGGGAGTTGAAGGCCAGTCGAGCGGCGGCTGCAAGTGCGCCACCCCCGGTGCCGGGGTCAACACTTGGCTCTAAGTTCAAGAAAGTTGGCGATGGCAAGCCAGAGAAGAAGCGCTTCATTGAGTCAGACGAGAATGGTCGGCGGCGGGAGGTCCTGCTCATCACGGACGCTGAGGGCAATACGAAGCGGAAAACCCGCTGGATTGATAAACCCAATGAGCCGCGTGGGACTCCCTCTCTGCCTATGCCTGATAAGGATGCGAAACCTCTTGGAATGGAGGTTCCAGCGGACATTGCTGCGAGGGAAGCTGCCAGCGCTGCGCCTGAAGACGAAAACGATGATATCTTTGCCGGCGTTGGCGCTGATTATGACCCTCTTGCCGGCATCGAGCAAGCAGACGATTCCTCGTCCGATGAAGATGGCGAGCATCCAGAGAAGCCTGTCAAGGATAATGTACCAGGCTCCATCTCAGAAGAGGCTCAGGGGCCCACCGATCAAGCCGCAGCACAACCTACCAAATCACGCAATTACTTCGCAACAACAACATCCACCACCGCCCCCGAAGAACCCTCGGACCGCTCTAACCCCCTCACAAAGGATCCTACAATCCTCGCTGCTCTCAAACGAGCCGCAGCCCTCCGCCAAACTTCCCCCTCCGAGGAAGACTCCGGCCTATCTGCAGAGGCATCCCTCCGACAAAAGAAATTCCTCGAAGAAGCCCGCCGGCGCGATGCCATGGACGCCGCAGATTTGGATATGGGCTTTGGTGGTAGCCGTATTGAGGATGGCGAGGAGGATGATGATGGTGTGCTACTGGACTTTGAGGATCAGCAGCGTGGAGGGAATAAGAGGAAGCGTGGGCCGAAGAAGAGGAAGGGCGATAAGGATAGTGCTGATGATGTTATGCGTGTTCTTGAGGGGCGGAAGAAGAATGTTGAATAAATTGGTTGATGTTCTTACTGGATCTGCTTGAGTGTTGGTCTGGTTGTCAGATCGCTGGATGGGTCTTTGTGATGGTATTTACTTGGGCTCGTCGTTCGAGGTGCTATATACCCTTTAATGCTATCATTGAACATACATACTTTTTGTACAGCTTTGGCCTGATTCCAATTGTAATTTAGTGTGTCGAGTCTATGAGGATGTACCAGTGTGGCTCAACATGATACTACGATAAATAAAGTACAGAGTGTTGATGCTATAATGTTTGTTATCTCAACCATGCAGCCCCATGGCAAGCTCTTTACTGGCGGGGGCTGATTTTCTCCACCATATCATCATGCCATCCCAACCTTTGATGCCAAAGTTAGTTGGTCACTGTACTATACTACTACTTCACAACCCAATAGTATCCCATGAACATCGTCCCATATCTGTGTAGAGTCAGCTACTGGAACAACAATTACCATGCTCCAACACACTGCTTCGCCAGTATCCCCAGACACCATCCAGCATCTATTCAGCTCCCATGCCCTAAGCCCTATTTCCTAACACCCTGAATCCCTTCAAACCAACCTCTCCAGCCTAGTCGGGCCCTCCTTTTTCCCGAATAGGCAAATATAGAGCGTAGGCTACCGTGGGTCATTTTTGACTGTATCAGGCACCGACAAGGGCTGCCTTCATAGTTCCCAAGGCACCGACTACAACATTTCCTAATCGGGAAGGAACGATGCCTACTCCAGCCAGCAGTTACCTCACCCAGTGGTGCCTTCCCCCTACACCCCTCCTAGATAATTATAAATATCTCCTCTCATCTCTCCTCTCATCTCTCCTCTCATCTCTCCTCTCATCTCTCCTCTCATCTCTCTTCCTTCTCAACCTCAACACATCCATCATGAGCCTGGTCTGTTATGACAAGACTGCTTCCTCCTTTGGTCCTGTCTGGTCCTGTCTACCTTCTTGTCCATCTTCCTGTCCATCCTCTTGTCAGAGACAAAGATGTAAGTCACATCAACCCCACTCAACAGCATCTTCTCACTCTTTGACGCATCTCCCTTTCCATCTCTTCCTATCTCCTGCCATCCACCTTGACCTCTTCTGACCTCTTTCACTTGTATCACTTCTTGATGCTCCTCACTACCTTCTCGTCTCATGACACCTTCTCATCATCTGAACGTCTCCAGCATCTACTGACATCTCATTCCGCTACAGGCAGTCTCTTGTCATGACTTGATATCATATCACCAGGCTCAATCTTGAGACCTCGGATTCTAGGTGAGATGGCCGGTCGCCCGAGGGTGGGTAGGCGGGAACGGGGGACGTCTGGGTTTCCTTACCAGCTTTGTTGACGTAGGTTTTCTGCCTACGCAGGTCTCGCAGGATTCGAATCTTATTGATGACCATATCTGTTGGCTTGGCTTGAGAAGTTCTTCAGGTGAGAACTCCCTCTGGAATAGGTTTTCTCGCCGACTTTCGTTTTGATCTTTCGTTCTGATCTTTCGTTTCGGTATGCTGACAAAGGGGCCTTTCCCTTTGCAGGTCTCGCCCGATTCGAATCGCATCTTATGCTTGTTGGCTTGGATTGAGACCTCTATCAGGTGAGATGGCCCGGTCGCCCGCGGGTTGGTAGGAGGGAAGGGGGATGTCTAGGTTTCCTCACTCAGCTTTGCTGACGTAGGTGTTCTTCCTACGCAGGTCTCACCAGATTCGAATCGACTCTCATGGTCATACCTGCTGGTTTGGCTTGAGACCTCTTCAGGTGAGGTGTCCTCCAGGTTTCCTCCCACCTTCCCTTCACGCCAGCGAATGCTGAGTGTAGACCCTGGTGTCTGCTTTTTTCTGTCAGGTCCTTCATATATTCGATCACTGCTTCGCAATATCGAAATGCCCTGAATGGCTTTCTACCGAATTTCGACTATTTTCTCGAGGTGAGTGCGAAACCCGACGTAATTGCCGTGCCTCCCAGCATTCCTTCACGCCAGCGAATGCTGAGTCTGCTGCTTCTACAAGATTCTCCGAAATTTTAATGACCGTCGCACAATTCTGAAGTCCATCTATACTCTTCTGATCTCCAGAACTGTTTTGCCACTTTCAGGCGAGTCGGTCCATCGAGAGGCGGGTGGGCGGTCGATGTATGATATCCTTGCCAGCATAAATGCTGAGGGGAGACCCTGTCTTCCGTTGCTTCTTCTAGGTTCAATCGATCCCCTTCTTGATATTTGAAGAGAGCCATATCCTCTCCTGTGAATCTCATCAAGTGTGGCGTCTGCTCTGGGCTCATTCATCTCGGATCCCAATTAGGGTCATTCGGAGGAAAGGAGTCCTAGTTTCATCCATAATGGCGATGTGGTGATGTTCAAGTCTTACACAGCATGCGGTCTTGTGCATGCTGAATGAAGTCTATTCATGATGTACCTCGTGTCATTTTTGATATCACAATACCACAAAGTTCTTCGTTCTGCATGATCTGCCTCTCGGATGAGATTCAGCTGTCGTTTGTTGTCGTAGCATAGCTGGTCCGTGCGTCATCTTGATTAAGATGATCAGCCTTGTCCCACTGACATCAACCTTAAAATAAACATCCATCGCCCCATTAGCCCATTAGATGCTTCGGATGCGTTCCCAGCTGCTTTTGCGATCTTTTAGAACACCCTTGGTTCTCGGCAAAGGAATACACTATTCTACTCGCACAAAATCCACCATGTCGAGTGGCAAACAAAACACCGTAAATCAGCCGCAGAAGCCTCGAAACCGAAACCAACGACGAGAAAGACAACCAGCTCTGACCCATTTTCTCTGTCTGCCACTGGTTAATACAGTATCACTTCCCCAGCTGGAAGAGTCAATCGCGGCGTTCACAGCGGCAAATCCGCCAGTCCCTGTAGCAGATTTGTTAAACGGCCAGCAGCAGACGTCGGATACAAATGTCTCGCGGGCGGTTATCCCACAAGGCGCAGTCCGGCCTGTGGGAACAATCCATCTGACCATCGGAGTCATGAGTCTTCCAACTAAGGAACGCCTCGACGAAGCGCTGGCTTTTTTCCAGACGCTTGATCTGGCGGGCTTGCTCCGGGAAGCGGAGCGAGTAGCTTATGAATTACGTCAAAAGCGCGCCGCGAAGATGGCTTCGTCTAAATCAGCACCAAATACGGCAGACGCCTCGTCACATTCGTCTGGCTCTTCATCTGACGAAACTCATACACCCCAACCGCTCTCTGTTTCCTTGGAGTCCTTGCATGCTTTACCACGAGCCAAAGCTGCAACGGTCCTACACGCTTCTCCAAACGACCCCACAGGCCGACTATATCCATTCTGTGTGATGCTACGAGACAAATTCCTGGAAGCAGGATTTATGCTCAGCGAGGCCAACAGTAGATTACCCGCGGAGAAAAAGGATCCGCAAGTCGTGGAGGAAGTACAAGCTTCTCAGTGCAAAGATTTGAATACGGATGATAATCCTCTTCTTGAAGAGATGACGACGCTTCCTGCACAAGTTGAGAGCGTCGGTGTTTCGAAGTTACTGGATCCGTATGCTGCGGCTCTTGCTCGCAAGCCGAAACCTCGTCCTTTGCTTTTACATGCCACCCTCGTGAATACGATTTACGTTCGTGGTCGACGGAAATTCCAGAATGGTGGGAATGGTAAAAATGGCAGAAATGGCTCTAAGAGACTTGAGTTTGATGCGCGTGGTCTTCTGGCTAGATACCGGAATTACTACGTTGATGAGACGCAAAGGACGCCTCGCGTGGATACTTCCGCTCATTCTGGATCCTCCCCGGAGAGTTCCCCGCTGTCCGAACCTGCAGTGCCAGAGGGTGATGAGGCCGAGACCGAGTCCAATCCTAATACCTCTTCTGCAACTTCCCATCCTCAATATCCGTTTGTCTGGGCAAGGAATATCCCGATCAATTCGGTTAGTATTTGTGAAATGGGTGCGAAAAAGCTTGAGATTGGTGGACCCGGGGATCAAGGCATGAATGCACGTCTGGGCGAGGAATACACTGTTATCGCGGAGCGAAGTCTTGATTCCCGTCCGCGGTTACTATCACCCTCCCCTTAGGGGGTGTAGTGAACAGAGTTTACATGGGGGTGTGGGCCTTGTTTAAATGTCTTACGGTTTATCAGGTTCAAAAAGCTGCATTATCTCTATCTTTCAAGATATCGTAGTTTCATGAGGGTGGCTTGCTAAATGGTTCACAGGAGGGAGTAACAAGAGGGTAATATATTCCAAGCCAGCTTGGAATACAGATTTCCGGAGAGCGGCCAAATCGCTCCAAGACTTCAATCCATCGACCACTGTTGCGGGGGGATCTCGAATACCCAGATGGTTGGCGAAACTGGGTTTTCGCAAATTTCCAACGGCATAACACTTCTGAAAGTGATGCAAGGCCGGGCGAAGAGGTTTTGTGGCAAGCCTTTTTGTGTCGGTGGCGTATCACGCACTTCCGCGATGGAGGCCGCTATTTTGCATGAGGTTGTTGACAGACCCTTTCATGGCCGATCTATGACAGGAAGTCAGGCCTAGGTCAATCACCTCACCCGGCTCATAATTGTCTCCATGCCACGCTCGACAGATAGCTCAGCCGCCTTGGCTTTAATAGAGCTGATCATACTGCGCTCAAAGTCATCCCGAGTCCGGATAACCGCTTCAACCCAAGACAGCTGTAGATCCCAGTACTCATTCTTGAACGATTCGTAGACATTCACAAGAGCCTGACCCTTCTCAGCTTCCAACAAGCGGACAAGCCAGTCGACCAAGCGCCACTTCTGCTTGATAGTAGACTGGAACGAGTCTTCGTATTTTTGGAAGAAATCGAAGACGGTGAGAACGTCGTCTTTGAATTTATCTGTGAAGGGATCCACTTGGCGGCGGAACTTGACACCCTTGTTGCGTACTGATGAGAGGTATCGCACTAGTAGCTCGTCTGAGAGTTCTTCGACTAGGATGTCGACGAGAGATGGGTGTAGGACTGGGCTGTAGTCGGTCATGTAATCCTCGAAGGTGGTGGTGATACGTTTGATGGCGAATTCGCCGTACCAGCGGGGTGTGAAAAGATCGGTGAGGACGGAGCTGAGATCCACTGTGAAAACGATGTCCACGAATAGTGCTAGGCAGTGCGTGCTCAGATCAACGTATCCGTCTCGTAGAGCGTCTAGTTCGGATGTGGCCCGAGTCGCCATGTATTTGGCCGTCACGACTGGCTCGACGTCGGCCTTGAAGCGGGACAAGTAGCCCATTTGGCCGGTCTCCTCGTTGTCGTCGATGCAGGCGATCTGGTCATTGGCCACACCGACTAACCAGTCTTGTAGAAGCTGCACTCCCTCGTTGTCGCCGCTAGGACTCTTGGATTTGTTGCACTCTTCGTCGATCAATGCCTGCCAGGCGCTCTGTCGGCCCTTCAGGGCCCGGAACATGGCATCGATAACACCTTCGACGACGTCGGCTCTATCGGATTGTCCAGCCGCCATGATCTGTTCGTGGAGCATACGCCACATGTCTGCCTGCGTCTTGGTCCGGAAGTATCCATCTGCATTGGTATCCAGGGCATCTGCTTGCCGCTCCACGAGACCCTTCTTGTCTGTCTCGAAGATCCGGTCCATCCATTCCTCCACGGCGTTAATAATAACACTCTGCCACTGCCGCACCAGTTCCGGCTCACGGTCGTCCAAAATATTGGGTTGGAGGTCGGCGGGAGTCCAGCCCAGCTTCTTCATCTTCTTGTAGTATTTATCGCTCCAGTGAATGATCTTCAGCAGATTATCCGCGGGAACCTCGGGATCGTCAATGAATTCAATGAGGAAGTCGTGCATCATGCGGTGGTAGATATCGGTGTATGTTTTATAGATTTTCCACTTCTTCGGCATGAGAGGCTGCATACCCTGTTGGACTGTGTAGAGATCATTGAAGAACCATCGGAAGCTCTTTTCCATGTGATCCGGATCCTCGAGGAACTCGTCTTTGGTGTTGTTGAACTGATTCTGTGCGTAGAATTCAATTGCCTTGAGGAATTTGTCCTTGTAGCCTCGAACAGTCTTTGGGCCAATGTTCATAGACTTGAAGCGGCTTGCGAGATCCTTGTGATCCTTCTGAGCTTCCTGCAATGCCTTGACGGTATCATCATTCTTCTCTTCATTCATTACAACGACCGCCAATCGAACCACCATGCTCCTGTTATCTTCCTGAACCAATGGAATCAGGTTCATGCAAGCAGTGCCAAGATGATCATCAAACCAATCAATAGCGGAATCCAACCCTTGGAAATATTCCGTCAACGTCTCTTCACTGCTTGAATCGTGCGACTTCTGAATCTGATCCATCGCCTCATCCCGGAAATCTCGTAGACGAGAAATCTGCATATGAGCCTTCAAAAGATTCGGCTGATTCTCCAGGTCATCGTCATCTTCCTTCAACAACTCCTCCACCTCCTGAAGATCCGCGCCAAAATTCTCCAGGCCCTTCTTCATCATCAACGTAGCGTCAAAATGCCGTTGAATCCGAGCCAATTTATCAATCTGCGCAAAGTCCTCCACACTATCCTGTGATTCGGCGCATAGCTTATCAATCGCTTGGAGTTCATCTCTGGTCTTGGAGACTTGTCGTTGACCCTCGGTCAAAAATCCGATACTGCGTTGCACGGCCTCGAGCTGCTCACGAAGGCCCTCACGGAGTCGGGAGTCGACCGCGGCTTTCTTTCGTTGGTACTCGGCTTTCAGGCCATTGATCTTGTCGAGATCCTCCGGATGACGCAGGAGGTCCTCCAGCCGCGGCATGGATACCGTGCCATCGGCGCTTGTGTTCTGCGCCATGTCGACTGCGCCTTATCGGCCACGGGGCGGCCGCTGTTGTCACTATTGAGACTCGGAACACGGCGCTAGCTAGCTCAATTGCGGGGTTCTAGGGAAGAATCGGCGTGATAGGAGTGGGACGGAAAGCCCGGGAATGATTGTGGTGATATGACGCTTCAAGCCGAGTGAATGGTCAGACCCAGGCACCACACTGCATTGGCGTGAGCTACAATCGAGGGGGTCCACCCACGCTCCCGAGCTGCGGAGTTGTTTCCCCCGTTGATGACGCTGGCAGAATGTCAGGCCACGTGATACACCGCTCCTGATTTTGCGATGCCGTCGCGCGTACGCCGGACTTCAAGTAACCTCGATCAATCTTCAACTCGGAATTCCACGAATCTTCCTTTAAGGAAGCCCCAATCACCACCAATTCCTATCTGGAATCCCTATTATCATCTTCACACAACCCCCAACCTCTCCGACCTCGTCCGGTCTAAGTGGAATCCAATCCAACTCCGCCGCACCTATCAATTCCAACACCTCAAAAGGCACCCAAACACCCTCAATCCTCCCTACTCCAAAATGAGCTACTTCCGGGTCCAACTCCTCCGCTCCGCAATCGGTCTCCCCCGCCGCTCAACAGACGTTCTCAAGGCCCTCGGCCTGAAGAAGCGCATGGGCATCGTCTTCCACCGCGTGTCTCCGTCCGTCGCCGGTCAAATCATGAAGGTTAAAGAACTTGTTTCCGTTCAGGAAGTCGACCGCGCTCTTACCCAGCAAGAAGTTCGTTTGGAGCGGAAACCGGATCCCGGTTATTATGTTGAGAAGAGTGGTGTTGCTGAGCGGGCTGAGTTGAGTGGGCAGTGAGATTGGAAATTGATATTGAGTGATTGGCTCTTTTTCTCTTTCTTCTTTCCATTCGAGCTGTGTATAATGCTTTGCTTGGTTTTGGTGGGTGTGGTCTTTGATACCGGGTTCTAGCGATGTGCCTGCCATAAGGCTATTGACTCTTGACCCTTATTTTCTTCTTATGTGTTTTGTGTTGATTACTTTTTTTGCATGGAGCGGGCTTCTTTTATGTCATGTACTCTATCTACGTCCACCTATCTTCTGACGGATCATCTCCATTATTCGTCGACTGTACTATATGGGACGTCATTACAAATTTACTTCTCGAAAGAGATGGCCGAGGCAAATATGTGCAATTTGAATTGTAAGGAGGGTAATGATAAACGCGCTGAACCATTTCTAGTGGTAGGAAATCAGGAAAGGAAACATGGGCAAATACACCACAAACGCCGGTGCGCCCGGTGCAGGTCATTACCAGCTAGTGGGTATAGGAAGCCAGGCAAAGGCAGTCGTTTGAGGTGCACATTCAGTAGGCCGGGGTTTTGTGCTCTGGCGAAGAGACTTAGGCTTTGTACAGGGTATCAAGGAAGCCCTCGGCGAGACGGCTGACAATGCTCTTATCGGGGATGCTGCCGGCAACACCGTACAGAGCGGAAGTTTCACCGCGCTCCAGAATGTAAGCCTTTCCTTGTCGGCGGCGCTCCTCGGCCTTTTCGAGTTCCTTCTCAAGGCACTCAACCACGTCGTTGATAAGCTGATCGACGGCCTTGGCGGTGGGGAGGGTAAAGGCGCAGTGCAGGGCAGGGGGAGACTGCAGCGCATTAAGGTGCCAGCCCTTGGCGGACAGGTCATCGGCGATATCGTAGGTATCAATGGCACCGTTCTTGCTGCGGAACGCGACAACACTGACCATCGGGTTACCCACAACCTCCATGTGAAGAGAGATCATAGGGTGACCACGGACAGCAGACTCAAACTTGCGAGCAGCGTTGATGATCTCGGTGCAGCTGTTGATGTAACCAGCCTCACCCACGTTCATCAAGCTCGCCCAGCAGCCGGCAATCAGGGCACCGGGGCGGGAACCGGCAATGGAGGGAGAGGCATAGACACCGCCGGACCAGTCGGGGTAAATGAAGTATTGGTTGCTGCGATAAGCCTTGTTGCGGTACAGCAGGACTGAGTTGCCCTTGGGGGCGAATCCGTACTTGTGAGTGTCCACACTGATACTGGTAACACCGGACTGACGGAAGTCGAAGCCTCCCTCTTCTTCGTAGGGTGAGGGGAAGCCGGCCTTCTTCAAGTGGGCAATGACGAAAGAACCCAGACAGCAGTCCACGTGGAGAGGAATCTTATACTTTGTAGCCAGGCGCGACAAGGCAGGGATGTCATCGACAATACCGTGGGGGAAGTTGGGTGCCGAACCCACAAGGAGGACAGTGTTGGGGTTGATCAGACGACGAACAGCATTGACATCGACCTTGAACTCGGGCTCCGGGCAAGGGACTCGGTGCAACTTGATCTTGAAGTAGTTGCAAGCCTTGATGAAGGCCGCGTGAGCTGTATCCGGAATGATCCTATGGAAAATTAGCAAATGAGCATTTTGGAGCTCGAAGAAAAATCAACGCTCACATTTCAGGCTCCGTCACTCCACGCTCCAAGAAGGCCTTTTGCCGGGCACCGAGACAAGCCATGATGATGGATTCGGTACCTCCGCTGGTAGTAACGCCAGCACCATCCGTGGGAGCATTGAACATGGCCAGAACCTGCGATTGTCGTTAACAATTGTATCCATGTCGTATCAAAGCTATAAACCAGCAGGAATATCATACCATAGCAACAACCTCAGCCTCCATCTTCCGGACTCCAGGGAAAACATCCGGGTGAATCGGGTTCGCAACACCAAACTGTCCAAAGGCCTCCGCCTGCAACTTCAACAAATCCTCTCCACCGTGATACACGGCACCACTGACACGGCCATCCTCCCAGCGGGTATGCTCCAAGCCAGCCAGCTTATTGAGTTCCTCACGAACCTTATCGGCGGACCATCCTTCCGCGGGCAAGGTGAGATAACGATTCACATCAGGCCCGCTTTGCACAAGCTTGGTTTCGAGTTTTTCGATCGCGGTCGAGACTTGCTTATCGACCTGGCCGCGCACACCGGGAGCACGCAGGAAGAGGGAGTAACAGAATAGACGGGCGGCGATGTAGACATTGCGGATGCTACCGAACAAGCCGTAGCCGCGGAGCGAGTAGAAGGTCTTGCGCGTGTACCGGAAAAGGAAGAGGATGAAAATGATATTGCGGACTCTGTCAACGTCAAGAAGAAGGGTGGTGGTCAGCCGGCGATCATCGCTTTCGCGTTCGTGGGAAGTGGGTAGATGCGCCATCGAAGGAATGACGAATAACTGGTTATACTTACAGGTCCAGATTCACGGCCGATAGATGGGCGCTGGAGGCCCGGCCATAGCCCACCAGCTTGTTCTGCAGGGCGACAGGGAGCGCCGAGGAACTCATGATGCCCTGGTGATTTGCTCTAGAGATAATGATGCTGATGAGCACCGGGAAACTTGGCAGAGAGTTGGACGTTAAGTAACACTCGGCGTCCGCGGGAGCCCGTTGGCCAGACGCGGTCTAGCGCCCGTGCCGAGGTTAGGGAAGTGCTGCACCTGCTAAATTGCCACATGATGAATGGATAGGCAGTCAAGCTACGATGGCCAAAATATAATTACAATAGCCAGATCCAGCCTTCGAAATTATATGTCCTATGATTTGGAAGTTTCAGCTTTGGAAGAGCTTTGTTTTTTGAATCAAGTTGTTGGAATTGCTACAGCTTTATTAGAGCTGGGCGCTTATATACATTGGTCAAGGACTCTCCAAACACCACCAGTCCAGTCGTTCTTTTCTGAACGAATTCCACATATGAAAAAAAAAAAAAAAAAGGAAAAGACTTTTTCAAAACCACACAAGACAAAGGAAAACATAGGAAAAGTCCCAAACGCATAAATCACATCAAATCGTCAGAGATTCCTCTGGTCAAGTCTTGCCTCGCGGGGTATACCGCAAGTCGAGACGGGGTGAATATTCTGGCGAACAAAAGAACGCACGCTATTGAACAGAGATAACAGATGTCCGCTTAAGCGGCAACACCGGCCTGAGCAATCTCCTTCTCCTTGGCCACAAATTGGGCGTGCTCCTCGGCGGTCAGCTCCATGAGAGGCTTGTCCTCACCCAGCTTGAGGTTGCGGGCGTAGGCACGGATAATGGAGTCGGCGTCATCAACGGCAATGGGGCGAATATCGGCCAGGGCCTTGATCTTGGCAGTGCACTCCTTGGCCTGGGCGTCGGTCAGATCGATCTTGAGCTGTTGGCAGCGCGACTTGATCGCGTTCCAGCCAGTCAGACGCGAAGCGAAATGGACGTAGCGAGTCATGCCAAAGTCCGCAGGGTTGATGATCTCGTAGGTGCTGGGGTTGTTGAGAATGGCCTTGGCGTGGATACCAGCCTTGTGGGTGAAGGCACAGAAACCGGTGATGTAGTTGTTGAAGGGGATGTTGACCTGGACGGCCTCGGCGACGAGGTCCTCAATGTCCTTGAGCTTCTCCAGCTTGTACTTGCCCTTAACGTATTCGGGGTCGGCGACCATCATGCGGGCCATCAGACCACCGAGAGGGGTGATACCGTTACGCTCACCGATACCGAGGACGGAGGTATCAATGTGAGTGGCGCCGGCCTCGAGGGCACAGTAGGCGTTGGCAATAGCACAGCCAGTGTCGTTGTGGAAGTGAGTCTCAATGTCACAGCCGACGACACCACGGAGCACACGAACGAGCTCATAAACCTGGCGGGGGGAAGCACAGCCGACGGTATCGGCGATACCAACACGCTGAACGCCGACCTTGTCGACGGCGGAGTAGATGGAGAGCAGATCGACGAGGTCGGAGCGGAAAGAGTCCTCGCTGGAGAAACGGATCTCAATGCCCTTGGACTTGACGAATTCGATAACTTCAATGGCGGCGTTCTTGATATAGGTCATGTCCTTGCCGTGGGAGTGCTCACGGAGGTAGGAGGAGGTACCAATGACGACATCGCTGTTGTACAAAGTCAGGGACCAATTCGGCAAGATAGAGAAAAAAAAATGTGGGGGTGACTCACACTCCGTCGACACCGGTCTCAACAGCAACACGGGCATCGTCCATGTGGCAGCGAATGTGAGTAAGAATCTATGAGATGGTTAGACACTGTTAAGCCAAACAATCCACACCATATTCGCCGCAACGACATTGTAGACATACCTTGGCCTTCAGACCGAGCTTGCAAATAGCCTCACAGTCGGCACGAGACTGCTCGGAAGCGCAGGGGCTAGTAAGCTCAATCTGTCATCATAATAATGGTTAGTTGTATATCCCAAGACTGTGCTCAACTACGATCTTCTGTCAATGACTCACGTAGTCAACACCAAAGTCATCGAGGGCCCTGGCAATCTCGATCTTTTTCTCGGTATCGAAGAAAGCGTTGGCGAACTGCTCGCCCTCACGCAGGGTGCTCTCAATAATCTTGAAACGGGAGACATTGCTCAAGAAATCGGTCACACCGACGTTGTGGCCGTAGGGATTGCGGGACGCGGAAGGGTGAGGGTTCTGGCGGGTCTCGATACCAATGAAGCCGGGGTGATTAGCTATAAAAATATGTGAGTTAGCCAGCCGAGCGGAGTATATCAGACATCCCAGGATCATATCGTACCGCCATTGGCACCGTTGGCGCCGTTAGCTTGCCCATTGGGCTCGGAGTCGGCACCGGGACACATTGTGCGTAGATAGTGGGGTGGTGGTAGTGATAAGTGGTGGAGGGGTAGATTGGGGGTGTAGCGCGGAGCTTTGGAGGAGCAGCTCGGAACTATTCAAATGCAAGATATAAGACGAATGGACCAACACAATGAGTCCACGGTCAAGAGATGATATTTAAGTCTTGAAACTTTGGAAGGAAAGAGGAAGTAAGAGTCATAAAGAGTGGAGTGGGCGGTGTGTTTCCATTCTGCGTAGTAATCGTCGCTCCCTCGCTCGGCGGCAAAAAAAAAAACCAAACTGAAAAATTTCGCCTTTCGCTGGGGGTGGGGAAACCCGGCCGGAGTCGCTCACTGGCCATCACCGCGATGTACATGATGAAGTGCTCTGCTCTTTAGGATGCCTATGACTCAATCCAATCATTCTTTTTCTTTTCGTCGGATATAGTTTGACCCTCTCTCCTCACCCTGCATAGGGCGTAGCAATATGCACTATAATTTACGTCTAACAGGACTCAGTATTCGTCAGGTAAGGGATAATTCGTACTTATAGTACGGAGTATGTCATACTCCCAAGTCTCATTATCGAGGCCGGAACCGACATCGGGGCGTGCTGATGCCTCAGGCCTTACTGCCTCAAATCTCAGGCAGACCAAGCGGCGGACTTCACCGGCGAAATGCCTTTCCACACTCTAGACTGGTCCGATTGATAATCTTTCAAAAATGCATCACTCAATCAATCGATAAGATGCCACAAAGCTGAGTGCTGCCCTTCTGGTCGTCGACACGGCCGCTGTCGTCATTACCAATGCCTGCCCCGCTGGGGCTTAACCTAGGCTCGTCATACTCCCAACTACCAACGGGAGTAGTAGTACAACGGCCAACACTCGGCGCCGATCACCATGTTCGATTTCATTGGTGGAGCTTTATATCTCGGCAATGATCCTATGCATGAGGCAGAGTTTTGCGAGAAAAAAATAGGATCCAATGATACTAATTCCTTAGAAAGTACGACTCCGTTTAACAGGCGCTGCAGCTTAAGACTCAAATATAGTCTTAATATGAGATCGTCGGGATTTTTCCCGACGAGACCTCCGATGCTCCGCATGTGTTAAATCACGTGGTTTCACATTTGAAAGTCAACATACAACCAGACCAACCATAAACAACTAGCGCCCACCACAGTTCACAGATAGGTACACGAAGACAAATTCTGACTGGGAGACAAGGGATCATTTTCAGTGTAGAATTCAGTGTCAGAGATAGAGTATAGAGTCTATCAATAGGTTCGTGTGGTTATGCACCCGTTTTTGTTGAGTGTACGAACATCAAGAACATAGTTAATTTCGAGCAGATGGGATTCAACAGGATGACACTACTTATCAGGGTGCATTGTATGTAGCTGCTTAAGGAGAGCCATTCTATATTCCATTTTTGGCACGAGCTTCTGGTTAACGATGTCGAACGCCAAGGGCGAACGGGGTTTATCCGATCACGAGTTCGACTGGAGAACACTCAAAAGTGTTGAGATGAGGTCTTGCTGTCTTCCGAGAGACTCTATGTTTTCCTTGGGAAATGGCAAACGCTCATCATGCATCTAGGATCGAGATAGGCTCGGTTGGTTGAGATGGCTCCTCATCGCGAGAGGTTCCGGGGATATGCCGCTCGCAATCATCAGTGTAGTGGGTGTTTTATTTGTTTGTCCAGCCTCGGCTCTTTCGTTGAGACAGGTTGGAGGTTGACCCTTTAATGTGGAGTTCCCAGGGTCCATTCAAAGATCGATGAGATAATTGACTCACCAGCAATCACGCCTTTGAGTCCTTTCACGAGGCATTTGTAGTTCGGGGAGATGGTGACGAAGACTGTGTCCTACATTGTGAGGTTGTTTCTGTCGAGGATGGTGATCCGCTGGCTTGGAGTAGTTGCACCACTGTAAACGGAGAGTCTTAGGAGACCTTGATGCCAAGGTAACCATTGTTCTTTGATGTAGATGTAGGCTTCGTCTGGACTGCGGGTGGTGGACTTTCGTATGAGTTGCGTCCGAGCTATGGTCGACCAGGTGTGAGGATGGTCAACTTAGTAGATCTGGAAGATATTGGTAAGGTGATTAAGCTTGCTTCAAAGGCCGTGAGCGTGATTGCTTGTTATCGTGGGTCTCTGGTGGCAGTCGGGTTTACTTAAGGCACTCTTCAAAGAACATTCAGCTTACATCAAAGAATGTCCAGATAATAGTCCCATGTGTTCGGACCAGTCTATTCTAGTTTCTCAGATCATTGTTAAAGATGGGATCGTGTTAGAGGCATTTGCACGTGTTATGTAGAATCACTGCTGGGCTCTAACACCCGCAATTTTCCGAAATAAAGTTGGCTACATGACATAACTACCTTGAATGATTCACATTATTCAAACTTTTCTGCAAATTTTATCCTACACTCTGGGAAGACTAATCCCATTTATGAAGATTCAAACTCTCAGCGAAAACGTTCCATTCAGTGGCTGGTGATAGGTGGTGGCCTCAGTCTATGCTGACTGCTATTAAAGGCGGCTCTCATTCGAGAAGCACGCCGCCACCACAACGGCAAAAAAAAGAACGACCTCCTCTCTCCCCTCCTCTCCAGCTACTCGCCTCATCCGTCACTACCCGGCCCCTTACACCCCTCTTCTTTCGAGGAAACGAAAACGCCCAAGTCGGATGAGGGCAGGGGCGGGACGGGCAGGAGAGGGTAGGCGCTGATAGGGGGCGTCTGGTGGTGGGCCTGGGTAGGGCTGCAGTTCGATGCCCTCCCGACGGCGTCGGCGTTGGCGGGTGCGGTCTTTCCAGAACGCGCACCACGCCTCCCAATGGTTCATGGGATTTAGTTGGCGGAGGCACCACCACAAACAGTCCACCCCCTTCAGCCCTAGTCGCCAGGACACGAGGGAGTATGCGGCAATCGCCGCCAGAAACAGCAAGACCACGATGAAGATAATTAGCGAGTCGTGGTCTCGCTTTGCTTTCCACTCCGGATCACCGGAGCCGCCTGATCAGTTGTGGTCAGCTTGTGTGTCTGCGAAGTACTCATGTATCATCAGGAACGGCTTGAAACTTACCATATGGGTTCACCTGGCGGGCTTGGAGGCGGGCCAGGGCGAGGGAGGTGTCGCCTGTATCTCCAACTCGTCAGCTACTCTTTGATCTTATTTTGATACGTTGTATATCTTCTTTCATCTGATTCGTGAGCATGACTTACCAGAGACGGGGCCAGGAACGGAGACAGGAACGGAGGCAAAACGGAGGGAACAAGCTCCAAGCAAGCTCGACTGACAGCGGCCAGATCGGCCACGGGCATCGTAAGGGTCTGCATCAGCAGCATGATGGTGGAAAATGCGCTGAATGATGGAAGTCATGGTTGATGCAGCGCTGTTGTTCTTGATCAGAGAAGAAGAAGAAGAAGAAGAAAGGATGAAAGGCCGCCGCTCCTCGAGCTTTTATGCCCGACATGTGCAGGCAATCGACGACTCAGCGCGACTCGTCGCCTCTTGCGGATTTTAACGGTCTATCACGGAAAGATCATGGATTATAAACGCGGCAAACGATCGATGCCTGGCATCATTCCTGCCTCGAGAGATGGCGTTGCCTTTCACGTTTGACAGTGATCTTGCCATATGCTTTTGAATAGGATGCTACCTGCTCATTGGCCATGGTCCTGCTCTAAGCCAGCGGCGATGGCATTCCGGCAATTTCATTAGCAAGATGCAGCCTCTGCAGGCTTCATACGTTGGAGGAACCTTGAGTAGAGGCATCGATGGTACTCTATTTAAGGCAATGACGATATTAGAGTGTACTGAAATGTCTCTATTATAGGATTACGGATGAATTGTATAGTGAAAATGTATAACATGCCTGTATATTGTAGAAGTAGAATACGCGGATGTGTTCTAGAAGGCTGCACAACATAGATATTTAGTTCCAAGTGGAGACCACCGCGGAAACTAGGAAAGTTACAGCTTTGAGTAGATTCCAGGGTGGTATAGTGAACTGCTATATATGGGTGGATCTTCTATTGCAACATGCCTATGAATCAAACAAAGTTCCCCAATCTCTATAATGCAATACAGTCCTTATAGTATCACCAAAGTCAATGGCAACCCCAGTGTTCAACGCTGAGTGGATCGGCGAGATTCCCCGCCCGCACTTCCGGGGTGATGGTTGGTCCGTCCGGTTGGTCTGTTAGTCTGGTTGGCTCGGGTGGTCCGGGCGCTCAGGCCAGCTGTCGTCTAGCCCTCAAGCTGACCCAAGTGCTTTCTCCTCCTTAATCCCTCGGGTGCCGTTGCTTCAATTGATCGACTCTGTCAACTAAACTGGTAAGTTCATCAGGATATATCCTTGACCATCCATCTCCATCTTCTGGTCTTCCCCATCTTTATTGATCCCAGCTAATTCGCCCGTAATCAGCCTTCAATATGCGTTTCACCTCGCTCATCACTCTCCTCCCTGCCCTGGCTCTGGCACAGGAGCAGGTGCCCCTCGCAGACCGCGTGCAGGGCTGGTTCAACAAGGCCAAGAACCTTGTCCCCACGGCTGTCCCAGCCGATCCCATCCAGAAGATGGCCGAGAAGGTCTCCGAGAAGCGCGTCACCGATGTGACCATGCGGAACTGGCAGTCCCTCCTGGCCCCTGCCGAGGACGCTCAGGATTGGTACATCTACATTACCGGTGGCAACAAGACCTGCTTCGGCCGCTGTGATATCGCCGATAAGGCCTTCAAGGTGAGAAATCGCCCATTGCGCGCGTCCCCGGGAAATACTGCGCTCGGAACCCCATAGCCATCGACAGAAGCATGTAAGCTGACCCTTCGTCGTAACCTTCTAGGAATCTGTTCTCCTCTTCTCCGCCGACCCCACCGCTCCCAACCTTGGCCAGGTGAACTGTGAGGAAGAGCGCGTTCTCTGCGCGACTTGGTCCGCCGGTGCTCCCTCCGTCTTCTACTTCCAGGTGCCACAGGCTCAGCCCGAGGGTCAACCGCGTCTGCCTACCCCTCTCCACGTCGTCTACATGAACACCACCACCGTCACCCCTCAGGAGCTTTACCAGGTTCACTCTAAGAAGAATTTCGAGAAGGTCCCCGCCTATGAGGGCGCCTTCCACCCCACCGACGGCTTGCTCGCCCAGTACCAGCTGAACGTTGCCTTCGGCTACGCCATCTGGGCCATCGGCGCCATCCCCAGCTGGACAATGATGATTGCCATTAGTTTCTTCAGCCGTACCGTCATGTAAGTGAACTCCCTTGCACAGGTGTCGCGCTGGCGCGTTTACTCGTGTCATGTCAATTATTAGGGCTCTGCTAACCATTTTTCCACAATCTAGGGGCCGCCGCATGAACAACGTTGGCCAGCCTCGTCGTCCTGCTCCTGCTGGAAGTGCGAACTAGATTGGTGGCTTTTCTTTCGCAAATTATACCATGCTTCCGTAATTTTGGGTTGTAAATAGTGGCTTTTGGTGGATCCAATGCATTGGGTGATCTGGTCCGGTTCTCTTCCTCGGGTTGCTTTTGGTTCATGGCTTTTCTGGCTCCCATAGGTAATTTAATCAATTTGATCAAAGTTAGAATGTGGAATCTTTAGAATAGTAATTGTCAACGCGTTCGACGCGTGTAAATAGTTTCCGGATGGATGGACTCGAGCTTTTACGTACCAGGTAGAGGGCACCAAGCCCGAGCGATATATATCTTTGGGCGGGGTGGAGGTACAAGAATTTGATGTGTACCACCTGCAAGAGGAACATAAATAATTAACCCTTACTAGCAACCATAGGTCTAATTTCTTTCCCAAGACCATAGAAATTGTAAATCAATTATTACGACTTAGATCAACTAGAGATCTACAAATCTGTAATCAGACCCCCCGCTGGTCAACAGCCCGAGGCGGCCAAGCGCCGCGGAACAGAGCCCCCAATCCATCCATTCATTGGAACTTGGCACAGCACCACCACCTCAACCTCGACAATTCTCCCTCCGAATCCCTACGCTTACGCACCCTCACAGACCAAAATGGCAGCTCCACTAGATCGCACATCCCCAACAACAGCCGCCTACGTGATTGCCACGGCCATTGTCGCCGGCGTCACAGGATACTTCATCGGCCAAGGTGCCTCGCTCGGCCTTTTCAGAGAGAAACAGGGCTGGCCCAACGGCTACGACGTGAAGGTCCACAAGGACTCCTCCTCCGAAGAACATGACGGAGAAGAATCCGAGGATGACGAGAGTAACGACGAGGACGAGGGCAATGGCGAAGAACTCGCTGCTTTCAAGGATAATGAGGAGGAGGTGAAGCTTGTGCTGGTCGTGCGTACGGACCTGGGTATGACCAAGGGTATGTGCTCTACGCAAAAAAAAAAAAGATTTCAAGCCTCAGCGTGAGACTGCGAGCAATATTCATTGACTGACATTTTCTTTTGCTTGGTGTCTATAGGTAAAATCGCCGCCCAAGCCTCCCACGCTACCCTCGCCTGCTACAAATATTTCATCACTCACCAACCGGAGTCGCCCATCTTGCGCCGCTGGGAGCAAGGCGGCCAGGCCAAGATCGCGCTGCAGATTAAGTCAGAGGATGAGCTGCTGCTGCTCCAGGCGCAGGCGATGAGCCTTGGGCTTTGCGCGCGCGTTATTCAGGATGCTGGGCGCACGCAGATTGCTAGTGGTAGTCGCACTGTGCTGGGTGTTTTGGGACCTAAGAGTGTTGTTGATGGGGTGACGGGACACTTGAAATTGTTGTAGACTACAAAAGACATGAGATGCACGTCTAGCATACCATCTATGCGATAGGACATGATGATTATGATCTTGATGACCAAAGCTTTGCAGTCGTGTATCAGATTCTCGGACGAACAGCTAGGAGCTTCGTACAGTAGCTTGGCGTAGCTTTCGGTATGCCGATAAACTAACAGGCTTGCTGATTTTTGCAAGTTGCGTGGAGCTCTGGCTGAGAGACTACAAGAAGATTCTTGCATCAACATCAGGACGCCGAGAGCGCGGCTCATGCCGAATGCCTCTTCCACGTTGTGCAAGAGGCACTTGGAATCGTCTACAAGACTATCAAATTTTGACTACGGAAAAGAAATGTTGGCTGGTCATGGTTTATCCCTAACCTCACGGGCCAACGGCCAATCGGTAAAGAGGGGTGGAATATGACGCCGTCCGCAACCAGGGCCTCAAGCCGAGCTCACCAAGGCGGGAGCTCAAGACCCAAGGGACACCCGGCGCAAACACTTAATCTAAGATCTGTCGACAGGATACCGTAAGGGTGCCATACATGTTGGAAGGTGGATGGCTCCAAGGTCGTCGATCTGCCCAGCTCTCGACCGAAACACAGAGATGCCAGTCAGACTGGTACTCCGTCAACGGGAAATCTGGACACAGATCCATATGTTGTAAGAAGGAAAAGAGAAAAGGATGAGGCGGCGGCGTCGTTTTTATTCTTGGGAGAAATTTCTGGAACTAGTCCGCTTTGGGTATAACGGGCCAAGGTCACATGATGATATCCTGGGCCGGGCGTTATCAGAGTCCACGGGATTCCAGGTCCTTTTGTTTTTGAGACAGCGCGGTTTCCCAACTCTTACTCTCCCCTCTTGTGTTGCCGTGCTCGCACACATATCCTGTCAAGATGGCGGACGCTCTTTCCATCGAACAGAATAACAAAATTCGAGTCGCCTTGGGCCTCAAGCCACTCCCCGTCCCCGGAGCTGAAGCAGACGACGCCACCGGTCCACAGTTCAAGGACGACGCGAGCGACGCCGACTCCGACGAAGAGCCCGCGAGTACGATCGAGACCCGACAAGCGCAAGGCTATGACAACTGGAAGAAACTCCAAGATGAGGCCGACGCCAAACGGAAACGAGAGGAGAAGAATGCTGCCATCAAGAGGGCGCGTGACATTGCTCAGAGAAATTTGAAGCTACAAGGCGCCACCCTCGGAGAGTCGGATGGCGCAGACCTGGATACCAAGGCATGGCTGATGCAGTCTAAGAAACGATCTAAGAAGATCGAGAAGGAGCGGGCGCGCAAACTCGCCGAGGAACTGGAGGAGCGTGAGCGCCTTGCGGCCACCGAGTACACTGCCGAAGATCTGGCTGGTATTAAGGTCGGACACGCGATCGGTGATTTTGAAGGTGGCGAGGATCACATTCTCACTCTGAAGGATGCGGCTGTGGATGACGAGGAAGAGGGCGATGAACTTGAAGATATCAACCTCGTCGAGAAGGACAAGACCACCGAGAAACTCGAGCTCAAGAAGCGCAAGCCCGTATACGACCCTACTGCCGAGAACCAAGGGATCCTTGCCCAATACGATGAAGAGATTGATGGCAAGAAGCGGAAGAGATTCACGCTGGATGCAAAGGGCTCGAACGAGGAAGAAAGGGAGTTCAAGCGGCAAGAGGTCTCGGCAGGCTTGAAGAAGGGCGTTTTCAGTCTTGACCTCGAGCCTGAGATTCAGACATCCGATTATATGGACATCAGTGAAGTCAAGATTAAGAAGCCTAAAAAGAAGAAGAACAAGACGACAAAGCAACGGGCTGTTATGGACGACGAGGATCTTTTTCCTACCGATACTAATACACCCAATGGAACATCTATGGACATCGATTCTACGAATGGAGCTTCCGTTACAGCTGCTCGGAAACCCATCAGCGAAGAGGTCTCCTTTGCGGACGATGACGATCTTCAAGCTTCACTTGCACTCCAGCGACGTGCTGCATTCAGAAAGCGCAAGAAGATGCGTCCTGAAGACCTTGTCCGCCAACTTCGTGAAGAGGAATCTCAAACGCCTATGGAGACCGACACTCCTGAGGATGGTGCGGAGGAACCCGGTCTTGTTATTGACGAGACATCGGAGTTTGTCTCCAATCTACAGAGACCCACGCTTCCTGAGCGAGAGGAACGCCGAACCGCGACCCCTGCTGCTGAGGCTGCCGCCCGGTCAGAACCAGACGAGGAGCCCGAAGACGTGGACATGGAGCGGAGCTACAACGACATCGAGGATGAGGAAGATCTCAAAGAACGCCTCAAGCGCGAGGAATCCAACCAGGCCGCGCAGCAGCTTACCGGCACCGGCTTGGAAGAGGAATCTACATTGGATCAAGGTCTGGGCGCTACACTTTCAATGCTTCGACAGCGCGGTCTCGTCAAGGAAACCGACAGCAGCAGCTCAAACGCCCTCCTCCGCGATCGCCAGCGCTTCCTACAGGACAGGCTGAACCGCGAAGCCGACGCCGAGCGCCGTGCCCGCACACAACGTGAACGTGACCGTGCCTCCGGCAAGCTGGATCGCATGTCAGCCCGCGAGCGCGAAGAACACGCACGCTGGGAGAACAAACAGCGCGATCAGCAAGAAGCTCGGCAGATGGCAGAGATTTTCAACCGCGAGTACAAGCCCGACGTGCAGCTGAAGTATACGGATGAATACGGACGCTCGATGAACCAGAAGGAGGCGTTCAAGCATCTTAGTCACCAGTTCCATGGCAAGGGGAGTGGCAAGATGAAGACGGAGAAGAGGCTAAAGAAGATTGAAGAGGAGAAGAAGCGGGAGGCTATGTCTGCATTGGATAGTAGCCAGCATACGGGTATGAATAATGCTATGGGGCAGCAGGCGAGGAAGAATCGGCAAGCTGGTGTGAGGTTGGGTTGAGATGGAGCGGATGGAGTGGATGGAGCTATGGCTCTGTTTTCTTTGTGTTGCTTGATTTGGATTGTATAGAGCAGCGAAATGATCAACGATATTCCCCCTTTACTATTGAACTGTGTGGTTTGTTTCTAACAGCAGAGAAATGGTCAACTACAATCATCATCCTTCATGTTTGTGTAAACTTCCCATGTAGTATACCGCACTGTATTCGACACTAAGGACACTGACGTTAGAAGATGAGGCCCTTGAAAGCATGCATAGCTATCCCCAGGTAGTACTGTAGTTCAGTAACATAAATTGTGTTTTGTCTTTATGAAAGCCGCTAGCTGTTTCTGTCATGTCCTGCCGACTCTCCGCATTGGTACGTAATAGGAATTGACAACAGTTGTGATATTGTCGGGGTTCTTCAAGAGTCGATCAAACTTATACAATAATCTCATCTCCACGTGTGGGGGATACGAATTGGTCACATTGAATACTGGCTAAACTCAGTATATAGACGGTGTGCACTCCATAGAGTAGTATGTACAAAGTATTTCCAAAAGTACTTTGGACTGTTATCCCGGCTATTTCCCTCACCCTATTTAACCGAGTTTTGGAGCCCTGAACCTTGTCCTCTTTTTGCTCTCCGGAACTTCAAAAGGGGATACTTGATATTCAAAATCCAATCGATCACTCTCAACAGGAGGTCTGCTAGGAGGTAAAGTACCCTGAGAGTCTCTCAATATATGGCTGTTCCGAGTAAATACTTCCTGGACTACTTGCTCTGGTAAACTGCCCGCACGAAGGATTTACCCCAACTCTGTGCGTGAGGGGAAATTTATCGCGCGAGTGGAGCTCTTCGCCCTTGTTTAGCTCACCGGGGCTTGACATCCCGACATGGTGCAATGATGATGTCGGGGAGAATAGGGCGAGACTTGGAGATGTTTAGAAGGGCATAGACGTTTATTTACATGGCAGTCAAAGGGATGGATGGAGATGGGATATTAGCTGTATACTATTTGGTGTATTGCGCTCATAGCTCAATCGAATGGTTAGGACTAATTGACTAAACCAGATTTATGCCCTAATAGAATCTACATAATATCACCATGACAATAATACCATATGATCTTCAATAATCAACCATCCGCACGGAATACTTCTACTGTGGGAATTTGTTTGCGCCCTGCGGAGGAGGCAGCCAATCCAGCCAATCCGGCGGGGATCGGCCACGCTGTTATGGCCGGGCGGTGAAGTAGAAGTGACTTGGAAATGGCCGACCCCCACACTGGCCGAGAAGTACCCGATACTTTCCTTACGTAGTATCACATGAGTCAGGCCCAAAACACGCAGCATCTCCGATTTCGTCTCCGGCTTTTTCCTTTTCTCCCCCAGCTTTTCTAGACCTTCTGCTTCCTTGTTGTGTTTCCTTTCCCCATTCTTATCTGTTGCCTCTCAATTCACAATGCTCTCCACTCTGCGTGTTGCCAGCCGTTCGGCTGTTGCTCGCGATGCGAACATGCGCACCGTGGTCATCGGTGCTAGACATGCCTCGGCCTGGGCTAATGTGCCCCAGGGTCCTCCTGTAGGTGTCATCCGAATCGATGCATGCTCCCAGTGAATTCAATTCGAGATGGAAGCATAAGCATAAGCATGGGAAATGCGATTCTATGAGGACCAATGCTGATGTGTCGTGCGCGTGATTAGGATGCCATTCTCGGTATCACCGAGGCTTTCAAGGCCGACTCCTTCAAGGAGAAGATCAACCTGGGTGTCGGTGCTTACCGTGAGTTCTCCTCCATCGATCGTGACACTCAGAAGAGTCAAATAATGGAAGAAATGCATGGATTGCTAATTGAAACGTGGATTGCGCAATTCAGGCGACGACAAGGGCAAGCCTTACGTCCTGCCCTCCGTCCGCGAGGCCGAGGACAAGGTCGTTGCTTCGCGCTTCGACAAGGAGTACGCCGGTATCACCGGTGTCCCTGCCTTCACTAACGCCGCTGCCGAGCTGGCCTACGGCAAGGACTCCTCCGCTCTGACCGAGGACCGTCTCGTCATCACCCAGACCATCTCCGGCACTGGTGCCCTGCGCATCGGTGGTGCTTTCCTCAAGCGCTTCTATCCCCACGCGAAGAAGATCTACCTCCCCAACCCTAGCTGGGCCAACCACAATGCCGTCTTCAAGGACTCTGGCCTCGAGGTCGAGAAGTACCGCTACTACAACAAGGACACCATCGGTCTGGACTTCGAGGGCCTGATCGCCGATATCAAGGCCGCCCCCGAGAACAGCATCATCCTGCTCCACGCTTGCGCTCACAATCCCACCGGTGTCGACCCCACCCAGGAGCAGTGGCGCCAGATCAGCGATGTCGTCAAGGAGAAGGGCCACTTTGCCTTCTTCGACATGGCTTACCAGGGCTTCGCCAGCGGTAACGCCGACCTGGATGCTTTCGCTCCTCGCCACTTCGTCAAGGAGGGCCACAACATTGCTCTGTGCCAGAGTTTCGCCAAGAACATGGTGAGAATTATCCGCTTACATGGGCTGTAAGGCTATACAGCTCCGAAGTATGTGTGTCACTAACGTGATTATCTAGGGTCTCTACGGTGAGCGTGTTGGTGCTTTCTCGCTCGTCTGCGAGAACACCGAGGAGAAGAAGCGCGTTGAGTCGCAGATCAAGATCCTGATCCGTCCCTTCTACTCCAACCCCCCATCCACGGTGCCCGCGTTGCCTCCACCATCATGAACGACCCCAAGCTGAACGAGCAGTGGCTCGGTGAGGTCAAGGGCATGGCTGACCGCATCATTGAGATGCGCTCTCTGCTCCGCAAGAACCTGGAGGAGCTTGGCAGCAAGCACGACTGGTCCCACATCACCAGCCAGATCGGCATGTTCGCCTACACTGGTCTGAAGCCCGAGCAGATGGATATTCTCGCCAAGGAGCACTCCGTCTACGCCACCAAGGACGGCCGTATCTCCGTCGCTGGTATCACCTCCGGCAACGTCAAGCGCCTGGCCGAGTCCATCTTCAAGGTTACCGGTTAAATTGAGGAAAAATAGACGCGAAGAATGGGGAAATTCTAAACGGGATAAAGGAGCGAGGCAAAAATGTGCGAACGAAACGAAAATGGGCTTTTGCAGAAGAAGGGGCTTCTTGGATGGCTTCCTTCTTTTACCTGCGCCCTTGTACTGATATCTAATGTCTCTGTGTTTTATATTTAGCATGATTCGGCTTTAGTCCATTTCAACTGAGATTTTGGATTGGTCATTTATTTGATTCCTTTCGTAAATGCGTAGTGTGTTTGATGGTAGATGATGTCAATGGAAACTACAATCTTCTTTAATCGTAAACAACATTCTTCAAGTACTCAAATCAATCCAAAATCGAACCCAATTGGTAAACGAATCCAACGCCTGAAAGCCCAAAAACCCATTCTCGCACACATCATAACTAACTCGACTCGACCAGTGTCTTGACAAGAGCCGTAGCCTCATCCAACACTTCCTCAAACCTGGAAACCTTGCCAACAGGCCCAACAATAGAAAAGCGTGCCCTAGAAATTAAACATGTTAGCCAGTGCTCCTTCTTCTTCTCATCATCCATCTCCAAGAAAAGAAAACTCACTCATTCTCCCCAATAGAATAACAAATCCAAACGCCCTCCGGATCAACCAACGCAAACGCCGAATCCAACGACCCCCCATCCGTCAACCCAGACATAATAAACCTCGGATACGTCCTCAACCAAACCGGATCCCTAAACAACGGCGCCAACTCCTCCTCTTCAACCGGCCACATCCCCTCCAAAACAGTCATAAGACGGAAATAATTATTCCCCTTGCCTGAATTCTGCAGTCCGGCCGTGTACTCGTTCGCAGCACGGATGAGCATCTCGCGTCGTTGGACCGCGGGGACGGCCGTGTCTGTTGCGGTGGTACAGAATTGGGCTACGGAGGGGAGAACGCCTTGGAAGATCTCTGTTCGGCCTTTGTGGAAGTGTGCCATTGACATTGGTTCCCAGGAGGCGGGGTTGTGGCCGAAGTAGAGATTGCTGGCGAGTTGGATTGTGACGTCGAAGACGGATTTGATGGGGCAGCCGTGACGGGCGAGGAAGTCTTTGCCGAAGTGGGAAAGGGTGAGGTAGGAGTATTCGCGGGATGAGGTCGTTTGGAGGTGTGAGTTTCGGACGGCGAGGATGTGTGAGTCGATGCTTGGGGTGGTGGTGAGGGTGTATTCTTCGAGGGTTGGGTGGATACCGTTGGATGTGCCGTTCGTGTGGTCTTGGTTAGGGATGTGCGAGCGGATGGATTCGTGGATCCATTCGTTCATGCGGTGCACGGTTAGACCGTCGATCATGGTGTGTTCGACTTGGTACCCGGAGGAACCGTTTTCGAAGATGATGAATTGCAGGCCCTTGTCGTTCCATCTGTTGAAACCGTCGCCGAGGTAGGCCTTGCGGATTCGATCAGAGCTGGTTGTTGGTGCGCCGTTGTCGAGGCAGATGACGAAGAGTGCTTGCTCGATGACTCGGATGCATTCTGCGTTTGTGTCGCTCATTGAAATGAGTGTCTCGCGGATCTGGATATTGTTAGAATATAGGTTTGTCTCCGTGAAGGGTCGTGCACTTACCGTGGCCCAGGAATCTCGGTTATCGTTGGTCAGTATGCTTGTCCAGAAACCCTCATCTTGAACATTCTTCAAGATCTCATCGAATTGAGATTTGATAGTGGCGTATGAGACAGGCTCAGTGCCATTCTTGAGTGCAACCTTGAAGACATGACCCCGGCGGAGCACGACGCAGTAGTCGTTTCCAGGGTACTGTCTCATAACATCAACTTCCAACTGGGGCTCACGAGTGGTGTTGAAAAGCCATTGCCAAGAATCCATGCAAGATGGGATATGGAAATACCAATGTGGCTCCAGGGTACCAGCATCAACCGCTTCCTTGAACCGGAACGCAGTTGTCGCGATCAAAGCAGCTCGTTCTGCCTGGGGATGGGGAACTGCAGCGTCGTGGTGTGTGGCGAAGAAGCTTGAGAGAGGAACCAGGGGGAATCGTTTCCTGAGGAATGTCGCATCTGTCAGGAAGTCGACCATCCAGTTGTCCACCTTTGGATCGCTCGCCATGGTGACAAGTTTCTCATACAATTGACGGCCTGTGCTTCCTGGCTGTCCGAATGTCTCAATCGCCTGGCAGAGGGCTGTGTACTCTTCCTCTGTAGCGAAATGACGAGTGCTGCCTGAAATCATGCCCAGGGCCTCGTCTAAATCCATCAGCGGCTGCTTGGGAAGATCCTTTGCATATCGACAGCATTCAAGACTGTGGTTTGGACCGGAAGCTTCTTCAACTGCGGCCTGCTCAACGGGCGCTTCTTCGGTCTCATCGGAGCTGGCAGGAGTACCGCGTAGTTCATCGCTGATCAACTTGGAACGCAATGTAATTGTCTTTGCCAGCGCAACCACGCTAAGTGCATCTGCAATCTCCGATGTCTGCAAAGTGACGTGGAATGTTCGAACCATCCAGTTCTTCAATTCGATTGAGACCAGTGAATCGAGGCCGAAAGCAGCAAGTGACTGGTCAAGGTTGACATCTTCAATCGCTCGGTCCATGAAGAGAGCAAATTTTTCAGCAATGGCGTGAGTGATAATTTCCTCAGCTTCCGCAATGGTAGCGGAATTCCGAATTGCCTTCTCCGTGTCAACCTTGTCGGATGCCCCATCGCCGGAACTGTTTTGATCCGAAAGATAAGGCACTTGGCTGAACATGGGGTTACTCAGTCCAAAGGTATCCTGCACTGTCTCCATAGACTGTCGGTCAAAGCCCATGATGGATTGAACGCACTCATCGAGAGCTGCTTGAGGACCCATTGCATACTCGAGGACCTTGAAGAGTTCCTCAAATTTGACCAGAATTGCACCTTGACGCATTAGCTCTTGCTGGCGAATAGGCAAAGATGTGATAGCATCAGAGCCGTCAATGGCACCGAGGTTGAGCGAGATGTATCGTGTATGGGACTTTCCAGCATGGGCATGAGCGAACGCATCTTGGAAGGCATTTCCAGCAGAGTAGTTTGCTTGACCAGTCTTGCCGACAATACATGTGATGGAGGAAAGCGTGATGAAGAAGTCTAGCGCAGGTCCCTGGAAGCTTGAGTGCAAGTTCAAGGTGCCTTGGGTCTTTGGCTTGGTTGCACCCAGATAGTCGTCCGGAGTCATGAGCTCGAGAGGATGATCCTGTGAGGTAAATTAGTTTGTGAAATTGATGGAAGAGGAAATTCTCGTTACTAACCCGAAGAACCATGCCGGCATGGATGACACCTTTGACTGGTGGCAGACTTTCTTGACAGATACTCGCAGCCTCCGCCATATAGGACTCGTCAATGATATCACACATGACAATGTGCAGTGTTGCACCAAGTTGAGCCATGTCAGCTTCGAAAGCCTGTCGATCCTCATCGGAAAGAGACCGACGAGACAGGGTCACAATGTGCTTTGCACCATGAATCGCCAGAAGTCGGCAAATCCTTTTACCTAGATCACCAAGACCACCGGCTACAACATAGGATCCAGACGGATCAAGTTGCAACGGCTCAGGCTTAGCAATAACTGCTTTCACGAGAGCATCTGATTCAGCTTCAACGACGACTTTGCCCGTGTGCTTTCGAGAAGCGATCAAGCGGAAAGCCTCTTCGATATTCGAGACAGGGATGGCTGTGACTGGAGCCACGGGTGTGAGAATGCCTGACTCAAACATTCCCATGACTGTTTGGAACTCATCGTTCATCCGTTCAATCTGTGTCTCAAACAGGACTACCAGATCAACAGCTGCAAAGGTAATGCTTCGATCGAATGGTGCCATGCTGAGGTGGCTTCGCTTGTAAATATCCGTTTTGCCAATTTCAACGAATGTACCCAGACGAGCCACGCATTCCCAAGAATCATTGAGCCATTCACCTGAGAGAGAGTTGAGGACAACGTCTACACCCTTGTCACCGGTAAGACGCAAGATGCCGTGCTTGAAACTCCTTGATCTGGTCGAGAATATATGATCCTCAGGAATGTTGTAATGGTCAATCAATAGCTGACGCTTGGCTGCACTTCCGACAGTTGCAAAGATTTCAGCTCCAATATGTTGCGCGAACTGAATTGCGGCTTGACCAACACCACCGGATGCTGCATGGATTAAGATGCTTTGACCCTTTCGGAGACGGGCCACCTCAACAATGCAGTGATAGGCCGTCATATAGATGATGGGAATTGATGCACCGACGGTGAAAGTGACCGATTCAGGAAGTCGACAAGACATCAACCCCTTGACTCTGGCTCTGCTGGTGAAAGGCTGAGCGCCAACGCCAGCAACTCGATCTCCTACATTGAATCGGCCCTGCATGGCGGAGCCCACGGCTGTTACAACACCAGCGACTTCTCCGATCATGTTGACGCCAGGAAGCATTTGACCAAGAGCGATGAAGACATCCTTGAAGTTGACACCGTACGCCTTTGCCTCAATCTCGATTTCATCCGCGCGCATAGGCAAGGCCAGAGAATCGTCTTCCACGAAGCGGAGACTGCTCAAAAGGCCGGGGGTTTCCACGTGAAGCTTCAAGCTGCGATTGGACTGGTGGTAAGGAAGCGTATCAAGGCGATCATCTCCCACTACACGGTCAATCCATTCGTTGAACTTGGTGTCGGGCTGGACTCGAGGGATCATGACGATATCATTCTGGATTGCAAACTCATGTTCATGAGACTGTTCCGTTTCAGAGGGAGGCCAGAAGGAGCTCTCTGCAATGTCCAGAATCTGCTTGGTAATCTCTGATGTTGAGCCTATAAGATCCTGCTGTATGTCGATGGTGATGAACTTGACTCCCTCGTTTTCACGTCGGGCCACACGAGCCATGCCGTTGATGAGACCCTTCGCCGCGGTGCCATTCTGGGTGACCTTTTCTTGTCCGCTGATCCAAAGGAGAGACCTGCTCGTAATGAAAAGAGTCTTCAGCGCTTCGAACTCATCAGACGAAGGGCTTAGCAAAAGAGCATTTTCAACGTCATCAAGAATGATGTAAGTGGTGCCTTGTTCGATGGCTTTAGGATTCAGAGTGCTGGTTGAACAATCCAGGCCTCGTTGACTGAGAGCTGATGACAAGTCCTCTGCGAACTTTGTGAATGCCGGACACCACCTATTGAATGAGAGAAGCTTGACGCATTGCGAGGACACAGTTTTCTCCATCTCAGTTTGGCCCAAAGCAGTGGAGACAATCATGGCAGATCTTGATTTCGGACCCTCATTTTCATTCATCACAATATCGGTGCCACTGAAAGAGCTTTCCAGCAGCAGATCATGCCATTGCGACTCGGAAAGTAGGGGACAACTCTGGCGATTGTCTTCAGCAGCCCACCATCTGTGAAGTGTTAGTGACTTGCTAAACGGATGATTATGTGAACTTCAGGGTGCTTACCCAGACAAAACTCCGAAAATAGTCTCGATAGCCAGTGTTGGTGGCCGAATTAATTCAACCATCGCCAGTTTACCACCCGGCTTCATCAACTGATGAACTTGGTTCAACGCTGTGGCAACGTTCTTCACGGAATAGAGAGTGTTGGCTGCTATGACCATGTCGTACCCTCCGACCTCGAAGCCTTGATCCTTGAGGTCATTATCAAGATCCAAAACCTTGAACTCCATGGAATGGGCCCAATCTTGCAAAAGAGGTTTCGCGCGCTCCAGGGCCGTCGAAGAGCTATCAGCAAGATAGAAGTGATCAACCATCAGACCCTCTGGTCGATCGATCGCACGCAACAGAGTAGCAATACCGTCTTCCATACCAGCACCAATTGCAAGGATTTTCATGTGTGGCTTCTTGTATACGATCGACTTCAGGTATTTCACCAAGTACTGGTGACTTTGCGAGAACAGGTCTTCAACGTAAAATCTCGACACAAGACTATCCTCCTGCATCAGCTCAATGGCGTCAGTTTCTCCGTTGAGGAGAGATGCCAGATTGAGGCCGATACGTGACAGCATCAGTCCTTCAAGACCGGAGATCAAAGACTTCTGCAGAATGAGTTCCTCCTCCAAAGCACTCAATCCTTTGATCATCGACTTGCAGACTTCTGACTCGCTCGAAGCCTTCATCCAATCGAAAAGTCTCGCGAGGTGAGGAGCAGTCACGGATTCTGCCTGTGCTGAAACCTGGGCTAACGCCTCTCGAATGTAGATCACCGCTGCGCGCTCATTCAAGGCAATGATTTGCTCAAATGTAAGTTTCTCGGCGATCTTCAAGTCCTCAGAGGCATCTGTCGTGGCAATGAGAGGTTTCTCGTCAATTGGAGCAGAGACTGTAAGTTGCTTCGGGTTGAGGAAAGACACGTCGGGCTGCCAGTGCATCCGATAACTCATCTTGCGATGGAATGGGGTCTCTCCATTATTAGCCTGGGCCTCTCCAACAGCCTTCAGCTGCCAGTCTGTCACATGCAGAACAAGAGAGCGTTCTCCATCTTCTTTCTGCTGGAATGCGTATGTGTTTCCAGATGCTGAACGCACTCCCTCGGGGTTCATCTCGAGAGCAACGATCAGTTCATCGGCAGGAGTAGAAGTTATATCCGCAGCAATGATGATATCTCCGAAGAAAGTCGCCATGAGTGGTGCATTGCTGCACTCCTTCTTGAACAAGACAACTGCAAGATGGTTCAAAGAGTCCAAGAGTGATGGGTGAATCACATGGGGCTGCAAGAACTGGCGAGGCATGCAGGCTGGGACATCGGGGACCTCGACCTTGGCCCAACCTTGATGGCGACCTAGTTGCATCTCGGTCATGCAGGTGAAAGTCGAGCCGAAGTCATTTCCAGATTCTCGAAGGTCGTTGTAGAACTTCTGAGGATTGATTGTGGCATCGAAATGGCACGCTTGCTGAATGTCTTCGAATTTCTGTTTGTAGGAAGAAACTAGGAATTCTTCCTCTCGAGTTCCCTCAACCTCGTCAACCTTGGAATCCATGTCAACAGTAATTTGACCGGAACAATGCTCATTCCATGACCCGGAGCCTTCAGGCGAGTACGAGAAGACTCTGAATGTCTCCCATCGACTACCATCATTGGTCTTCATGCGACTCAAGGTAAGTTGAACTTCCACATCCGGGATGAAACTATCCGGTCGTTGGTCTGGAACAATGATCGGCTTGGATAGAACCACATTCTTGAGGTGGAATTTGGTTATCTGTCCAGGTGTCTTTCGAAGCTGGAAGATTTGCTTCATTGCTTCGATGGCCATGCAGATGTATCCAGTTCCGGGGAAGATCATGAAACCATCGACAACATGATGTCTCAACCACGGAAGCGCATCGACATTGAGATGGTACCGCCACCTCGGCTCGTGGATAGTGCTCCCCACGTCCCACAGTCCCAAAAGATCGTGGTATGGGAATTGTCGCAGGCGGTGATCCCGACTGAGCCGAGACTCGTACCAATACGATAGCGAGTGATCCCATGGGTACGGGCTCAGATCACCGATCGCGGTCCATTTCTTGGTCTTGTGCAAGGCAAGGATCTTCTCAAACTCGATACCACAGCCAGATTCAAAGAGCTTTCCGGTCAGCTCCAGCACAGACTGCAGGGCATGCTTATTCCGGACAAAAGCAGATGCGTAAGTGAATTTGAAGTTCTTGATATTGAGCTTGGCCATGATCTGCCTGATGGGTCCCGACAATGCACCGTGTGGGCCGATCTCCGCAAAGAAATTGGCGACATTGCTGGACGATTTCGAGCGTGCCATATCCTCGGCCAGGAGTTTCATGGCATCGCTGAATCGGACTTTGGACACAAGATTGTCTGTCCAGTATTGAGGTCCAAAATTCGACACCTTTTTCTCTCCTACCACGGAGGAATAGAAAGTAACATTGCTCCGTGGGGTGCCGGTATGGACATGTTGTAAGGACTCGAGGTACTGGTCTGCGATCTTCTTCATGTGGTGTGAGTGATAGGCTGTGTCCACCTTGAGCTTTCTGTTGAAGATGGATTGATCATTCAAGATTGTGCTCAATTCGTCAATGCCAGCTTCATCTCCAGATATCGTGGTACTATCTGGGCTGTTGACGCAAGCAACAGTGACAAGGCCGTCCTGCACTTGCCGGATGTATGGCAAAACCTCGGCCTCACCAACGCCCACGGCCAGCATGGATCCTTTGGTGGAGTTTGCCTTTTTGGCTGCAGTTGAGCACAGTCCACGGCGGTAGGCACTAAATTGATAGTTGTCAGATCAAATCCAGAACCAGGAAGTTAGATGGTCTTCTAAACTTACATTTCAATCGCAGCCTCGAGAGTGAGGGCGCCAGCTGCATAGGCTGCTCCAATTTCTCCCGAGCTATGACCGCAGACATACTGCGGAGTGACACCCAAAGTGGCAAGCAGATCAACCAGAGCAACTTGGATGGCTGTGGTTAAAGGCTGAGACAACTCGCTGTCACTCACTCTCGAGGATTGCTCATCTTTTGAGAGTTCCTCCACGAGACTCCACTCAGAACCAAAACTTTGAATCAATTTGTCTGACTGGAGAATCGAGTCTTTGAACGCAGAGCTGATGCTCAGTAACTCTCTTCCCATGGCATACCACTGCGCTCCCTGACCAGTGAAGACAAAGGCCACCGAAACAGAGTGTGGCAGTTTTGTGATTCGGAGATTCTTTGACTCCAGGGCAGAAACAAGTTCATCTGGGGTCGAAGCGACAACACTCAGCCTGAGCGGCAAGAGTGATCGCCGAACGTTCAACGTGTATGCAAGATCCGAGAGGCAGTCTTCTTCTGAAGCCTTGGTAGAGATCCAGCTCTGCACATTCTTGGCAGCTTCAACAAGGGATTTTTCAGAAGTAGCACTGAGGATGAATAACTGAGGGTTGGCTTGCGGGGCCTCATCAAAGCTGGCATGAGTCCCGTTACCGTTTGGCTGGTGGGCCCCGTCCTCAACGCCATTCGAGATGCCTTTGACTTCAAGGTCATCCTGGACTCCATTAGTTGCAGATCCATTGAGGTGCACAGCTGGAGCTGGCTCGAGAATGACGTGCGCATTAGTTCCGCCGTAGCCAAAACTGTTCAAAGAAACTCGGCTCGGGCCAGGTTGCTCTGGCTCGGGCAGAGGAGTAAGCTGAACAGGAATCTGAACATGGAAAAATCAGTTCTAAAGTCTTTGCTCAACGAGTGTGTCGTTCGCACCTTGATTTTCCGCTCATCAAGCTTGAGACTCGGCTTTGGAGTCTCAAGATCTAGGTTTGGAGGGATGAAGCCCTTTTTCACAATCATGATACCTTTAATCAGACCAGCAATACCGCTAGAAGCTTCCAGATGACCAATATTGGATTTGACCGATCCAACATAGATATCTGACTTTCGTCCAGCCTCCTCGCAGAAGACTTGATTGATAGATGAAATTTCCGCGTTGTCTCCTATTCAGATCCTGCATTAGCCACTAATAGATAATTGAAAGTAACCTGCTTACCTGCTTGCGTTCCCTAGTATAGTCAGCATCAATGATCACAGATGACTTCAGAATTCCCTGGAATTGACTTACTGTTCCGTGAGCCTCCACATATACTGTGTTACGCGGATCCACTCCGGCGGAGGAGTAGACCCATTTCATGAGAGCCGCCTGGGCATCTGGGTTGGGGAGTGAAATTCCTGCCGTCTTACCGTCCTGGTTCAATCCAGAGTTACGAATAACTGCGTGGACAGGGTCACCAGCCGCGATGGCATCGTCCAAGCGCTTGAGAACGATTGTGCCGACACCTTCACCTCGTGCATAGCCGGAACCTCGACTGTCGAAGACGAAGCATCGACCGTGGGGGTTCACCATGCTATCAAAAATTAGTATGCCGAAGGAGTAGATCTTAAATCTTCTAGTACTTACCCGACCGTACTCATTGCGATAGCTTGATCCGGGTGAAGGAGGAGTTGTGTTCCTCCTACAATGGCCATGTTTGACTCCCCAGTCCGTAGATTCTGGCATGCCTGGTGTAGTGCAACCATACTTCCAGACTATAAGAGTATTAGGCCAGTACTTCTCAGAACAATCAAAGACAAAAAATCTTGTACTTACACATCCTGTATCAACTGTGACAGACGCGCCCTTGAGGTCAAAAAGGTACGAAATTCGATTCGAAACAACAGCTTCTCCTGTTCCGGTGATGTGAAGCTTGGTAATTTGGGGGAGATCTTTGAATCCCATGCGATCATAGTCACGGGCATACAGACCAACATAAACACATGTGTTGGAACCCTTGATATTGTCCAGAGAGATACCGGCATTCTCTAGTGCCTCATATGTTGTCTCCAACAGAATGCGCTGTTGCGGGTCCATTGCATGAGCCTCATATGAGGCAATGTTGAAGAATTTGGCATCAAATGCGCCAATGTCTTGGTCCAAGAAGTAACCACTCTTTGAATTGAGTGACTCTTTGGCTTCATTGTGTGGGTGATAGAATGATTTCCAGTTCCAACGTTCTGCTGGAACTTCACCCCATCCACTCCGGCCTTCTGCAAGCATCTCCCAGAGCTTCTCAGGGCTGCTTGCACCCCCTGGGAGTCGACACCCCATGCCGATGACGGCAATTGGAGCGAGCTCAGACATGATAGGCTTATTTGTGAAGAAATAGATAAGATTTTTTTGGCTCAGCACGATCGCTTTCGACAGATCATTGAAGAATGTCGTGATGAAGTCAGGTTCCTCGTGCTACTTGCAGCATTCTATATAGCTACCATCTCTGCCATCAAGCTCCCAAGGCCACGATGGGGGCCAAAACCGTATCAATATGTGTGAAGTTCCAGTCCATTCTAATCTCACGCGGATAGTCCCCTAAGAAATCAGACGATGCGGCCGAGATGACTCCCAACTCGGTCATTTACCCATTGCTGACCCAAAATGCTATCTCTCCGTGATGAATGGCGCTCTAGTTCTGCGCCTCATTCCTTCCAAAATTTTCTGCGGCTATACGGGTCGGCAATTGTACCGTGCGTATGTTCGGTAAGAAAGATAATGGATCCAAAGACCCGTCAGCGTTGCATTGGTATCGACCCAGCGGAGGGCATTCCGTAGAGATTTGAGGAAATCGTAGTGTACTTTGAGATTCCGTCTCACGAATGCTATTTTGGATGGCTGCTTATCCGCAAGGCTTGAAGAGAGTAAGATATTTGCATAAGAGCTAGGACAACCAAGGACTAGGAAATTTTCAGGATTGGGCTCTGCATGGTGGCGTCGTACTAGGAGTGGCAGGGAAAGTAAACCTAGCTACTATTCGACACATGGCCACGTTGGCTTTGGGCAAGGCTGGTGAAAAGATATCTTTGAGGCATTGATGGAATACGACGAATTGGTAGATTGGACCATCGTTGGCATCTATGAACTTCCTATTCAGGCGTGTTATCTGAATGTTCGTTCAATTGCATGTTGACCCTTGTACAGTGGGGCCCATGAGCTTGAACCCCCACAAAACATCTCAATCATCTCATTAGTCACGAATAGGATGATAGACTAAGAGATGATGCTTCAGCCACGAAAGAAGATGATTTTAATTACAATTATAACCGCCTTCCGGAAGAGAAGAAGTTCAAGCATACAGATGGCTGGACCGATTGGCTGATCTTAGAACTCGGGATGATTGAACAACTGCTTTAGAGCTTCTCCTCTCTTTTGGCTAAATATGAGGTAAACAGATTCTTAGTACCCATCGACGAAAACTGACCTCGGAGTCATTGCACCACTGCCTAGATCAGTGCTTTCCGTTGTAGGAAACTGACTCCGTCGGAATATCGTGCATCATCGACTCATCGACTGGCTTTTTCGAACCCCAGCGGAAAGTTGCGTCCTTCCAAACACCCCCAAAGGCTGGTCCGGGATGGAATGCGACCAAGATAATGCATGCCAGTAGGACCATCGCCCCGTCAAGAACCATGAACAAAACCTCATCTTGAGCGAGCTTGCCTCTGAATCCGCCAGAAAGCTCTGCAACTCGGTACACGGCTCGAACGAACAGTAAGATAGTTGCGGTAGCGAGGGCGTACAAGAATCGTTTGAAACGGGGTGTTTCACGAAGAACAGAGTACTTGGGATTCAGCTCTCCCCGATATTTCCGTACTCGTAGAGAATATTCGAAGCAAAGAGCAAGAAAGACTACCAGGCTGACAACCTGGACCGCAAGGCCAGCAACCATGATGTGCGTTCCACGATCGATCTAGAAAATCATTGGCGTGTTAATATACTTGAAATTGCTACCCAAAGGAATTCAGGTACTTGCTGACCTTCCATTGCAAAACTACAACGGCTGCCATACCTCCTCCTACTGCAATAACCACCAAAGCGATGAGATCGAAGCCACTGAAGAGCAGCGTGTACGTTCGAGGGCGGAGTCGACTGATCCCTTCCCCATACACGACCACAATCCGAGCTAGCGTCAAGTAGACGGCGGCGGCAGTAAATGTGGGCGCGATAGTCGTGCAGATCAAATATATGAGGAAGTAGTCTTTACTGAACGGATTGTTGTGTAAAAGTATTCTCCCGATGTATCCTATTACTTCACCAAGCAGTCCCATCACGAAGCAGAACGTGAATAGCTTGACTTTGTGGGTGATACCCAGGTAGAGAGCCGGGGCAGCCAGCAATCCAAAAGCTGCACAAATGAAAGCATTTCCACCGACTGAGGGCTGATAGTGTACGTAGCCCCATTCGATGGGGCATTTGTTGAGCGCGCACACAAGCGGAACAGCCATTGCGTTGATCTATGAGTAGAAGGACGGGGTTGTCGAAGATCGAGACTCTCAAGTGTTTATCGCAGTGAGCAAGCTCCTGGAGATGTATTAAACAACACAGTCCAGTATCAGGGATAGAAGTCTTGCTTTAGAGTGTGATGAGGATGCATCTGTACCCTTTCCAACAAAGAGCAGGAATACCCATGTAATTGCTTCTCCTCCGGCCCTCCACGGCTACCGGCTAAATTAATCCACTCTCAGCCAATTACCGGGGTAGATAGCCCCCATATCCTGTTCCTAGGCTCTAAGCTCGTGGGACTTGCTGCCCGAGAAACGGCCCCCATTGGTGGCGCCAGGGATCCCGAATCTATCACGGGCTGACCGGGACATACCCGATCTTGGATCTCTCCACACCGCATGCCTTAGTAGGACCCTCTTATGATCCATGGGACTAATGCATGTAAGCATACGCTAAGGTCTGGAGATTGACTCGAATCCCCGCCGAGTTCCTGGGGTGTTGCAGAGCTTCAAGCCACAACTTAGGAGTCCTCCCGAGATGTCAGAGATATGTTTACATCTACCAATCACTAGCAGAAATTTGACTGTACTGATAGGATGTCCTGTCGAGTCATGTTCCGTGACAGAATAGTTAATCATTTACAGCCACTTCCAGACTGTGGTAAATTCCCCTTGCCATCCTCAATCAAGCCCTTGACATTCTTGCTTCTTTGTGAGAGGAAGACCAAGATCCTTACATGGAGGAGTCGACAGAACAAAAACGGTGGAGGGATCCGTTCGCTGGAGAGCCACCCAATGACCCAACCCGCACTCTACAGGTGATTGCAGCTGGATTGCCTCGCACGGGGACAATTTCGCTCACACTCGCTCTGTCGTGGGCTTTGCACGGCGATGTCTGCCATGGAGGTTCAGCTTGCCTGAGAGGGAAAGAGCGTAGGCAAAGCTTCCTAACAAGTGTCGCAACTCAATGCTGAAATTCTTCCTAGATATCATCAAAGGATGGACGAAAGTCTTGGACCCAGGAAAAAACGTCTCGCAGGAAGAAGTCGATGACACGTTGAAGGAATTGTTAGCTGGATATGTTGCCACTACCGATGCTCCAGCGATATTCTTTGTCGAAGAACTTGTTCGATTGTATCCAGACGCAAAGGTCATTTGTACAGTTCGCGAGCCCAACCGATGGTGGGAGAGCTACCAGGAGCTCATCAACACACTTGACAATCCGTTGTTCATCCTTCTACAGCTGGTTCAGCCAACATTGAGGTACTCATTGGCGTGGAAGTTGGCAATTTTGAAGCGAAGAAGGAAGATCTACCCCCAGAATTTGAGCCATTAGGCCCTCGTAAGTATCCGTATTCGATTGGAGAAAATCTCTATCTAACAGACCCTTTCAATCAGATTTCATGGAGATTCACTCGGATTATCTAAAGCGAGTCGTGCCAGAGGACCGATTGCTGTTCTTCAACATGAAGGACGGCTGGGAGCCGCTGTGTAAATTCCTGGACGTCCCAGTGCCTGAAAAGCCATTCCCCCAAGTCCACGACAGAGCTTCGATGAAGTCTAGCTGGGCACCATACTGGTGGAGAGGTGCTGCAATTTGGTTGGGCATATTGGCAACGGGTTATGGGCTGAGCAAGGCTGTATCTTACGCTAGAACACATTATTAGTGTCCCCCGGAACGTGATAGATCTAATTCCAACTGAAGGGAAAATTTCTAGTCGTGGAATTATCAAAACCCGTCTGTTTCGATAGTGTTTGCTACAAATGAAATTAAATCGAGTTCCCGGACGCATTAGGAGGACTGGAGTAAGAGTCTTCGATCTCATTAGTCCTTAGGTCCATGGATTCTCTTTACACGCCAGGATCAAGCTTCAGAAAACTCCCGAAACTCCTTAATCTTTGTAGATCCGGACCGTGTACTCCGTACCCACAACAACTCGATTTCTTCTCAGGCCCGGGCCGCCAGCCTTGTGGTTACGGCGTAAGCGCTTATTCTTCACTCTCCTTTTCCCCCTTTCGTCTCGTTCTCGCACACGGTGTGCTCCTCTAGTGGAGGATTGCTAGTCGATTCCCCAGCGGGCCGCTTATCCGGAGAAATGACCTCGTTTTCGCTAACCCCAGTCCCCTTCCCCGGAGAAAGAACCCTGTCGTCCTGAATTTGGCGTCTCTCCATGCCCAGGCTAAACACAGCCGCAACAGCCGTGGCCCCAATTGGCAAAAGAAAAGCTTTAGTGATTGCCGTGTTCAATGCGTCCTTGACCAAATTGATTGTGGAAGAAGTCATCAGCTCGTTGGACCATGATCCTTCGATGGCTCCAGAGTGAATGACAACTTCCGGGTCGATGCCAGAAATGCTCCGGAGATGACTTGTCAGTGTGTTTAGGAAGATACTCTGCGCCACGCTAATCCCAACAGACCCACCGAGTTGGCGAAAGAATACCTCCAGTGCGCAGACGGTGGGCATGTCAATTGCGGGGGTGACCACTTGGACCCCAATGAAGGTGACTTGAATCGCGGCACCGAATCCTGCGCCAGCGAGAATCTGGTAGCCCAAATATTTTCCGGCATTGCTGTTAGTTTTCAAGGTCGCGTATAGGACACTCCCCGCAACATAGATCAACGAGCCGACCCACATGAAGGGTACATAGTGGCCTGATGCTGTCATGGAAAATCCAGCCACTAGAACGGCGATTGTGCTGGCTATTGTGAACGGCAGCATGTACACCCCGGACAGGGTGGCGTCAGTACCTTTCACTCCCTGGAACCAGATTGGTAGGAGATAGCTGTGTGTTACGATGGCAACGCCATATAATCCGGAGAATATGCAACAAATAGCTACGGTTCTTTGTTGCAAGAGTCGAAGCGGGATAGTTGCTCTGTTCAAGTCATGAGTTAGAGGACAAAAGCCCAGGCACTCAATCGATCGGGCCTAACTTACCTTTCTTTCCGGTGAGCTTGGAGTCCAATAAAGATAGCACACAGTAGCGCGAACCCAATCAAGCAGCCCCAAACACGAGGCGCAGACCAGGGGTCCGTCGAGCCACCCCATTGCAGCCCGAGAAACAGGCACACTAGACTTGCTATGAGAACCGATGCACTCGCTAAATCAAGGCGCCCAATCTTCTCTTTCAAAGGTAAATTGGCAAGTTTTCCTGGCTTTCGGTGCAGAATGAAAATAACAATCACTGCCGCAATGAAGCCAAACGCTGTAGCCAAAGTAAGTTTTGAATGCCTTGCTGTTAGCTTGTCTTAGAAATCACTTACGCAGATTGATCCAAAAACAAAAGCGCCAAGTCAGTCGCGAGTCCGTCAGTAATCCACCGACAGTTGGTCCCGCGAGTGTTGCAATGGAGTATAACCCGGTCATGATAGCCATGCCTCGAGGTCTATTCCGCAGTGGAACAACCTGTCCAAAGATTGCCAGGTTCCCTGTCAACATTCCCGCTGCAGCAGCGCCTGCAATGGCGCGCCCGAGAATGAGAACTGGAGAACTAGGTGCCACGGCGCAGATGACCGAGCCCACTTCAAACATGAACAATGATATCAGAAACATAATCTTTGCTTCGAAGTAGATGTATACACGGCCGAAGGTAGGTTGAAGGGACATTTGGGCAAGAAGATATGCGCTGGCGTACCAGCCGATGTCATCGATTGAATTGAACTCGCTGGTTATTCGCGGTATTGCCGTAGCTATCAGTAACTCGAGATTAGTTATGATGAAAATGAGATATGTGTGAGTGCACATGGTCAAGACTCACAAAGAATGCTTCCATCAATGGCCAGCATGATGCCGGCCATTGTGAAGGCAGCGGAGAGAATGTATAATCGGGAACCATTGAGATAGTTCGATGACTCTTCAGTATCCTCTCCGTTAGGTTGAGTCTCTGCTTGTGCTCCATTTGAATGTTTCTCATTTTCGTGTGTATAGTTGCCGGGTTCAAGATCTTTCTCTAGCTCCGCAGTTGTTGATTCTTGAGTAGGAGGATTAATAGAATCATCTCTATCAAAAGGTCAGGCTATTTGCATCAATTCAGGGAGAATGCTATTCGACAAACCCTTTCACTGTCGTATCTTCTTTATTGGGACTATCCATTTCATTGTGCTCTTTCGACGACAAGGTATGCTTCGATTTTCTGAAGAATCTTTACCTTCCACTAAGATAGCCCACTAAGATAGCCTGGCTTGACTTCCCGTTTTGGCACGCATATCGACCGACCCCGGCCGGTTAAATATGAAAGCCATAAGCCTGGGCTTGTACTAGGGCTTATTGGCTGCTCACTTGCATACATATTGCCGGCCTCGTCTTATATCTGACATTCTTCAACCTAGTGGCTTTTCGCCCCCAGCTTACCCTCTTGATTTGAAAAGATCTTAGCTTATTCCTTATCGCTTTGAGTTAGCAAATGTAACCAACTAGGTCAGCCCCGTAAATCTACATCACAGCTATACCTACTTCATTTCCAATGAGTCGTATCGAATCTCTATTCAAAATTTCCTGAAATACGACTACACAGACAATACGCACCTTTACTTTCCTGTAGCAACACAATGGCGTCCGAAGAAACTTCCCAAGCAGCCGCAAACGACACAAGAATCCCATTCCACTTTTGGGACGATGTCCCCTATACTCGCGGAATTTGTCTAAACGTGACCCTACGCCTCGAGGAAGTTCTAGACACCAAAAAGCTCCACGATTCTGTAGAGCGTCTCCTAGAAATTGGAGACTGGAAGAAATTAGGAGCTCGGCTCCGCCAAAATGTAAATAAACAGCTACCCAAGTCACAATCAAGTCCAACTAACGAATCCATCAACAGGAACTCGGCAAACTAGAATACCATCTTCCATCAAAATTCACAAAAGACCGACCAGGCTTCATCTTCACCACTGCCAACCATGCAAACCCAATTTCTTTGCATCCCCTCGCCTCGCAAATTCCATCAACACAAGAAACAAACCAAATCACCGTCCTTGGATGCATGTCAAGCTTCAATTCAATAACCAAGCATGAAAATGCTCCAAATGGAATCGAAGACTATCTCTCCTCCGACATCCCACAGCTCTTCATACACGTTGTGACATTCACAGACACAACGCTGATTACAGTGACTTTTCTACATACCGTCTTCGACGCAATGGGTCTATCATACTTCTTCCAGGCTTGGACTGCAGTGCTATCAGGTCGAGAAGATCAAGTACCGCCCTTCTTGGGCTTCGATGAAGATATTCTCGAGGCGAAAACGGACTACGTCCCCGCGGAAAAACATGTTCTTGCATCGAAGACGTTTACTAAATTCCAGATGGCTGTTTTTATACTCTGCCGCTGGTGGGAAACATATTGGTACCCGGATATCCAGGATAAAGTCATCTCAATCCCGAACATCTTTGTTCAAAAAATGCGAGAAACAGCGCTCCAAGAGCTCAAAACACAACCGTCACCACAATCCTCCAAAGACAAAAATATCTTCATCAGCGAAGGCGACATCCTGCTCGCATATCTCTCCAAAACCCTAATCAGCGCACTAAACCCAACCCCCTCAACACTAATCCAAATCTCCAACGTCTTCGACATCCGCTCCATCCTAAACATCTCCCAAACAGGCGCATACACCGGCAACGCAACAATCCCCTCCTGCACATCTCTCACAACACAATCCCTCCAAAGCAATCCTCTAAGTAAAACAGCCCTGGCTCTCCGCACATCCCTAAACGAACAACGCATCCCAACACAAGTCAATGCAATGTCCTCGCTACGCAAGAAAACTCTCCAGGAAACAGGGTATCTACCCCTGGTAGGCGATCCGCGTCAGATTTCGATTACTTGTACGAATTGGCATCGTGCACGGTTCTTTGAGTTGGATTTCAAAGCGGCGAGGGTCGATAATGGTAATGGGTTGGGAGGAGGGGATGAACCTTGTAAACCGAGTTATATTAATACGGCGGGGCCGTCCCCGTTGGGGCCGCATGTTGCGCGGAATTTGCTTACTGTTACGGGGAGGGATGGGGTAGGGAATTGGTGGGTGCAGATTCTTGCGAGGGCGATTGCGTGGGAGAGGATTGAGGAGGTTATTCGGGAGGTGGGCGGGGATGTTTAGAGACAGTACTGATGAATGCCGACTCTGAGACTTAAATGCTTTGGAAGAGGTCACATTGGATGACATTGAAATGAAAGGTTGGATTCGTGGTTGACAAAATCCATGTAAAAAGAAACACCATATTTTGTCATTCCAATCCATACCATATCCCAGATTAAACACCATATTACCATTCCCAAATTGTGCATGTACAATATTAACTAACCCTATCAAGACCCTTCCAATCAAAGACCCGGTCCCATAATCCCGCTCATACCCATATCAGACCCACCCGCAGACGGGATAGACGGGCAAATACAGCCTGGCGGAGGATTAGCAGCAGAGTATGATATCCCTGACGGCACCGCGCGAGGAGAGTGGCCCATAGCACGGGCAATGATGGCTGCAGGGTTGGTGGCGGCGCCTTCACGGGCGTGCAGGAGGCCGAAGCGTAGGAAGACTTCGGAGATTGTGACGAGGATGGAGATTATGATTAGGACGATGATGATCCAGGTTTGGTCTGAGGGATGTGGATTAGTATGATGAGGGTGGGAAGGGGGGTTGGGCTGGGATGTAGGTGAAAGACGTACGAGAAGTTCGATTATCGGCAATCGAGTCGGATAGAATTTCTGCGAGGTCGAGGAATACGCGGCAGCGCTCGTTGAGTACTTGAATGCGCGGTTTGATCTCGAGATACTCGCGCACGGCGATGTAAAGAGGGTATAAGTTGGGTTCGCTCTCCCAGAAGAAGTTCGGGACGTCGAGCATATTCGATGCTGTGGGGGTTAAAACAGTTAGCAAAAGACATGTACCACAAGATTTGCACAAACACATCACGACTTACAAAGATTGACCTCAACTCTGCTCTTAAAAAGACGACCCAGAATACGGAAGACTTCTTCACGCTTCATGCCTAGCTTTCCGGTCATTGCTAGTCGACGCGGAACGTCCTTTGCATCGGCCATCTGGCGAGCCATCACCTCTTCGAAGAAACACAATTTCGTGCTCTGCGAAATGCCATGACTGATGGCCAGCTTGATCATATGGTCACCGCTGCGGAGCGTGATCATATCATTGTACACACGCGGTCGAGAGATCTCCGTCGAGTACTCGAAGTGGAACTCTTCCGTCTCGAAATCTTCTTCGTGAAGGGGCATCGTCGCCAGCGGAATAGGCGTCCCTGTCGCCGAGGATGTGGCAAACGCTAGATCTGCCAGCAGATCTTTCTCCTGTCGTTCTGTGAAATTCCAGAAGACTACCACGCCATAGCTGAAGACGAACATCTCGGCGACGTTGTACAGAGTCCGGGCTGGGGTTTCTGGCCTGGGCGACGATACAGCCTGTAATGGAGGGGAAGCCCGGTCCCTGAGGAGATGCCCGTCGTCAGAGCTGTGACGACGGCGTCGAGGGCGCGGCTCCGGGGTTTCTTGAGGTTGTTGGACTTCTGAATGGGCAGTGCTATGCTTTGTACCATTATCATCGGCACTGGTAGCATTTTCATGCCCTTCCTGAATCCGAGCATCCTCCTCAGAAATCCGATCAAGATATCCCTCTCGATGCTCCTGTCTCTCCCCATGACCATTCCCACCACCCGGCGAAGCTCCAGCGTTATGCTCATCCTCATGACGACCATGCCCAACAACCGAATGCTCCTCAACCTCACCCATATAATCCTCATGATGATCACGCAGCTCATTTCGCTCAATCTCCTCATCAAGCAAGGACCGACCACCTGGGAACTTCAGCACAGGACTACTGCGCAGTCGATACCCCTCATGACCCGGTAACAGTGGCAAATGATACGCCGTGTACAAACAATCATCATAAAGCTTCGTCCTCGCCCCATGCGCATCCTTCACAAACGCAGCCACAGACCCCATCTTATAAGCCTGCGCCGTACAATAAGCCGTCACCCTAGCAAGCTTCTCCGTCCGTCTTGCCTTAGGCAACCGCTCAGCATAACTCTTCGCCCGCTCAGGCCCAACACGCCTCTTCCTCAAGGTCTCCTCCTCAGCCAACAACGGCGCAATCTCATTATCAACCCCAAAGTCCCCACCAAGCCTCTTCTGCGCAAGCAATTGATGCCGAATCGCCTCGGGGTCAATATGTCTCTCCCGTGCTAGACGCTGAACAAGCTCCTCATCCACGAGATCCAGCTCATCCCGCCCTTCACCATCATCATCATCTTCCTCCTCCGGTTCCCCCACCCCGCCGGTATCCGGGAGTAGCACCAATTTCTCGCTGACCTTGGTCGTCCGCGGAGGTAGGCGCGGTTGCGCCGCAAGTCGACCACCCTTGGTGGTTGCGCTGGCTGCGGCACTTGCACTGCTGCCCCCGCTGGCACTGGCGATCAGTCCGCCCGCGGCGGATGCAAGGCGGCGAGAGCGCGAGATCGGCGGCGGATGCCGCTGCTGCATGGACGGCACGTCCGAGGCATATTGGAGCACGTTGTCGACGGTGATGAAGCGGGTGGAAGGGGATCGGCGGCGCCGGGGGCTGCTGCGGGTTGTTGGTCGCGGGAATCGGTGACCTAAAGAGTGAAAGAGGCAGCGCGTGCCTTTGTCTCAGTATATGTTGCAATGATGCATTGGATGGGATTGTTGGAATTCGAATTCGTCTTTCATGCAATGCAGTTACTGCTTCCTGCTTGCACTTTTGCTTTTTCTTTTTTTGGAGGGGATTGCGGGCAGGTTTGGGTATAGCTTTGAGCTCTCTCTTACCAGGACGGTCGGGCTACGCTGGCTGGTACCCCGTCCACGGGCAGGTGGTGTCATTGTTGTGGTCCTCCTTGTGCTTGACTTCAGTTGTCTTTCCAATTCTCTGAGTACTTCGGCGTGGAACAGGGGGAGGGTAGCGAGTGGAGTGGTTAATCGTAAGGAATTGGGGAATATCTGGACTTGCTTCTTTCCAGCTCCTCTTCGCCAGCTTTCCCAAATTCCCATTGGGCGCTAGTCTCATTACGGAATAGCCGGGCCAATGTGGATGACGTAATTTACTACTGTGTATTGTATTGAGACGGAAATCTTTCAGTAATGGGTCCCGTGATATGCCACGTGTTTTGTGAGCCAATCACATTGTTCCGGCCGGTCATCGGCGCCGCGGAACCAAGGATTCGCAGATGCGCGGATCCGGGGTAAGCTTGTTATAGCGGATCGTCTAGACTCTGGGTTTAACATATAGTATTTACTGCATAGAAAAGAGAATTGATACGAGGACAAATCACTTGATAGACATAATTCATTGAGAATACACTATCGACACTAGTTACTTGAGTACTAGTTGCTCTCATATTACTTAGAGCAGAAAATGCAAAATTCTATGTATGGCACAGATGGCAGCAAAATGATTTTCAAGGGGTGTAGATGCAAGTGGTGAAATAAAACAGAGAGGGAATAGTAGTTCAGCAAGAAATAGAGCCAGAGACAAAAAATCAAAACCAGAAAAACGCCGAATTGCCAATCTGTCGAGTGCTTGAGTAGGTTCACCAAGATCATCATACTGCCATACCTGGGTAGCGAATATGAGCAAATGGGAACCTGATATGTGTAAGGGGTTTTCGCTAACGAAAAGGGTGAGTAAACAGCCGTTGTCATCACCATGCAAGATTGTAAAGGCAAGATCGAAAAAAACAGAGGCGCAAAAAAAAATCAATCGGAGCTTCAGGAATAAGAACCGTCACGACGGAGCTTTCGATCATCCTCCCAGATCTCTTTCTTCATCTGAGTCAGCTTCTGGTGCCAGTCTTCCAACTTCGTAATCATGTCCGCACGGGGATTGACCTGGCCCGCCAGGTCGTCATGCAAGGAGCGGTACTTGGCGTAGGCTTTCTTGAAACGCTGAGATTTGTCCCACAGCTGCCTCTGGGCGACCTTGTGGCTCATGGGTGGCGATGCACTGCCCGTGCTGCCTCCGCTCGAGGTACTGACCGCTCGGCGCCGCTTGATTTCATTGTTGCTAGGCGTCGCACGAGCTCCCAGGGGGGGTTGCGGCTGCCGGTCGCTCGGGTTCCGCCTTGCGCTTCAAGGGATTGACGGAAGCGGGTCCTCCCTTGCTGGCGCCATTGGCCGGTCGCGTGGAGCTCAAAAGGCTAGAAACTGCTCCCGTAGCCTTAGCTCGGCCAAGCTGGGAGATAAGTGGGGAGGATGACGAGGAACTGGAAGAGTGGTTGTTGCTGTCGGAGCGGCTGCGACCGGTCGCATCGGAGGCACTGGCGGGGGGAGAGGAAAGAGGAGAAGGCTTCTGAGGGGAGGTGGAGAGTCGGACGGAGGGAGGTCGCTTGGCCGCTGCCTTGGTAGCTTCGAGCTTGGGAGTGGGTGCTTCGGCCTTGAGGACCTTGGGTGTAGGCGCCGCAGGTGTATCCTCCTTGAGGCGAGGCTTGGTCAGAACCTGTGTCGTCTTCTTGGCTGGGGGCTGCGTGGTCTTCTTGGCTGCAGTCGCCTTGACTGGCTTGGGGCGTTCGGCTGGAGCTGGGGATGGAGCTCGTGCAGGTGCAGGAGGTGGTGAGGCATCGGGCAATTCGTCGTCAGACTCATCGGAATCGTGAACGAACTCGGCAGACTTGTACTTGGTCTCGGTGGCAGCCTTTGCTGGGGGTCTTCCGCCGGTCTTCTTGGTGATTCGACCGGTCAAAGTACTGTTGGTATTCTTGTTCTTTGCAGGACGCTTGGCGGCTTCCTTTTCCACTCGTGCCTTTGCCGCAGGGGTACTCGACTTCTTGGGGGCCGCAGCAGGAGTACCCTTCGGGCGATCCGTCTCGTTGCCAGTGGTGTCCCCATCCTTCCGATCGTCGGCACCGTCCATGGTCATCCGTGGCGTGGCCGGCTTCTTACCCGCCAGCCCGCTCTGGAGGTTGAGTTTCGACAGACACTTTCCCTTGCCCCGTTCCTCCTTTGGCAGCAAACTCTGCCACAGCTTGTCCGTTCGAGAAAGACGCATGCGATCAAAGGCAGAGATCGCCTTGTCAATGGCCGCCTGGCGGTCATCCTGAGTCGGGTAAGGGAATTTCCACACATCCAGGTCCTTGTAGAATTTGTCCTTCAAATCGTACTTTTCACGGTCAATGCGATTCTCAGTGCCGTATTTCTGGACGAGGGCGGTGCAATCCTCAATGGTCGATCGGGTCTGGCGAGCGAGGAACTTGGCCGATACGGGGCGGATGGCGAGGAGGTGGATGAACGGGGTCTTGAGAGCTTGCAGGCGAGCGCTGTCCTTGGCCTGGGTGGAGGGCGCAGAGGTCGGGGTCATCCCAGGGAGAGGAGATCTGGGGGCTCCCAAGGTTGGGCTCGAGGTCAGGGACCGATTGTTGGCATTTCGGAGTAATCGATCCTTTTCCAAGACTGACTTAGTCTTCGAGGTACGGTGCATAGCGTTCATCGAGTTCGTCGCTCGCAGAGCCTTCAATTCCTCCGGGGTTTGAATCATGTGTGTTGACTTGGAAGCCTTGCCTCGCTCGAATGCATTGAGGCTTTCCTCCAAGTTCGCCAGGGCCTGGTCGGTGGCAGCTGTAGCTTCCCTAGCCTTTTCCACTTCCAGGCTATGGCTCATGACACCGGTGAAGTAGAGATTCTGCTTGTCATAGGAGGTGTGGTAGATCTCGGACCGGTGTGTTTCGGGGTATGCGTGGAAGGATTGGGTCTTGTTGCCAAAATGGAGGGTAGGGTGTTTTCCTAGGCGAACTTTGGCAGTAGAATCGTCTGATCGGAGGCTTGAAATGAGTTCGTCGAGGGTGTTTTGCGCGAGATTCAGCCGCATAAACTGAGCCGGTTTGGCGGCTGCGTCACCCGGCTGATCTCCGGGGCGGAGAGATAGCCCGGTCTCGGGGATCTCCAGGTCGGTCATGGTGAGGAAGTGAGAGTCACCAGCCAGAAGATCTGAAAAATAAATTGAGAGGTAATAGGGAGGAGATTGTTGAAGTGAAGAGGGTCGGATGGCAGCGTGAGAGCTGCAGGTCAGGCGGCCAACTGCACGGGGAAGTGAGGCAACACCGGCATCAGATCGAGTAGCCGAGAGGATGATGCCGGAGAGTGGCGAGAGGAATAGGAGGGAATGGTGGTGTTGGAGGGAGTATTGAGAAGAACGAGAGAGTCTGGAGGGGTAGAAGGAGAGTGAAATTCGGAAAGTTGGGGAGAAAGTTCGGGAGAGAAAGTGAGAGAGGAAGAGAGGAATGAGGAGAGGGCGAGCAAGGCGAAGCGGAGAGTGGGGAGGAGAGTGTAGAGTAGCTGACGGGGGAGGCCCTGGGAGACTCCGTAGAGTGTAAAAAGAGAGGTACCAGCCAGTACCGACAGTACAAGAGTACAGACTCCGGTAATGGGTAAAATTACAGGGGACTCTTTCTTTTTTCGGGTACCGAGCAGGGCGTTGTCGGAGTCTCTTCTCGGTCTTAGCTGTTAATCAGGTTAATTAACTAACAGCTGATAGTGGTTGAGCTGAATTGGATAGTTTAAATAATGAGGATATGAAGGAGAATTAGTTATGGTCTGTATCATACAATCTAAGCAGCCATATAGGAGAGGAAGACTTTATTCTCTTCGACTCGTTCTATCCATCTGCTTTAGTCTCCTAGTCAACCTAGTTTAACCCTCTAGCCATTTACTTTCTTTAATCCGATTATTCTTATTATTAATTAGTTCCAGGACCATGATTGACCTGCAATCCAATCTATTTACGTTTCCACCCCCAACAACCCAAACCCTCGTGGCGACCGCAATTCACATTGTGAAGGAACTTGGGCTGATCCTCCGGAAGACCGATCCGTCTTGTCTCATCATCCCTGGCTCCATAAATTTTCCTTCTGTTTTCATATGCTAAGTGGTAAGATCCATAATTGATATCCATCTGGAAAGGAATAATAAATTGAAACCGCCCCTCTCCAGAGAGACAAGAAAGGAAGAAAGAGTTCCGAACCGAACGATAGTTCTCTGATTCTTTGATTCAACCACCTTCTATTCTATTATTACATTCCTTTTGTCTTCAATCCAGGTTTCCTTTGATCGATGTGTTTGATCTAGTCTAATCTGTAACTCGCCAAACTAATGCGATCAATCCTTTTTGTCCTGTTCCTTCTTTCCATTATGATGCACCCCCTCCAGCAACAACACCCCCCTGTCCCCTCGATACAATACCTATTCCCCTTTCACCTACTACTACTGTCCTCTACTTCTTTAGCTTCCCTTTGCTCCGAACGCAGTCCGGTCAGGTTGTAACGCTGTACACCCTGGCCGACCCTGTCCAACCCCCCGGACAATACGAACTAAGCGCAGCCGACCTACTAACTTAACGCCATGCCGCCAGAGGAGGGGGGGGGGGGGGGGGGTGGAAAGTCAATACCAAACTCCTTAGAGAACCGGAGGTCCGGGACAAATTGCTGACGACTTCGTTATCTCCAGATGATGTTAGGGAGCACGATACTTGCTCGCTAGTCTTGAATAGTCTATTATCATGTTTTGTATAGTATGATTCTTGTATCCATACCTTGTGTATACTCTATATCTTTTCTAGAAATGTAGAAATACGATGGATCCATCTCAACTCCTACCAATTCACCATCTTCCGCGCTACCCTCGGAAGTAGTACGGGAAGTCGTGTGAGGAGAACCTGTCTCCATCCGCGGACAAGAAAAAAAAAATGGGGCTTGCCGAGTCCAGCCCATCCAGTGTCCACCACCAGCGAGTCGCGACCAACACCCCCTCAGTTCTCCAAAAAAGGTTCAAAAAACAAAAACGGGTGTGTCCGGGTGGTTTGACTGCTCGGGTCCTTTCTCCAGTTTTTCTTCCCTCCTCATACCTTGACGAGGTTTTGTCGGCAGAGAATACTCCGTAGGGCGGAGATAGACTACGGGGACGGAGCGGTACACGCGTACGAAGTAGAACTATGTAGTGATTATTATCTTCAAGAAAGATACACGAGACTACGCGAATAATTCAAGTTCATCAACCCTGGTGGTTCTTTTTTCCCTTCAATCCTGGCATGGGACATACCAGGGCCCAGGGCAGCAGGGCTAATGGGATCCATTGACCCTGCTCGGGACCTGTAATTGTCCCTCAATGACGGCCGATCACCCGCCCTCCACCTCCCATCGATCCCCGAGGAATGTGTGTACTGGAAATTTGCCCCTCGTTCATGCACGCAGGCACGGATCCAGGAAGCGTGTACAACAGGACCGGCCCGTGGTGATTTGGTGAGGGATCACCCTAGGTAAAGTAGTAAGGTATTGTACCCAGGTACAGTACCCTGAGTAATTAGCTACAGAGCACTAACTAACTAATGATAATGCCTTGGAGTAGTTGTGTAAATGTACCGTACCTGGGCACCGTTTGGGCTAAGACGCCATACTGTAACTTGTAACTCCGTACAAGTAGTACGGATTATACTCGTGTTTAAAGAGCACTAGTACCTTGCCAAGAGAATACAGCAGGCTGTGAGAATGATAATGTAACTATTTGTAGATACATGAATAATTACTGCTTACTTGAAGACTTTTTTTAACTCTGCCCTGCTATCCAAATAATTTGAAGTACCGAAAACCGCATGTTACCAGCCTAGCTGAGGCCCTGACTGCTACCGAATGCGAGTCAGTAAAAAGGTAAATTTCCCGATCGGTCGCAAGTATGTACTCCGTACTGTAGCCCATCATAATCCTACACGGTTTAGGATTGATTACGGAGTACTGATGCCCAGTCTACCTGTTTAAGCAGTCCCGGTCGGGCCCTTCTCTGGCCACCGGTGACGGGCGTTTAATTAACTGACTAGGCTTGGTAAGGCGGAATTATTGAGTTGTCCCTCTCCTCCGGAGAAAGTGGTCCATGGTCCACTGGGGCCGAACGTGAAAGGTAATCAATTATTAGTGAGTGGGCACCCGACGACTCTTGAGATCATATCCTGTGGAGGGTCCAAGTCAATTATCCTGCTAATAATTATGTACTCGGTGTATAATGGAATGCATACAATAGGTAGGTTTGGGTTGAATAGGTCGTTCATAGTCCACTCTAGTACAGCATACAGAATAATAATAATCCAGTAGTGCCGACTGTTCAGCAGGGGAGAGGTACATGCACAAAGTTAGCTAAATGTCAATCATCATCACTCCGGTAACTCCCCTGGGACAGCCAGGTACTGTAACATACAGTACAGCAGTCAGTAATCTATCCACTTGATTATTATGTATTACTATTCCAGACTAGAACATTCACAATGATTATAAATGTCGCCCCATCCTTCAGACAAAAAACGAGGGGCATGGGTATGGAACAAATGGCCATGGACAAATCCATTCCTTTTCTGCGACAGGGACAACAGGCAAGATCTCTTTCTCCGTCATTCTTAGCCAACGAAAAGCGAACCAGCCAGCCCCCTCAACGAGGCATTTGGTGCACTCTGATTGGGAATTCCTCCGTTGCACGGCCGCATGGGCTGGCTCCGTTCATGCGCCATTGCGCGCCCCCCTCCAATCCGACCGTCGCCCAATAAGCCGGGCTCCGGGGGAGGCGTTCCCTGACAGGACAGGGCAGGGCCACTTTGTTCGGGTGCTTTTCCGTCCTGCGAGTCGATCAGCTCGATCCGATCACGGTGCCGACACGTCGATGATGATGGTGGATGTGCATGCGTCTACTAGACTAGGCTCTGTACGATAGTTGAGGTTCCATCTGTCTGACATACAGTAGTGATCATTACCATCCGGCTTCGTATGGTGTACATACAGTAGTGTCGTACATACATACTACTGGACGTAGGGGGAGTGCACGGGGAAATCAGATCAGATGCAGATCAGGATCTGATCTGCCGGTGATAAGGGTTGGAATCAGGGAAATCCATATATACTCATACCACAGTAAAGTAGTCAGTCAGTCCTTACTGATAGAGATCTGGCGGCGACCATGGTCATGCTACAGTCCCTCCTGACTACTGTATTATCATCGCTATGCTACTACCATGCCCACCACATTATTTCCCTGCTTTCTCAGCTCTCTTCAACCCAAAGCAGCCCCATCAAGTAAGTACTGTAAGCAACCCTGATTCCTCAGTAGTCAATCCCCGGCCGAGAGAGGGGGGCATGTTAGACGTGGATCCCCTTGCTGCAGAGTCCGCCCCAGTGGACCACTCACTACAGTAGTAAAATACTCAGCCTGCCACTCGCGCCTCGCTGTGTAGCCTTGGAAACCAATCTCACTACAGTAGCCAGCTAGCTAGTTCGTTAGTCGGGGTCTGAGACAGGGTTGAAGAATTATTAATAACCAGTCCTGGTCCTGCGTGGTCGCTCGTCTGACCACCAAGTTCAAGTCCCGAATTCCAGAATACTTATTTCCAATGTACTAATCGAAAACCCGCAGATCTTGAAGGGTCAGCTTGATGCAGTATTACCAAGCACAGCCAGACAGCCACGATACGAATTTATTGTTATACGGGCCTTGGTCTCCCTAGATCTTCACGGTTTATGGTCCTAATGAAGAATATATAGCCTGACTATACTTTCCACCGAGGTCTCCTCTCCGACGGAGACCCGACCTGATTGTGCTCTCGGATTGGTCACTTTGATCGCAACGTTCTCGTGTTGACCATGACTCAGTAACTTACTTAACGAACTAATTAGCTATACGGGGATCCATTGAAGAATCACAGATTCGAATTGAAAGTATAAGAACAATCTGCAGTTGCTCTACCTGAATTGAATTTAGGAATCGATTTACCTCGGTATTGATGTACTGTCATCTTAACCAATCCCTCCTATACAAGCGCCTCCACCATTTCCGATCTACAATTCCAATCTACAATTCAACAACACCACCACCACTCAAAATAAAATAACCACGACAATGCCCTCCCAAAACGAAATCGCCAAACACTTCCGCACCCTCCACAACCCCAGCGACCCCCTAATCCTCACAAACATCTACGACGCCAGCACTGCCTCCCTCATAGCCTCCCTCCCCACAACCCGCGCCCTAGCAACAGCTTCCTTCGCCGTCGCCGCCACCCTAGGCGTCGACGACGAAGCCCTCACAAAGACCCAAAACCTCTCGACCCTCAAAACCATCATCTCCGCCGCCCACCGCGTCAACCCCTCCCTCCCCGTCACAGTCGATCTCCAAGACGGCTACGGCGATGATCTAGCGGCAACCATCAAGGAAGCCATCGAGCTTGGCGCAGTGGGCTGTAACCTCGAAGACATGGATAACACAACTGGGAAATTACGTCCCTTGGATGAGGCTGTTGCCCGGGTGCGGACTGTCGTTGAGGCTGCGAGGGAGGCTGGGTGTCCTGATTTTTCATTGAATGCCCGGACGGATGTGTTGTTTCAGGAGGGGAAGACGTTGGAGGATGCTGTGCAGAGGGGGAGGGCGTTTTTGGAGGCCGGGGCTTGGACGGTTTTTGTTTGGGGGGTCCGGGAGGAAGGGGAGTATCGAGGGAGGAGGTGCAGGTTTTGGTTAAGGAGTTTGGGGGGATGGTTAATGTGAAGATGAATTTGAGGGAGGGGTTCTTGGGGGTTAAGGAGATTAGGGAGTTGGGGGTTGCGAGGGTGAGTTTGGGACCGGAGTTGTGGAAGGTTGCGATGAAGGCTGTTAAGGAGCAGGCTGAGTTGTTGTTGGCGTAGAGAGAAGTGTATAGTTGAGTGGACGGAGATGGTCGAGGATATACTTGGTGTATAGTAGAAGGGTATATACATACGAGTATGCTTCGTCACCTAAATGAATGAGATTTGGAATAATTGGAATCAAATCAATCATAAATCAAATTATCATTACTTGAATAAAGACACAATCCTGCTACAGTACTCCAACCCAAGACTAACAATCTGTTCCTTAGCTATATTCAGACCTCTACTATCACAACTTACCACAAACCTGCGGCTTAGTACAAATCCCATTCACACACTTATTCCGATAAGAATAGCAACAATTCTCATCCGACAAACAAGGCCCATTATCTTCCTGACAACTCGGCCACTTCTCGTCCGTCGACCTACATTTACTCGCAGCACAATAGCCTGAGCAACAATTACCGACAGTGTTGTCTGGCAAATAGCAGTTTGCTAGGTAGGGATAATTAGCATGATCAATCTAAACAGTACAGTCTGGCTGGGATCCTCCAACTTACCGTAAACACTCAGACAGGTGGCAGTCGGCACACAGGTTGTCACCGTCGTGGCAGTAGGTTTCGTGAAGGTGACTGTAGTGCAAGTTTCGGTGCCGACACAGGCATCAAACTTGCCGCATCCTGCTGCGGCTGTGTAGGTTAGATGGGAGGCCTGGTCAGCAAGACATTCTGGAAATGAATAGAAATTAGGTACTGGAAGGCAAAGAACATACAAGAGAGCGCAAGATGGGAAGCAAATAGGACCAAAGTTTTGGAGAAATACATCGTAAGTTAATTGATTCTCGGAGATTTAACAAAGCAGGTAGTTTGGATAGATACTCAATAGATGCTGTCGTACAACATATCCTCTCACACCCCGAGACCTCGATCTTTATACCCAGCATTCCCTCCCCAAGACAAAGACATATTCCAAGTCATTTGATATCAAGATTTAAGACATCCACGACCTAAATACGAACCCCTCCATCATTCCCAACCGGTCATATCTACCCATCAAATATAGGTTAGTACCAAATGGAAACCTGGGGTTTCCGTTCGCGGGGGAGGCACGGGCGCTCTTGCCACTTAAATACGAGAAAGCTAATGTGAAACCCTGAACCCATCCTAGGCGTGCTGATTTACAATTGGTATGGCGTTGAGACAATCTCGGTTGGAAAGTCTCGGCTTTAGTCATTTCTTAGGTGTAGAGATCTCTGGGCTGGAATGGGCCGAGACTGGGTTTGGCGTGTGAATTGATTGGGATGGGAGGGAGCGGAGTGGATGGAGGAGTGTGCTTTGTTTCCGATACTTACCGAGTGTAGGATAGAGGTAGATCTATGGTTAAAGAGGAAGCTATGTCTTGTTGTAGGATACTCTTAGCTAGGTAAGAGTATTTTGTACAAGGTCTCGCTCTCTACGGACAGTACCATACCAGCCACCTAAATCCAAGAAGAAGCAAATATCCCACAAACACCCCAGCGCCAAAACTGGGCACCACAGCCCTGCCATTCTACACAGTCCAGAACCCAAAATCCATAACCCATAACCCAGGGTCGAACGCCTCGGCTGATGTTTCAACAGGGAAATACCCGGGCGCCTGTTCCAACAACCATCGTACCTACTATACCCAATGACTGGAACCAGAACCACCTCCAATTCCGTCCCTTACAATAAGGCTGACATACATCAGAGACCGGAGACTATAGACTGGGTAGTCCAGTCCAGTCCTCCCTACAGAATGCATAATGTCTCACACCGAACTTCATGGTATCATTCACTCTAAAATTGAAACAAAGAAACCAATGCGGGTACTCGACCTCGATATGCTAGCTACCGGGTTTCCCGCCAAGCTTGCGGGCCGTGGCTTAGACGGGGATCATCGCCCTAGAGCGTGGATTATTCACTCAGCTGGTCTAGCCTGACACTGTGACCCTGGGGGGTTGGTATTACTGTACCGTAGTACAGTGATGTTCCATAAGTTTTTAACACACAGCCCCACTTCTGAGATTACATAATATTCTGCCAGACAAACTCATTGTGATGTAGCTGCATTTATCAACCCCCGCTCATTAATTTCCTTTAGTTTTTCAAAAATAAGACTCGATTAATTCGAGCGAATTTACTACGTTCCAAATTTCATAGTTTTAGGTGAGAGAATAGAGTAGGCCATACCTCCTGTATACAAATGTAGTAGGCGGTGATAGCGGTGAGATGGGTGGGTCTAGGGTGTGTTAAAAACTTATGGAACATCACTGTACGAGCTCAATGCCATAAATAGACTGAGGAAGCCTGGACGGCGGGTTGTAACTTGAAGACTTTGTATTATCGTATTATAATTCTTGGGTTTAGGTTGATGTTCAGGTTCAAGGTTAGGTACTGGTCCAGATATCGGGCGTGAATAAAGTAAGAGCCTCAATCCTACCGTTTGATTCGTATCCCATGCACCTATCGAGGGAAAACTCTAGAGGGGGAGGCCTTGGTGAAACGTATGAAGAGCGGTATAATATTAACAGGGTCCCATTTGGAAACCCGAGATGAGTGGACTGATAAACCAACTGATGACATCTGAGGTATTTCAAAGGACCATGTAGAGTACATTTAGAAAGAACATTCAAACAGATGCAGTAAAAGCTCTAAATGCTAGCAAAGGGGCTTGAATATCTAATTATCCTGCTCGACATCCTCATCCTATTCTAAGCTACATAGATCTCTCCATACTTTCTACATGAGGCGAAACTTTGTAAGAGAATAACCTCAATAATATGAAGGATAGCAGCAGCTGGTCTATTAACACACTAATCGTACAGAATCAGATCGCCAAAAGGGTGGATCGCACTCACAAAATGGTATTCGATGCGAGAGCAAAGAAAACAAAACGCAAGAACATTAGTAAGAAAAAAGAAATGAAACACGAAGACAAAAGGTATTAAGAGGAAAGATGTATGAAACACAAGAAGGAAAAGAAAGGAAAGGGAGAAAAAAGAACGCAAGAGATATGCAACGCAAGCAACAAGAAAAAGCAGAAACGACAGACGCAATAAAAAAAAGTCAGTAGAAAAGAGGCACAAGAAATAACACATAAATAACCCAAATACCAACCAGACACCGCACCATGGGACTGACACTCCCAATCAAAGAACCCCAATATCCCTGTTTCCAAATCCAGTACAATGTTAGCCCATAAGAATTCCCCAGTCCTGCGCTCTATCTATGCTATTTCCTCGTCTGGTCGTGTCTCGGTAAAGCCATGTCATCCGCACGCAAGCGATCAAAACAAAACAGATGGGATAGGGATTATTGTTGTGAAGGCAGTGGGGATGACAACCTGATCAACAAGCAAAATAATAATAATGAAAAGTGCCTCCGGACAGACTCCAGAGGGAGAAGGAGGGTTTCAGTGTCACACCCCTTCCAGTAGTAGAGATAAAGAATCAACAGAAAAGACAAAACAAGATGCAATCGCGCGGTAGAAGCACATGGAGGAATAAATCGAAGAGCATTGGAAAACTGTGTTGTTTCTGTTTTCCATGGGAATCGAGGATGCAAATGAAGCAATTCAACAAAGGAAATAAACGGTAAGGGGATGATGTTTTTCAAACAAAAGAAAGGTTTGTGATGAAACACCCGACACGGTGACCCGCATCATACCGGGGTCGACCAAGTATGATCACCCATTCGGGACTTGGTCTCGTAGTTATCTGGCTCGGTGCTGGTAGGTCGACGGATGGTGGAATTGGGGAAGTACATGTGAGGAGGCATCGAACTTGGGTAGGCCGGGCCAGTAGGCTCAGGATAAGCAAAGTCGTTGGCCGAACCAGGCGAAGGCATGCTGCCGTGAGAAGGTGAAGCCCATCCCAGGCTGGTCATGTGTGGGCTGCCACTGACGCTGTTAGGTCGGTGGTCGCTGTTCGCTGGGGGCTCAAGCGGCTGCGGAGGACCATAGGGGTTCGAGGTCATCGATGGTCGAGCATGAGGTGCGCTACCATAGCTTGAAAGTGACGGAGAAGTGGCCGTGGGGGAAGCACGGGGACTGCCTTGAGAAAAGTCGCCTCGAACGTGAGGAGGAATCGGCCCGCTGCCCATGTAGTAATCGCCAGCTGAACGGTGCATGGTCAGTGGTGGAAGATCACCACCAGGGGACATGGACGCGTGCTGAGCCGGAGATGGAGTAGAGGGGATTGAATTATGATCGGGGAACATTCCCTCCGGACCACGGCCTCGTTCCTTGTTCTGGCGCAGATTGGCCTCTGTCTCGGCAGCTGCCTCCTCGATAGTCCCGGTATGATGATTTTGATGACGGGTGAGAGTTGTGCGGCGCGTGAACGTCTTTTGGCAGTTGGCGTATGGGCATTTGTATGGACGCTTTCCAGAGTGAATTCGACGGTGGCGTGCGAGTGATGAGGAATCGCTGAACGGCTGTACGAATTGGACGAAGGTCAGAATTGGTCATCTTCCAAAAGCACCCGAGAGACGTCGCAGATAAAGAGACATACCTTGCCGCATCGCTCACACATGTGAGGCTTCTCGCCGGTGTGTACTCGCGAGTGTACCGTCAAAGCCGAGCGTTGAATAAATTGCTTCCCACAGCCAGGCCAGTCACAGGCATGAGGTCGGATTCCAGTATGAATGCGCTCTGTAGAAAAGAAGTTTCAAGGTCAGCAACTAAGATACTCGGAAGGTGTCCAGCCACAGCCAGATTGCGTCCACATACCGTGTCGTGCGAGATCACTGCGGCGAGCGAATCCCTTGTTACAGGTTCCGCAGTGGAAAGTCTTCGGTGGCGCATCACCACCAGTCCTTCCAGAAGGCATAGGTGGTTGCTGCATCTGTGGTTCACCGGCATATCCACCAGGGACATAGCCCATGTTCCGAGGAGTCGCACCCGGGGGTTGCCCATAGTAAAAAGACTCGGCGAGTCCTTGATCCATGGGGACACCGGGAGGAGGATGAGCCGGGTATGCGTTGACGGGGTTATCCGAAGCGCCGGGCTCCGCCTTCATGGTTGGTTGATTCAACTGTGCGTTTTGCAGGTATTGTTGGTGTAGTTGTGCTTCTGCTGCTGCAGCTGCAGCGGCGGCAGAGTTCTTTCGGTTCAGGATGGTCGTGAAGTCCATGAGCCCGACCCCGATGAGGGAAGCTAAAGCACCGGAGCCAAGGAAAGCTCCAAGAAAAGCCTCCTGTCCTGCCTGAACCGTACCGACACGGTCAAAGCCTGATTAGTTGACTCTGCGACGAAGAATGGAGCAGGTATTCAATCCCATGCACTGGAATGCAAGGTTGCGCGCAAAGAGCAGGAACCCCCCCCAAAAAAGTACGAGACCAGACGACGAATAATCTGACTCTTGGGGAGAAGGAATGACCCGGTCAGAGAGTTCGCACTTGGAACAGTCTTTTTTCTCTGTTGTATTGAAACCTGTCCGAGTTTTGTCTTTGCCTTCGGGTAGCGTGTTTCGGGAGTCGGACGCGTCTATCGGTGGAAATGTCCGGACTTCCGGTAAGAGTCTGATCAGACAACAGAGGTCCCTTTCTCTTGGCAGGGACGATGTTCGAGGGTTGGGTGTTCCGTGGCGACAGCCGGGTACAGTCAGGGGCGTGATCGTTGATCGAAGTTTATCGCGAAGACGTAGCTAAGAAGGGGCAAAGCAGGTCCTATGACGAACATGCCAAGTTAGCTCGGAACGTGTAAGATGGAGATCCAGAGAATCATAAGCGCGCGCGCTTTTTTTCTCTCTCGTTCAACTCGGACCCGTCCCTCGAAACCGGAGCGTAGGCCCGCTGTGTCTTTGTTCTCCAGTGGTTCGCAGCCAACAGGGTATGTAGGCGCGGACGCACGAGGGATTCGTGCAGATGAAAGAAAGGCCAGCAGCCGTCCGTCCGGGATCTGGGTCTCGAGTCCAGCACTTATTTTTTTTTTCTCGAAAGGCGAACAGTCGGGCGCCGAAGAGAGGGAAGAGGGTCATCGGCCGGGCAGCAATGTCACGGGCAAGTCGGGGAGAACCGCGGCGTGGGCAGACAAGTCGCAGAGATCAAGGGAACCAACCTTTTCACGGAAGCCGAACAGACACGAGGGTCAAAATCAAGGTCTGTCGGTAGAGACGCGTGCTGGTTGGGAGGATAAAGAAGGTCGAGGGAAGGGAAGGCGCGAAAACAAAGTCGGTGGGGAGTCGTTGTCCAGTTGGAGCAGGCGGAAAGCAAAGCAGAACGTGTCGGGGTTGAGAATGTAGGGGAGTGGTGGTTGGTTGGACAAGGGAAAGAGGAGATGAATAGGATTAAGAATCGGGAGGTTAAACGGGGGGAGGGTATCAGAGGAGGATGAGCGGAGGAGAGAGAAAAGGAAGGTCGAATGAATGAATTAGGAGATTTAGGTGTGGTAGGTGCCACCAGAAAAGCGCATACATCATTATTTACATGATTCTCTTTCCCATACGGTTAGGGAGACTAAAATGGATAACTCCACTTAGCACCTTCGGAAGTTGTTCTGGAAATTGATCCCCCATGACGATCTGGGCTATTTTTCGATTTTCCTCTTTTTCCCATTTACAATTAGACGTTCATACCGAGTTTCTTAGGCAATAATATTATTCCATGTTTATGTCTCTATTTTCTGCTTCTACATACATAATTTGTACACCCTGAGATGATGATACTTGAGCTATCACGACAGTCGATCTGAAAACATTTAGAAAGACTATTCAAAAGAAAGGGACATAAGCATATCTGGCTGGACCGTGTCTCTAGTCTCTGATCCAGACTGCCCGTATACTTGCTGTCTGCCTAATTACTAAAAGCGTCTTCAGTTGTATAGGCCCCCATTATCACAGAATAATGAAACCAGGAAATTGCGACTATTATTGATTTATTATTACTGTATGTCCATATCCAATGTCATTCATTTTACAGGACAGGAGGCACAGCTTGGGTGACACTAAAAAACCTCCTATTTCCCTTTCCCCTTTCCTACAGTCTGCCAACAACCCCCAAATTCCCCAAGAAAATACGACGATATAAGTAAATAATAATAAATATTATTAAATCCAAAAAAAATACATCCAGTCGCACTAAGAACCCAAGACTTCGTTTATCCCTGCATTGCAAAAAAGCCAACAGAACCCTCCCAACTCGTTCTAGTCTCCCCCCTGGCTCCAGCAAAAAGAAGCGCTAGAAGGAAACCAGGCCGCACCAGAAGGACCGTCAGCAATTCCCGGCTCCACAACGTGCGTTTCTCCCCCGTCCCTGCGGCCGCTTCGACCAAGTGGATACGAGAAAGCGACGCCGATCTGAATCACAGAATAAATATTAAATCGTCTAGGGCTTTCAAGGGAGATGGTTCCCGACCTAGGCCTGGGGCTAGTGAGTTGATGATCTATATCATTGGTCTTTTCGTGGCTGTGGTCTTGTATGGCTTGCAAGCCTCATAGCCATACATCCTAAGGGATGAGGTTCTTCTTGAGAGCTGAGAAGCTCAGTAGTAATTACTAAATGGAATGCCTCGAGTTCGCTAGGGAAATGAAATCCGACTTGGTATATTATATACCACTAGTCTAGTGTGAAACGAGAATGTAAACCTTCTAATGGGGGGTGAATCATATGCAGATAATGACGCAAGTAGAGTATAGACTACAATATGTACTACTAACTCCTGTCTTGTTGAGGAGGATAGGAGTATGACTACCCAGTTATTAGTTACCAATTGACCTCATCTCATGTGACTCACTAATGCACTCCGTACGGAGTGCATGCAGACTAGTTATACTACCGCGACCGACTATGACTATATAGGAAAGATGTGATCGGGGGCAAAATGTGGGACCCCCTTGACGCGCTTCGTCCCGATTTCCCCCAAGTTCCAACTTGCAGGAAAGGGGCCCCTGGGCTGTCAAAACACCACATGTGGTGGCCATGGCCATGGCCACATGGTCAATGGAGAGGTCTTTGCTCTGGGGTTGTATATTCATTTTGGAGAACGATTGCTGTCTCCGTATGGTGTACAGAGTATAGATCGATTTAATCCCCCTGTTCTACGGTTAGAAAAGGAGGGAAAATCAGGCAAATGGTTGGACTATTTCTGGTTACAAGTCCAGTATGATGACTGCATGTCGATACGGACTACACGGAGGAAATGGTGCGACACGAGTTCAAAGGGAGGTAATCCTAGGATGATATGATTATATGATTACAGGGTGATCTGACAGTATAGGTACTGTACTGGATCAATCATCATAGGTCCTACAGGCAGGTACCTACGAAGGCCAGAATAACGACTCCTATAAAACCATAACTTGTCCATCGCAGCCCTGTAGAAAGCCAACTTCCAGACTAAGCGGAGGCAAAGAGGGGCGGATGTGCTTCACCATCTCGATAGTCTGTTCCCAGATTGCCCGCTAGTCAAATATTAACTCTCGCCTACACGGACGGTGGATTATGGAAGGTTTATTCACCTTCTAGAAGGTTTCTGATGTTGTCAACCCGTTCCCTGTCTTTTCCAACACGGGACGCGAGGTGGCTCGTTACACTTGACACCGCGGCATATGTCCATGATCATGATCATAATCGTGCAACCCTGTCAAGTTTCAAGTATCTGCTTACTACCTCGAACTTTCATTCTTTTCGGGAAAGTCGTATCCTCAACTATCGAAGACTCAAACAGTCGACACTATACACTATTCCCTATTCCAATCTCCCCTACCTCCTCCCCTTTTTTCAAACTATTAATCCCAGTTATCCATGACGATCTGCCCAAAAAAAGAAAAAACATAAGACATCAAGTGGAGCCACCCCAAGCGTCGGTAATTACAACCACCCCCATCAAAGATCAAACCCCCCTTTTTTTCTCCTTTGCTCCCCTTTCCACGCTAAAAAAAGCCGCCACGGCCGTTCAGCACCTTCAGCCTCCCCAAGTCCCCAACCCAACTTGCTTTTCTCCACTCTGCCACACGGCACGGAACCATGATCTCTCAGGATTGGCAGGATGGGCCATGCCAAGCCTTCTCCTGACCTTCTGGTCGCCTTCCAGAAGGAATTTCGAAGATTCGGAAAAAAACGCTGTCCGCCCGTTTGCGCATCATCCTGGAATTGGACGATGCGCCGGAGGTCCGAGTCCTTCTCCGAGGTTTGAACTGGCTAATAATCTACTGTAGTGGCTACTGTACTGCCTACTGTACGGAGTATGTACTACTCCCCTGGTCTGAAGGTGTTTGGTATACCGAATGCCCTGACTGGTTCGGACGGCCCAGACGCATGCATCATCCGGACCCAGTCTGAGGCTGTGCACTTCCGCCCTATCCCTTCTATGGCCCTGGCCTTGTTTCCTGAAGAGTGCACCTGGCAACGTGTATGTAGTATGTACTGCATGCCTGGCCGGCCCTAGTGCCCGACTGCCGCTAGGGGCGAATCTGGTATATGCCCGAAAAGGCTAAAGGGGGGCGAGGATTGGTTTACGGTTCACAAGGCAGATGACATTATTATTAGGGGAGAACCCGAGAACGAGAGAACAAGAGGTCACTAGTCAATTAGTTTCCCGTACGGAGTAGTTAGAGTTGGTTGGGCAGGAGAGCTCCCAAGTCTATGTATGGTGCTTGTTCGATAATTGATGAAACTAACTAAGCCTCCTTCTCCAGATTTTCCTTGATTCTTGCTCGTGGTCGCGATCTTCTTTCCTCTGCGAGTCTTTAAGAGATCCCCTCCCTGATCAACATCCCATTAATCAACGGTTATGACGACACTGTCATCTCCTCTCTCATCCGGAGATACACGGCTGTCTACTTCACCATACAGTGCTAACTAACCCGCGCACCGCCGAACCTCCTTCCTCATACCGAAATCCCATGTCTTAACTCCCAGCCACCTAACCAGCCAATAACCCATCCCCTAATTTCAACTGCCTTTCCAAGGATCCAATACGAAACTCGAATTCAAGATTCCGCAAACCTCCAAACCTCACGGTAAACACAAAAAACCACCATCGCGCATCATCATTGGCTGTCTAGACACAAGGCCATTCCCACATGAATGTGGCTGAGACGTGCGTTGGTGTATCAAGTCCACGCTAGTCTCCATAACTCCATTACTATTAGTAGAACAGGCCGGCCAAAGAGAGAAGAAAAAAAAGGAAAGTCGTTTCGCGTCCTCCTCCCTTTTCCCACGAGGTAATAATCCCTGTCGCCGTTATCCGGTACTGTATTCTGGTGGTGCGTGATTTCCAATCATTATATGGCGCATTGCGTGGCGCCACAACCTACAACTTCCGGCCTTACCAGTAGTACCTAAGGTCAGAGCAGTTTCAGTTCATTGGGATGTCAGGGCCCAACGCCCTGCCACGCTTTGACCACAGCCCAGGCCCTGGCCCTGACATGATGTCACTGGGGAAATCGTGCACTGGCCCACGCAGTTCATCAGGCCATGGGCTGGACTAGGACTAGGACTACCGGGCCCATAGAAATTCACGATCGCTGTAAGTACACAAATAAGTATAACTAATATAATTCCGATCAACTCTGATTCATTTCGCCAATCTTGATAACTTACTCCGATCATACCTTGCAAGACCCAAGGTTTTCGAGAAAAGTATAACAAGAGGCAAAATCTGCCGAAGATCGTTCGAGGAATTTCGGATTTCGCAGATCGCGTTTAGACGCTTCCCTGTAGCTAGGTGGCACTGTACTATCCAGTGGAGTGGGTATAGTTAATCAGATGATCGGAAAGAAGCAATTCTATGAAAAAAGAAATATACTGTAGTCTGCATTAGGTTATCCACACGGCTCGGTTTTTTGGCGCATCGGGCGTCTGAGCGTTATAATATATGTAAGGCTCGCTATGGCATGTGCCGCTGTATAGGTTCCATCAGCTCCAGTGACTGCCTGGAGAGCCGGGCAATTGGATATTGGTCGCTTTATTGCCTGGTTCTTGCTGGTGTTAATCACTCACTTCTTTCTGTAAGGGGTACCTACAGACTGTATATAATGAAGCCGGAAGGTCTCGTGGAAAAGATACTTCCGTTTGAATAGAGCATTTCAGCGTAAGATATCCTACAGATCGGGTCGTAACGGGGTTTACAATTTGCTCGACTCAATAACCTGAAAGAGGGCAATGCATATCGATGCATGGCACAGGACAGATTCCAGGTAACACACATCAGAAAGACACTGGCATTAGTGTATCTGCCTGTGAAACAACACCATCCACGTATCAAAAAGTGACATCGCAGGATGACAGCACGGAAGTGATTTAGTATGTACAGGTCTTTTTGTCTTTGTTAAAATTCCCAGCTAGTGTGATGGAATCTCCATTCTGATCGGAGTTTTCTATGTAGCTCATATTGAGTTAAGAATGGCTACCTTGGTGTATACTGTCTTCGAGGTTGTCTTTCAATGGCCTATGCCTAGACACGTTTCAAATGGCATGGACGATCTTGTCAACAATGATCTATCAATTCTAAAGAATGCAATCATGATACCTTAATAGGCACATTGTAGTAATGCCAAACAAGACTAGAAACAAGATGAGGCTTCTGCATATCATTGAACTTCGGCCCGAGCAGAGACATCAGAAGAGGATACCGTGTTCACCAAATCTGCTGTGAAACAAGTTGTCAATCGTGAGCACTTTGACCGAAACTGCCTTGTTGTATCTCTTCCCCCATTCCTCAACCCACTGTGCAGGAATTGCACGCCCACCATTTTCCCTTAATGCATTGATGAAGGTAAGCCACAGCGTCTGCAGCATCGTATGGACGTCTATCCGGCTCTGTTAATCGGTCTGTCTTGCCGCAGAGTGCATACTCTCAAGGCACAGTGTAGACGGTGAGCCTCGGTTCCCCAAAAAGAATAGTATTCTGGCGATGCGATGCACCCTTTAGATCTTGCTCCATGTTACGAGTCAGAAAGAGCGATATAGAATTGTTGAACCAGTTTGCGCCAATTTGGGATTTGGAACGCTGTTGAGCGTATTTGGACGCATCTTTCAAGAGCCGACGTCGCCCGTGCTATGTCTGGAACGAAGATAGATCGTGTTGACTGCACCACCGGCCACATAGATAGTTAGATTGGCCTTTTGTTGACGGAGGTATTCTGCCATGTATCGAAATGCAAGGAGGAGCTGATCCCGGTTTATCTCAAATGAGCGATGGGCAATTGGACGGCCAGTACCATCTCTCTCGGAGGTTGGAATCATCTGCAACCCGCCGGAGGGGCCTGAAATTTGAAGGTTTTGTGCTCTGCTACCGGTCTGGCGACTTTGAGGGTTTCGACCTTGCTTAGAAGGGTTGTTTCCCATGTTTATTGTAATGAAGATGTAGGGAACAAGTTGATTGGTGATGAAGGCGCTCTGTGAGGAAGTTACTCTTGAGAATGTTTTTTAGGAGGTTTGTATCTGTGAAGTGAAATCAGGAATGTTTTATAAAGAACCTTCAAACGCAGGCAAAATGCCTTGGGAGCAGTAGGCTTCATATTGGAGACGTGCTGCCTCAGTAGGCGCCTTCTCCCCAGACACCCGCTACATCCCTGATATATATTCATTCTATAATAATAAAAATCGAGACTTAGTAGTGCAGCCTTGCTCCTAGGGGCGTTTAGTGGTTGATTAAAGCGTATCGCTGGATGAGATAAGGACGGAAAATAAAGGCTCAGCACAACGCCTTGACTAGCTGGTTTGATGATGCTTCATCCAGGCTTGTTTCGCTTCTTCCATGCGGCTCTTTCTTTCGAGAACAGTTTAATTGTGCCCGGCTCCGAGGTTTAAGATACGGTGAACCCTCAGATCCTTTTCCACCCATCTCAAAGGTTACCGATATCTGTCATGCCGAAGCAAAACAACACGACTAGCTGCGGGTGATCACCAGGCACCTTAAACGCCTCTGGTGCATGTCTTCATCTGACGCGTATCCTGTCTTTCCCCCTCCAACACCTGAAGAACTACTCGCTCAACCTAATTTCTATCGCGAACGCCTCTTTCGAACCCCCAAAGGCAGGGAAGAAGATACGCCCCTATTCTCGCTCTGCCGACTCTACGAGCACCTGACTTTGAACGATAATGTTGGTCTGCGAAATGAACTAGAATATTTCTGGTACGCGAAATGGCCAGTTGCCTCCATCCCTAACCCCAAGGATTCGTCCAAATCTCGCTACGCGGTGCTGTCTGCCATTCCGGCACTGCTAGTCGAGTCATTCAACGAGCGCATTAACCTGGGTTTGCCACGCAAGGCAGACAGCATCATCACCCGCGAAGAATTAGAGCAGTACCAAAGAGAGGAGAAGATCTTGGAGTCTGCCCCAGCATGGACGAGCCAGGTACCGCGGCTAGAAGAGACCCTGGTGATTCCACATGATAATGATGAGGTTCTCGAGTCACTCGAAGATGAACGAGCTAGTGCTCAGCTGGCAGCAAAGAACATTCTGCATTGGCAACCACATATTCATTTTAATTGAAAAGGATGTACCATAATATTAATATTTTCACGAGTTATGATGTTATGAAATGTTGCTCTTGCTGCGCTTAGCGAAAATCAATAGCGATTGCACCCTTATCCTCAGTCTCAAATGCACCACCCGCAAAAGCAGCATTAACGACCACCGTCTCCTTTAAAGAATCAACTCCCCTCACCGTCCCAATCCCGCTCCAAAATACCCTTTGTAGAGCCCCCAAAACACCATGTTCAGGCCACCGCATCCTCAATCCGTCCACAGCATCTTGAACTCTATCATGACGAACAACAGAGACCCCGAACGCACCGTGAATATGGCCGCAAACCACCATCTTAGGCCTGACTCTCCAAATCTCACGGAGTAGGTACCCATCACCCTTGACCCTGACTTCCCCACTCGTTTCGGTCTCACCATCACAATCCCCATATAAAGCCGGGAGACCGTGAACAACCAGGATATCGGTGTCATCGGGGACCCGGCCCGTCCATACATCCCGAATCGCGGGGTATTGAAAAGCCCAAGTGCCACATTCTGGGGTGGACGGCGATCCGTAGATCTTTATCTTTCGGACTTGCCCTTGCTGTTGTGAAATTTCATCATCGGTGATCTGTATCGGTATCGATACCGTGATTGCTTCATCTTGCAAGTACTGGATATCAACCCAGTCAAGATTCTTCCGCTGGTGGACGCCATCTTCCAAACGCGTCACGAATTTCGCATCACAGTCTTCATCAAGAAGGATGTCATGGTTTCCTGCAATAACAATCTTGTGACGATGTGGCTGTGATGAGAGCCAGCGGAGTTGTGCTTGGATTTCATCAAATGTGCCTTTGGCTGTTAAGTCCCCGGCGTGAATCAAAATGTCGCCTGGTGGGAGAGATGGGGTTGCATTATGTGTGTCTGAGATGCATATTATGCGGATTGGAGGGTCAGAGGGACTATCACTGGTATTCTGGAGAGGGATTGGCGTGACTAATGGATTCTCTGGTTTGGACTGCCTGGGCCATCTAGATAGGAGGATGTTGGATAGTGGTCGAACTACATGGTCTAGCCATGTTGGAGGATGGGACTGATTATATGGAAAGGGGAGCAAGTGGTTATTCATGTAGGATCTTCAGCCTCGCGAGGAAGTCAAAATTGTTCAAAATTCCAGCCGGAATAGGCCAGGACAGCGGTATTCCTAAGCTGAGCGGGGATTGGAGAGTGGAAGGGGAGAGTATTGTCTGCGAGGCGGCATACAGAGAATAAGGTCCGAGTCTATCACGTGATATACAGATGACGAGCATTCGCATACAAAGATGAGCCATGGCAGCTAGGGTCCTCGTTACCTTCCCCCCATCACCGCCGCTTTTTGACTGATCGTCTTCAACTAACTGGCTATCGGATCCACACAACGTGCCTAAACCGTTAGGGATGTATCTGGCCTAGGAGAATTCCAAAGCCTTAGAGATTGTAAGTAAATACTGTGTTTCTCGAATATCTTTACATGATTGCATTAGGAGCACATAGGATAATAGTCTATATTGCATCTCCAGCTGCAATACACATTGATTTCTTTGTGGTGCTTTGCCGGAGTAGAAGGATTTAAAGGGCTCGAGGATGTATATGGCCCGATCGATCAGGCCAAGACTAATCGGTTTATCCTACCTACCCTTTTCGCGAATCATCGCTGCCGTGAAGGAGGCAAAGGGGTGATACACTAGATATTGTGTACTCAAATTTATCTGATCATCCAGTCGTTACACTTACATGGTTGGGAAATAAATAACCAAATAGTTCAAAATCCCCTTTTTATGAGGATTCTTGAGGGTGATTTGGCACCCTATCTACATCCTGTCTTACAAAGTGAGAAAGAAGAGAACCCATGCCATATTCAATGTCTTCCATTTCACATTAGAACTGAATCATCCCTAGTCATTAGAACAGTATAACAGAGTAGACAGACATCAAGGTGTATCACCGATCTATAAACGAAAACAAGAAGAAAATGCAGGTTACCCATGACCCAATGCTCCAGAAAGATGAGAAAAAAAAGAACAATGGGGACATAGGCTGGAGTTGTCAAAACAAACAGCCGGGACCTGGATACCCTCCCCGGTTGGACCCTATGTATGGGGGGAGGGAATTTGCAAGGCATGAGTCGAAGTCAAAAATGCAACGAGAACGAGAAACAGGTATCAAGACGTGACTCCGAAGCATAAAGCTGAGCTCTAGGTAATGTTGTACCCAGGTCTACCGCTTTCGCCATGACAGCTCGATGATTTGATCTCCCTCTCTCTTGTCGCGCTTGATATACCACTGCGTAACGCGACCGTTGTCTTCGATCACAGAGTCTTCCAACAGATAACTCACTTTATGATCATCCTTGCGGCGTAGTGGACCTAGTTCATGCAGATAAGACTCCTCTGTGGCGCCGTTATGCGGTTCCCAGGTCATCTCCATGGTAAGATCATTCTGCTCTGGTGGGAAACTGTACTGGACCACGGAGAATCCATTAGTCAAGAACCATCCATCACTGAACGCCCACTGGCGCAGTAGACACGTTGGACCGCATAACTCGGAGATCACGCTGAGCTTGGGCATGTCGGCGTGGAACCAGGATTTCCAGTGATGAACCGAGAGAGGGGTTCCCGACCAGACTCGAAGAAACCAGAGGCATCTTCCATCAGATCCAGTTGATGTAAGCGGTGATCCACAGTCAACCGGGTAGTGGTGTATTGGTAGATGCAGTTCGCGATGCGACGGTCACCGGTATAGGTCATTTGCTCGCATTGATCGTAGACGGTGGCTAGATCGGAAAGCAGTGGTCGTGAGAGGAAGACGCCTGCGCCTCCGAACGCGATCATGCCAAAGACGGCGATTTGGGGGATTCCCTCGGATAGACCGCCGATGTACATGGGCTTTGTGTCGTCGTATTCACCCAGTGCCTTGACCAATGCAGGCATGGAGAGGAAGAATGTGTCGTCGTCGATGATACATCCCCACCGTGTTCCTTCACGCATGTTCTCTTCCAATAGAGCGACTAGCGCAAAGTACCGGTGGAGATAGTCATCCTCCGACTCCTTGACGATCAGGTTAATGCCGAGGTTATCAGCCTTGGCCTTGACGTAGGCAATACCAGCCTTTTTCTTGTCCTCTTCAGGTTCAATCAAGGCGAAGATACGCGTACGAGTGTATCCCGCCCAGTGGGCGAATTGGTCCAGGGACTCATTCAATCGGGACACCGAGGTCGCCACGCCAAAGTCAATATGCGAGGCATCAGCCATCTTGGGTGGTTTGGGCGCCACGACCGCCAGCGGTGCCGGGATCGTGCAGCCGTCCTGCGGCTCGCCGAGCTCGTTCGTGTGACTAGATCCTCGAACCTTGACATCCAGCAGGGGCGTGTCAATCCGTTGTCTCATTGGCAGCGGGTCCTCTGTGAAGTCGACGACGACTTCGCGACGGGTATATTGGGCTAATTTGCGGACGCCCAGACGGTGCAGCATATCAGCGTCCGGGTCGCATTTCACGTTGGCGGAGATGGTGATGTTGGAGTGGGCGCGGGTAGGGGCGACGGAGGTTGTTTTCTTGGGTGAGGATGGCCAGAGCAGGGCTGCGAAGCAGGTGATGGCAATGACTGCGACAACGTATCGTACCATCTTCTTCCATGCCCACGAGGCTGGAATGGCCCCTTCCCGACCCTTGAGCAGCATCGCGCGGGTGTGGTATGTGTCGTGTGTCTCGTGCGGGAGAGAGGTCTCTGGTAGCGACAGTGGGAGAACGGTGAAGGACTCGGTCGGGGTAGGCTCTACTCGAACAGTTGAAAGAGAGTAGGATTAGGGCGTGACCACTGAGGGGAGCATCCGCATTGCGGAGACTGGGTTCTCGTCTAGGGTCTCGAGCGGATCTCAAGGGCGGAGATGGAGACGCGGGCGCCGAGAAACGACCAGTTCGCTTGGCAAGCGCAGGGCTGAACAGAACAACGAGTGTCTCGGATATGCAATGAAAAATCGAGAATTATGAATGTATGAGAGAAAGAAAAAACGAGGAAGACAGGGGAGTCTAATTCCCTGGGCCAAGAGACCAAGAGGCGAGGGACGATCAACGGGCCAGTTTCCACGGGACGAAACAAGGCACAATTTAACCGTACCTGGCCCCCAGAAAAAAAGAGGCGTCAAGAGGCGTTAAACGGGCCAAAGAAAAAGGCAACTAACCAAAGAACACACTTGTTCGTACATGTACACATCTCAAATTATGGTCATAGATTTTTAAATATTCATTGAGATAATATTGCTATCTTATCTTATCTTACTATTGAATTACCTTACTAGCAGAATCAAAATCATAATCTTCATACAGTCTTGCGCCATGACGTACTCGTCACGTGTCCCTTAAAACGTCTTTTTCTACTTCAACTTCAACACGATACAAATACTCTTCTTTTCTTTACATTTAAACAAATGCCTTCCATTCCAACTCTCTCTCCCTGTACCACCACACCCCCTCTGATCATGATACTGACGCATTAACTCATTGTCCTTGTCCATGCACTTCGCTACTATACACTGACACACTCCCGCTCCTCTATCCGAGCGCCAACCCTTTCCCTCTTCAGCCGCCAAGACTGCCAAACCCACTCCATTCTCATCCCCGACTGGCTACACTCACTAGTCCCGCTGTCGCTTTGCTCCACGTCCGCGCGTCACTTGCTCACTGCCCAGTTATCGTTGTCCGTGGGTTGTAGACTCGTAAGTTGAAAGTATGTATGTATGTCTCTTAGCTATTGACAGCACATTCTTTCTTGGCCTTCTGAGACAGATATACGCAATCATTCCCCAGATATATCCCACGCATAGATTACAGAGGCCATTCTACGAGAATCGATTTAAAAGTACAAAAGTTCCTCCTTGACTGGCATGACAATCCTCGGACCCTTGTTACCCACCGAAGATCCATCCTGCTTGATGATCCTGCCTGTCGATCCACCCCTGTCGATGAATTTACTCCTGCCAATGTCGTCACCAATTATATCAGTTGCTGTATCTCATTGACCTTCTACGAAGGACATGACTGGATCAGATTGAGAGAAAGTCACTCGATATTCATGAGATACTGTAGGTATGCAAATTAACCGCCCGCCCCAACTACAGTACTGTACATATATACATCGTGGCCCCCAGCAGTACAATGCATTGGCCAGCTGAGCCCCATCTCTTTACCTTTGGCCCCAATTAACACTACAGTAGCATTGCAGCTAGCCCCCAACCCCAGGCCCTAGGGTCTCTTTTCTTCTCGAGGCTTTGCTTTCGGGGGCGATTTCTTCCAAAAATACTGCGACAACGGGCAAGGCGTACTATTATGACAGGCAGTATGCATATAGGGTACGGAAAAGACAGTGGCAGATTCATACGGAGATGTGTTACATGTCCCACGTGGACGCCTTGCTTATTCTTAGTAACAGTCACAGAGGTAATTCCATTCAATGAAGTCCTGACACTATTCACTGGAGAAGAATAAAGATAGTGTTTTTATCCCTCTCATATCCATATCAAGTCACGGCACCAATTCTGTACAACGTCTATACATACTTTACAACAGAGCTCTAATTGTCCACTACAAAAAATAAACACTTTACCTTAATAGGTAGAATGATGGCTCAGAACCGAATTGTATAAACCATAAACCAAAGTAGTATATACAACCAACCCCCATAGGGAAAACAAAGCGCAAAAAAAGTAAAAAGCAAGAACCAGACTTCATCGAATCGAGTCGGGGTATCAAAGTCCGTCGATGACCGTGCAAACATGCATAAAGGAAGGAATGGAATAGGAATGGAATAAGATGAAAAAACCACACAAACGCCTTGCTGGGACAGCCTTGGTATAAATCAAGATCAGGGAGTGTGGTGAGTGTTCCAGGGGTGAGAAAAAGGCGTGATGATAATGGTGATAGGATATAATGCAAGACCAAGACGGAGACGGAGACGAACAGGAAAAAAAAGAACAAGAGCACGCTATGAGAGAATGATGGGGGAAGTCAAACGAATCCGCCGGCATGGACACTTGATATACAACCGCTCCAAAGGAAAGGAGGGAAAAGAAGGTATGAAAGGGAGAGGGAAAGAAAAAGAAAAACCGAGAGAAAATCACCACGGCTCACAGCTCACAGGGCAAGATCACTTCAAGTGACCCTTGCGAATCGTGCCAAAGCCCTTACTAAACAACTCCTGAATCTCAACCGAGCGCCGCGGCGCACAAGATTCAGTCGGAGACATAGGCTCAACACCAGCACCATCAGACTGGTCCAGGGTGCCATGTGGACCACCGGCCCCAGAATCAGAAACCCTCCTCTCCACAGCCTCGCTGCCACTGTGACTAGCAGTGACACTAGCACTCGAATATCCCTCCATCTCAATCTCATTCGCGACCGGCTTCTCCGTCATAACGCGCGGCCTTGCCAACAACTCCTGAACATGCTTTTCCCTCGCATCCATCTCCTCAAGTTCCGCCGCTTCACGAGCAAGTTCGAACGAAGACTTTTTCGTTCCACGATCCCAACCCTGTTGCAATTCTGCGGCGGCAGCTTCTTCAAAGCGTTTCCGGATATCCAAGTCTTGCTCGTATTCTTGGAAGAGGTCGACGTCTGTGGGGAAGAAGAGGGCGCGGAGGGTGGAGACGGTGAGTTCGAAGAGGAGGACTGCGGAGACGGAGATAAGGAGGACGAGCCAGAAGAGGAGGTTATGGCCGGCGTGGTGGAGGAAGTTGTCGGGAACGGCGTAGACGCCTTTGCCTGAGGAGAGCTTGTAGCGTTGCGAGAGGATGATGTCCCAGAGGAACCAGCCGCCGACGGAGATGATTATCACGATGAGGGAGAGGTAGGTCTTGTTGTGGACTTCTAGAGCTTGGAGTTTGATGTTGATGACTATGATGCAGGCTGTGAAGGTGAGGAGGCCGAGGGCGAAGGTGTCGGTGTCGGATGGGTTGATCTGGACCATGCCGAAGAGGCCGTACATCGTGAAGAAGATGATCATGGCTTCGCAGGTTGCCATGAATGTCCAGCCGAGGTAGAGGCGAATATTGAAGCCGCCGTTCTGCTGACCCTTGGTGTAGAGCTCAGGCACGGCAAGGAGAGTCGAGGCGGAGAGATCCTTGGTGAATATACCCAAGAAGATCACTGCCAACGAAGTGAATAGAGTGTTGAACATGCTCAGACTCCACGGCTCGTAAAGTGATGTGCCAGTGTACCCGTTCCAACGCTGGTACAGCGCCTGCGTCAGGTAGAAGAGCATTTCCTTCCAGAACGTGCCGAGAGTGTACTTGCAGGCGCGCATGTAATTCCACCGACCATGGACAAGAAGCAGTTTTAGGAGGAAACGGAACTGCGCAATCGAATAATCCGAGATACGAGCAGCCTGCAGACCTTCCTTACCAGTGATGCCGATACCAACATGAGCTTCCTGGATCATAGCAATATCATTGGCACCATCGCCGATAGCCAGGGTGATCGAGTCGTTGACATGTTTCCGGATGGTCTTGACAAGGAACGCCTTTTGCTTTGGGCTAGCACGGCAGCAGATGACCGAATCAACGCGGATAGCGAGCTGGAAGAACCGATCACGGACGACGTCATCAGCTTCAATTTCCGACAAAGTCTGTCCGTCAACGACGACCACGGAGTGCGCGACTTTGTTGTGGATGAGATCGGCAGTTAGCTGGACAATGGTCTCCTCCACATCACCATTCTCGTGGTCGAGAATAGTCAAGGTAGAGTATTCCTTGACCAGACGGCAGGAATGTCCAACATTGATGGCAGTCTCACGCTTATCACCAGTCAACATCCACAACTTGATGTTTGCACGGCGCAGCTTGTCAATAGCCTCGGGGACACCCTTTTGCAATTTGTCCTCGATCGCAGTAGCGCCGGTCAGTTCAAGCTGTGTCTCGATTTCCTCACCGACCTGCTCGATCTTCTGTTGGCGGTTCACCAAGCTGGTGCTAGCCTCTTGGAACGCAGTCTTCCAGTTCTGGTAAGTGGTCTCGTCCAAGAATCGATGTCCATACATCAAAGTGCGGAGTCCATCAGTGGCGAAATCGTTTAGGTGTTGGAAGCAACGCTCAAAAATAGCAGCCTCATCAACAACAAGAGCCTCTTCCACCAGATCCCCATCAACTTCCTCACCATTGGTCGAGCTACCCGAGTCCGAGATAGCAGTCGAATGGCGTCCAATCTGGGCAGAAGGTCGAGGGCTGTAATAAGCACTCTCCGTCTCCCGGTTCAGCATACCACCGTCAGTCTCACGGTCACGAAGCCAGACATCAATACTCTCTCGCAGTGTAGAAGCATGGTGCCCAGAAACCGAAGAGCGACGGCGAGTGAAACTGGGTCGGCTGAGACTGGTGCGGACATTACTATCCTTGCGGCTGTGATACTCGCTGTTGCGACGAATGACCTGGTTGGCTTCAGCAGCCTTACGCTTGCTGGCCCGACGCTCAATTTCGGCAGCCTTCTCATGGGCTAGCTCAGCTTTCTTCAACAGGCGCATGAGCGTGGTGTCGGCACCCTTGCAGAAGAGGCAGATGCGCTGGTCGGGCATGCGAACGACAACTGACATGCGCTTCCGGGCACTGGAGAATTCAATCACATCCATGACTTCGTAAATCTCGTCGATAGCAGGTTCATCCGTACCGTCGGGATATGTGCGAATGGTCAGGGTGTTCGATTGGCGATCCATAACCAAGTACCCAAGTTCCTGGGCCGCCATCACAAGGGCCAGCTCATCCGGTGAAGCAGCCTGGAAAGTCACGTTGCCATCCTCATCTTCCTCGGGGATACAAGTATGACAAAGAGCCATAGCCAGAATGAGCAACTTGGCCTTTCTTGCAAAGATTGTATACGGCTTGCGCTGGATGTATTCCAGCATCTCGGTGGTCCGACAAGGCGCCGACCGAGCAAACCGGCGCATCTGGTCTGCGCTTGCAGAGACGTTGGACGGCCGTGCTGCGCTCATGCGAATCTCCGAGGCATTTGATTTCCGGCCAGCAGCCTTCTTCCCCTTCAGGTTCCGCTTCTTGTGAATAAGCTTCTCACCTTCGCGGGCAGCTTCTTCTTGAAGATCGAGATCGTGCAACCACGCAGTGCCCGCAACACTCATCTTGCGGAATCGCATCGAATTGTTCGTCAAGGTACCGGTCTTGTCGGAGAAGATGTAACTGATCTGGCCAAGCTCCTCGTTGATGGTAGACGTGCGTGCCTCGAGAGGCGTATCGGTTTCTGGGTCGTACATGTCGATATCATTGAGCAGAAGCATCTGCACAACCTTGACAATCTCCATACTGACGTACAGTGAGATGGGGATCATCGTGTTGAACATGATGAGGAAGGAGGTGAAGATGGGACCGTAGGAGACACTGGCATCACTGATGTACCAGGAGTAGCGTTCTACATCCTGCGACCAGTACTTGTAGGCAACAGTGCATGCAACGGCAAGGATGATGACCAGGAGAACGATCAACACAACCACGCGGTTGACCTTGGCTTGGAGGGCAGGCTTCTTGATGCGAGGGTTCTTGTTGGCGTTCATGCGGATTTTGCACTCCTCGCCAGTGTAGATAACCATGCCAATGGCGCGGTTAGTGTTGCGGAGAATACTACCACGGTAGACAATCTCATTGTTGGTCAAGGGGAGCTTCTCCTGGCCGTTGACCGTGACATGACCGTCAAACTTGTAGAGATCAATGTTTGGGTCTTCCACAACGAAATGTAGCGAGTTGCTGATGATGTCGTCGACAGTAGAGCACACCTTTGACACAGCCTGGCAGGGTTGCTTATTCTTCAAGTTGGTTTCTCCATCAAGGGCCATCGTCTCGATATAAGCGACTCCATTAGGTCCATTGGCGTGGAGGAGGGCGAAATCAGCGGGAACAGGCTGATCACGCTCGAGCTTGATGACATCTCCAACCCGAATGTCCTGCCATTTAATTTCCACCCAGTCATGCGCACCACTGGCCATGGATGCACCATCGATGACAGGAGCCTGACCCGGACGAAGCACACACGCATACCGGTTATTCTCCTCCTTGTCCAAGCGATATCGGCGCCAATCGTCGAATCCCTCCTTGCCCATTGAGATACCGACGAAAATCAACAGAGGAATCAGAGTCGTAAACGTTCCCGTCGTACTCAGACCGGGAATCATCTGCAAGATGGCGACGACCAAAAAGTAAAAGTTGGCCAATTTGGTGAATTGAGCAAACAATTGCCGAGGGAAGAAACTCCAGAAACTGTACCGACTTGACCGAATCCAATTGGCACAATAGGCCTTGCCCGTACGCTCATCGAGTAGAGTATCAACCATGGACGGATTGAGATCAATATGCCGTCCGTCCTTAGTCGGTGGCATATCCTTGATGCGGAGAATGAATTTCTGGATCGCAGTCAAGATAGTCTCCACGCGAGTGACAAGTCCTGCCGTAGCAGCTTTCTTCTTCACCCAGTTATCTTGCGCGACAGACATGTAATACTCCTTCAGAGGCAAATCGGAGCGGGACGAGGGGTATGTCGAGGCTTCGTCCTTTGTCCATTCCACCGTCGCCGTCGGTGCAACGGCCAACTCATTCTTCTCGTCCACGGGACTAGGAGCATACACGGTCTTTGGTGCAACCGCAATTTCCCCCTCGGGACTTCTCCCAGAGCCATGGGCATCGTCCAGCTCCACACTCGCGGAATCATCCTGATCAGATTGTGTGTGAATGGTCTTGTTAAAGATGCTGCGTCGAAGCGAGTAACCTCGGTTTCGCGATCGCGAACGACCACCGGCGGAGTCTGGGCTCTGCGGGGAGATTGGTGAGAGAGTCGCGCCTGCGGCGGCATTCGGAGGAGAAAGGGGAGAAGTTGGTGAGCGGGCAGGGTGATGAGTCGACGGGGGCGCCAGCGTAGTGTCGATAGTCAAGCCTCGCGAACTCGGACGTCGGTCGGCGGTCGTCGACAATTGAGGCTGTGGTAGGTCTTCGACAGGTCGGTCGAGATCGGTCGAGAACCGCACGTGGTACTGCTGGGAAGCGCGGCGACCAGCGTCGGACATGGTGCGTGAAGAAACGAGGGACGGCCGGCGCACAACGTCAGGCTGGTTTTGATTTTGATTTTGATTCTGCTCCTGCGACGGGCGGCCCTCGTCTAGGGGCTGGTCGTCATGGTTGGACATGACGAAAGATCGTGCCTGGCGCGGGACCAGACCCCGGACGATCTTTTCTTTCTTCGTTGGTTATTCGATCGGGAGATCTGATAGACTGGCGATGCGGTTTAGAATACAAGAAGGGAATCGATTGCGCTAGAGATCGAAGAGGTCGCAGTCATGCTTCTCTAGCACATCGGCCTGGTTGTGAGTATGGCTAGTAATTCAGTCGACGGTCGCAAAACGAAGGTTGGTCGACCGTGGGTAAGGACGAAGTCTAAGCAGTGAGAGAACGGCGAAAAGATCGAATATAGTCCAGGCGTTTCGCGACTGGTGTTATCGAGAGTCGTGTTGTTGTCAAAGAACAAGTCGAAAAGAAGGTAAGGCGTATACCAGTGGGGGGAATAGTATTGTTGACGGAGTTTGTGAGAGTCGGAGGCAATACCAGACCGGATGCGGCAAGATGCCCGAAGCGGTCGAGGGGTTGATTTCTCCAGACTTTTTCTGTCTAGTTGAAGGCAGACAAAAGGCAAAAAAGTCAGATCTCATTAGAAGAATTATTCCTTGAACCACACTCTGGGGGTTAGGCTGTCAAGAGGCAAGATTGTGATCTAACTTTGTGTGGAGCCCGCAACGCGCAATTGGGGGCAAGTTGGGGGTTGCATCCAGACTTGAGACTGTCTGGCGACTCGCGAGACGTGGAGTAGGCAGTACTGTACAGAACACCTACCAAGCGCCAAGGTAGACAGACAGTCGAACACAGCCCAGTCCACATGGAACAATCCATGGAAAACGGCCACGGAAAAGTCGCCCCCTCGAATCCCTGGAATCCTTCCATGGCCGCAGCCGGTGGGTCAAAGGACACCAACCAAACTAACCAACCAACCAAACCACCCCGTGCATCATCCTCCGAACTCATCAGTGGCCAGTTTCTCAGGCCCCCGGACTACTAAGAATATCTCTAACCTCTCACAGTAAAGTCTCTCTTTTTAATCGTTCTGCCTAGTGAAACTTCTCGCGTGGCAACTTTATTCTTTCTCGGGTACCTTGCAAGTTGTACCTTTGGTTAACCCTATGCATACTATTCTAGGTAAATGGTACCAGTAGTGACATGGATTTTTTTTGGAAGGCCTCATACTGTAGAATATGTCTGCCCATTACTATGGAGACAGCCCACATAGGCATCCATTATCTCTTGATTTGTTAGTCGATGTATCCAAGACTATGCTACGTCATGGTCGGCCTTGGGGTCTGGGCAAGAATGGATCTGGCCGACGTCGGCAGATAGGTGCATACTGCGGAAGAGGCCCTACACTAAGTACTTTCAAAACAGAACAAGTGAGATCAGTGCTATCATGTTATTCTAAATTAATAGTTTTACTCTCCTAAATACAATTCAGTTATACTGTATGTCAAGATGTCAACACTGAGTTGATGGGTGGGTGGGTGGTTAACTCGAGACTACAGTAGATCAAAAAGACTGAAATGATACCGTACCGTAATTCTGCCACCGCCTTACCGCTGGGCCATTTTGTCAAATCGTTGTCGTTCAAGATGCAATATCTATCACCACATCAGATATATGGGATATTATAAATATATAAATAAATTTCAAGATGGAATTACTCATAGCCTTTATATATGTTACAAAAAAAGCAATATTTATACCGAAATGAGTAGAAAAATCATAATATTGTGTTTACTAACAAAACCTTACCACTGGGCCATAGGCGTATGGTAAGGTATCAAATACTACAGTGCCAGGCAAGAAAGTTTGAATACACCCCCGTTCACCGCCCAGACACCGCCTACTTATTTTAGCTAGACCTTAGGCTCTAAACCAATGATATAATTTAGAATAAAATAATACCGTAGAGGTGTACTCAAACTTCTTGCCTGGCACTGTAAGATCCAAATTTGTATGTCTATCATCAGATTAATTGGGAATACTGAGGAAGGGACACTAAATCAAGAAATATGATTAACTCCGTACATTGGATATAACCACAGGGCAAGCCCATTCTAACATAGACAGGACTCTTTTTTTTTCTTCAAATCTTGTTCCGCTGGCACGGAAACTCGGATTTCACTTTCATCATCCACAATATACCCCAGGGCAGAAATCATCGATTTTGTCCCAAGAGAGAATCATGTCATCACTATCGCACATCATCTTCCAAAGGTCCCATAACACGCGCGACCAACACTTCATCCATCCAGGGAAGTCGTAACTTCCGTCCAGATCCGGCCACGCTTCAACAACCTTCACATACCGTATAGTATCATCTCGATGGTACTCGGTTTCCTGCTCTAGGGACTCCGCAGATACACCTAGTAGCGTCTGGAGGCATTCCTCGTCAATGACGATACACATTCGATATTTATTGAATTTATCACGCTGGCCTTGTGCATCTACCCACCCCTCGAAATGTGCGCGAATCGAATCAATTGATGCCCCATCGAACTGCGTCATATCTTCGATAACAGTAAGGCTGTGTCGGGCCCGGATTCCTGAGTAAATCGCGGAATCTACCCCGGTGCTTTCGTTGGCACATTCTGCTGCTTCTGCAAAGAATGATTTTTTGATGCACGCCTCGAGATACTTGATCACGGTAGAGAAGTGTGCGGTAGATTCGGAGGAGTAGGTTGTACGGTAGATAACATATCCCCAGGTCGGATGGATCTTGAGCTTGTCAAACAGCTCCCATAGGGAATGAGAGGGGCGTGGCATATTGTGGGTGACAAATGAGAAGCTTCAAGTCGAACGAAGGAAAATGTATTTCAGCACTGCGGCTAGCGTCGGGAGATCTCATACAACACAGAGGTATAACAAAAGTAAATAAAGTAATCGGCCTGAGCGTTAGGGTGGGTGATCAGGTTGCTCAGTGAGCTGCTCAGGGCGGCGAGGTGATTAACTCATTCTGTGTTGCCCAACGAGAGGATGGTATTATGAAAATATTACCGTATCATAACTCTGCCACCGCCTTACCGCTGCGCCAATTTGATAAACTCGTGTCGTTCAAAATGAAATATTCAACACCACAGTCGACAAATAGATTATAATAACGCTAATTATTCATGGTAAGGTACTTCCATTTATAATATTTAGATCGAGACGTTACAAATGCAGAAAATATTCTTGTATTTGTGAGTAAATGAGGATATTGTGTTTACTAAGAAAAACTTACCGCTGCGCCATGGGTGTATGGGTATGGTATCGGATTCTGGTGATTTGACACTAACATCAGTTTAATAAAGAATATTGTAGGAAGGCATACTAAGTCAGGATCGATGATAAGAGTAAATATAATAGTAGAGGCTCATACGAACTTCATGATATAATACTCATTCTTACTCTCATTCTGTCAATTGTATTGCATCGCATCCATCCCGCCCAACCAATCTTAGAAAAAGAGGCATAATTTTGCCATAACACACGATCCAGGAACAAACGAATAAAAAATACAAATTGATGTGGCGGCTTATTCGGAGGGCATGTAAGTTATGAATATCCATGTTGAAATAAAAATAATGCCAAGAATCAAAGCTCGCAAAGTATTGGGGAAAAAGGCCTAGCATCTTATACCCATCTCTCCCTTTCAACCCATTTCACTCACTTTCCCTCCCATTCAGTACCGACGAGGTGGTGGCGCCTGTCCATATCCTCCCGAGGGGGGGTAGCCAGGTGCTCCACCGGGGGTGGTCCACCGTATCCATATTGCTGGGGTTGACCATAGCCGGGAGCATTTCCTCGGTTTGCACCCGGGTAGGGGGGCTGTTGCTGCTGTTGCTGCTGTGGGGGATAGCCGCCGGGCTGCTGGTTGTATGGGTTGGGGGCATAGCCCGATGGAGGTGCATTGTAACCCTGTTGAGGAGGTGGCTGGCCATAACCACCTCCACCGTATGAACCCTGAGGAGGTCCTGGGGGAGGGCCACCACCGGCGCGCCGAGCTGCCTTCTCGTCCTTGGTGTCATAGGAACTGTCGATGGCACCCAGCATGAGCTTAGCGCACTGCACAGATCGGATTAGTACTGGAGTGGTAGATTATAGTCAGATGCAATCTTGGAGGAAACGTACCCAGAGCTCACGAGTCAAGTGCACAGGCGGGTTAGCGCGCGACATTTCATCCTGCTCAACCTCAAAGTCTAGAAAATCACATGGGTCAGTCTGGAAAGTCCGGTTTCAACAGTTCGTCAGCACCACCACTCTGTGCAACTTACTCGATGTGCAGTCAATCAGCTGTCCAATCTCCGGATCCTCGTCAAGGTCGGACAAGAAGTCCCGCGCACGCGTGTCATTACCGACCTGCGAGAACTGGAAGGAGACGGCACCAGTGCCATACTGCGCCCGCTGAACCTCGTGAATAGCGTAGCTGATGGTATCGCGGACTGTGCTGTGTGCCTCACCCGCAGGCTGACCGTCCGTGATGGTAATGACAAGGACGGGCTTTTGCAGACGCCCCGAGCGGATAGGGCCCACGACCAGAGGGTCAATAACCTTCTGTCGTAGACTCGTTCCGAGGGGAGTCAGACCGGAGAAGCGGACTCGCGACACGAGGTTCTCGACATCGTTGGAACTGCGGATGCCGTGGCCTTCCTCCATGGAGTTCATGAAGCGCACTTCAATACCATCCTGGTCGAAAGTCGATGCCACGGTCGCCACGATGCCCAGAATCTGTCGCAGTTGCTCCTTTCGCAGACCCTTTTCTTCGAATTCGATGGATCCACTGTCATCCACGTAGAGAATGACATCAAACAGGGCGAGCTTCATGAGATCGGTGGCAACTTCCATCGGCACATTCAGCTCCTGCACGATGCGCTGCAACCGGCCGGGAGCCTCGTTGGCGAGGTACTGAATGAGACCATCCAGGGCCTTGGATCCGGGAGGGTAGAATCTCTGCAGCTGCTTCTCTTGGATGGTGGATTCTAACAGGCGACGATAGGCATCGACCTGCTGGGTAGTCGCGGGTCCACCCTGGGGTCCCGGGGCACCACCGGGAGGTCCATACTGACCAGCAGGCGCGCCATATTGTTGTCCACCAGGAGGGCCGGGTGAAGGGCCAGGACGTCCCTGGCCGCCGTAAGGTGCACCCTGAGGGGGACCACCGGGGCCACCCTGAGGTGGGTAAGGTGCCTGGTTCTGAATCTGAATATTAGCTTCTATTGAATTTGAAATAATAGCGGCCAACTGTATCAATCGTAAAATGAAAACGGCGCAAAAAGCATAAAAGCGGGGCACGTGTGTGAGGGGTCATCTGTACATAGGAGGGAGGTTGTTGCTGCTGCTGTTGCTGCTGTCCAGGATAAGGCGACTGAGATCCGGGATAAGGTGGCTGTTGTTGTTGTCCTGGGTAGGGCGACTGTTGTCCCGGATAAGGAGATTGTTGACCAGGGTAAGGCGGTTGCTGTCCAGGGTACGCCGATCCCGAAGATCCATAGGGCTGACCTTGGGGTGGTGGCGGTGGAGGTCGCGAATAGCCTTGTTGTTGCTGTTTTTGTGCGGGGTAAGGCGAAGGTTGTTGCGGCGGGGCCTTCGAGTACGGTGCGGGTGAGGGCGCGTTGTAAGGCTGGTAGTTTTGAGCAGGTGAGCCGCCGTACGGAGGTTGGCCGTAATGACCCGACATGGTGGATTTTCGGATAATTTTGATTTTCCTTGGGTGGATGGTTGATGGGACCAGAGAGCGTAGAGTGAGAGTGAGAGAGAAAAGAGAGGGAGGTTTATCACGCGAGAGCAGTCGGTGTGTGGAGGGGTAATAATGTGGAGTAGGAGAAAAAAAAGGTTGACAACAACACGAAGAGAAGAGTAGAAGTAGAGAGAAAGACGAACAAAAATTGGATCAAGGGAGGTAGCTTACCGATCCTTGAGCAGGTGGCGGCGATCCTGGGTAAGCCTGGTACTGCGATGGTTGCTGCTGCTGTTGTTGCCCCTGCGGCTGTTGCTACAACTGTCAACATCTTGCTTTTCTACAAATGACGTCGAGATGGGTTGACACTGAGGGAACAGGTGATCGGACTCTTGACTTACGTATCCACCAGGCCGCAGTGCTGCAGGGGGAGGAGGTCCTCCAGTGTATCCGGATGGCGGAGCACCGCCATAAGTGCCCGAGTTGTTGCCTGTATTCGACGACATAGTCTGGCTTTGGTTTTGTTGAGCAGCGGCGAGCTTTGCGGCGAACTGTGAAGGTGGTGGTTCGTGGTCAGTTGGTGGTGTTCTCTCAAGTGGGGTGAGAGAGGGGAAAGGAAGATCAGTTAGAACTTACACCCATGTCGAATGAGTGAAAAAGAAAGAGAGGAATAGGGGGAAGATACAGAGAAAAGAGAAGCTGTCAGCCAGACCCAAAAATCAAAAGATGACGCCAGCTGATGGAGTAGCACCACACCTGATGGGGTATGGCTGAGGTTTAGAGGGGTAGAGGCTAGGCAACTCTGCTCGGCTGGGTGCTGAACAGTGGGGTACATCCAGACGGGGATCAGATACGAACAAGCTCGTATTAGGATGGTGGATGATGCCACTACATACTGTATGGACCAAAGGAGCGATATGTATAGGTCAGGCTACATTATCTTTTGGTTGTTCAAATAAGCTATCTACACGCTAGCTCATATTGACGCTATTGCATAGTCCTACTGTAGGTATGGCATTTGGTAGGTCTGGACACGTTCGTAGTAAATAACTAAACCGAGTAGCTACACTGGAAAGAGAAAGACACGATAACATTGTTACACAACAAGATCATAGCTCTTTGCCTTTGCCTACTTGTCCCTAATCAATCATCCTACTTCTTTTACCAACTCCTTCAATAATCCTCTTTCGTGTGCATATAGACATTGACTATATACTGTACTAGCTTCAAGTACCTAAGGAGCTTCTAGGCCCACTCGCTCCACCTAGGCTCGGGCTTCCAAATGGAAGCTACCGATGCTAAGCTATCTACATATGGTATGGATTGCACTACCTGCATATAGTGCTGAGACATCTAACCTAATTCTTCATTTCTTTAGCTATTTCCTATCTTCTCTGGGCCTCATACATTATCCAATCTACAGTATACGCAGAATTTCCCCATAGATCTAGCTACTAGCTATTTTCACACTTCTATTTTAGTACCTTACTTACATTTCCCCCATCCTGCATTTCCTGTATCTCCTCCATGCACGACAGACCGACATTCCAACGTGTCATCCTCCCTTCCTTACTTCTCCCCATTGCCTCACCCGCATCCATCATCAGCCCAACACTCGGGGTACAGATCGGCACTCCGTGCAGCGGAAGGATCTGGCTCGGCAGGGTATTCCCAGATCGGGCGCCACCCATCTATTCAGGGAGACAGGATTCGGTCCAACCAAAGAGCCGCTCTTTTACACACGTCTACTTTAGTCTTCAGGCCCTCCCTGGCTGGGCGGCAATGCGAGCCTGCTGATGTCACACACAACTGGCATGCGACGGAATGAAATTTGATGGATTGCAAATGATAAATCTGAGGTTTTCTCTTTGTTAAGCATTTGTCTCGGGGTCATCGCTATTTTCCCAAGGACTCTGGGAAATCTTGCTTGTTTGTTGTTCCTTTTCGTTGTTCTCCTCCATATCAAACAAACAAAGACATCTCACACTCTTGGAACTCTATCTACACCTCTCCTCAGCTCTCTCCAGCTCTCCCCCTTGATCGCCACCATCAACTCTCGATCCATGAACTACCCTCCTCTCGTCCATACTCATTCAAGACAATCTACTGCAATCTAAAACCTCATCTCATATCATTCCAACATCATGTCCTCCACTCCAGTCCTAAACGTCGGCATCCTAGGCGCCACCGCCGCCACAGAATCCATCTACATTCCACTCCTCTCCTCCCTCCCGACACACTACACCCTCACCATCATTCACACAACACATACCGATACCCAAAACAACCTCAACAGCTCTATCACCACAACCACAAATCCCGACGAAGTCATCAACCACCCCGACAGCACCCTAATAATCAACCTCCTCCCCTTCGACCACCATGAAACATACACCCTCGCCGCCCTGGAATCAGGAAAACACGTCATGGTCGAAGCCCCCCTCAGCCTGAGCATCCACGGTCTACGCCGAATCCGAGATGCGCGAAAGAAAGGCTCAACAAAGAACTCGAACTTGAACTCGAACTCGAGTTCTCAAGACGAGAACAGCAAGAGCGCAGGGCCAAAGGTCTTCGTCGGATGTGTCCGTCGCTACGCGCCTTGTTTCAAGGATATCTTTAAAGCAGAACTATCCACCCTGGGAAGAGTGTACTACGCGCGTTGCAGAAATATCACCGGTCCTTCGGTGCCTGCTCTCACTAACACACCTGGAAACGGATACATCAATGGCACCAATGGGGTAAACAATTCACTTCTCCCCTCGTCGTCCACTGCACGCCCCCAGCGTATCCACGCTCTTCTCGCTGACATCTTCGGTTCAAACGAAGACCTCACCCGCGACCGCGAGGCCTTCTGTCGTTTCCTCGGAACCCTGGGCGGCCACGATCTCTCCCTGATCCGCGAGAGTCTGGGTTTTCCAGACGCAGTATCGAATATCTCCATTATCGAGCCGTTTTACTCGGCAATGTTCCATTACACGGATAATACCCGTGGAACGGGTTATCCGTTTACCTTGGTATATGAGGCTGGTGTTGATGGGGTTCCGAGATCAGATGCCCATTTAACTGTTTATGGGGCGAAGAAGACGCTGAGTATTGAGTATGATTTTTCTTCCGGTGCGATGGAGGGAAATGTTGCTGCGAGGGTTGTTGTTGAGGAAGCTATTAGTGGATCCGTCGATGATGTCGAGATGGCGGATTCAAGAGATGGGAAGGTGAATGGCAACGCCGGCCAGAATGGTCATGTCAATGGAAATAGCGTTGCGAATGGACATTCCCCCACCACGCGTCCCAGAATGAAGAGAACCGAGTTCGTGAGTACCGCCAGGGAAGCTTATGAGCAGGAATTCCTTGCCATGCATGCGTATCTGGTGGGTGATTCTGGAGACGCGGGTGTTGAGGCTAAGACTACTGCTGAAGATGCACTGGATGATCTGAAGCTTATGCATATGATCTTTGATCATTATGATCGGCAGTGTGGGACGATTCGGACTCCGTTGGGCTGAGAGGTGATGCTTGATGGGGAGTTTGTTTGTCGTGGGATTTATGATTTGCAAGGTCATGTGCTGGTCGATGTTGAGGCATCTATAGTCTACTGTCTATCTTCGTTCAGCTGGGGTATTCTTTTCTCTGATATCATTATTGGGGTCATGTTGCAAGCGGGATTATGGAATGCAATTTTGATGACTGGTCTTGTCTTGTGTCAGCGTCTTTGGGCTTCTTGTTTTGTTTCTGTGGCGATCAGAAGATAGGCTACAATATTACCATACTTGATAATGAGATATGTTTGATTCCGGTGCGGACACGGGTCTGATTTCTTGACGTTCATCTATGCATTCAAATAATACATCACACTCCATTTCGTAAGCCAACAGCATCCATCCCACTACCGCTTCCCTTTCTTCTTCTTATTCTTCGCACTACCACCTCCGCCTCCACCACCAGCCTTCTGCTGCACAGTAGCAGGAGACTCCTCAGCCTTCTCGTTAACAGGCCCACCCTGAGTACGGTCCGCAGCACGCTGCTTGTTCTTCTTACCCTTGGGCCGGTAAGAAGAGCGGTCACGCAGTGGCAGCCAGCGCTCGGGATCAGCCTTCTTCTCCGGGTCATAATCCTTGGGCAGTCTGGACTTGCGTACACGCTTCACAGCACGGCCTTCTTTGTCTGCGGCAGTACGCTTGCGAGCACCGGCGAACGCGGCCGCAGCGGCGGCGGATGTCGCGGAGGGCATGATGCCGGCAGCCTCAAGGGCAGACACGTCAATGTCCCCCACAAGCTCGCTCACTTCGGGGAGTTGCTCGAGTTGAGACTCCACCTGCGAGTAGTCGAGTGTTGCTTGGGATGCGACGTAGCCGGCAAGGGCAACGCGGTCGCTGGAATCTTGCTGGTAGAGGGCCTTGAAGAGGTCGCCTGCGGTGGCTAGATCGGCACGATCATCGGAGTGGAGGAGGGAGGTAGCAGCGGCACGAAGGAGAGATGCGGGGGAATCGGGCTTCTTGCGCCAGTATGCGGCAGCCTGTGCAAGGGTAGAGCGGATCTGCAGTTTCCGTCCCTCGAGCTGGTACAGTGAGACGAGAGCGCTCAATAAGCCAGGGTTGAAACGAGCGTCCTGGTCTTCTTCGGAGATTGACTCCTCCAGAGCCTGTAGGGATCGCTCCATGGCGGTGATCGCAGAAGTGGTGTTGCCCTCGCTAACATAGAGCTGGACCACTGTCAGGAGAAGACCCAGATCCTTGGGCCGGCGTTCAAGGAGAGGGAGGATCTTCTTCAAAGCCTTCTGTCCAGTCTGGCCCTCCGCTTGCGCTGCGGCATTGTATACGGAAAGTAGATTGATGCTGGCTGTGGCGGAGGGGTAAGAGCTCTTTGAGAGCGCCTTGTTCGTTGATCGGATGATACCATCGTATTTCTGAACTAGGAGGTCGGCAGCGTGCGAGTTGCCGACCAGAATGTTGTCCTGGAAGTCGAAGAGACGGTCATTGTTGACCGAATCGGGTGTCTCGTGGAGAGTCTTGTAGAGGATGAAAGGGTTGATGTTGGTCTGGCGAGCCAGGACGATGTTGTTGCGGGCGATCTTCTTCGTGGACAGTTCGGGGATACTAAAGGAAATGATACCAACGGTGAGCCTTCTGGCCATAATGTAACAACCGGGTTTCAAACATTGGGTAAACACTTACTCTTCCACCGAGATCTCTTGAAGCAGAGCCTCTGCTTGCTCCGTCTTGCCCAGTCGAAGCAAGACGTAGAGGTACTGCACAGCAATTGGAAGCAGTTCTGCAGCGCGGTCTTCGGGAGTCAAGTCCTCTGATGTTTGGCAGATATCTAAAGCAAGATCGTCAGCAGGGTATGATAATTGCGGCAAGCAATTGATGATGCTCACTCTTTGCGCGGTTCAGAAGGACCTCGCCTTGAGCGAACGCTCCCCTAGCAATGGTCAAACAAGCCGCATTGTATGCCGTCTCAAAAGACTCGAGATCTTCTCTCGATGGCCGATCGTGGCGAACGTATTCTGCTTCTCCCTTCCACTGTAGCTGGGCATCCGTAGCCCAGGAGTTGATTCCGAGGTCGTTCGCCTCGGGTGCGGCCCCATCTTGGGACAACCGTTCATATAAATCTGCGGCGCGACGGAATTTTTCAGCTCGGTAGCTCTAATAAGCAGACGAATGTATTAGCGCAAGCACAGTAGTCTGATCCGTGAAGTGGTTCGATCATACAACTTGGGCCTCCAAATGGCTAGCGCCCCTCCCCGCGGCGGACTTGGTGACAGCATCAAGTGCCTCATCGAGCTTTCCGCACTTGTACAGCGCATAGCCATACTCAAATCCAGCAATTTGCTTCAGCGCATCACCTCCGGCCTCGAACACTCGCAAAGCATCCTCGTAACGGTCGAGTTTGAGCAAGGCGATCGCCTTGATGTGTTGAGCATTCTGGTCGTTCTTGGACTTCTTGAGGGCCTCGTTGCAGGACTTGAGGACCTCCTCATGATCGTCAATCGTAGCTCGTTGCAGGAGCGAGCTCAGCGATTGCGCAACCATATTTGTGGTTGCGAGGAAATCTGAATTGGACCGGGGGGTTTTGGTCGGGGCTTTGACACTCAGTTACGGCTATGAATTCGTGGAGGGCCAACCCCGGTCAGATGGTGTACCGCCTTGTGGCCTGAGGCGGAACTTTTGACTTACGTAACATTTGAAGCTGTCGGACTCGTCAATGCAGTGCTAATCAACACTTAAATTCACATTATGTATTCTCCTTCATTAAACCAAAAAAGAACAGGGAACAATGTGCAGGCTACGTGGAAGAGAAACGTGGTTTCAAAAAAACATTTTCTTTAAAGAAAGATGAAATAAATGCTACCTGTTGAACTGTCAATATCCAGGTCGAGAACTATTGAGAATCCAACGTCCGGGAAGTCAGATCTATTATATCGCTGGATCGGGAGCAGATGCTAAATAGACTCTTGAGATATGAATTTTCAATTAATGCTTTCTTTGTTCAAATCTATATGACGTTCTGACTTGTCCGAGGCCCCCTGCCAAGTCTGTTAAGCACCTTTAGTACGAATCCTTGTGTCGACAGGGTAATCAAGACTTGATCCACTACCATCCTCCTGTATTAGAAACATTAATAAGAATTTTGACTTTCTGATATTTTTGAGCACTGATGCTTATTTACTTCTGGTGATTTCCCCAATGAGTGACGCTCAAAGTCCTCGAAATCAAGCCTAAATCGAAACGGAACATGCACATATCTTAAATACCGTTTTCATCGATATCAAAGAGGCGGTATCAAAAATGCACTTGTACGTAGCCCACCAATCAATAACTTAGATCACGATTCATCTGCCCCGCAATACTGGCATTCGCACTGCATGATCTCGAAAAGCTCATCGCATAACGCTCCCAGACGGGGTCCGAAATACCTCCGGCGACGGTTCATCTGTTGTGCCGCATCACGCATCTGCCGAACATGATCGTCGATCTCCTTTTGGTATTGAAGTTGACCTATACAGACTGACAGAATGTTCAGAATCTCGGCAAGCTCGGCATAATGGTAGTATGCAGGTCGATCATGTAGATCCCAGATCAAGGCCTCCATAACCGCCTGGATACCCAAGCCCTCTGTCCACCAGCAATTATCCCAGCCATTGTGATCTGCATCATCGGCTTCGCTCCAATCTTCCCGAATAGCGTCATGTAGCAAGGTGAATTCATCCCAGTCGCACAACATGATATCTTCGAGACTGTTTGAAAGTTCGCGGCGGATGCCAGGGGTTCTGAGAAGTTGACTTTTCCAGCCAAGTAGCTTGTCGCAGTTCTCTCGCCGCGATTCCACAAACAAGTGAATATTCTCTTCTCGCCGAGACGAGAAGGTAGCGGGAGTAGACATTAGGATGAGGGTGGGGAGCTCTGCTGCTGATCTCTGCTTGAAAGATAATAGATGGGTGTTGGAACTTCGAGGTCAAAGTGATACCTGGTGTGCTCAGGGTTGACGTGAGAGTTCAAAGGTAACGTCGTGACTTTTCCGGAGCAAGCGAGAGAGGAAGAGAGAAAGAAGAAGAAAATATGGCGAGGAACGATGTAAATAGTTGATTGATGCCTCGAGGGCCAGGAATCGATACCGGGCATCGAGCACCACAAGCATCCACAAGCATCCACAAAGATCTATGTGAATCGCCCAAATGCCTTGTTTTGAACATCGCGGGGGTTCAGGTCCTGTTTAAGCTTGCGAGTGTAGGGGGTTATAGAGATTGAGTAAGATGGTCAGCTTTTAGGGGAGACCGATTATCAGTTCAACTTTGACGTATTCCGGTAACTTAGTTATATACTGGCAGCGAATCTACGCTGCGGAAGCCTGGAAAGAGAAGGAGTTTTCTCATCTTGGAATCTAGAGATCTTCCAGGAAGCAGAACGAAAGGGAACAAGAAAGGGCCTCATAAAGGGCCAATCTGGCAAAGCGAAGGGCACAATCCGGCCAACAATCTGCAAAAGGGAAACAAAAGGAACAATCCTGCCAGCAACCTGCAGGAATCGGAAACCTGCAGGCAATCTGCATGCTGGCCTGAACAAACCTCTTCGAGGGCCACCGAGGGCGTTGGAGGAATCTCCATTATGTACATTCGTCAATTCTGGACTGTCTGTGAACCGCAGCAGCACTACCCAGCCCATCAACATGTTAAATCCAGCCAAGTCAAATCCTAGCATCGATCTAATATCCTCTTAGTCGAATTCCGTAGCATGGGGAGATTGGAGCTTATTTCGACCTAAGCTATTGCGTCAGGACAACATCCAACATACCAGATCGTATATCAAACTCATAGCTGGTGGCATTTACAGCAGACCGATCGTAATATCACCATAGATCTGAGCATCCAGATCCAAGCGAACCTTGGCATGGAGGTTCAAACTAATCTTGATTTTCAACGAGCTGTCGTCGCCCTCCTTGGGTGAGATGCCGGGCAGTTTCATGTCACCCGCGCTGGCGAGTGCCTGGTCCGCCACACCAGTCACGTCCTCCTCGGCAGTCTTGTTCTTGCGGCCGCCCTCGGGGCGAGTAGTGGTCTGACTATGAGGCAGAGAAGAGGGTTTATTAGCATTTTGTTTGGTGGTGATGCTTGTGTTGGCTTTTCGTCTTCTGTGGATGGTGGAGCGGGCGAGGGCGAAGGGGATGCTTGTAGTGGTAGGAATGCAGGGTCTGGTTCCAATCTTGATGCCATATTTTCCTCGCCTCCTGCCCTTTCGCGATTGCGATTGGGATTGGGAGGGGGGGGCGCGGTTTGGTCTTTGTCTTGGACTTGTGCTTGGATTTGGACATATATCCCAGAGGAAGGAGAAGGAATAGTGGGGCAGAGAGGGACCGGGCTATAGGAGATGATATAGATAGTGGCGCAGAATCGAAAGGGAAATTTTGAGATAGTACCTGTCGGCCATATTGTAAAAAAGCTCTTTATGATGAGAGGAAATGCGTCTTATTAGGGAGGGGCTTCGGAGAGCGGCAAGTGCAACAGGGAAGAGGAAAAGAAGCTCTTCCTAGATCATCAGTTATGGGAGAATACCAACAACAAATAGTCTCTACGGGCCAGGGCAGCTTTCTTGCTCCGTAGTCATTTCTTCGTAATTTTCTTAGCCCGCGGTGGACGGGGTAAAGGCCGAGTGTGCATGTTGACAGTGATCTGCGCAGCCATCCGGGATCCAACTTCAGCTCGAGCGGAGTCTGTGCTTTGCTAGATCAGGGCTGTATCTGGATGAGTTGAGTTAGCTGCAGACTTGATGATGCAATGGATGGGGAAAGTGGACTGTCCGGCAGTGTCCTGGTCTGAAATACGGAATATACCCACTTGCATCGTATCACCTCACGATGACATTCGCACTTCTCCACAGAGAGCGCTGACAAGAAACTTGTATTTAGTTATTACGGGCCGGCGCCATTGTGGGTTGTTTTCGAGAATACCATCACACGGCACAACCTGCAATCTGCTCTGCCTGCCAATCCTGGGCAATACCCTCGCCTCGAACCTCGTCCCCAGCTCTATATACCCTTCTACGATGGTGCTTGGTATCGCCATGATGGCGGCCATGCTGCCGACCATGATCGGCCTCAATGAAGCGACCCAAGGTGCCCGGGATCAGGACGAGAATCGACGCAATACGAACCGCAAGCAACGTTGCCACCTTGTGGCTACCTGTTCCCTAGATCAAGGCACACCAGAGCTCCGGAGCCAAGTACACAATGCCCAAATTCAAGTGGGTCTGGACAGAAAAGTAAGTTCCGTCATGCAGGTCGGCTGCAGCAAGTGGTTCTTGTCACAGGTCGGACATATTATATTGACGCTTCGCTCCCCGCTGGGCTGTCACAGTTGTATATAACCAAACAACCCAGTAGCACCATGGTGCCTTTTAATGGCGGCTTCTTTACTCACCCAGACTTCAAGCCAGATAATACATCTGGCTTGGTGACGGTGACTGGTGAAGAAACACCCACACTGCGCTGGGTGTTTCTCGATGCGAAGACACACGAGATGCGCTGGGGTGGCCGCCCGGATACTGAGGGGCACATATGTGGGCCTTTTGATTGGACTAAAGATGAGCAGTATGTGACGCTCGAGGGCTGGGAGGGGTTTCTGGCAGTACAGCTAGAACAGGATGATACCCGGGAGCAAGTGAATTCGCAGCTGGGGATCGTCGATGGGCGCGAGGTTTGGCGATTGTACTTCGATCATAATGATGATGGGGCTGATCTTCCTCCGAAAGCGAAGGGCTTGGAGATTCGATTAAAGCGGGCTATGGCGGGGTCTTGATAAAGTACGGTGTCTTTGCCGAGAGTGTCTGTAAATATTTCTTTGTCTTCCTTTGAATGTCTGCTATGGAGAACCCGAATGGGGCTCTCTGCCTTCGCTGACTCTTGTTCTTTCAACATCGTACACACTTCGGCATGTTCTTATCTCACAGTTCAGACCTTAAATGTGGTCAATGACTCCAGTCATAGCGGCCAGCTGATCGACGACACAAATTTGCGATGCGACACCAGCACGCTCGCAAAACAACTTTGGACCGAGCCGGGGCAATAGTGGAGGCCGATCGCACGAAGGCTGGCTGGGACGAACAGTGGATCGAAGGACTCAATGGCCCATCAGGGTCAAGGCCAATAAAAAGGCGATTCAGCTGAGATCGCTGCCGAAATCTAGGCAGTTCCCGTTCCTGGTGCCGTGCTCCACTTGTGGTTTCCCTGCTGGCTGTCACGACGCGGAGCAGCCGGGCCATGAACGAGGCTAGGTAGCCTGCTTCACTGATGCTTCCCCGCTCTTCACTGGCACGGATGTTCACGTAAAGTGGCCTAGCCCCTCTTCTGGCACCCGGTGCGATGGTTCAATGGACCGGGTGTGGAGTTAGAAGGGAGATGAGATGCAGCAGGAGGGAGAGGAGGCGGGAGGAGAGGAGTTCGCTGAAGAACATAACCGCCAGCTCTTCCACAATTTTGATCTAGATCTATTATTAAAACATCAATTCCTCACTATCAAGTTCCCCCAGCTCATGATTTATTAAATATCAATCTCATCCTTCGCCAATTTTCAACTACAGTAGATTCAAATTGGTCGAGATGGGACCTTTGGGACGTCTGTGTGGCTGGCGGAAGCAACTCCCCACTCAACAGATCTCCACGCCTGTCGAACTACTCATTGGCTCCATGCAATCCTTTTCAGATGCAAGATGATGCACAATCACACAAGCCTTGGCTTCCACGAGTCCGTTCCAGCCGAACACAGGACTGGATTTGAGGATTGTCGCCTCTAGTCTAAGCATTCCTCGCTAAGACAAGGAATCAATCGGCGAAATCTGATCAATTGTTGAGACCGCGATCCTTTTAGTTGGCTCACGTTTTTCTGAATGGGTTGATTTATTAAATTAAAACTAATTTGTACACTGTCTGTGTCAATACAACATGATGATCGTCCATTTCTTATACATATTTCGAGCTTCCATCTCTATTCACATTATCGCTCCTTTCGCATAGAACCATGCTTTCGCACCATCAATCCCAAGTAGGGTGACCATGAGCATCCGACCAAAAAGATCCACATCGTCTGGCTGGGCATTCTCCAGGATGGCAGTGAAATCGAGGTCTCGAACAACAAAATGATCTTTCTCAGCCCATGCCACTGCAAAGTCAAACGCACTTTGTGAATTCCAAAGTTGTGCAGAAAGATACCATGAATGTGACAACCCAAGCTTCCCATCGCAGTGTACCGGTATATCGCCTCGTAAAACTTTGTATATTTGGATGAAATAGAAAGTAAGAAGCATGGTTCGTCGAGCGGATTCCTGCAGGGCCCACCACTCCCAAAACTCGATTATCGGGTCCATGGATAGAGGGAGTAGCTCGGTTGATTCTGACGGGTCGGGAAAATACAGACTGTCACAAAGGGCGACCACTGTAGATTCTAATGTTCCGAAGAGAGAATTGGCAGTTGCATAGGAACGAACATCACCGGCAAATAAACGCATTATCTGATAGAGAAGCAAAGCGTGTGCACGGGCGAGAAGCTCAATTAGTGTTGTCGGCTGTGGAGTAGATAGGAGGTCTTCGGTTCGAGCATCCAATAAAGACATTATCACTGGTGTGTTGGTTTCATTCCTGGACATGTACATAGAACAACATGAAAAGGCGTCTAGGAAGAGGTGAATCAGTATTTTGACAACACTCATCAGTCAATTGTAGGAGTAAAGAGTACCTTGCATCGCCCTCGGCATATATTTCTTATAAAGTTGTGGATGACACCATGGGAGTTGGGTCTCGAGGACCATCATACTCGGTGCGTTCTTGAGAACGTCGACTGCAAATTGCAGCTTTGAGGCGACGATCTCCGAAAGAGGCGTCAATGGCTTTGTCCGCGGCATAGCCAGTTCAAATTTTGGTAAGAGGAGCAAATCCCAAGAAGGGTCGACAGGTATGTCGGCCTGTAAGTCATTTATGGAGTTCCATTCGGAGCCCATCGGCTGCAGAATGTCGATGATATCTGGTTGACCAAACAAGGGATTCTCCATGTGGACAGGTAGAGTTGGAGCACCTGCTTGCGAACAGCCATTGTGAGACTCCATAGCTCCTGTCGAAGGCGGATTAGCTGACGGCTGTCTCTCTGGGTATACGCAGAGAACCTTCCGTTGGAGACATCGAGAGCAGGACGGCACGGCTAGATCACAGCGACGCTTGGCAGCCACACAGGCTCCGCAGGACTTGCGGCGTGGTGGAGCTGATGAAACACGAACCATGATGACTGCGCTTCGAAATGGAGGATGGAAAACTTGCAGAGACGCAAAAGAAGAACATCGTAAGGCTCGGTAGAGTGGCAGAGTGGGGCCTCTTAAGCCTCGCGCGGAATTCCGCAACTGGGGCTCTTGCGCACCAATCAGAATGTATCAAGTTGAGCGGAAGCCCGCAATTATTTGGGGGCCAGGCGGAGGTCGAACGGGAAGTATGTGATTGAATTGATATGCTGGAATAATATGCTGGACGAAAGATATAAAAGGGTTACAGAAGACATGCAATTCACTCATGAGCCAAAAGCAACTATCACCATACTCCAATATTCTTCTTCAATTCAACTATCATGTCTTCTCCCGTCGTTTTCGTTTGCGGTGCCACCGGGAATCAGGGAGGCGCCCTCATCCACAACCTGGCTCAGCATGGTATCAAAATCCATGCAATCACTCGAAACATCAAGTCCTCCGCTGCCCAAATTCTGCAGTCTCAAGGTGTCACTATCTCAGAAGGCGACTTTGACAATCAAGAAAGCCTAAAGAAAAGCATGTCTGGCTGCACCACTCTTTTCCTGAATCTATCCCCCAACCACACAAAGTCCACCGCCGAAATCGAGCAAGCCAAACAAATCCTTGCCATCGCCAAAGAGGTCGGAGTTCAGCACATCATCTATACGACAGCCCTCGGCACCAACAACCCTGAAGCTCTCAAGCACTGGGATCCGAACAGTCTAGTCGGGACGGCTCTCTCAGGAAAGAAAATCATCGAAGGGGAGGTTCGAAATGCAGGTTTTAAGTACTGGACTATTTTGCGACCGGGGAACTTCATGACCAATTACCTCTTCCCATTAGTCCGGATGTACGGCGGGCTTGTTGAGACCGGAACATTTACCACGGCGTATTCGAAGGATACGGTGCTCCCTATGGTCGACCCTAACGATATCGGCAAGTTCGCTGCTGCTGCGGTCCTTCATCCCGTCAAGTTCAATGGGAAGGAAATTGAGATTGCATCCCAAATGATGGGGATTGAGGCGGTGTTGAACGATATCTCTCAAGCAACTGGAAGGGAGTTACAAGTCGTATATCTTTCAGAGGAGGAGATCGAGGAACAAAGTCGGCAAAATCCTCTCATTTATGTTCAGCTCGTTATGCGCGATCTTTCGCAGTTTGTGGATATGGCAAAGTTGAAGGAGTGGAAGATTGAGTTGGGTACCTTCCCTCAATTCTTGGAGCGAGAGAAGGAACGTGTTGAGAAGACCTACTTGTGAGAAGACTGATTTTCTGTTCACATACTTTGCACCATGTGCTTGACCAGTTTGTTGAAATCTGGGCTTCTTTGCTACGAAGCTTTGCTATGAAGCCATTTTTGATACATAACAAACCCTTGGTTGTACATATTCTGTATTTAGTTTCTCCATTTAAAACCTCTTTGGTATCGAAAAAGATTGTACCATTCCTTTGAAGGGCATATTATTATTCCAGGGCTATTATAGTCAGCCAAATCGAGTTGCCAAAAGATTTCATGCCTAACTGAGTCCCTGGCCCCTCGCATTTTAAGTTGGGTACTTCTCCCCCTCTTCCAGGGAGCCCAATCGAAATAGACCAAAGGGATGTCAATTTCCCCTGGAGCTCTAGGAACTTTGAATAGTAGGAGTCAATATGGCTGTCTCAATTCCACTGGCAGCCAACAGTTAGTTAGGAAAGAGCCATTGCCTAAGGTCCCCCGAGGATTGTCTGGCGACGCGGCACATTCGGCTGACAAGAGAGACAAATGCGCCATTTCAGTACTCCATCACGGGATATCTTCGACGAATCTATTTTGGAAATACCTTCCGCTGCAGTCAGGAGCACCATCGCATGTGGATGCAGAGCTTTCACCGAATGTAGAGGACGCCTGAAATGTCTGGGAAGTCCTCTTCAACTACCAATTGTGGATTAAGAACGCATGGCAGTCAGCGAGTACTCTGTTACCGAACTTTTCTAGGCCCAGTGAGCTCCACTGATCACTTGAGACCTTCAATAACGCGTGTAAATGTAAGCCTCAGCCATATCACGTTGCGGTAGACGCCTCTTGATCGGACTCGGTCGGGTAAGCATGGGGTGACACTCAAGCTTCTAATTGTGGCTGGAGGTTACTTTGCTATTGCCGGCGGCACCTAATATCCGCGCCAAGATGTCGATCCCTCACATTGAAGGGATCAAGCTAGGTCCAAAAAAGAACGCTCCAACCTCGCATGGGGATCAATAAATTTGGATCCAGGGGATTTTCCAGACAATGGATAAAGTATATAATTGGACGACGTGGCCGGTTGAGCTCCACCTCCGCTGAAGATCGTTGCCCTTGAAGGGTGAACCAGCTCACATCCCGGTCAGCCCTGGTTGAGACTTGGCCAATGAGCCACGATTAATATGAAACCTCCAGCACCTGCTCAAAAAGCAGGTTATAAGATACAAGATACTAAGAGGTGCTTGGAGGAGTTCTTGAGATAAATAGCTCACGATCGCCTTGTCGATATTCAATCTAAACGTGCAACATACATTCGTGTACATTTCCAGACTACAATAATTATCTTGTTCATATCTCGTTCTATATCATCTCGCCCGTTGAACAAAATGAACTTCTTCGTCTCTCTCGCCCTTTTCGCCGGCGCTGCTCTGGCTCAGAACGCAGGAATTGGTCTTCCTACCGCTGGCCAAAAGCTCACCAAGGGTAGCGACATCGTTGTCCAAGTGCAACGCCCGAACTCCCTCACTGGCTCAACAGAAATGGCGGTTGCCATCGGTATCTCTTCATGCGCAACTCGGCCTTGCGTGCCTTCCGATGAATTCATGGGCACTATCCTATACAATGGAGGATTCAAGCCCGAATATCATGAAACCTCTTTACCTCCTTACCAGAACTTTACTGTCACCGTTCCCTCCAGCTTTACCGCTGGTAATGCTCAGATTAATGTTGCCCATGCTACACTGATTGGGGTAAGTCACATATTTTAAGCTCTCGGCTCATTACAATGCGCTAATCTCTTCAATTTCTAGGCTTCACAATATCCTTTCTTGGAGACTCTGAACCGGACTGTGGTTGTTGTCTAACAATTGACCACAATTCCTTACTCATGAAATATCTTATTGTATAGATTGGAGATGTCACCCATGGTGCATTTTTAATCTGCAGTCATGTTGCATTCTTGTCACTTACTCGATGACCGACTTATTTGCCTTTACCTTCATTTTTTTGCATTCTGGACAGTTTATGTGGTGATTTATACTATGGCTACTCTTGTTCATCTTCGATTGAGTATAGGATTATCGAAATATACAATTTCATTGGTCTTACTATAGTTGTCGTTGAGAGAAAATTGTTGTTAAATGTTCGCCCAGGTCCTTTTATCACACGCTAGGATGTGATAGACACGCATGGTGTGTGGCACTGTCGAATGGCTTTTGATCTATTAAGTTACGTATTTACCGCCCGCGCTACGACGGTGAGAACGGTCGCCTACGCTTTCAGTAGTCAGATTGCCAGGTTAATACTACTGTTGCGGCTCCTAACTATGTATTAGAGTCATCGCATTGACGGTCCAGTTCAACTAGAGTCCTACTTGCTTCACATAGACTTGGAATACGGATTTACTCCTCGTTTACTTTCCACATTAACTTGCCCCTCTCATCGACCTTTTCTCCAAGGATGAACCCATATGAAGCGGAGCCGGACAAAATCCCTACAATTGGCTTATACTCAGACGAACCATTCTATGGTCGATATTACCCTAAGCCCGATGACTTCTGCGTTGATCTCCAGCATGTCAACTCCCACACAACAGAATCCCTGAAATACTGGGCCTCAGTCATTAGTCTCTGCACCGAAGAGATCCGAATTTACCCCGCCGATGAAGGCGGAAGGGATGTTTTTGCTCTTGGTAGCGTGATCGTGAAGCCCAGTCATCTCCACGTATACGAGGGTGTTCAAGATACGGAAATTGATTTCTCATACGCCGATTCGAATGAGATCCGTGCGATTACTCTGGCAAAGACCGCTTTGAAGGATGTCAAAGTCCCAGAAATATATTTTGCTGGCAAGCTAATTAGTCTTGCTACTGATTTATCGGACTTACACAGCTCACTTCTCTCAGATCAAGGGTCGTCAAGTGCTAGTCCAAGAGAGACTTTCAGGTGTTGGGTTAGCGGTTGCATGGCCGTATCTGCCTAAAAGCCAAATGAAGTCCTTTAAACAGCAGGCAAGGCAAATTCTCCATCAGCTTCACACCATCAAGCCCACAGAGAAACTTCAAGCTCGCGCCCACATCATACCGGACTCCAACATACGTAGCGATGGTCGGATCAATCCTTTAGAAGGGCAAATCATTTTTTCAGACACAAATCATGATCCAGATATGAGCTTCATGCATAATGATTTTACCCAGTCAAAGTGTATTGTTGACAAGGACACAATTGTTGGACTCATTGACTGGGAAATGGCTGGAAGACTGCTGGAGAAGTTCACCGTCGTATCCGAACCCACCCCCCAACGAGAGCATTTTGTGAATGCCGATTTGAGCGAGGAACAGCTTCAGGATACGATGTTCTGGAATGACCTATACGATGAGGGCGTTCTAGGGAGGTGAGCGAGGGGGTTCTTCTTTGTTCCAAGGGACATTTTTTGTAATTTTCTATCCACTCCATTGAAATTCAGTTTCAATTCGGAACACTTTCTTGTTCAACTATCAGAGGCGTGAATGTTGTGAGCGTCTGTATACAGAAGGCTTTCGTAATTGGGGGAGATGTCACTCCGCGGTTCCTCCCAGAGGAATGAGAATGCCGCCTCTGATTGCTGATTTATTGCGGTAGAAAGGTTTAGACTCACCGATAATACCACTTAATTTTTTCCCCTGAATTAATAGGAAGTTGATTTCATCTGATCTCAAGTATACTATATCACGTGAGTCTATTCAATGCTTGTGTTCCTTGCTTGTTCTCTCACTTTTCCCTCTCTTCGCCCCCTCACTCACTAGATATATGACTCTGGACTGCTCAAAAAATTGCCCTTCTCCTGCTTCTTTTCTCATATCACGCTGCCTGCGCTGTCCTTTCAGAGAAATATATCACATTTATTAAATGTCTGATTCATGGATGAAACTCTCCCGGATTACAGGGCCATTACTGTCCCAGTCCCTAAAGTCAACGTGGCGGCTGAAGACCAATATAAGGCTTTACCAGTGGCAGAAATTAGCCATGTCGTTGTTCAGTGAGTGTCATCTCCATGAAGCTTCTTGGACTTTTGTCGTTCTGAGATTTACCATTCCTGGCCACGCTGCTAATAATCTGCTCCAGGCTTTCCGACAATAGAATGAACTCGATCATGCAGTCTGTTGTGGGAGTTCCGTACGATTTTAATAAACCTTGGCCGTTCCGGTTTTATATCAGCAAAATCGTGTCAAAGGCTTTTTTTGATGACGAAGAACAACTTGAATGCCTCAATACTGTTCGCGTCCAAACAAGTGAATTCATTGCATTCACTAATAACGCGAAGCAATCAGCTTCTTCCAAACTCGAATCGCACACAGACAAAACAGAGCTTCGGGTAGTCGAAGTTGACTTCTCAAAACCCCAGCCAGGTGAATATCTGAGGTTTTTTTGGAAGCCAGCCCGAGGGATTATTTGTCAGAAAGTCCAAGGCTGTAAGTGGAGAATACTATTCTTGGGCCTCGACAATCTCATACTCCGTTATTGCAGCTTAGATGTACTGATTTATTGGCCTACAGGGTTAGATTTCTCCTCAAACGGGCTGCAGAAGGCACCTCCGCTTGTTGAGAGTACTCACAGTATCTTGACTTCTTGTTAAATAGACAGAAAAGTACCGTCAAGGGTCAGGAGTGGGACCCACCAACGAGACTTACCGTGAGGGTCTGTATCAACTCGTACTAGCTCATCAAGCTAAGGTTGCGGACCCTTTTTCATGATTTTCACGTTGACTCGGTGGAACCTTCCTCTCTACTCCTACAAATTTCCTGCAGTCACCTCCCTCCACGAACAGAAATTATTAAATTCAACAAATGTCGCAGCCGATAGTGTAAGCGTCTTAGCTACCGGGTATTCCTGAGATCTACTTGCATCTAACGGATTTATGCGGGCAGAGCTCGCCGAAGAGGCAAAAGGGTAGTTGCTATTCGTACGGGTAGGGAAGTCTATACAACTATACTCGTGCATAATCGTATGGTATTGACAGTCAAATCACTGCAGGAAAAGCCCCAGCCAACTTCCACTCCCGAAGATGCGCTACATCAACGGCGAGCCCTCGTCGAAAAATAGGCCACCGCTAGTCAAGAATTCCGCGATGTTTGTATAGCTAATTTCGAGGGGTTTCCGCTCTATCTCTCGCTTCTTCGACTTGAAAAAGAAAATTGAAATATTACTAGCATAGTACTACTCTAGTCGTGCTCTAGTATACGCCTCAGCTCTCGACTATCCTTCCTCTGTGCTCTTATAGCTAGCCCTTCGACCTAACTGTTACGCGGTGCCGACTGGTCACTGTGAGTTAGAACGTCCACGGCTTATACTTGCCTTATTCTAACTGCGAATTCCAAGAGTGTCTCGTAACCGTACCGTTGCTATGCGAAGCCTTACGCCGGGTTCGGGTCCTGTTAAGTATCTTGCGGAACGTGCCAGAGGTGCGCGCCAAGTAAGTCAATCATTAAGTGTTACCACTAAGTGAATCCCCTACTTGTAGGTTGGGTTGTCTTAAAGGCGAACTGTGAAGTGCAAAGTACTAAAGGCAGTAACCAAGTAACAATGTGCAATTGATCGCGAAGAACTAAATACATAATGCGAAATGAGTGTCCTTATATATCTAGCCCTTCCTGTTTGGTATAGATAGTAGATGGTATAGTGGTAGATAGCTCTTGGCAGGGTCTACCCGTATACCTATCTACCTATCTACCACTGGATGTCACGTGCTGGGTAGCTGTTTCCCGCGTCGCGCTAACCGTCCCCTCTCGTAAGTGGGTATTAGTTGTGACGGTTAGCCGCAGGCCGTTTCTGGCTTCCGTCCTGAGTATCTGCCTTAGATTTATGGTTAATGCTTGATTATGATACACATGATTCCGTTCAAGGGCTAGTATCCCGCGGTTTCAAACGGAAAGTAAGGTCTGGTTTGTAACAGACAGACAAGTATAAACATGGCCCTTTATTTTAAGCATTCATTAAAGCGGCACTTCCAAGTTCCGGGAGATGGTGTTCAAAGAGACATCGAGCCACGATGTGCCCGTTGAAAGGTCGGAACAGGCATGTACAAACAAACCTATCCCCTCTCTCTTGTCAATGATATTGAAGACTCGTTATCGATGCACCTAAAATACTAACCAATAAGCTTCAACCCCGCCAAGTGTCGCGAGTGCCAAGTACATGATCCTTGAGTGCCATGGCATCTGATTGGATAGGAGAGTCTAACCTTGTCGTTTTGTGTGGGTCCGACAAAGGTTTCCCCTTTGGGAATAGCATCTTGCCCGATAAGCAGCATTTGAACTTCTATACTCTGAATGACTCCCGGGACACATGTTTTCATTATGAAACTAAAAGACATGCGGGGTTGTGAACGAGTGCCTCGTTCGAATATAAATTCTCGGCTTTCCTCCTCCCAAAGGGACTTCTTCTCTTCACCTCAGGCAATCTTCCTGAACCGAACTCGAGTTTGAGCCATCCGCTGATTACTTCACATCCAATAAATCATGGGAGACTACACCCCAGATACTGCTCCCTCTCTGGAGCCGGGAGTTTTGGAACCTCCAAAGCAAACCAATACTCCTCACAGCCAGAGCTCCGTTCTTTATCATCAACTTCGTCAGCCACCACTGAACATAGTCGGAGGCCGGGGAAGTTATCTGATCACTGATTCGGGCCAAGAAATCCTCGATGCCACTTGTGGTGCCGCCGTTTCTTGTCTTGGACATAGTGACACAAGAGTGCATGAAGCCATTATGGAGCAGTTGCAGAAAGTGCCTTACACCTATTCGCTTTACTTCACTAACAGCGCCGCCGAAGAACTTTCCAAGATTCTAGTTGACTCCACGGAAGGGAAAATGTCCCGTGCTTTTATCGTGAGCTCAGGTAAGCTTCCCTTAGAAGGATTCTTTCTTTTCGAAGATGGCTAATATCTGTTATCGTGGACGGCAGGAACCGAAGCCGTTGAAGCTTCTCTTAAGATGGCAGTACAATATTACATGGAAATGCCAATTCCACAGCCACAGCGTATGAATTTTATTGCTCGCAAGCAGTCATACCATGGAAATACTCTAGGTTCTCTCTCGGTGGGCCATCATCTTGGCCGCCGGGCCCTTTACGAGAAGGTGTTGGCCAAGAATGTCCACCATGTGTCGCAGTGTTATCCATACCGGGAAATGAAAGATGGGGAGACTGTCGAAGCATATGTTGCTAGACTTGCACAAGAATTAGAGGACAAGTTCCAGGAATTGGGTCCGGATACTGTCTGTGCATTTGTAGCAGAGACAATGACCGGTACTGTCAGTATAACTGCTCCCTTCGACCGCGGAGGCTTCTCAGACTGACTGGACCGAAACAGACACTGGGATGTGTACCTGCTCTTCCAGGCTACTTGAAAGCCATGAAAGAAGTGTGTGAGAGACACGGAGCTTTGTTGATCTTGGATGAAGTCATGAGTGGTATGGGACGAACAGGCACTCTACACGCATGGGAGCAGGAAGACGTCGTTCCCGACTTACAGACCATGGCTAAGGGACTCGGTGCTGGCTATGCTCCGATCGCCGCTCTTCTCGTGAATCAGCATGTCGTGGACACTTTGACGAAAGGGACGGGGGCGTTCTCTCATAGTCAAACCTACCAAGGCCACCCTATTTCGTGTGCGGCGGCTTGTCGCGTACAAAAGATTATCCAAGAGGATAATCTACTCCCCAATGTTCGCAAAATGGGTGAATACCTCGGTCAACTCCTCCATCAGAAGTTCGGAGAGAACTCTCATGTCGGGGATATCCGTGGAAGAGGGCTCTTCTGGGCGGTAGGTCGTTTTCTTTTCCACAAAGTAGATGTGAACACTGCTGATGATTTTCTAGATTGAGTTTGTTCAAAATAAGGAAACGAAGGAGCCGTATCCTCCATCAGAATCTGTCGCTTGGGCTATCCATAAAGCTGCATTGAAGCCAGAATACTCCATCTCGTTGATGCCAGGAAACGGGGGAATAGATGGAATCAATGGTGATCATATCTGCTTTGCCCCACCATACAACTGCGCCAAAGAAGATATTGAGATGATTGTTGATCGGGCTGCACGGGTTGTTGAAGAAGTCCTTGGGAAATAGCTTTTTTCAACGAATGCGTGACGATATTCACGATGAAGTCTCATAGTTTTCGGCTAAGCGGAGGCTATCTTGATGTTCCATGTGTCGCCTTTTTTGAAAGGGCCTTCTGCATTAATGATATAAACTGTGTAATACATTTGCTTCCAATTTCGAATGGATTCCCCGTAATGAGCGGGAGAAGCTCCATGAAGTTATATTGCAATAGTTCCAGGATGCGGTTCGGCAAACTTGGAATCACCAGTTAGATAAGCCACTGTAAAGAAAGACTTATTTTACTATTCTGTTAAATCTTTGCATTTGACTCTCCTACAAAATAAAACAGAGCCCCGGCTGCCGAATTTCCGTCGAGTGGTTCCGTATCATGTGATCGGATGTAGTCAATAAGCGGGGCAAGATCGGGATGACGGCAGTGAATGATAGCAGCTGACGACGACGTAATCCCAGGTGTACGTGCGCAATCCTCACTACTGTTGACTTGGTATCTTCTCCACGAGGAATGACCTCGGAGGAGCGATTCTCACGATCGCGAAATGGTACGTGGACTCGGCTCGTCGCTCGGAGCTGTATATATGCTGACTCAGTGGTCCTACAGGTTGCCTCCAGTGTCGTAGAAAGCATTATAAATGCGATGAAAAGCAGCCGACATGTTCCTTCTGTTCAAATCGAGGTCTAGGGTGCCAATATCCGTCAGGGCTGAAATGGGTTCGTCAGACGAGGCCGATATCGTCACGACATAGGCCACGAAACAGCACCATATCGAGAGATAGTGGGGAACAACTGTCTCGTAGATCTCCATCAGTGCTTTTGACTGATCTTTTTCGCTCGGATGAGGATAAGCTTGCATGGGAATATTGTGCGTCCTTCCTCACAAATAGCTCTGAACATCTAGCTAATCATTGGTTATGATAGATGTGAGGCTCGTTTCCTCGAACATTCCAGCCCTCGATGGCCCGGATAATCCATACCGGCAATTATCTTTCACAGCTCTGTCCTCACCTGTTCTACTCGAGACAATCGTCTGCATAGCCACGGAACACATGCTGAACTTTGGCCTAGTCGATGTATCAACAGCAGCACGACACCAACAACGAATGCTACGGACCATTGGCCAGAATCTCCAACTCATCGAGTCGGGAGACACTTGTGAAACCAGAGCCATTGTAACGACAAACAATCCCGCTCATGAGGCCCTCTTCGCCGCTGTCATTCTCCAGGGTGTCATAGTCGCTCAATCCGCCGATGGCGTCCTAGAACCCCATGTCCGCTGCGCTGCTTTCCTGATGGAAGTCCTGAATCACTTTCGCCAGGTACCACACAATATACTCGGACGAATGACCGTGCAACGATTCGCCATGGTCGACGTGATGCTTGCTATATCCCGGCAGCGCCGTCCTTTTTCTCCTAAAGACTTTGTACTGCATCTGCCCGATGCCGAGACATGGGATCATACCGAGCCATCATTCCACAAAATGACCGGCTGTCCTCAGCCGTTGATGTGCTTGCTAGTCCGAATTTCTCATCTTGCCTGTGACGTGGATGATCGGTTAGAACATTGTGCATCGATAAGTGATCTTCTCAGTCGAGCGCACACTCTCGAAAATGATCTCCGGGCATGGGGCGAGCATTATCCCGCGCATAGCTCTGAGCAGGGTATACGTGCACCGTTGGATATCCTCACCGAGTGCTTCTATTGGACTGCGCACCTTCTACTTGCGCGTCGCGTGTTTCAAGACCATACCCGGTCTCCGCGGGTACAACATTTGACACGCACATGTTTTGATCTGATGGGTCAGCTCAGTACCGGGGTTGGTCCTGACTCGTCTCTGCCACAGCCATTTTATCTTGCGGCGAGAGAAGCGATTACTTTGGAAGATCGGGCTTGGGTGCGACAGAAACATGAGTCTATGACAAACTATTACCGAGAGCAGCAGCGGAATTTGGCGATGCAGCTGACCCAGCGCATTTGGGAGATTGAAGATCAACAGTTCCGTAATGGGACGGCAGTGCAATCGGATAAACTGATTAAGAAGCTGGATCGGGATTCTTGTTTGTTTATTTTTTAAGGGCCCTTCTTTACACAGGATAGGGTTGAATGTATACATCACGCTAGAATTGCACAGATACGATTGGGCTCGGGACCGGTTAACTAACGTGAAATGTGAAATGTTTATGATGCAGACAGAGTATGTCCTACTCTGAAAATATATTTTGGTGATGTTTGCTCGCGTGCAGGTGAAGATATGGTTCGATTCTTGAGCCCGGATTTCACGTGCACAGAGTATTAAGCTTCTCTCAACCTCAACATTTACAGTAAGTCATTACCATTTGTACTTCAAGCATAATTCCCACAAGACTTGGAAGTCCATGGCGAGACATAATCCAAAGACAACACTAGTCCCAATGAGGAAGCCGACCAGAAGGCAGGATTCGAATCCACATCGACCCTTACCCAGTCTGGTCCCCACCTTTGATCCCTGAGTCTGTGTTAGTACTGTCTGTACATACTGTACGATAACGGATCGAGGTGGTACAGTCCCCTTATTTACAGTATTTGCTTCTTCAATGTCCTCTAGGACATTCACTAGCGTCTTGAACTACACAATCTACACGATGGGCGCCAGATTTAGTTCGCAAGTGACATCCATTTTCGGCACTCGCCAACGCACTACCGCTCGAAATCGGATGCCACGGAAGACGCGATGGCGCACGGAGTTGCCAGTGCAACGTGCACTGCCAGGCACAGAGAACCCAATCCAATATCCCTGACCATGTCGGTCCGATCGGGCCAATGGGGGGAATGCAAGGAAGCGCACGGAACATTTTTCAGGCTGGAGCAGGGGAGGGAAAGTGGAAGTGGAGGAGGGACAGTCGGTCGGGGAACAGAGTCAGACTGGCCAGGCCAGGCCCGTCTGGCAGGTTCGGTTCTGAGCCTTGTTCAACACGGGGAGGGATAGTCTGGAATGACCTGTCATTGCACAACAAGACCAATCATAATTCTCCCCGAGGCGGGTACCTGTATTGTTGTTGAAATGTTGTTCCTGTTCCTGTCTGGAGAGAGGCTTGGGGCGCTGGTGGCCAAAATCCGACATGTACGGCTATTGGCCCACAGGCACTGGATCAGCCCCTGGAACCGTGGGAGTCCAAGGGTGGCGCTTACTGGAGCCGTGGCTTGGACATTCTCGAATCAGGGGCAAGTAGCCTCCCGAGGAACTGGAAGGGAAAAAGCCTTTGCACTACGGCAAGGACGGGAGTACGAGACCAAGAGTTATGGAGACAAACGATGGGAATACAATAAGAATGGGGACGGGGATGCACAATTGCATATCCATGCAATCAGTAACGGAGAAAACATACCTGGACTGTCTATATGCAATACCCTCTGTATGTATTTGTCCCCATCATCAAGTAAGGAAGAGAACCGACACGTCGACCGTCACGGGCAGTCCAGTGTTTCAGGATTTCAGAATTCCCCGCGGATCTCACGTGTAAGATGACCGTTCGGCGGCACTTGACGACGATCAGGGTGGTCGAGACTCAAGACCGCGGACAGTCATCAATGGAGCATCAAAGACAGACACAGAGAGCCCTTCACTGGTTGAAGAAGCGCCACAGTCTCCGTCACACCCAGCATATGACGGAGAAACCCTTTTCAAAGGAATCATCCCCTGAAATAGTGGTACATACTGTGGTGGTCGCGACCACCTGTGTGGGACAAGTTCCTCTGCCTGTGCGATCCACACAGCCCGTACCGTGTTGAGCAAGGAACATGCGAAACCCGCCTTCTGGCAAGGCCAATGCCTCGTCGTGATGCGATTTGGGCGTATGCAGGCCGACGCAGGGGCCAAAATCTGACCAGACCAAGCCGGGAATGAGAATGGAGAGGGGTTGACTTCTAGTCACTGTATGGAGGCCGCGTATCCGGACTAGCAGGTGAGATCACCGGGATCTCCTGAGTTCGAGTTCGAGTTCATCGCCAGCCCTGGAAAGATTAACTTAATACTTGTTAGCCAGAGAGAGAGGGGCCCAACAGGTCAGAACCTGTACTAGTGATTAGGCTAAAGATTCTTGTGCTCTCGTATGTCTGGTGGAAGTCATGAAAGTGCCCCACGAAGGTGCCAATAGTAGCAGCAGCTAAGCCAGCTAGAACAACTAGACCAGCTAAAATAATCTTTGTTGCTGGCCGTTTGGGGGTTTGGGTTGGGAACTGGACTTTCGGGTTTGTTGTGTTCCTGGTGTGTGTGTAGTCAGCATCTCCTGATCCGCTCCTCCTCCTCCTTCTCCGATGGGCTCGAGACTCTTCTCTCTCTTTTCCCTTTCTGTTCTGCGTGTGTCTTCATTCCCTTTTTCCCTTCCCCTCCCCCATTCCTTTCTTTTGAACTGCCAGGTCGCTCGTTCCACTCTTTCACGACGACCGTACCGCTCTTTCTGAACCCACTCCTTTCAATTCACTACGGACGAGTCCCCTTCAACTTTCCCCCGAAGCCGACCGTTCCCACCCCCGTTGATCGATTCAACACGGGTATTGCGATTCCCCCCATTATCGACTTTTTCACTGTCAATCCAGACTCGATCAGTCGATACAGGAGGTTATCAACTGCCCTTCTATTTGAGCTGCATAGGCCAGCCATTTTATTTTACATATACCTTCCTTTCCCAGTCTCCCCCCAGGGCGCCTCTGCGACGCGCCCTTACCACCCAACCACCCCCCGTTTCTGACGTGGATATCATCGAACGCGATTCGATCCGATCTCCTTTCGCCAAAACGATTCCATTCATTTTTCTACCCGATATATCCTCTCGCGCTTGACGCTGCTTCGAGAGAATAGGATTTGAAAGACTATCCTGTCATTTTCTACACCCGCATCTCCACTTGTCGGCCGGATCGTCACGCATCGACTCTCTTGAAGAATCGAATACGCAAAACCACCAAAAAAGCATTTCCACTTTTGCACACAAACACACGACCGCTGCTTGGAATATCTCGAAACCCACCCAATCGCATCTTCGAACCCGCAAACATGTCTTTCTTATCAGAATCGCCCTCGGGCGTGGCCCCCGCGACCAGCGCGTCCTCTTCCCCCCAGCTTCCACCCCGTCCCCTGCGACTTCGAGTGCCACAACGGCCCCTTCGAGTAGCGCTACCCGTCGGCCGCCGCGTAAGAGCACCTTGACTCAGCAACAAAAGAACAACAAGCGCCAACGGGCTAGCCAAGATCAACTCGTCACCCTCGAGGTCGAATTCAACAAGAACCCTACGCCGACTGCTGCTACCCGGGAGCGCATCGCTGCAGACATTAACATGACGGAGCGATCTGTACAAATCTGGTTCCAGAATCGGTAGGTCGTACTCGGTGGATGAAAGGGATGTGCCAAATAGGATCATTATACTGATTTTTGATAGTCGCGCAAAAATCAAGATGCTTGCTAAGAAGAGCATTGAAACGGGCGAGGGTTGCGACTCTATTCCCGAATCAATGCGCCACTATCTCGCGATGCAGTTCGACCCTAGCAACCCTGGAACCCGGGACCCCTTTGGACGCGCTGCAGGTTATGGAACCCCTGGCATGTATGCGAACGAGGCCAACCCATCTGGCAAAGTCGGTATGTAATACAAGAGATGACCGCAGGTCGTCCCTACCCTTCCATTTGTTTCGAATACCGCCTACTAACATTCAATGATAGTCATCTCGCATTTCACCTGCCGCTCTTTGACAGTCGGTAGCTGGCGGCGCATTGGCCAGAATGCCATGGACCTTGTCATTTTCTACTCGCCCGACAAGGCGTGCATGACCTACTATATCAACAACGATTCCGCTGGTTACAAAATCGAGTACCCCTTCTCCTACATCAAGAACATCACTTTGGAAACTGGAGACCAGAATCCCGGCCCAAATGGCGCCCCTTCTCGGCCTGGTGGCTTGGTGGTGGAACTTAACCGTCCTCCACTGTTTTACATGGATTCCTCCAACTCGGGAGGCTTCTACCAGTGCGGCGATTTCACCGAGGAGCAGCAAGCAAGCCAGATCATGGTTCACCACTTAGGAGGCCATCCCAAGGTCTTGAGTGTCCAGCTGGCCAAGCTGGTGTCTCTGGAGTCCTTCCAGAATCGCCTGGCCTATAACAACAACAATACCTTTGCTGTTCCCGCCGCACCTGCTGCCATGTCGCCTCCTTTCATCCAACGGCCTGCCTCTCAGCCCAACCAATTTGCACCTGCGGCCTACTTGAACCTGTACCAGGACCACAACCACTTGGGATTCAACATGCCAGCTGCTCGCGGCCACAAGCGTCAACGAAGTCGCTCTGTACCGGTAGCAGTTGATATCGCGGCGCTGCAAGCTCCCATGCACTCGTTCCACATGCCCCAGACCCCCGCTCCGTTCAACCACCAAGACACCGGCATTTACGCCCCGGTTCCACAGTCAGCTCACCATGCTCTGCCTACGGATCTGCGTATCGATACGGAAAGCTACGGTCTTGACTTCCGGACGAATTCCATGTCTGCAACCACGGCCGGGTCGCCATCGGACTTTGCTAGTCCATCCATGTTCAGCAGTGCTGCCCATGGCGATTCCACCCCCGTTGCCAGCATGGCCCCCCAGTTCAACGTTACTCAATTCGCCGCAGGACCATCCGACTCATCAACAGTTGGATCACACGCCGCGTCGCCCTACTCTGGCGTTAGCCCTGCTGACCCCATGATTGCTAATCACTCCCCACCTCTATCCAACATGTCTCACGCTTCATCGGATATGTATGGATTTGCGCACGATCAGCAATCGGGCTTTGTCGAGGATGGGCTTTCGATGAACGACATGTATGCCAAGCATAACGTGAACTACACGGTCTCCCACGATGCCCCCAGCTTTGAGCTGCCGATGCATGGCATGTCTGGCCACGCCTCCCCATCACTAGGCGATTACTCCCACGGCATGGTCAACCTTGATGAAATCAACTCTCATGGCTTGCCTACAGGGTCGTGAAGGGTGCAATACCCTGTTCTTGATGTTCCATTTCCTTGACACTGTTCCTGATGTTTCACGGCCTTTGGAGTGCTTGCAGCGCTTGTATTGATGGGTTCTTGGTTCCATCTCGGAGGGTTCCTCTTTGTCCAGCGGACGAGTCTTTCGTCTTTTCTACACACGTACACCGACTCGTGCTGGACAATTTCGCGTCTCGCTGGCGAAGGCCGGGAAAGTAAATCCGATTGGACTGGTTGTTCTTTTTTTTGTTGATTGCGTGACATATATCCCTTCTTCTGTTCTGTGTTTGTATCAATACCCTTTCTATTCCGGGGCCGGTCCTGAAGCGTTTTTTTCTGCTGTTTTTCCTCTTGCCATTTAGGCTTCTTCTCATGTCTGATGGATTTCCCGGATGTTCCGGTCGAAATTCTGATTATGGTTGGTTGATCTTCCTTTTTTTGGATCACGCCTTTTTTCTTTTTCTTGCCCTGGCCTGCCTTTTCACTTTTCACTTTTTTCTTTTTCGATTTGCAGGTCAGGGATTCTCTGTTTTTTACGTGGTTATGCCAAACAGACCGACATTTGGACGGCGACTCCTTGCCCCCCACCCTTCAATTTCATTTTTTTCTGTTCTCTTTCTCATTGTTCTGAATTTTTTTGGGTTTTGATCCAGGGTGATTGGTTCAGGCAGATATATACTCTGTCAGTGCCTGATGATTACCCTGATGGGTACAGTGGTCTTTCCCCGAGACTCGAGTCGAACTTGATATGCGGTCTTGGTCTTGTCTTGCACTGCACTCTTGTGGGTGTTGACTGCTCCCGCATCGGTTCTATGTGGCTCTGTGCAGGGTTGAAATAGTCCCTGCGTATAACAGCCACTCGAAACTGATGATGTCGGTTCGGCTTTAAACGAGTGTGGAAGATCGACGCTAGCCTGAGAATCAATTCATTTTTATGCAAAGCCCTTTCCAATAGTCTGTAGATGCGCATATGCTTTCCCCGATATGCTGTGGTATATAACAGAAATGACCTCATATCGTACAAGCAGAGATTACTCTGCTATGATGCAAATAAATCACTAATATACAATCACCAACATCCCTCATCCGTGATCCTTCCATCTTCCAAACTAACATCCTCACTCCTCCCACCCCTTCGGCACCGGCGCAACACACCCCTTCCTCTCCCTCAAAAACCTCTCAATCCAAACCTCCATCTTCTCCAAAACATTCCTCCCCTTCTTCCCCTCCTCCCCAACCTCAAAAACCCCCTCCTTACACCAAACACTCCAAGACCCCATCATCCCCGCCATAATCACATCCGTCCCCAATCGATCCCCCACAACGGCGATCTCATTTGGTGACTCAACCACCCCGCGCTCCTTGAACCACTTTACTACTTCGTCCCCGCAGAATGGTTTCTTTTCTGTTCCTTCTGGAAGGCGGAAGACTGGGATGCGGAGGTGCGAGAGTTGGGTTTCTAGGGAGTGTACTTCGGTGTCGTAGGTTGGGTGGCTCCCCGCCCGATTTGAGACGATGAGGATTGCGTAAGGATTTGTGGTGAGGTTGAAGGGGGATGTTGGGGATGTTCGGAGGTGGGAGAGTTTTGTTAGGATTTGCGGGGGGAAGGTGGTTGTTTTTGGGGGGCAGAGGGTGTTGTCTTTGTCTAGGACTAGGGCGCGGATTTTGGGGATGCGCTGTGGGGTGGTAGGTTTGGAGTTGAGGTTGTCGGATTGAGTTTGGCAGTTCTTGACTAGGTGTGGTCCTAGGTCTTCGGGGAGGTGGGTGAATGTTGGGATTGTGAGGTGTGGGAGGAATTGGGAGGGTTGTTTGAGGAGGGTTTGGACGGCGTGGTTGAAGCCTCGGAGGTTGGAGTTTGGTGAGCCGGCCATTGCGAGGAGGTGGATATGTTATGTATGTAAGATGGAGTGTCCACTCTGTTTATTGTATGTCCATTTGCGATGTGTGATGTATGTGGTGGTAAGTGAGTATTTGTAGAGACAAGAAAGTTGGAGGTTGGAGACTTTTGAAGTTCTTGGCCCAAAGCGGAAAGGAGCGTTGTGAGCTTAGCCGCAAAACTCGCCGTCTCGACCTCCGCGATTATCTCCTCCCTCCATCAATATTGCCTGCCTCCCCACCACCCCCAACGCCAACCCTACTCGATTCCCTCACCTGTTGCTACGCGTCCAAGTAGCCCCGTGTGATTATCATTGACATATATCTGACATCGCTCATTCGAACCCGATTCCCCCTTCCGTGTCGCACACTCCGCCGTCAAGATGGGCAAGCTCACTAGCACGATCGGTATCCCGATCAAGCTCCTCAACGAAGCGCAGGTGCGTTGTGACTCCCCGATGTCTGCTTGGAGTTCCTACGGATATTCGATTGGAAGGATTAGTCTCGCCAGAGACGAGCTTGTTTCGATGCGCGCGCAGACCGCTAACGTTTGTCTTTGCAGGGCCACGTCGTGACCCTCGAGATCACATCGGGTGTTGTCTACCGGGGGAAGTTGTTGGAAGGTGTGTGTCCGCAGTGATAAATCTCTCTTTTCTATTTCAGCCCAGGAGTGGAGGCTGTACAATGGCATTCAGACTGGGCTGAATTAGCTGTGTGGTGGAATCATTCGCTGACATTCTCCTTCTCTGCACAGCCGAGGACAACATGAACGTTCAACTCAAGGATATCACCGTCACAGCTCGCGATGGCCGTGTCTCTCACCTCGACCAGGTTTATATTCGGGGTAGCCACGTGCGGTTCTTCATCGTGCCGGACATGCTGAGGTATGTTGAGACTCGTATCCATTACCAATCGCGATGGCTTTTCATCAGCCATATCGCCCCTCTCCTTGAATATTATCTCTAATTTGTTCACTCTTACCTACAGGAACGCCCCCATGTTCCGCACACGAGGCCAGCGCGGCCGTGGTGTCGGTCTTGCCCGTGGTAAGGCTACCGTGCAGCGTGCGCGCGGCCAGCGGAGGGGTTGAACGTGATGATATGTGAGAACAGACGAGAGCGCAGTTTAAGGCCTGGAGATATTCTACCCTGTGGTTGGCGTTCGTCATTTGTGTTTTTTCTTCTTCTCCTTTTTACTTCCAGGGTTTCTTGAAAGGTGGAAATTTTTCTCTCAGGCTTCCTGTCCGTCTTGCTGGGGCTGGGGCTGGAGGGATATCATCACCCTTCTGGCCCTCCATTTTTATCTCGGCCATGAATGAATACCCGATATGAAGCTGGATCTGGATTTGTTCGCGGAGACTGGCTTGGCCTGTTGGTGGGCCGAGTATGTGACTAGATTCGAAGCCCCGCATATGTTGCCTTGAGTCTTCCATTGAATGGACTGAAAAATAGATCATAATGCCAATGGATTCAAATGAGTCGAGCTGGATGATATAAATGTGTCTTACTTTAGTTAACGGGTTGTGTAGATCTAGTAGCGATAGCGTATCGGCCACTAAGTTCGCATCTCCGCAACTTTTTCTAGCAACGCGGGGACCAAACCTCTTCTCCGACACACCCCAACCTTACATCTACAACCACCCATTCCTCCTATAACTTCTCCTGCCCTAGACTGCGAGAATAGAGAAAGAGTCCGCGATCTTGATATACCCATCCAGATAGCCCAACACCACCAGGAAATCTCACCATGACCCCCACAGCTTCCGCCAACTCCCCCGCGGACCCCTCTAAATCACAACCGCAAACCAAGCACATCGCCAATCCACGACGCCTACTCATTCTAACCCCGACATCCCAATCAGTCTCGATAATTCCTCCTCTCCTACACTCTCTCACTGGTGTACCTGTCGTCGATCCTCCACAACATGATTCCACCCTAGAAACACCATCTCAATCCTCCGATGATAACACATCTACCCCTCCACCCACCACCACCGCCACTACTACTACCACCTCCTTCGCCGGTTACACAACCCACAGTCCCCTCCGTCTAAACACGAAATACTACTCCGCGGAGATCCCGCTCTGGGTTGATGAAATACCCCTCTCAACCGAATCCGAAACTCCCGCAGCAGCAGGAACAGGAGCAGCAAGCTCAGATACACCCACCCCAGCCCAGTGGCGCACAGAATTCCTCAGTGAAGAAGCTGAGATCGTGCGCGATGCCGTCGGTGCATTAGTCGTCTGCGTGCGCAGTCCTGAATCCAAGCAGACCACACCTTCTACCTCTACCGCGGACGCAGACACAGACATAGACGACCCCGCGAGTCGCCCAGAAGTCCGCGCCGTACTGGACTTGATGCGCGATGTTGGCGCTGTTAAGGCCTGTATCGATGAGGAGCGCGGTGGGTATGGTGATGTACCGGGTGTATTTGTGTTAGTAGGGAGTCGCAGTTCTGCTGCTCCGAAGAGTTCTGCGCCGGATGGGGAGACGAGATTGGAGCTGGGGGTGGATGATGTGGATTTGGGGGATGGTGCGGCAGATACACCGTTCTCGGTGGGTTGGTGGGAGGATCAGCTTTTTGATTTGGGTCTTTTTGGGTGGGAGGTTGTGGAGTGGGATCCTGTTGAGCAGGGTGGTGAGAAGACGAGGAATAAGTTTGGAGGTAAGATTGTCTTTCTCCTTCTGATTACTTTCGGGAATTTCATTCTTGTCATGGTGTTTGCAGTGAGGCGAGGTGTGAGGGACTAATTCGTGTTCTGTAGAATATGAAGGTATGCCACGCATCAAAGAAGTACTCGAGACCCATGACTGGAGTACATCCGGAGCCGCAGACGATCTCGACCATGCAGATCTCGATTTCGGTGATGATCTCGAAGAAGAACTTCTCGGATTTGGAAGGTCAGCGCATACGAGCGGCTTTGGACACGAAGTCCAAGAGTTGGAGCGTGAAATGATGGGTCTACGGATGGCTATTGAGCGTGGTGGGGGTGATGGTGATCAGAGTGATGCAGACCTTGACCTTGACGATGGGGATGAAGAGCTCAAGGTTGAGTCCATTGAGACACTGATGATGCGCATGCAGGCTATTCGAGGTATGTTTGATTGGGATTATCGTGAGAGTGTGTGATGTGAGGTTATCGATGCTGATTATATGTCAGATATGGGATCGGAATTGCCTGAAGGCGAGCGCAGGAAGTTTGCTGCAAAGGCCGTGTCGGATATTATGCGAGAATTATAGACTGCATTTTTGCGTGACCTGATAGAATTGGAATAGATCCGTGCTTGTCCTCGTCTAGTGAGAGAATCAACGGATCTCCGTTTATGCATAACAAGTCGAAAGTACAAGCTTCGCCAAGCATGTGCATAGCATACTTCAGTTATACTGTGCTATTGTTTTGGAAGATAGAAATCATGTAGAGATAAACATTTTCCTCTCATGCCCAAAGGCTTGACTATACTCCCCGTCGTATATTCATTAGTTTTTTTCTCCTCACATAACCTGGGTCCATAAACCCAGAACCTAGTTCTATACAAATACATATATTTTATGCCGTAAAAGACACCTGCCCGTCAATCCATGCAGTTCATCGGTCTCCATACCGAATCTTTCGGATACTCTCGAGTCCCTCACGTCGCATATTGGGAACGCATCTAATCAGCGCGCTTCTTACCACGGAGCACCTTGCGACGCTGTGCGATCATGTGGGTGTACAAGATGTAAGAGCCTACAATCATTAGCTACCACTCGAAGTTCTGAATCAAGTCTCATCATCGGACACTCAACATACCAGGAACGTAGATGACCAGCACGGCAATCAAGAAGTACTGGAACAGAGGGTTCAACTCTCCCGCCGGGCCGAGAGCTTTGAAAATCAACGTGCACTCGCTGGTAATACCGATAGGGTACAGCACGTAGAAAGTGTTATACCTGCCACAAGAAGATAAAATAATTAGCAAAAGCTCCGCCCAATAAATGAGCTATATCCCCGTAGGATAACGCGCAATCAAGATCCGATTGACTTACCGCAACCAAGTCCACCAACCAGGCACACTCCCCCCAGAAAGCGTAATCGCAAAAAACCCATACCGAATCACCTCCGTAACCCCCCAAGCCGCCACACACCCCAAATAAGCATAATCACCGATCTGCGCATTCTTCCCACCAACAATCTCCCCACCGAATGGAGTCAAAATACCCCACACAACCAGCAGTCGCGACGCGACCTGCATAGCGGTCGTGATGAAGGGCGCCCGCACGAGGCCCACAAGGCTGTGCAGGACCTCGAGCAGGGCGAGGGACTGTGTCGCGAGGAGGAGCGGATTGAAGGTTGTGGTGAAGACTTGAGGCAGGGTGTTTGTGCTCAGCGCGGTTGGGATTAGGCTGGCTGTGTAGAGGAGGCATGTGCCCCAGGCGAGGAGGTTGGCGGTGTTGTAGGTGAATAGGTAGCCTCTTGTGAGGCCGGAGGGGCCTGAGGTGGCTTTTTTGGATGGCATTGTGTATGCGGGTTTTGGCTGGAGGGTGGAATTGGGGTTATTTGAGGGATTGATGGTGTGAGAAAGGAGAAAGAGGTGATGAGGTGGTTAGTGAGGCGGAAATGTTGAGCTTCGTTGAGTTTGAGAAAAGGGACCGAGGTTGATGTTACATAAGCATTCTAGAAGATTGCCATGTGGGGAGAGTTTGGCCATGTTGATTATTACTCCGTGGATCAAGTTCGAGATCCGAGTGCTTTAAAGTATTTAAATGTATGTTGACTAACTCTGAGAAAGTTAAACACTGTATTTTCTATGATATCGAAGATGATATTAGTAGTTTATGTTCGTGAGATCTACCGTAGCTGTCAGAGATACCTCTAACTGCCAACTCCACTTATCTGGTTCCTCGCAGCAGGGTCTTTCTTCAACACTTTCTTATTCTTATAGAACTTAATTCAATCCATACTATAGACTTGGTGATGGCTACACTCTATCCAAGTCCCCTCCAGCCTCCACACAAAAGTACAATACCACCAAACAACGCTAATCCCTGATTTGCTCCTTCAGCCCGGGGAATCTCAGGGCGCTCGGTTAGGCCCGAGACTAGCCAAACGGGACACTTCCCCAGCCAACAGAAGCAACTTCAGTCGACAACAACATCCAGCCTACAAAAGCCTCCGACCTATCGTGTCGCCATAGACATGGATTATTACCAGTCCATCTGCACGATCTCGCCCCCAACCCAAAGGCCCGCCTACACAGTACTACAGTACCTAGCTAGTGCTAGTGCTAGTGCTGTACTGTACTATCCTCTCTCTCCCTAGCGCCAGCCAACCTCGTATTCTCCTCTTTTACTCTATTCGAAGCAAACATCGAGTGGGTCTGGGGCAGAGAGGCGGGGTGAGAATGGGACTTTTTGACTTTTTACTTTAGGAGCCAAGTCTAGTCAAGTCAAGCCATCACGTTTACTAGACTGGCTACTTACCACGCCATGATCCAAATGACTGTTATGGCTTCAGCCTGGCACCAAGCATTGTGCCGCTGGCTGGACTGTGTCTTACTGGATGGAATGCGGAGGTTGGAAACTCAGCATAGGAGATCCAGCAAATCCAGTCAAGGCTGGGATTGTTCTAGGTGATGAGGAGTGTAATTTTGCCGACGGCGGTCTGGTTCATGCCCTGTTCGGGGTTGATGGGGGAAGGAGTTGACTATGCCTGGGTTCTCAAGTCAAGTTCCCTCTGTTCCTGCTCTTGCTTGCCATTTCGAGATTGTAAGTTGTATATCAAAAATCCTGCTTATCCAAAAAAACACCCATGAGGCTAAGTTTGGTATCTGAGGTCCAGAATTGAAAGTACACATTTTCGTAGCAGGCCAATCTGACGTTGTACAGCTAGCAAATATTTTTGCAAGCCCCATCGTGCGTTGTAAGCTGGTATATATGCACCCTGACATCATGGGCGCAACCGATGATGTTGCCCTGCATTTTCCGGGACGGGGTTAGCCTGCAGTATCAAGCCGGCAGCTGGCCAGGCTCGAGTAGGCCTTGGTATGGAAGTACAGGGAGTGTCGTGAATAGTACAATAAATGACAGGATGTTGCAGTGCTGCGAGAAGGATGAGGGAGTGTTTGCACGGACCATGTATAGTCTCAATCCTTTCTATGGAGACAGGAGCCAGCTTCATGTTTAATCAGATTCAATCATCCATTCTTTTTTTTGTCTTTGCTATGGCCGTTGAATGGCGATACATGTTACAAACACAATACGGACAATACCACCAATCTATACCACTCGATACAAACGATCTGTATCGTGCCTGTAACCTGGCTGTATCGGGTAATACAAAAAATGACATCAGAGGCTGCACGAGTGGGCCACCAGCCCCGCCGTGATGTCATGGCAGACATCCCCAATGCTGATTGGCAGTTACACCATGGGGCGAACCACTTCACGCCAGAAAAAGCAGGCAACTCTCCACGAGAGACATTTGGGGCTCCTACTATATAAACAAATGGCACGGCGAGCACGCGCGGGCTTGTCCCAATTGCTACATTGGGAAGATCTAATCGATGGAAGACAACTGCTCAATTCGTTTCTAGACTTTTATTGAAGATATCGCCAACCCGGGACGGAGTCGCTCGACCTTACACAACAATGACAGTCGCGACTGCAAAGCCAGCCCCATAATTTCGGATTTTTCTTTTCTCTTATTTTCTTCTTTTCGTTATCGGGGGAATTCCTACTTCGTCATCGGTGACAGCATAATCATGTCTCAATGGTTGTTTTAGTCCGGGAACCCCAACCCCCTCTCCCTCACCTCCGCTCCGCAACAGAAACACTGCGATAAAGACTGTCAGAGTCTCAGCTGAGATCATACGTCAGAAATCGAATCCAATCCATGCAGCATGACATCGACAGAGGTTCGGAGGTGGGAAAGACCGCAATGAGAAAGGGAGCGCCTCGAGGGCTTGGATTAGGCTTCTTGCATTCTGATGCAAGGTTTATGGTTCGCCGTTCGAGGTCCTTCCGGGCCCAGACCATGGGGTTTTTCTTGAGGGTGTGGTTATTGGTTTGGGCATTCTTTTTCGGTTCGTTGTGCTTAGTTGGACGCGGGTGCCGTGTACAGTGCCAGTCCAACATATCCCGCTTCTCATGCTAATGCTAGATCATGGCCTTTGCGTTTGCGCGAGTTGGATTATTCTCGGATTACTTTGCGATTTTCTTTCGGTCAGTTTGGCTATTGACTTACAGGTCTCTCAATCCCTCAATCCTGATGTTTGATTGAGAAGGTTGCACAAATCAAATAGGGGCCTCTCTATTTGTGATCTCGCTATCTTTCTTGCTAGTCGCTGGCTGTGTTGGCCGTGCAGTCCAACACCTGACGGATTCCTTTCCTGTTTGTCTGGGCTCCCCCGGTGGAGATTACCACGCTGTCGGGGCCGGTCCTTTCCTGGAAATATGGTCCAAAAGCTAAAGGACCAGAAAAAGAAACTGCTAACCCACAAGACATAGCCAGTGTAAAGGGAGGCTGGGAGTTTCTCATGTGCGGCTCGGGGATCAGAAAGCCTCCCACGAGACATTTAGAAGAATGGGTCCCGGGATCGGCGTCTCAATGACGTCGTTGCGCGACTGCTAAATGCTACCATGGCCCAGATACGGAGTCGATCTTGTAGATTGGATCTGTCGCGGTCTGGGTTGTTCCTGGATGGTCTTATAGCTTGACCAGGCTTTGTTATGTAAGAGGTTTCTGTAATGATGGCTGATGACTGATGGCTTCGCTATCGTTCAATATACCTCCCCTCGTGAGTACTGTAGGAGATGTAACGACTTTCATCGTGGTTGAACTTGAACAGCCGGGGGGACTGCCGATGATCTCATGGCCTTTGCTTGGTCCCCGGTGGAGCGCAGGCCCGGCACGTTGGGGGGTCGTGGTGTGTTTCCACTGGTCGGATGTTGTTAGCGGAATCGAGCCGGAGTCCGAATGGTGGTGATGGAGATTTTAAAGATCCAAATCCCTGGAGCCGATGATATCAGCCTAGGTCAAGTTATGCACTAGTCGATGGCCGGTCAAGAGGCTCTAGAACAGAAATTCCTGGTTGCAAAGAGCGTTTCGTGTGATGCATATTTAGCTCCAAGGCCAGTATATTCTGTAGTAAGGACAGGGAGGATAGTATAATGGAGGATAACTTTGAAAATAGGAGATGACCTTTTTATAAGATGTTTGCATATATTTAATAAAATTATTACCATCACGAACGGCCTCGAGCGGGTGCGGCAAGCTCTGTCCGCCGTGCGGCTGTCAAAAGGGTGGTTCGTCGGAGACGAGCCGTTACCAGTCACCAGCTGTTCATAGTTAATGGCAGGTGGATAGAATGGTAAGGGTTGGTATGGAGATGGTATGGATAGTACCAGATTAGGTATTAGAGGTATTGTATAGTACCGTGTGTATTGTGGATACCCCTCTCTCTCTGTTGTGAATAGGTGATAATTACCTATCAATACCAATCTTACCACATGAATCATCCCAACACTGTTATTTCCCCCTAATTTTACCAATTTTACCCACTCCGCCCTTTTCTTCCCCTCCCCTCGCTAACTTCGTCGTTCCGTAACTTTGATTTCTCTCTCCAATCCAACCAACCCCGAATTCCCCTTAACAACCCTTCCCCCCGTGTCTTGGGCTTCAACCTCATTGCATATCAACGATAAAAAACATAATCACTATCCCGCAAATATTCCATAAAGGTAGGAATCCTTTCAGATATTCCCTTCCCCTTTTGAGCTTACCCACCCTCTCTGCTTCGTCATCTACGGCATAGCGTCATGATTCTGCCCCTCCTTTTTTCTTCTCTACCCATTTGAGCGCGGACATCAAAACTGCCCCTCCCCTCTGGAACTACACGCGATACCCGATTGATCGGCCTGCAACTTTGATTGGTTGTTTTTTGGGTCTTTTCCCCCTTGCTAGTTTCCTGTCTATTTGCCCTTGTCTTGGCTGGTGGAGGGGATAATTCAACCCGCGGAGCTGCACCTGGTGTTTTTTTCAAGCCCCGCCATGACGGCCAGTATACGCCTGAATTGGGTCATCTTCTTTGGTCCTCCTTCCTCCTTTGGGGATCCATCTTATCCATCTGGTCCCTTCCTGTCAAGACTAGTCTGAGCTCAAGGCTGCGAGCGGTTCTGTTCTCAACTCTCCACATCTGACCCCCAACTTGGACCTGACGCTGGTACTGGCACTGGCACCGGCACAACTGGCACACTGGCTCTGGCCCCCTCCTTCCCGATCTTCCCTCTCTTAGTCCTTTTCTGATCCTACTCTTTTCTTCTCCCCTCTACCCTGTCTCGTCCTGTCCCGTCCCTCATCGGCTTGCGGTATCGCACAGTAAGCTGCCCATCTTTGAAACTGTTCTGTCCTTGCACCCCGTTCTTTTTGCCTTTTGCCTTCCCCCATACAGCTTCATCTGTCTCCCGTGTGGCTTGCTTCAAATACCCATTTTCTTCAGCCCACCAGCCCACCGGCCCCTCAGCCACCTCGGAACAGGATCTGCCTCGTACTGGACGTGTGATAGTGTGGCGGCCATCAAGTCTTGACACTCTTGACGCTCTTGAGAGGTCACGCTGAAGACCACGGGAACTCGTGATTTGCTCACTGTCGTCAACATCACTCTGTCCTCGCTCACCAGCTCCCACCTTCCTGTGCTATCACGGCTACCGGGATAGACCCCTTGGCTTTGTAAGGCAGCTTCCTCTACTGGGACATGGATGGGCTGGCTCTTCGTCAGGAAATATGAGCTGCTGCCCATCATTTCGTGTCAGCATCGCTGTTCATCAAGTGTTCTGAGCATGACTCGATCTGGCTCTTGACTCTCCTCACATGCATATTCATATTCACATTCACACGCACACACAAATACCATTCTATAACGATCCTTGGCTGACTGAGATATACTGCAGATCCGTTCGTTTTCGATCTTGGATTACCAAATCGGGCAACCGGAGTTCGATCGATCCGTTGACGATCTGCCCAGTGAACTAGACTGATCCTACTTTCCTTTGAGGCTTATCTCTTTCCCCCACACATTCACTAAACATGGCACCTGCCGGTAAGGAGGTAAGTGTTCCCAACAGCATCCTGTTCCTGCATGGAGCTTCTCACTCACCTCTATCAATCTGCGAAGGCGGCCCCGCCCAAGCTCTCCGATGTCAAGGATCTCATCGATGAGAGTACATTTGAGCAGATCCTTGAGATGGACGATGACGACGACTGTGACTTCAGCAGGGGCATTGTCTACGGCTTCTTCGATCAGGCCAAATCCACATTTACCAACATCAAGACTGCTCTGTAAGTAGCTGCTTCGCATCGCCTCACTTGGTGTTTGCTCGTCCTGCCACATACCAACACAACTATACCTCTCGATCACAAGATCCACCATCTAACAAAATGCCACAGTGAGAAAAAGGATCTCAACGAGCTTTCCCAGCTCGGGCATTTCCTCAAGGGCTCTTCTGCCACCCTTGGCCTCATTCATGTCCGGGATGGCTGTGAAAAGATTCAGCACTTTGGCAATGGTCTTGATGAGAATGGCTCCGGCAAGCTCTCCGATGAGGTCGCCCTGAAGAATACTGAAAAGACCCTGAAGGAAGTCGAGGTCGAATACAACAAGGTCGAGAAGTTCCTACGCCGCTTCTACGGCGAGGAAGTCAAGGATGAGCCCGAACCCAAGGCCGAGCCCGAGTCCAAGGAAGAAAAGAAGCCCGCCGCCTCCGATAGCAAGGAGGCCAAACCCACAGAGAAGACCGACGATACCGAGGAAAAGCCCAAGACCGACGCCTCGAAGAAATAAGTGGGTTACAGGGGGTGGCTTGCTATTTTGTGTTTTTTCGTTTTATGAGCTTCGTTCATTTTCTTTCTTGGAAATTCCCCTTCCCTTTTTATTAGCGACGGATGGAGCATTGCAAATGGCCTTTTGCCGATTTCTTCATACCCCACCCTTCCTCTTCTCCTCTTCCTACCATTTCCCTTTCTCCCGTTGGCTTCTGGCTCTTTTGACGTACATACAAAATTCCCTTTCCCCCTCCTACCACTACAATTGCCTCAATCGGGGTTTCGCATCGATGCGGACGAATGGATGAGCGATATGATTGAGGGAATGGCATGCGAGCAGCGAGAACATGTGGTCTGGTACCAATCTGTGCCAGATTAGATCTTGTGTCCCAGACCCCCCTCCTCCTCAATCCATTCTGCTCTCTAGGTGTAGGCGGGACTCTCGCGACAGTGGCATGCCCCTCCAGACGAGGGACTCGAAAGAAGAATATCCAGTATCGAGTATCGAATATCGAATATTAAGATACCAAATCCGAGTACACTTCTACCTAACCCCGTAAATCTTCACAATGGAGTACCCGTATCCAAATATGCTAATTTTGATCGTAGCTCGCCTCAAGGACACACTATATTCTACAGTATCCTATTATTCTCCGAAGTATGACTAGTTATGACTATGACTATGGCTATGACTATACTAGTCCACTAGTCTGTTACAGATGCACCTCCCCCCAACGCCCCCCTGATCCACTACCCGCATGCACCTGCGTTCGGCTATTGGCGCCTCCAAAAAGCTTCCTTCAGCCACTTGCGTGGGACTAGACCTCTGTGGATAAGCTTGTGTTGACTGCCCTGGTGGCGTATGTAGTGGGTTGGTGTGATAGTTGAAGGGGAATGGAGGGTGACTGATGGGTTTGTTGATTATTAATGGGTTGTATAGTTCACATACGCGTTTGTTCTAGTCGTTGATTTTCATACTGTCAAGATGAAGAGGTAAGAGATACCCTTTTTTATGCTAATTCACCTGTAGACTGCAACCTTGGAAGTGCTCTATAGGCGATACCCATGGTCTATGCTGTGATTCCTACCGTGCTGTGATTTCTGACGCTACAGATAATATGAATAAGAATGATCAAACACTATATCATTTAGTAGATTTTTCCCCCACTCATTTCCTTCCTTGTTCTTCAGCTCGACTGCGTCCTCGACAAATTATATTGAAGGTGATGGAGATGAATACCTAGCAAGTTCATCGGGATATCAGAGGCCTCCACTCTGCCATTTCCATTTTGCTTCCTGAGAGGCCTCTAGATTGACCGATTGACCGATTGACTCGTTCCCAACTCCTGACTGCTTTCTTTACGTAGGCATAGGCACGATATCGGAAGGGAAACCAGCAGATAGTGCTGCATTCAATTTGCAACGTGTTCATCTCCCCAGATTCCGGTCCACTGCTGCACGTAGTGATACTCGAACCCCGGCTCAACAAACGGCAACCCCACCAACCGAGTCCTTGTAGTATTAAATTGAAAAATCCGAGTCCTTTCATGATCAGACCCTAAATTGCCAACGAGGATTCCTGCATGTTTTTCCGTCTCTGCATCCGCGGCGGCAGGACCGCTTGGGGTGTTTGAAAGCCGGCAACGGGAACCTGCATCCTCGACTTAATGGAAGATCAAGACCGTGCGACGAAAGTATCCACTTGAATTAAACTCAGGGGGACATCTCTAGGAGTTCTGTCATACACAACTATCACCTACCAGCCGGAAATACCCCCTGAATATCTCTTGTAGGCCTCAGTTCCATCTCCCAGTTAAACTCTCCTAGCTTCGAGGAAAGCCGGCAAGATCAATTGCCAAAATTATCTTTGTAGACCACCAGCTCTAAGCTACACAGCTCACGGCAGCCTGCAGAATTAGAAACCACGGGGTTGAGTAAATGACGTTCCTTGTCTACCCTCGCCTCGTGCGCTTCCTAGGTAACATCGGGCCTTGGGAAGGCAACCAACCGGGCCCCGAAGAAGAACTTACCAGCAGACCAACAAAAAGCTCCGACAGGTGTGAAAAAGAGGGAGTTCCCGGGCACCAGGGAGACGAGGGGATATGCCGGCCGTCTGCGTTACCCTTTCCACGACCCGTTGTGCTTCCCTCCTGTCCAGTTCATCTCGGAATGTTCCAGCTTCAATCCAATCCACGTCTAGTACAGCCGAGCTGCTTGGCCTCTTTTTTATGCCATCCCGTCTTATCGCTTCGCAATGTGCGCCGGGTGGTATGGTATATCGTGAGCACATGGCAGCTTGTGTATTAGAATTTGAGAGTGGGAGTATCGAGCGTGTTGAACTCTTAAGTCTGTCGTCTGCCCATCTGCAGCATCCTCCCTCGCCTTACGGTCGAAGGTGATTCGTGTGCAAACGGAAAGAGGAGAAGTCGAGTTAATCCAATATCCCCTTGCTTGATTTTGGATATCCGGGATTACTTATTACTAGTCTTTTTCTATCCTTCCGCTTATTTACATTCTCCCCGCAATCAGCGCGGGAAGCATCGCTCTTGCAGCAGATGCTCTTCCGGTGCAGATGTACGCAAGTTGGGCGTTTTCTTTGCCATGGGATTGGAATATTGAGCTCCGGCCTGGGGGGCGGCTTGATGTGTCGTACAGCATGACCAACGAGTCTTGCCTCCTAGCCCTGTGTGGGTATGGCCCCAGAATATGATTTGGGCCGGATTTGGATTTGTTTGGTAGATGAGGAAGTTTTGTTCGATTGGCTACATGGTAGACTCATGTTTGAGATACCTTTCTGTCGAGTTTACTATCTTCTATGCAAGCCTAAGCTGGTAGCGCGCATCCAGGGAATGAGCTTCACATCGAAAAAAATGATAGCTTCGAAAGTGTCTGTGAAGAACAGTATGCTAAGCTAATTTCCAGGGATACGAACATATTTTTAAAGTCTCGCGGTATAGACAATCTCCACTAACAGTTTCCGTCCCCTGAAGGTCTAGATCTAAACAAACAGCGCTTTTCGAGCTCTCCATCTTTTGCATGTATCTCTACATAAACCATCTGCCCTCTGTCTCGGATAGAAGACTCGAACTCGGGGAACTCTCCCTCGAGGCCCTTCCGCTGTCAGCTGTCCACAACGCTCAGTCCTCGAGCCCACCTTACATGTCTCGCGATGCCAATGCCCGGTTTGTCGCCTTCAATCGCGAGTTTTGTCATGCTTCCAACGGGGTCAAGAATGAAAGGAGTGTACCGCATTCTCGAGGCCGAAACAACCCGATGAACTGACTTGCGCATTCTCCAGCCATGTTCAGTCCCTCGGTTTATCCTGAGCTTTGTGGTTAATGATACCACTGATAAGGTGCTCATGATTATCGGAGTATACCTGAATCATACATAAGCTTATTAGGGTAATATCACCCTCGATTCTCCCCGGTCCCACTCATGGTTCGATGTAGTCCGGGGTTGGATTTAAACGGGTGTGAGATGAAGAACAGGCACATTGTACTACCCGGCTGCATTGAGGCCAAAAGACCGGCGAATCTTGCAGACGCGAATAGGCCTTGGGGTAATTCAAATCATCAGAACGCCATAAACAGAACGAAAGATAGATAAAAGCTCCGCCAATTAACCATTTTCTCATAATTCCTTTTTCGATTTCTTTCCGTTTATCGATCAACGTTTTCCTATTCATATTTTCCGCTCATTCTCGTTGGCTCCACTCAGGAAGGTATACGCCCTTCCCCATCTGTCTCCCCGTGTGTCTCACTGCCCTCCGATGCACCTTGCGAACAGAGTATCCCGATATACCTGCATCGTTGTTTTTGAATTATTACTGTTTTATTTCGACTCTGCTCACGGCGGTGCTCGAGACGGCGCTTAGCCACCGCGCCGATTTTCCATTATCTGCTTTGCTGGATCGTTCGTCCGAGGTCGTTCGTTCGTTATACCTGTCTCGACCCGCAGTCAGATAAATACTGATTGCATGGAGGCGGATGCTTGGCACTCAACGGTTCTGCATGATTAGAGACGCTGCAAGAATCCGAGAAGAAGTGTCCGTGGACCGCGACTAGGGATTGATATAAAGCTTCAGTCCTTTCCTTTCGGGCTTGGATACAGATTTCCCAAACCAAGCATTACTTTCCTTTTATCTCTACTTTGCAGTTGCACTTCATCATTTGTGTGAACTTTCAAGTCTTCGTGATCCTTGTTCCTCGCTCAGCTTGATACAATCCACTCTTGTTTACCCAGCACAACATCACCTACACAAACGATTCTCACAACACTTGCCCGAATAATCAATCAAGACACAATCATGACTCCCGTCGGCCCCCGAGTCTCTAAAGAGGAATTCATGTATGCGCTTGGCCTGAACCCGCAGGATCCACAGCATGAACAGTATTACCGCGCCATGCGAGTAAGTAGTCTATTGTGCCCTTACAGTTTTCAACAAGAAACCACAATATGAAGCTCATATAAGACCTAAGGCACCAGCTAACCCACCCAAGGACGAAACAATCATGGTCTACAACCGCATGAATCAAGATACATCTCATCTCCTCGACAGCGTTCGCGCCGACCCCAGCACTCGTCCTCCATTCTTCTGGCACCATATTCGACCAGACCACCAACGCTGGGCAATCATGGAGATCTGGCGCAACGCTGGTCCCCTCACGCGCCCATTGTTCGATCGTGGAGGTACAAATGGCGAATATGGCCCTAACTGGGTCGCTGGGTGGTTGTTGTACAGCGTATTCCGCTCGCGTGATGTACGCAACAACCGGAATCGAAGAAAGGGAGACAATGGCGGGGCTGTACCTGACTCCGGTAAGAAATCTAGAGGAAAATGCGCCTTTCTTAGTGATCAAGCTAATTTGTTCGTTTGCTGGGTCTGATAGACAAGAGGGCTAGGCAGGTTGAAGAGGCGGCGTCGCCGAAGAAAGGGTATTATGATCCTGTGCGGAATGGGACGCTCTAGGAGTAGTTTGCTTTGGGACTATATTTTTTTCTGGCCATAATTTGTGCATTGGTCTATTTGTTTTATCATTTACATGTTGATAACCCGAGTTATGAAGCTTTTGTTTTGCCGGTTTCATAGTCTCGAGGGGAATTGTGGAGGGTGATAGGGTAATGCAAGTAATGGAACGAACGCAGACGCTGTGAGACTTGGTATCACGAAGACAGATTAACCAGAATGGAATCTATGGGAAAATGTCACTATGTCTTCAATCATCATCCTCGCCGTCTTTATCACTGCTGCTCTTCTTCCGGTCGTCCTTTTTGCGCTCTGATCTCAGCGCCTGGGTGACTCGCTCATCTTGTTCATCAACACGCTCGTCCCATTCGGCATCGTATTCAGCAGCGATGCTTTTAATTTCGCGACGGAGAGCTTTGCCTTCGTCAATTAACGACTCCCAAAGTTGTAGATCAATATTGTGCTGCTGATAGAGCTTTCGCTGGCGCGCACTGACGGTGAAATCCAGCGCGGACTTGTACGAAATCTCCCGATTATGGTAGAGAAACCACAGATAACCACCCATCAGCGTAGATAAACTGACCAGGTACGTCACCGGCTCCATAGTATCCCATCCCAAGTCAGTCTCAAAGGTTAGCTTGTAGACTGTAAACCACCATGTGGCGAGAATTCCAAAGCCGCCAATAGCGACACGCTGCGCTCCGCGATGCGCCATGGCGTCACATTCATGTTTAATCTCCGCGATGCCCTGGATCTGCTGCGATAGCTTTCGTAGCCTCATGCGCAAGAAATACGTGCGCTCATTAAATGATGGCACCGTGACTCTGATCTGTCCCAGTCCCGCTGGTGCACCTTCGATTGTGACAATGAACTCCTGAGCGCGAGCCGCATCACGGATGAAATCTCCAACTTCAGTGGCTTGAGACCACCGTACAAATCGCTCCGGCTCTCCATTCAAAGGATCAAGACTAGAGTCTGTCTTGGGGGGGTAGCTGTATGTCTCAACATCCTCCTCTCGAGACCGTCGACGTCTTTGAATTGGCGCACCGCTTCCGGGTTTCTGTCCATTATCGTCGCCCTCATGTTTGGAAGTGGCTTCATCATAGGCCGCTTCAACATCAAGATCATCTTCGATCCTCTTTCTTGGCTTGATCGCGTTGTCTTCGTGCTGTAGTGCGATGAATGATACAGCCGGTGGGCGCTTTATAGTTTCTCCCTCAATAGGGGGCACCTCCGACTGGATCAATCGCTCTAGGTATGACAGAGGCTGCTGTGGATGAACAAGGATGGCAATAGGCTCAATACCTGCTTGCAATGTTAGCCACATCAAGTTCCTGTGCAGTACTGCATTGACGCGTCAATTACCCTTATCATGACCCTTGTCCGTCGTCGTCAGGGGGATTATCAATTTGAACAGCCGTGATGGTGTCGTCAACATTTTCCCTGTTATTTCCAATCAGCACCACCTTTGGAAGTCGTTTTCGAACCCTTCACGTACCCTGGGTCATATGTTCTGACCATTTCTCCATCTGCGATTTTGGTGGAGGAAACTTCTTGCCTTCCTCGTCTAATATCTGCCGTTGAGGCCGATCATCCTGCTCATCATCCTTTACTTCAAGTGTTTCCAATATTTCCTCTGTCTTTTCGTTGTCACCAATCTTTTCGACATAGTTGACCTTTCTGAAAAACCGCGCCTGGCTTGGTGCAAGAGCTCGAGGACGCCTAGCCAGCGAAGTGTGAGAAATTCCAGGTGTCCAAGATTCTCTCGTAGATGAAGAGGCTATCCTTCGTTCTGGCGAGCTTTGCAGGCAAGCTTTCAGGGCAATTGGCCTCGATCTTGCGGCAAGCGATTGTGTTCCAAGACCACGCAACCATAGCTGACTTCGCGTCGATGGGACGAAGGGCGCACAGCTTCTCGCTGCTGGCCTCATGTTTCCAGTTTGTATCCACCTATATGCTTCGCTGAGGATGGGTTCGAAGTCAACTTGGGATGTGGAAGCGAATGTACATAATTCGAGGAAGGGCGACGGAGGAGGGTAAAGGAGCACGCGGTCAAATCGTGATCATGACGCAGAGGCGTTTGGAGGAATTGTGGAGAAAGCTAGACAGTATGCAACTGGCTCCCGTCAAGTACAGCAGGCTTATCAACAACAAGCCAGGCCGATCCAGGCACATCGATCATCGCCTATATTTCATCAGTACTAAGTGTTTCCCTGCCTTGGCCAGGGTAATGACGTCAGTGTGGTACGTGCTGGTTGACCGCCTGCGATGATGTGGCTGTGCTGGTCCTTCATGTGGCGAATGTTTCCTCCAAGGTATCAGGAAGTTGAAGAACTATTTGGCCACAACGCTTTTGACTTGTATTTCAGGCGTGAGCTCTGGCAGTTTGTGGCAGGCTCCACTCAATCCGATTCCCAAATGACTTTGTTCTGCGCAACCCCGCTCCAGGCAGATATATTTGGAGTCACCGTTGCTAGACATGCGGTCAGAGAATGTGCACAGATGTAAGGCTACCAATGTAATAAGCACGGGTGGAGGTAGAACTTTGATCATTTCTCGATAGTTCGTCGTATCTTATCTGGTAATATTAGAGAGTGATGATGGCACTTACCGCTAATTGATGCTGCCTACTAACCTGGCTTATGAATCAATTTTTTGGACAGTCGCAGTTGTAACCAAGTTCAGCCTCCTATTAAAGCTTGATTGTGGTGAGAATAAAATGTTTGTTGTTTCTTTGATTCAACCAAACTGACCGTTTTCCCGAAATGGTATGCAAGATGCTGTGGGTTGCCTAATGTGCTGTGGGGCTGAATGTTTTACAATTAAGATTTGGCCCCGAAAGCTAAGCCTTGTCCGGTCGGGCGCCGTCTACTGGTAGAGTTAAGAGATCTTACGCAGCAGTTGCTCTCTTGGGAAGAAGGGTTGGTAGAGCATCTTACTTGAGTATTGGTTGCGAAATCCTGCCAGAGGGCCGTTACTTGTTATTGTAGTTCAAGCTATATAAATGTGGAGATGATTCCGTTCAAGATAGACTTACAATCAGTTCAAAATATAAACCTGATATCTGTCGGAGCCTAGATTTTTCGCCTGTCTAAAATGGTGCTCACTACTACTACCTTCGTACTACTTCTGTTCTCATTACTTCCATGCACTCATGGAAGACCTCTTTGTCAAGCCCAGCCTACTGTCAACGTTGGCAATCAGGTTCGCTACCTTGGAACATCGACTGACAACATTGAGTCCTTCCTGAACATTCGATTCGGTCAGAGCACAGGGGGAAACAACCGATTCGCTGCACCCAAGCCCTACACCTATCCACATGGATCAATAGTCAATGCCACTCAACCTGGAGCAGCCTGTCCCCAGCAAAAGGTCCCTATCCAGGGGCTTCAAGTGTTTGACAATGTCACACGTATTTCAGAGGATTGTCTGACCTTGCGTGTTGATCGACCAGCCAATACATCAAGCACAGCCAAGCTTCCCGTCATGGCATTTATCTACGGTGGCGGTGACTCCATTGGCCAAATTTATGACACCGCATACGAACCGGGGCAATTGATCTCTAATTCCGTTCAACAAGGCTACCCTGTGCTCTATGTGGCCATGAACTACCGAGTTAGTGTATTTGGCTTCGCTGCATCCGACGCCTTGAATGCAACAGGATCTCTTAATGCGGGCCTCCTTGATCAGCGACTCGGCCTCAACTGGATACAGGAACACATTGCGGCTTTTGGTGGAGATCCTGACAATGTCACCATCTTTGGAGAGAGTGATGGTGCAACTGGGGTTGGTCTCCAGATTACGGCATACGGAGGAAATGTCGAGAAGACCCCCTTCAAGAGGGCTATCATGCAATCCGGCAACGCCGCTGCAGACGGAAATACGGCCAGCAATATATCAGCAGTACACACAACTGAGTTGATTCGGAGGGTCAACTGCACATCATCTACAAGTGAGGCGGAACTTGCCTGTCTCCGAAAACTGCCACTCAAGAAGCTGTTGTCCACTGCAATTGAGTACGAGTTTAGTGTCGCCAGTTTCGGCTTTGATGCTTGGGAGCCTACCTCTCCGTCACCATTCATTCCTGATAATCCTTCAACCCTTTTGACGACTGGCCGATTCGCCCACAATATTGATATCATTGCTGGATGGACGGAAGATGACGAGTCATTTTTCACGCCATCCACGGTCAATTCTACCAGGGATGTTGTCAGCTTGATTCACACGAATTATCCTTCATTTTCAAAGCAGAACGTTCAGAAGGCTCTCGATCTCTATCCTGTTACATCTTTCTCAGACCTACCCAAAGAAAACATCTCGGCTCAATACTTCCGTGCAAGTCGACTCCTTCGAGACGCACAGTTTTGTCCAAGCCTACACATGGTACGGATGAACCAGAAGTACTCGGGCAAAAAGACCTCAAACTATCTTTACGTGTTGAATCAGACCATGTTTACTCCGCTGTTTGCCAAACAAGAGACTACTTATCTTGGTGTCCCTCATTTCAGTGACATCCCCTATGTCTTCAATGAAGCGAAGACCCGATACTCCTTCCTGGCTACACCGTCCGATGTGAAGCTGTCTACAGAGATTAGTAGCAGCTGGGCGTCCTTCGCTGCAATTGGAAAGCCTTCTGGAAAGCCAGGCACTGTACCCAACTGGCCTGATGTGTCAGATCAAGTATCTTCCAACCAGTATAATCTTCGAGTACTCGGTGGTCCAAATGATGGCCTCACATATATCAGCAATGACAAGGATTCATACGAACAGCTGATTGAGAGATGTGATTTCTGGACCTCACCCGAAGTCTTTCAACAGATGGCTGTCTGATATGATGAAAGATGAAATTCTTGCGATATTTTTTGTTTTATCGATAAATCTTTAGACGGCTTGCTGTTTTTGTTTTGTCCTTCACTGGTGGTGTGGAAACGCAATTCAGTTCTGATTGATCCATTCCTAAAATCTACCCTACGGGGCCAATTCGTTCCTTTAAGCCTATTCTATTCTCATTATAGACAATTCAAACAACCTTTGCGCTGATATTTAAATTCCAAAGAACTAGATAATCCGATTGGCTTAACCACGTGACCGTGAAATTGGCGACCCTCAATCATACGCGTCGCTGGCCTGCGTCAGATGTCAGGGAATTTTTGACGCAAACATCACATATTCCTCCTACGAAGAAACCGAGACTCCTTCTCACCTCCACTATGCGCCCGTTTTTAGATGAGGATAATATCCGACAGTCACTTTTATCTCAACCCGAGGATGAGCCTCTCATCGCGAGATGGAGAAAATCAGCTGGCGACTTCCTAAGCTCTCGATGGGGTCATTACCTCGTCCTTCTTCTGGTAACGATAGATGTCTGCTGTAGCTTTGCAGAGTTTCTCGTCCAGCTTCACGTCTGCGAGTTGAAGCAGAACGGTTATAGGGTGGGCCATGAATGGGCCCTCATTGAGGAGGCTTTAGGTGTCACTGGTCTAGTAATCTCATGTTTATTCATGGTGGAGTTGATCGTGGCAGTCCTGAGCTTTGGAACGGGGTAAGTAACTGCATGCATTCCTTGCTTTGGCGAGCTTACGACTCTATTATCTTGGCATAATCCGAGGCGCTTCGTCTTTGAACTGCGCTAACAACATAAACAAGGTACTTTTCAAACTGGTTCCATATTTTCGATTCTACGGTGATCCTCGTCGCATTCATTATTCAGGTCTCACTTCGGGGAACGGAAGAAGAAGTGGGTTCGCTTGTCATCGTTTTGCGTCTCTGGCGGGTGTTCCAAATTATCGAGGAATTAAAGTCTGCCAGTGAAGACACTATGGAGCAATACGAGGAGGAGATGGAAAGGCTTCGACAAGAGAATGCCAGTCTTCGCCAAAGGCTGAATCAAACTCCGGGAGGAAATGAAGATTCATAAGTGGACTTCTTTTAGTCAAAGCTAGCCAGCATGCGTCGTCTTTATTCAGATTACCGTAAAATCTCATCGGCTAGATCTTATAAAGTATGATCTTGATCCATACCACGACTGAATAACCAAATAAACGCATTCTCAAGGCCGAGCAGGTGCTTAATCGAATTTTTGCCAAACAATCACGTCGTGTCTGACCCCGTGTTCTGAAAAAATTGGTCCAACATTGACTATCACTAGTTAGAGCTGCCGCAAATTCAGGAGTGAGCAATCGTACCCAGTCAATAGCCTCCGTGCCATCGATCATATCGGACATGGTCTCTATGTAGGGCAGCTCCATACCAGCCAAGGGAGCCATATTGGTAGCTTCGTTCCACTTCGCCTGTGATCGTACCTCGCCCACTTTCTTTATCATCAAATTTGACACCAGCGAGGCCAGCCGTGATTGGGCTAGATGGTTGTCATTGGCAGCCCATACTTGCTGGGAGACCTGAAGCGCATGTAGCTTCCTGGTCACAAAACCATCTTCATTCTCCTCTCCGAGAGCCTCTATCCTAATAGAGAGATCTAGACAGACCACCATCGCTGCAAGGAGGAAGTCATGCACTATTAGGGACGTGACCACCCATATGTCCTCTTGTAAGCGACCGCCAGGCTGAGTGGCTTGATGTAAGTCTGCCTGGCGGTGTAGAATCTCAAGAGCGGCCTCAAGACAGAAACGGCGGGATGGCTCAAATATTGGGTTCTGAGGCTCGTGTCGAATATATCGCCTGTGCAGAACGACAATTCCCTTGAGGTAAAGTAGCTCTAAAGTACATCGCTGTAAGATAATATCAGATGGGTCCATGAATGACTGAGAAACGTCCCTTCGGCGAAGGACTTCCGGAAGCTTCTCGTATGCTTCTTTCATTTCACGATCGAGAGCAATCGTTTCGTCATATTTTGGTGAGGCGAGAGACTGTGTATGGGCAACAATTCTCTTAAAGACGCCCATGATGCTAGACTTGACGATGCCGTAGAGCGCAGGAGTGACTTCTGTATAAGGACGTGAAGGGGGCAAGGTGTCCATATCTATGGACAGATCCGTGTCATATAGATTTCTCGGAACCTCTGTATCGCAGTATTCCGTAGGAATCATACTAGGAAGTCCCATTTGAAACGAGGCTAAAGCATCAATCTGCGCAATGTGCAACCAGACACGGCGACGCATCTCACCCTCAAACTTGGTGATATCGGCCATATCGCGTGGATCACGGTGGTAACCCATTCGGAAAGCAAGTCGGACGACGGTTCCGAGGTCAAGCCACAGCTGAGCATGGGATTGTGTTTGTGTCATGTACTGGCTCTGAAGGTACAGTAGTAGTGCTTCTAGCGCGTGTTGTTTTGCAGTGGCGTAGCCGCATGAGACGAGGCAGTAGGCCGTCATTTGTTGAAGATTTTTTGTAGAGGGCACGGGTTTGCTTGCGTCGGTCTTGACTTGTGGAGCTCGAGTCAACATGCTGGAAATGCTAAGTATTGAAAACAAAAGGGCAAGCCAGTTAAGGGAAGTTTCTTTGGGCCTTTTCCAAAAGTTTTCGTACTAAATATTCTTTTGAGTATCCTGACATTAGAGGTTGGAGTAGCTGGAGACCTACCTCGATTCGGAACTTCCCGTAGTGTACAATCCCTGCAAGCCACTGTCAGCTCAGACTCACAAATATGTCTTTGGACTTGATGCATACCTAAGACCATATACCTAGAATTGAAGTAATTGGCAAGCAAGATATCACAGGTGGGTTGAGGTGGAAGAGAGCTTATAGCATCGGTCACACTCAGCACACGAGACAACGATACATCAAGGTTGATATCAGGCTGGATCTCAACATCATGCGTGATGTCAAGATCGTCAGTTGCAAGTGAATCCTGCGATGATAGGTCTGCCCGTATATCCTGAATCTCTTGCATAATGGACATCCAGTGGCTAGGTTCCATATATACTGCTTGACCATTCTGTTCATGGAGATGGGGCGATTCTCTTGCAGGTGCGCTTTTCGCGTCTATGCACGATGGCTGTTCGGATTCGGGGGGAGTCTGAAGCTCGAAAGAGGAAGGGCCTGTCCAGTCACTCTCTGCAAAGCAAGCCTCCGATTGACGAATGCTCCCCATACTGATTAGTGAAGCGGAGACCAACTCCTCGATTCTTTGGAGCCTGTCATCGAAACTAACTTGTCGGGGGGCTTTGGGATTGTTTCGCTTGGCATTAGAAGCATAGTGACACGAATCTTGAAGCTTTCGTCTGTTACATGTATCACACGGTATCTGCCGGTTGCATCTCAGCCTAGGATATAGTTAGTGTGTATAGTGAAGGAATAGTGGAGATCAACCGACTTCCGAGTACGACAGGGCTCACACGATACAGGAGGCCTGTTTCTCTTCTCCACTTTAGCCGAAGATTCATCCATAACGACTGATCCAACCGAGACTGCCGATGAGCTTTCGATACTATGTAAGCAGAGCTAGGTAGGTACCAGGTAATCGCCGCTCTTCCTTGTAGGATGAGAGCCATTGAAACGGGGATAAGCACAATGAGAGATTCTCCATTGTGATGCCCTCTACCGCCTACTGTTAATGCACTAGAACGGGCCGAAAGTACTACTACTGTGGTACTACTAAGCTCGTAAAACGGAGCGGGGTTAATATCTCCGCTCTGGGGGTGGGGACCAATCTGGAGATCGTAGATCACGGGAATGCAGTGACGTCCGTCTTGTTAAGCCATTTGCTGAAGCTATTCTACCTTGTAAATGAGTTGGTGAATGGAAATTTGTGAGCAATGTATGCGCATTTTACTTAATTTTTTAAGTGGTACCGATCGGCAAAGTTTCTAGGGGACTCAATTGCAGCCTTTGTGAGAGTCCCCAAACCCCCTATGGCGGACATAATATCCCCGCGATTAGCCAAAGGCCATTTCGAATGAAGAATATCACATATAAATTGCGCGTATTCCTTGAGGCTTTCCTTCTACATTTTACCTGAACATATTTCCCATCTTGGACCTCTATAATATTTCAATTGAACTATCAATTTCCCCGAAATTCATCATGGCAGCCCTCTCATCCGCCATCAAGGGCATGTCCTCGACAATCTATTCAAATCTCTTTATCGAACTTCCAATCCAGAAAGGCGATCTCACCGGACAAACGGTCATCGTCACGGGTTCAAATCAAGGTCTCGGCTATGAAGCCAGTCGTCATTTCCTACTCCTCGGGGTCGAGCGACTAATCATGGCCGTCAGAAATCTTGAAAAGGGTAAAGCCGCACGGCTCAAACTTCTCGAGGACACTGTCCGGGATCCAAGTGCCATTGAAGTCTGGGAACTCGACATGGACAGCTATGCTTCCGTCAAGAAATTCGCTACTCGCGTGGAGACACTTCCCCGACTTGACGCTCTTTTGGCAAATGCCGGCCTTGCTACGACGACTTTCAACTTGTCAGAGGACAATGAGAAGACCATTACGGTCAATGTGGTCGGCACTTTCTTGCTGATCCTCTTGCTTCTACCTAAATTGCGCGAGTCGGCGTCGAAATTCGATATTTGTCCTCGAGTATCGATCGTGAATTCAGCCCTGCACTATATCGCACCCTTGGCAGAGATCGACGTTTCCAATCAAGCCGGCATCTTCTCTCGACTAAATAACAAGAAGACTGCAAACATGGCAATGCGGTACCCTTTATCAAAACTGCTGTTGCTCTTCGCGGTTCGAGCATTGGCCAAACGCCTGGAAGAGAGCAAGGGGCCCATGGTCGTCGTCAACACGCCTAACCCCAGCTGGTGCAAGTCCCAGCTCATGCGAGAGAACGAAAGTTTTGGTAACCGCGTGGGCGAGCGTATGATGGCGCGCAGCACCGAAGAGGGCAGTCGTGCTTTAGTAAATGGAATTCTATCTGGGAAAGAGAGCAGTGGGCAGTATATTGACAATTGTCAAGTGAAGAGGTAAGGAGAACTTCCTCAACATTGCGAAAGAATTTTGCTCATTTCTCCAGTCCGGCTTGTATTGTCACTAACCCGAAAGGGACAAAGATTCAAGAGGCGTTCTTCAATGAGCTTATGGAGAAGCTTGAGAAGATATCACCTGGAATCGGCCTCAATATTTAGATCTGATATTGACCAGACATGCTCTGCTGGTTGCTTTGTTTCATCGCTTCATTACTACTAATGTACATCTAGATTAGAAGGTTTCATGTTTGTTTTAATCATCTGTTAATTACTTGGACACATCTTGTCAATTAAATAATTTAATTCTGTACAGCTATTCTGGAGGTCTTAGCAGCGTAGTTGTACCTATGCACGGGATCATGTTGCTGATGTGACAACATTTAATTTGGCAGAATCGCTGAAAAGATTCTAATTGGCCATTCAAGAAGTGCCATACTTGAGCTGAGCTGAGTAAGATGATTGAATTGAGACCCAAACAAAGCACTAACACTCGTAAAGAAAGTAGCAATCGCTAGCCTCCATAATGATGCAGACTTGTGATCTCGCTCGAGGAACCACATCATAGCTTAGGGCCTGAATCCCATTCCACCACTTTTACGCACCATTATTCAAACCCAGGGATCGAGGTCCAATAAAGAGAATCGTAATCATCATTAGCATCGCAAAAAAAACAGCAATAATTTTTCCATCTATGAAACGCAGTAATTCATGCTTCAACGAACAATGCAGAGCATGCAAAAAGCCATCGTCATAAGTCGTGTCATCGTTAAGTCCCCCAATCACCATCAATCCTCCTTCGCAGTTGTAAAAAAAGAAAACTGCAATTCCCAAGGCTTCCATACACAGATCTAGCAGATATGCCAGCCATTTGCAGCGCATCCTCCGCTCATCAAATCCCCGTCAAGCATAATCCGTCTGTCTCTCAGACGCCGGAACGCAAATCTAATCACCCCCATGCTCCGCCCTCATCATCCGCTCCGGACTACTCCCACCACTCCAACTCCCCCCACTGCTGCTGACAGAGGTATCCGTGTCATCATCACGGCTGGACTTGCGTCCCGTACCGATGGCAACAGGGATTCCCTGCACGACGCCGCCGTGGTCATGACCGGCCGGGTACATACCGTCGTTGACGGAGAAATTGCGGCAAATCAGGTACGCGCGCATAGCGGCGCTTTCGCGGGCGAGGACCTCTGATTCGTAGGTGACGTCTGTTTGATACTCGCGGTTGTGTACGCGAACAACGCATGTGTAGCCTGATGTTGTGGCGTAGGCTTCGTAGGTGGGTTCTGGCCAGCGTCGGCGGCGACAGAGGCCTATAGAATTGTTAAAAGATGTTCTTTTTCTTGCATTTTGTTTTCTTATTGGTTCTGTTTGGAGGAGATCAGGGAATTGGACGGGAGATTGGGGGATGTAATTGGTTGGCAATTTGGCCCCCTCTCCCGTTTTGATGGATCATTGCTCGGAGCAAAACAATACGATGCCCTTTGGAATAATGCTATGCATATGCTGGCCACTTACTTGCTAGGTAAAGCATATAGTACATCTTGGGGCCCTGAAAACTTCGGGAAGTCCAAGCGAAAGGTGTCAGAAACGGAAAGTAGCGCGGGAAGCGGTGTTGCCCAATTGTCGACTTCGCAACGCAAGAAAAAGAATGAGGCGGCTACTCCAACAGCATCGAATGGATTGGCTGTCGTCTCGACGGGTAGACGGGTAGGGCTGAGGCTGAGGTGCTGGCCGATGCAGCTACACAAAATCCCTCCGGGATCTAGATATGCGGATCGTGATGCCCTGATGCCCAACGTTGTGGACTGATATCACAGACAGGACTGACAGCTCAGTCGGCCCTAAATGACAAGCTTGGGCTTGGGGAATTGAGGGATGTATTTGTTGTTTGCTGTCAAGGGTGACGCTAGCCGGTCAAGGACTGGCTTGGTTTTGGTTCCCTTTGTTTTTTGTGTGATGCGTGGGACCTTGGAGGAGAGGGGAGTGGCAAGTTCTAGACACGACTAACACAGTCACCCGCGGCTTGGGCTGATCAGGTGAAAATGAGGAAAGCGAGAGAAGCGCGAGGGGGCAGAAGTTGGAAAGAACGAGGACTAAATGACTGGAAAGACTAGAGGATCCACGGAGAACCAGGAGAAGATGCCACGCCACATGTACACATACAAAAAAAAACACACACGGTTCTCCGTACCACCGAAGCGAAGCAGACACTGAAAGAAATTGTGTAAAATAAATATGTAAATGCTAGGGGGCAAGGGAAATTCTAATTTTTTTCGAGATCATAGAGAGGGGGAGGGAGACAGATGGCGACTGCTTCCAACCGATACGGAAATTACTTCTATGGAAAAACAGGTGGGGCATCTCAATGCATTGATACATAAAAGCCATGTTGTGAGTTGTCCACCGTGTGTTGACTGTACCAATCCAGCAGCATTCCGAGTCCGGAATCTCTAGCAAAAGAGGGGGACAGGGAAGGGGGATAGACAGTTGCAATCTCGACAGCGCACAAAGAGTCAAAAAAGGGCTGTACCCAATGTAGTGTCAGAGACATATACCGAAAAGAGAAGTAAAAATGAAAACTCTTGTTTGTTCCCGCGGAAGGATCGGACGCCGCCGTCTCAGTAGTCGCTGCAGAAACCTGAATGGGCTAAAGAGAGGACGGAATCATCGTTTCTATACTTGACATGGCCAGGGGTAGAGGACATACAACGCATCGCAATGATCCCAGAAGACTAATATTGTTTTCAAAATTTCAGTATCTTGGCTAATTTCGGTCCTCACCGTTGGGAAACTATCGGAGATCCAAGTTACGGGTCTAATGATACGCGACAGCTAGCCGATGTAAACCCTAGGTCGTATTGGATGTACACGGAAAGAGACAACGCCTCGATTGCAGATCCCTACCAGAGAGTAGCAGTTGATGTCATGGACGCGCGGGAAACACTAAGAGCTCACATTGACAGTGAGACCAAAGACCAAGGAGAGAAAAAAGCCCGCAATTGCCTCTGGACGTCTCTCAAGGCAATTGCTGTTCTGCTGGTATCTGGCGGGGTACTGCATAGGTTTTGTCGGCGGGTTATTAATTAAGGTCGGTACTGATGTGCTGGCATAGCTACTTGCCAGTCGAATCAAACCGAATGGAGGGACACACTTTCGGGCCCGGGCCTAGGTCCTGGGTTTCGGCCATGATCCTGGTCATGGGGGGGCAAAGGAAGAGGGACGGGTTTCTGGTTCCTTTGCATACAATTCGCCGATCTAAACAGCGAATCTAGCATCGGAGACTTTCAGTAGGGAATAGGACAGAGAAAGGCAGCAGAGAACGTAATGGATCTGGTACCTAGCGGGTAGGAGAGGCGAGGGGCAAAGACCAGACAGCAGACGCAGGAGGGAGGCTCGGAGAAAGAAGAGGCGAGCGGGGCATTGAAAACTAACAGCTGGCTGGCTTAGCTCCGACTGCTGCAATCGGCTGCAGAAAATTAGATGGAACTTGATCATCGCCAACCTATCGAGCGACTGGATCTCGGAGAGAAGAGAGACTAATCTGGAGCCGAGGTGTGTACTGTACTCTGTACTCCGTCCTGCTTTGTTCTCCTCTCCTCTCCGGATAGAAGGTAACAATGGCGGGACCTGGTGGGTTTAGTTTGCATCAATCCTCAGCCGTTCGCCATGACCGGGTTTGAGTTTCGCGCTGGGCCCGTCATCTTCCCTTTCGTGCCCCGCAGTAAACGCAGTAGCTCCTCCAAAGGGGAAAAAAGGTAACCAGCTGAATGGCTCTTCCCCTTTTTGCCGCTGGATCTTTCTGGAGAGGCGCGCTGCAGGAATCCACTAGGGGACAACGATGATTGGCGCCGAGCGGGGGGCTGGGGCCGTTCATGTTGTGCAGAACGCGTCTGGGGCATGGACAAGCCGCTCAGGATAGAGAAGATAGTCAGCAAGATGATTAATCCGGATGGGAGAGCAAGTATCCCTTTTGTCAGTCATGGAGGAAGGAGAAACGTGATGCACGTACCCCCGGCGAGTGTCTGGAGGATTTGATTCGAATGGGAAGTTTCATGACAAAGTTACTCGACAGGCATTCGGGGATGCAGTGATGAGTTGGCAACATGTGCGGTGGGGGGACGGCGTTGATTTATCTGTGCTCGTGTCGGGTCCTGGACGAGTGTTACGAGAGTGGACGAGGCACAATTGCCCGAATGGGCCACCTGCAGCAAGAGACGATGTCGGTGTGTCTGCAATCATGGCAAACAGAAATAAAGATCGTCCTCGCCAGAGAATTACTAGGAGTGGTCTCTGGATATCTTGGTGGGAGCTATCTCGCTATGTGACTCTACTAGCTTCCGGCATCTAGTGTGCCCTATAGTGCCAGACTCTCGACTGTACAACTCACTAATGGATGTAGCAGGGACTAGCGAAGAGACTACATGAACGGAATACTGTTTCCATGATGATCTTCATAATCTATATGAAGTAGCATGGAGAGGTACAATGAGACTCGAGGATAGCTTAAAGATACAAAATATACTCGTGAAGCACAAGCAATGTGAAGATCATACCTGACGATAATACCTAAGCGATGCCTCGGATCCCAACGTTGCACTTTTCCCCTTCTGTAGCTGTCTCTCCTCCAGCTTATCAGTCCCAGTTAATTCCATGCTCCTCTCACGCGATCGACTGGCAACGGAGTAGTCCACACTAAATCAACTCGACCCAAATTATCCGCGTAGTTTCCAGAAAAACTCCTGAGATCACCTCGAGAATTCAAGGGACAGAACTGAAGAATCATGGAAAGACAGATAGGAAGACAGAGAGATAGTCATCCGAAGCAACAGACCCGCCACAAGAAGGGATACCACGTTCTGCAGGCCTGTCAGAAAGTCCAGATAATCCCAGCCTCGAGTCCTGCATGTCAGATTGTCCTGTATCATGTACTTTTTGCCCCCTCCCACTCAGTGAAGCCTAAAACACACGAGTCTATCATGTGGACTCTCCCATTTCCTCCCCCCGTAACACTCGTGTACCCGGCCACTCAACCCTCGGGAGAAATCCACACTCGCGCGTCACTACCGGTTCCTGCTTCCCTCCAGATGACATGACATGACACACTACCTTACATCCATCCGTAAGGTTCACGCCTCTCCCGGCAACCACTAGATCGCAATAGGCTGACCCTCACACCAGAGCCGCATGTTCGCGGCAGCCTGGTGCGGAATGACGAACAGCGGGTGAAAAGCGACGAGGCGGTCTGCCTTGTCGTACACGTTATCATCTGTGCGGACCGGTGAGGATTGCCAGGAGAAAGCTGAGGCGAAATTGTCGCTGGATGTGATGCTGGTATTTGTGCGGTAGTGGTGGTGTTGGGTTGCGCTCAAGCCGGTTAGGACGTAGCAGGTGTGATAGGAATCTGGACTCCTGGGTTTTTGGGGTTTATGGTTAGCGATAGCTAGGACATGGGAAAGGGGAATAATTTCCAGTAGAGGTGAAGTAGTAGGTAGGTACTTACTTGCCCGGTTTATCTCGAAGTCCGCCAGAAGGAGATTGGCAGCAGCCGAGAATGTATCGATCCAGTCCCTCCCGACTGTACAAGTTACCAACAGTTCTTGGGGGTGCACCCGAGGACTGTGGCTTCCCATCTAAAGCAGACTGCAGCAAGGGCCAACATCCGCCAACCCAATGGCTGTAGCAGCCATCGACTAGTTTGTTCGTTCGTCCGGAAAAGCCTCCTTCAGGTGCGTACTGTCGCGCAGAGAGCCATGACAGTAGCAGAGGGATGTTCATGTGTCTTGTAATGCAGTTAGTGTGATGGACTTTTCCTAGCGTGATAAGATGGGATGATATTGCATCGCTTAGGCATACCTGGGGATAGTCTCTTCTGGGGGTCCCAGGATTGACAAACAGGCGAGGGCACAGAAAGCGTATGCTCCATGGGCCTCGACTCCGGGACTGCCGGAGATGCCACCTTCAAATGATTGACCTGGACGAAGGCGATAAGATGATATGTTAGTGAATGGAGAAATGAAAGCTGGTCTGGTCCTACCCAGCGGAAATTAATGGAAGGGGGTTCTTACAGCGCGACAGATACTCAGCGAGTCCATCTGTCAACGTCTTAAAACCTGCCTCTCGGGCTTTGTTTGCATCATGCGGCAGAGTCAGGGGTAGGTCGAGCAGCGAGATAATGGTTGCCGCACAGTATGCACCACTGCATAACGGGGATATGTATTAGCGGCTGAGATCTCGTATCTTCTCGGGTGGGCATCGAGGGAGATGTATTGTAGGATGCTTGCTGGCATGATCGCTTGCATGCCAGTTTTCTTTCTAACTTACCGCACGTCTTCTTCCCCGCCTTCCGTAACACTGAAGCCTCCATCAGATTGCTTTAGTCGGCCCAGCCATCGCCACCTAGTAAGAAAAGCACGTTAGAGTTAGGCGTACGCGCTAAAGCAACAGATAGCTGCTTCTGCTAGGGCAGGACAACGCACATTGCTTCACGATCGACCAATGCAAAGGCATCCTCGCCTCCGACTAGGGCGAGGGCGAGAACGGCTGCATAACTTCCGGCAAGATGTGATATCTGGCCATGCCCGCCACCAAAGCCGCCGGTGGGATTCTGCATGGGACGAAGTGTTTCCAGTACCCTGCAAGTAAGCCAAGGAAAAATCACGGGTTAGCCTTTTGCCCTTCCCTCGATCAATGCAGGTGAGCCGTCCATGGTGGCGTCTTGTCCACTCATGGCGGCAAGTAGTAAACGCTCAGTAGTACTCGGGCAGGTAAAAGCTAAAGTGGAAGGAAGGTAAACCATAAATATAGCCAGGCGATAGATCACTGCCGATCGCAACGAACCAACGGGGTAAAAAAGAGGGTAGGGACTGGAGTAACAAGCATCGAATCAGGGTATACAAAGATTAATCATGAATCAAATCATAACGCCATGACAGGCATACAAACGCCCAGCGAAAAACCGACATGCACACTTACCGCTCCCGAAAACGCGTTGGATCCTCGCCCAACAACGTCAATCCAGCTAGTGCCCAATAGACCATCCAGGGACGACTCGCATCCATAGCGACGAAGCCAGCGGGATATTCTTCTTCCAGAGACTCAAAGAGAAAGACAGCATGGCCATCTCGCTGGAGGGCGGGTACCCCGGATGCATTGAGAGTGCCCTGTTGGGAAATATGGAGGCCCTTGAGAAATGTCAGACACTTGTTCAGGGTTGCGTCCTGCAGCTGGATGGTCTCTGTCACGAGCGGGTCGCGGATAGGCGGCGGCTGTGTGAACAAAGCTGGGATCCCCGGACGGGGCTCTTCTTGGCTGGCCATTCCGGAGGCAGTGATCGGCTTGGATTTGCTGGACTTGCCAGGCTTTAGATCAGAGGGGGATTTGGTCTCTGTGTGTCTCTGCTGGGCTGTGGTTGGTGTCGATATGATGGCAGGCGGTAGGTTAGCGGCTGGAAATCGAACTTTGCGTTTGTGTCGCCCCGCGATGATGGGTGGCATGGACAAGTTTTGTCTCTGAGGGGAAGAGCTGGGGATATTAGGATGGATTTGAGATGGAAGAAATTGAGTCCTTGGGAGCTAGTCCATTGACTTGTGATTGTCTGGCGTTTGGAAGTTATTGTTCCTGCGGCGATGAATGGGAAAACCCAACGTGGTGGTGATTGTTCTCCCCACTTTTCCTCCGCCCCGATTCCAGATTCTTTGTCTCTTCCATCTGGTCGACCACGGGAGATCTAGAGATGGTGATCCTCCTCGATTCTCTACTCTCAAATGGCCATAGCTCTTAGGTCTGCTTTTTTGTCAATAGTCCTGTAGTGCTTGGGTTTCTGCTTCTCGATCCTAGTCCTAATTAGAATCTCCTAGTAAAAGACCCCTAAAGCAGGGTAGTATAGCTATTCTCATAGCTTCCTCCAAGAACTGCATCATGCTATCATGCTATCTTGTTTATGTCAGCGTGCAGAGTGGCTTCTGTATATCGTACTTGAATCCTCCGCTGCTGCATGTCAGACAGGCAAAACAGGAGAGCTCCACTCCTGGAGAAGCCCTCGGAAGGGGCCTCCCCCTCTCAACAGGATTCAACCAGTGATAACCTGTTCGTCCCGAGCATGATGCACTGTGATGTGATCTATCTGGTTGGAATCACCATCTGCACGCGACGGTGGCTAGTGCGTGTCTGGTTATTTGTTCATCGTGTACAATGTGCAAAGGGTTTGCAGAGTGGCTTGTTTCTCATCTTGCTCCCTTGCTGCCAGACTGCATGTGCAACTACCCCAGGCCCAAGCGTGCTGATAGAGTCAAGCAAGATTGGAGTATTCACTAACTACAGTATGTGCATTACTCCGTACTGATTTCCTGGTTTCCGACCTGTCAAAGCCCAACCTTCCTGGGGAACCCTGATCAAGTCCCAAACCCTCGGGTGAATATACTATGGCAAAAAGAGTTCAACTCAAGTTAAGTTTTTTTTATCTTTTCATCGGTCGCGGAGATGCTGTGCAGCAAAGTCCGCAAATGGGCCAATTCTCTCCCATCGACCCCAATCTCACCAATCGATCAGCCCCTCCGTCATCAAGTTGAACCAACAGAATCCCTGCCCTCGCGAGTCAACTGCATGGTCAGCCCCCACTACAGAATGGGCATGAATGGTGTGTTTTTCTCCTCCTCTCCAGCGTCTGCCAGGACGAGGGGTGTTCCTTGGGAAAGATAGGATATTCCCGAGCATCGTGGCATGGCGGGATCCAATTAGGAAGGAGTGGGCTATCATGTCTATCCTGAATATTACTACGGAGTACTACCACAGGATTCAGATGGGATTTCCCAAGCATCACGATCAGGTGTCAGATCCGGTTGGAGGCTTGGAGCACGGTCCTACTCGTGTCTTGGAGAGAGATACACTAGATACGCTCGACAGCCTATTGCCACGCTCTCACCGTCCTGCTAGGATTCTCTTCTGTATGCCTTACAACCCTTGCCCTGTCTTCTTCCCTGGGGCTCCACTGATCTCCCGTTCCGACCGTCCTTCCCGTCTTGCCCACGTCTTTTGCCTGGGGGTCCCACGATGGTCAATGTTGTAATGAGACTGGACCTAGGGTTCGGGGATAGAGACACGGTCAACTCCGTTGACTACTGAAGATTATTTATGTATGTACATACAGTATGGGGTATATACTAGATAGACTATAGGCTCACCCAAATTCTCATGGCCCCATAATACTCTTATAGTATTACCGTATCAACGCCATTCGCTCGAGCTATGTGCTTACTATCCGAAAAAGAATGCCCGGCTTATGAGGCTACCTAGTCCGCATTCCGTGGAGTCTCATCTACCACTATATTGATTTCCTATATCGAGTCACTCGTCCGAGACGACTCCTCCTAGGCTCCTCCTCTCCATGCTACTCTGTATCCGCCCCTGCTCGTAAGAACAAGAATGCACGGAGATCATGGGACTTTTACGATCGCGCAAGATGACCGAGGGCGCACTAAGCCCCAATGCAACCAGTGATGAGCATGATGGAGACCCAATCCGAGGAATGACAAGGTCGGCGTGGCAGTAAAGATCAACTTTCAGTCCAATAAGTCCATCATCACCAACAAAAAACCCACCAAAAACCCCCCCCACCCGTGTCAAAGCCCAGCCTTTTTTCTCTCTCCACTCGGACAACATCCAGTCGTCTTCAAGTACTCCATACAGTAGTGTCTGTAGTCCACTCAAGCGACTAAAAATCCCCTAGCGCATCTTTTGCTCACCGCTGCTTTGTGCCCCCCACCGCCTCACTCGTGATGGCCGTGTACGACTCTCGGCCTCTCTGAAGAAGCCCTTTTCATCCAGGCTGGCCCTTTCCCCCTCCCTTCCCCTTCGTCCAACGACCCTTTAAACCACTTTTTGGTGGTCAAAACAACACTTTTAACGACCGCCATGTCAAATGTCGATATATCAAGTGATGGCCTCATCGTCGATTACGACTCCAGAGGTTATCTCCCGCAATCATGGCCCGTAGCGGTCGACCAGAACCCCTCGCGCCCGGAAGACGCCCATGATCTGTCGCCGCTTCAAACCAGCGGTCACCCCCTGGAACAGTCGGTGGCCCAGGATCCCAACCTGATGGTCGACTGGCACTACCACCACCAACTTCAACAGACCCCTCACCATCACCCACAATTATCATATTCACCCGAGGATCCATCGTCAGCGCCCCAGTTCACGGCCGCCAGCTATGGAATGGCCATTCAGTCGTCGCCGGTGGATCTCATGTCCGCCGGTCCGCAAGGTCAAATGAGTGCTGGTCTGCTCGATTCCTATCATCTTCCACTGTCCGCCCCCGTCGACATGGTGCCTTTTACCTATCACGATTTCCAGGCCGATCTGATGACTTTCAACGGATTGCCGGATGTTTCATATGCCGCCCCGCACCCCATCTTGGAGAGCAGTTCCCCGACGGACACCTATCTCGAGGTCCGTTCGTTATCCAGTAGCGACAATGGATGGAGCACCGTGGACCACCGCCGCTCGCTGGATTTCGGTTTCCCAGAGCAGGGCATTTTTGTCAACCCCACTCAGACATTGCACGATCGGAGTCTTTCAGAATCGTCTTACTCGACTTCTTACAACAGCTTCGTCGATATCGCCAATCCCATCAGTTCCCCCGGTTCTGACGGCCACATGGACTTCCCGTACAACAACCATAGCGCTGCTCTCAGCCTGGCCACTTCCCCGACAAGTACCTCCATGGTCCACCGTGTGACCGAGGAGCAATCGTCGCCCGTCTCTGGTTCTGGTTCTGGTTCTGGTTCTGGTTCTGGTTCTGGTTCTCGCTCCCCGTCAGCGGTCAGCCCCAGTGCGATGGTCCGCCCAATTCCTGTTCCTATTAAGAAGTCAACCTCACCCACTCGCTCATCGGGTTCGCACTCATCTGCTTCGCCCCCCAGCAGGAAACCATCTCGTAAGAGTCCCATTGCCGCCAAGACAGCCGAGACCAAGATCCGCAAGCAATCTCAAACCGGCAAGCCCGAGACGACTGAGAAGCGGGTCGGCAAGCGTAAGGGTCCTCTCAAGCCCGACCAGCGTAAGCAAGCCAGTGAGATCCGGAAGCTGCGTGCCTGTCTGCGTTGCAAGTTCCTGAAGAAGACCTGTGACAAGGGTGAGCCTTGTGCGGGCTGCCAGCCGTCGCATGCCCGTCTGTGGCAGGTTCCCTGCACACGCATTGATATTAAAGAGATTGGCTATTTCATGAAGGACTGGAAGGCGGATTACGAACGACACATTTCGATGGGATTCTCGGTCGGCAACATCAAGGGATTCTCCGATCAAGAACGCACCCTGTATATCACTCACGGATATGGCCAGATCTTGCCGATTGCCGCACGGGAGGTCTTCGTCCGGGATGAGCAGTGCTTCACCGTCGACTGGGTCGAGTCGATCCACCGCGAGCCGACACCATACGAGGTCGAGACCGCGAAGCTCTCTGCCGGTATGGAGGGTATCTCCCACGCCATGCTGTCGGACTACCTGGACCGCCACATCGATGGCAACGGCACCTTTGAGAAGTTCGTTGACGACTACTTCGAGGGAACCCCGTTCCTGACCCAGATGTTGAAGACCGCTTTCCGCTACTACTACCGCACCAAGCTGCCCGTCATCCGCAAGGCCCTCAAGCTGATCATCGCCTACAACTTGACCCTGCACGTCACTATGGTCGAGGGACTGGGTGATGAAGATGGATTCCTCGGTCGGATTAACGAGCCGAGCTCCAAGTTCAGCGGCAAGACCATGGCCCCCGTCATGATCAACTTCCAGATCAAGTGCGCCATGGCCAGCATGTGGCGCGAGCTGCAAAAGGATGTCTTGGAGGAGCTGTCGGCCTTGTACTCCAGTGTGTACAGTGGTGATAAGTTGAAGAACTGGCCCACCATCTTCGTGCTAGCTTCGATTCTCTTGGCTGTCTGGGAGGAGATGCAGTTTGATTGCCACTACCGCACACCCGATCAGGCTGCCGTGGATAAGTTCTGCACTGACATGGAGACCACCCCGGTCGGTGTCATTGTCGGACTCTTCCAGGCTATTTCCCAGAAGCTGCCTCCCTTCACCGAGTGGGACTCGCAGAAGCACCACCACCTTCTATACTCCAACCCTGATGTTTGCAACACGATGACCGAGGTCCGCCAACATGTCGAGCAACACGGTAAGCATAGATACCTCCTTGGCGCATCCTGCCCAGATGATAGACATTGACACTAACACCTTATTCAGAGAGCTACCTCCGTGGCCGCACCGGCACCCAATTCGACCGCGGCGACTTCGACTGCCTGTCGAATAAATTCGTGTCTCGCCTGGTCATCCGTGCCAACTAAACACCCTTTTCCAAACGAACGACGCGCATGCACATGATGAGCGAACGATCAATGCATTCTTTTTTAACTCTCACGACTACTGCTTTACTTTGCCAACCAGCGAGATCTCAGTCCCAGCGATTTATTCTGTTTTTACACGCAACCAACGACCTGGATGACTCAAGACACCCTCCCTCTCCCAAATTACGCTAGTCGTGATCGATGCGCCAGCGCGTCTTCCCTTACGCTCCTTATAACGAATTATCACGATCGCATGATCTGATCTTGTTTTTATTCCACCGCTCCTAGAGAGTCGGTTGCTTCTCAGCCTCTGTGTTTTCCCCCGTGTTTTTATTTCTTTTGCATCGTGGTTCCTGGGAACTACTCCTTCCTTCCTATTATCTCTCTTTCTGTCTCGAGTTATCTTGTGTGCTTTCTTTGTGCTATTTTATTTACTCTGTCTATTGACTGTTGTCTATTGTGGTATACCTTTCTCGCATAGCTTCCAGCGATGAACGAGGATCACGAACGTTATGAACCGTGTACGGCCGACTGTGTGTTGCGCTTGTTTTTGTTATTATTGTGTTTTGTGGCCGTGGGGTCTTGTCTATCCTGTTCTGGTAGTTCTCCGTGATGTGATGTTGCGAGGAACTACTTTGGATGGAATGGCAGGCTCTGTCCATGCTGAGCCACAGATAATCCGAATTCGTGTTGAGGTTTTTGGTTTTTTTTTTTTTTTTTTTAGGAGTGGTGAGGAAAATGGCGTCGAAGGGTTGAATTTCCCCGTCTTTACGCCTGTGGGATCGTGTCTATATATCGATATCTTTTATTTTATATCCTTCTTCTGTCCTTTCACCATGGTATTCGATTATGTTGGAGGCAGCAATTGTCCTAGGTAGTAGTATTTGGATTAGTACTTGGACTTGGTTGAAACTTAAGCTAAGCGCCCTCGTCGGCAATATTACACTCGCAAGGTACTTTTCCCATTAAGAGTACCGTTGGAACGGGAAGGTCAATAGTTCTGTTGATCAATTCCGTGTTCGGGAGCAGCAAACATGTGGCTACAGCACTACTCCGTACTGTATATAGGAACGGATTGTTCCGAGTAAACAAAGTTTACACTGTGAACAGCCACTCTTGTCTGTTGGCAAATTGCCGATGCCGGAACTGGTGTCACCTGATCCCAGTCACATGACTGTGGCTAAGTATAGACTACCTGGGGGCAGTGCCAGTTCACCGTGTACAGCCTGGTACCCAATACAAGTATTAAATGTATCGACCATACCGTAAACGGCCATTTATTGTAAGTTGTAACTCCATCGATGGCGCTAGCAGGCTTCAGGTGATCTCCGGCCCACCCCCTCTTTTCGCGATAAGCCCTCCCACGTCATCGTCATCGTTATTCCCAGGCCTAAAGGCCCCCGTCCGAGATAACCGTCCTCTTGGGGCAACAGACGGGATACTCAGTGAGAATTTTCACCTTGTACGTCCCTCTATCAAGTATAGCCTTCTATCAAGGTTTTTCCTTAGTGCAGGAACCAAAACCACTCATACATGGAGGAACCAGGTTTTCTCCCTTTTGCCCGGTGGCGTCAAAGACCTGGTTCCTAGGTGGCCCGACTCCGAACCCGTAGATAACTAGGCATCCTCTCCTTGACTCATCCGGCAGCCCGGCATGGCTCCTTCTTTCATACTGGACGGAAGATAGATTAAGACTTAGTCAGTTTAAGTTTGCTCGTGGTTTTTGCCCACGCCCAGCCCCCGTACTATTCTAGGCTTTCTAGTAGTTTCGCGCGTCATGCCCATCTGACTAAGGCGCTTCGCCCCCTCATCCCATTATCGCTTTCCTACTTAAACCTCACCCCCTCTTCTGCCTCCCCTTCCCACTCTCCTTCTTTCTCACTTCTCTTCCCACCCACTTCGCAATACTCTGCGTTCCATCCTTCCCATCTTCAACTACAACACTATCACATTTCCCATAATCGTTGAACTGCTTCCATAATGCAGATCTTCGTCAAGACCCGTGAGTTTTCCTTCTCTGCGCTGGATGCCTGGTCGTGCATCCTCCTCCGTCGCCACCTGGAACAGCCCTGCTAACTTTTCTCTCTCTCTCTCAGTCACCGGCAAGACTATCACCCTTGAGGTGGAGTCCAGCGACACCATCGACAATGTCAAGTCCAAGATTCAGGACAAGGAGGGCATCCCTCCTGACCAGCAGCGCCTGATCTTCGCCGGCAAGCAGCTCGAGGATGGTCGTACCCTCTCCGACTACAACATTCAGAAGGAGTCTACTCTCCACCTGGTCCTCCGCCTTCGTGGTGGTATGCAGATCTGTACGTTTCGCCTCCCTTACTCCACTCCTACCCGGCCCCCACTCATAGAGCCGCCGGTGCCTATTGTTTCTTTTTACTAACTCGCCACAGTCGTCAAGACCCTGACTGGCAAGACCATCACCCTCGAGGTTGAGTCTTCCGACACCATCGATAATGTCAAGTCGAAGATCCAGGATAAGGAGGGTATTCCCCCAGACCAGCAGCGCCTGATCTTTGCTGGCAAGCAGCTGGAGGATGGCCGTACCTTGTCCGACTACAACATCCAGAAGGAATCCACCCTGCACTTGGTCCTCCGTCTCCGTGGTGGTATGCAGATTTTCGTCAAGACCCTCACTGGCAAGACCATCACTTTGGAGGTCGAGTCTTCCGATACCATCGACAATGTGAAGAGCAAGATCCAAGACAAGGAGGGCATTCCCCCAGACCAACAGCGTCTCATTTTCGCCGGCAAGCAGCTCGAGGACGGTCGCACACTATCTGACTACAACATCCAGAAGGAGTCCACCCTGCACTTGGTGCTCCGCCTGCGTGGTGGTATGCAGATCTTCGTTAAGACTTTGACCGGCAAGACAATCACCCTGGAGGTTGAGTCTAGCGATACCATTGACAACGTCAAGTCCAAGATTCAAGATAAGGAGGGTATCCCCCCAGACCAACAGCGCCTGATCTTTGCTGGTAAGCAGCTTGAAGACGGCCGCACCCTGTCGGACTACAACATCCAGAAGGAGTCTACACTCCACCTGGTTCTGCGTCTGCGTGGTGGTCAGTAAACGCACAGCAGATTGATGCTTTTACTTCGCTCTTTTCCTTTCTCTACATCTTTTACGATTCGACTTCGATAGGTTCTTGATGAACCTGCATGGCGTTTGGTCGGTTTGGAGCTGAGGCTTCTTTTGTTTTTTTAAACGATGGCGCCCACGGGCATAATTAGTTTTCCTATCAATTGAACCAGGCGAAATCGCCGTTCTTTGCTAGTATTTTGTTTTTTTCAGACTTGAAGTAATCAGTACATAACTCGTAGAATGTAACCGCCCGGTAAACCTTTAGAGCCTAAGCGAAACTTCCAGGTGGTCGCATCGTTCAGTTGAAGGGCCAACTGAAATATGGTATCTTTGCTAACAACATTATAAGGTAAATCCCAACGTCTTCCTGTAGCTGGACCGTTATGTAGATCAAGACTTGAATTGCCACATATGCCTTTCGCAACCCCCGCATCCTGAGAGTAACAACTTCCGCCACCAGCCACCAACCCAAAGTTACCAGACTGACCGACCAGAAAAACTGGGTTCGTCCAGCCGACCGCATCAACACGCGGTTTTCCCTCTTCGCCACTCATCGCCAGTTTCACAAACCTCAGGCGTCCAGATCTGGGGTCGCTTAGGTCATCAACCTCCTTATCGCAATCAAAGACCGTTGGGAAATACCTCACGATCGCGGAATCTCTGCTTCATCACTATGTGAGCAGTCGCCCGGGATGCCCGCATACTTCTACCATCTCAGTCTTGAAGTCGTGCGCAGCTCTCACCCACCTAAATCACCAGCTGCCACCTCATCCCTGGCCCTGGACTCTGTATGGGAAGCTCTGCTCCCCTTCCAGAAGCGGGCCCGGCCTTCACCTTCAACTCCCACGTCTAGCGGGGGTGATTCCCTTGCACAATTGACGCATACACCTGGAAAAGAAATTACGCTTGAAAGACGGTTTAAACACGCTTCCGCATCTTCTTCGTCTGAGCATCCATCTTCTAGTAGCGCGCATCATTCGCCTTCGTCGTCGCTTCACGCCAATAAGTACCCCACTACCTCTCCTAACAGCCCCTCCGATCTCGAAAACGACGTTCGCGCTGGAACTATCCTTATTGATTGCATCGATATGGTCGCACCTGATGATGGGTCTGGAAAGCGGACCCAGAAGCGTGGTAGTACTGCTGCCCCTACCGCTGGCAAAGAAGACAATCTCGTCGCTGCAGGCATTGGCACTGATATCCTAGGTGGCTTGCGCACAAAGGGTCGCTACATCCCTCTTGATCAGGAGGTCGGGGACAGTGTCTGGGGGATCGTCCATTTGTACCGTGATGTACAGGAGACTCCGTACCTCGCCGGGAACGATGATGATTACCCAACATACCTGAAAGGCTCTGCGGCCGCGCGACACCCAAGCGAGCAGCAGGCTGGCGGTGCGAGTCGCGCGTCTCATACTTGTGGCAAGGGCTCTGCGGATTTAACGGCGTATCCGTTCCCTGTGACGGTTTCAGCGTCGGGTAAAGAGGAGGATGAGTGCTCGACGTTGTGTATACTGGCGGTGCCGAGTTACTTGTCGCCACCGGACTTTTTGGGGTTTGTGGGTGAGAGGACGATGGATGATGTTAGTCATTTCCGGATGATACGTACGCCGCGCGCCAATCGGTATATGGTTTTGATGAAGTTTCGGAATGGGAGGAAGGCGAAGGTTTGGCAGAAGGAGTGGAATGGGAAGGTTTTTAATAGTATGGAGGTATGTCTGACTATTTTGGGATGGATGTTAGATACGATTGCAGTGCTAACTATGTATCTCCTCGCAGCCTGAGACCTGCCATGTGGTTTTCGTGAAATCGGTCGAGATTCAGGTTGTCGAACCTGATCCACCTTCGACAGCCGACGCGGTTGTCCTTTCGCCCTCTCATAAACATTCTGTGCCATCTTCTGGTCAGGCTACACTCTCGACGAAACCTCTCGCACCACCTACACCCGCATTGATCGAACTCCCCACCTGCCCCGTATGCCTCGAGCGAATGGATGAAACAACGGGTCTTCTCACAATCATCTGTCAACATGTCTTCCACTGCACTTGCCTCCAGAAATGGAAAGGCAGCGGGTGTCCTGTCTGTCGGTACACGCAGGACGATTTTCGCAAGGGGAATGCCTCCACAGATAGTGATGAAGAACCCGCCGAGTGCAGTGTCTGCCACACCGACGCTAATCTCTGGGCCTGTCTGATCTGCGGCTCTGTTGGCTGTGGCCGCTACGACGGCGCTCACGCCTTTGATCATTGGAAACAGACCGCCCATGCCTTTGCCATGGACCTCACCTCCCAGCGAGTCTGGGACTATGTCGGCGACGCTTATGTGCACCGCATCATCCAGAGCAAATCTGACGGCAAGCTCGTCGAGCTTCCTGCCGCTGATCACTCAGCCCTTGACCCGCCAGACTGGGCTGACGCCGTACCCCGTGAGAAACTCGAGAACATGAGTGTCGAATACACGCACCTCCTCACATCACAGCTGGAAAGCCAACGCGCCTACTTCGAGGAGATTGTCGAGCGAGCAGCCGACAAGGCCTCACAGGCTAGTGCTGCCGCCGTATCTGCAGAAGAAGCCGCCAGCGCGGCAACAACCCGTCTCGCAGAACTGCAGGCACAATACGAAGCTCTCTCGTCCGACTTCATCCCCAGCATGGAGCGCGAGCGCGGTCGTCTCGAAAAGAGAGCCGAGAAATTCGAAGCTCTGGCCCGCCGCATGGAGAAAGATTATCGTGAGGAGAAGACTATGAATACCAGTCTGATGGAAAGACTGGAGCATATGTCGACGGAGAATGCGGCGCTGAAGAGCAATGTCGATACGCTGAAGGCGGAGATTGTAGATTTGCAAGAGCAAAATCGCGATCTGACGTTCTTTATTAGTGGGAGTCAGAAGCTGCAGGGTGCTGGGGAGGATATTGAGCAGGGGACTATTAGTGTACCTGATCCCCCGGCTGAGGCGGCGAAGAAGAAGAGGAATCGGGGGAAGGGGAGGAAGTAGGTAGCGCTGTGGTGCTGCACTGTATGAATATTATGATTGAATGACACTTGGATGACCATGACCATGACCAATTATAACTTGGCGTATTACCTTGATTTATTCTTGCTGGTATTCGGGTTTCTAGCGAGGAGCCTACAAGGCAGACATTGTGATGTTCTCGTCGGGGTTGATGCAATCCTATGTAAAAGCTCATGTTTCTACTATATCAGGTCATCAAGGTCGATAACAGATTGGATCAATGATAGATCAGATGAAATGAAATACCCTTCTATTTATACAAAAACCTATATAATCATACAAATGCCCCACGGGAAACCCTCATACGTATACCCTTAAACCCCTTTCTTCACAGCCCAAAAGTAATTCCCCCAACTCTCCGACCCAGGCACCATCTTCCACCCCAATCCAGGAACATAAATCGTCCCCATACACTTCCACTTCATCCCCTCAAGCGCACTCGGTCCACCCCGAGTCGTCGCCGAATCCGCAGCCCGCATCAGACCCTCCTGCGCCCACGCATGTAGTTCCGGCGGATTCACGAATTTACTCCACTCGTGCGTACCGCGCGGGACAACGCCGATCGGCCACGGTGCTTCGGCGATGACCTGGTTGAGGAGGAATGAGGGGAATGTTCGGGAGATGGTGGAGCCGATAAGCCAGCCGCCAGGCTTGAGGGCGCGGAGGCAGTTGGAGAGGAAGGCTTGGGGGGTTGTTGTTGTGGGGTCGATGTGTTCGATAACTTCGAAGAGGGTTACCATGTCGAATTGGGGGTGGGAGATGGCGCCGGCGGAGAGTGTGGATTCGGAGGGCTCCGATGATGGGGATGGGGATGTAGAGGCGAGGACGTCTTCCAGGGTGGTGTTGAGGTACTTGAATTTCCCACTGCGAAGGTGTGCGTCAACGGTGGGATCCATGCGGGCGTGCTCGCGGGCGACTTGGATTAGCATTGTTGATGGGTCGATGGCTGTCATCGAGGCTGCGCGGGTTGCTGTTGGTGCAGGTGCCGATGGGTCGAGTGGGATTGTACGTGCGAGTGATTCTGCGAAGATTCCACCGCCGCAGCCAATGTCCATGTAGTGTAAGTTGGCGGCATTCGCGGAGTTGGCGGTGGTGGTGGTGGTTGGTGGGGGGCTGTCGGCCAGGCAGGATGCAATGAACTCGTGTCGGAGGGGGTTCATTAGGTGCAGAATTCGGGATGGGCCCATTGGGTCCCACCAGGAGCTGGCGAGGGCTGAGAAGTGGGAGAGTTCATCGGCGGAGACGGAGGATGTAGAGTGGTTGCGGGTAACTAGAGATCTTTGTGGGAGGTAGTGTCGGCATGCTGGTCGAGTTGCTGTCGATGCAGAATGAAGGGCGCGGAAAGTAGGGCGAAAGGATGTCATGTTGGCGTTTTGGAGAGCAATTGCCCCGTCGAGGTTGCGATTATGGGGAAAGAGACTCTTGAGCAAGTCTGGGCTGGATATTAAGCTGTGCGCCAGGTCTTGAAACAGGGCTATGCAAACAATTCGTTGTTAGCTTGAGGGTCAAATAATTGGCAGCATCGGAGTTATCAGAACTCACCTATTCTTGGGTGTCAGCACATGGTTTGCGCTGGCTATATCAAGTAATTGCAGGCGGGACGAAGAAAGTTGAAGCTATCCGCATGAACGAGAACCTCCGAGACAAACACGCCAAGCCCGACGGAACCGCTTTACCGCCCTCCTATTGGCATCTCATCTTACATCTCACACTTTAAGCACAAACATGTCCTAATCTGGGAATGGAGGAAGGTTGCAATATCTCTGTGAGTATTCGGAGAGCTTGAGTACGGCATCCTTAACAACCCTTTTTTTCTATCTTTGCAAGGTTACTCTTAAGTCTCCTCTCAACATTTTGTGTAGCTCTTCGCAACTGGTTCGATGAGATCTATTCAACCAAAGGAGAAAAGCCTACTTCCATTTGTACTTAACTTGAAAGCTCTGATGTCTATGTGTGAGAAGGCTTAGGTGGTAAATCTCTAACCTGGTTCATCTCGAAAGTAGTATGGTAAAGTATTCCCTTCTTGTTACAAGAAATCTTCCGGATCCCATCCAATCACCGTGTATATACAATGCATCCCGATAACAGATCCTGTCTATAAACAACGCCCGAGTGTGGTATCATCAATCAAAAGTTCGTGGGAACATCCGAGTCCAAAGAGGACAAAAAACACATATAAGCATCCAACAGTCATTCAAGACAACATACAATCTTGAAATCCCAGATCAGGCCCGTGGCCTACGCCAGGGAGGTGAGGAGGAACCTGCTCGTTCTGGTCTCCTTCTACTTCGCCGATTACATGCAGGTCCCGACATGCCGCGAGTAAATCCCAGCCCTGCTCACCGGCACCGGCATTGGCCCATGTGCCATGGTCCGGTGTATGGGCACCAAGGGCTGGAAGGAAATTGCCAATGGTCAAGGTGCAATCGAGACCTAACACGGACTTGCACCGCTCCAACAGAGAGGGAAAGAGGTACGATGGTGAACCCCGGATCTGTGATAAAGTGTGCAGAATACCCCAGAGAAGTTCTCGAGGGTCAACCGTGGATTCTGCAAGCCGGTGGACGGCTTTGGTGCCCAGGGATCGCGTAACATCAGCGACCGATGAGCCCATGTCGAACAGTTTTTGTTCCTGAACGCATTGTTAGAAGTGTGATCTGTGAGTAGTTGGGATCATCTCAAAAGTTTAACTCACCATTCCAATACCATGGGCATCCACTGCGCCCTGGGATGCAGAACTGATTACACTCATCACGGCCTTGCCTACCAGAACTGGTAAATGGAAAGGTAACACACCATCGTCGCGAGCACCGGGCTGAGTAGCATGGTTCATGGACAATTTCCACATCATCGCCTGGAGCCATTGTTGTGTGATGAGGATGTCGACTTGTTGAATCTCCATCACTCCGTCGAGCGAAATAGGTTTGCATAGGCTGGACTGGATGGTGGAGGTGGGAGGCCTCTCCAGAAGACCCTCTCCACCACCGGCAGAGACCCAGTCGTAGAGATTTGAGGTGAGTTTTTCGAAAATGCCGATCAAATTGATAAAACCGTATGCGAGAATAGGGTCCTCGGAACATAGGACTTGGGGTTTGTGGATCGAGCTTCGGAGCATGACTGGCTTGGCTTGTTGCAGCGCATAGCCTCTGTTTTTTTTCCCGGTCTTTGGTCAGCAAAAGATATATTGAAAATTGGTAAACCAAATTACTTACCTCTCTGTAATAAAGAGTAGCCAGAATATTCGCCTCCGTTCCTCTGCATCTTCTACACTGAGCTCTGCATAAGTCGATTCTCGATGCAGACCCAGAGTGAATGTCATCGAGGTCGCTTCGCACAAATAGTACCACGCATGGCTTTGTTTATCAAGATTGCCATAGGATGCGAACAGGAAAAATGAAGTCAGCAGGGTCTCAGTGCTCAGATCTTCTACAATGTCACACTCCCGACGTGCCCGCACGGCTTCGGCTAGGAGCTTCTCTCCTGACACTAGGGAGTGCCCATCACCCAAGCTCTGTAGACGAGCAGGATCCGGGACTGGCGTATCGCCATCAAGCTTCAGCTGAATGTGGGTTGCAGCACAGAGGGAAGCTAGGAATGCATATCTGGAGGGTGAGAGATGCTCTGGCTGGTGGCTATCCAGTCGCAGTTGTTCACCGCGCACAACCGGCATGATCGGGAACAAGTATTTCAAATAGACATTGACATGCGCTAGCAGAATTTGCGGTGAGAGACGTCTTGCCTGTGGCAAGGCTTGACTTGGCCCACGAATTGACTCGATGGCCGAATCAGTCGAGTCCGGTGAAGAGACCAGCTCTGGGGGCGGTAATTGGGAGAGAGCATCCGACAACAGATCATGCGGTGCATACTGTGCATCGGCCACTGCAAATGCCGGCGAAGCCGGTGAGCTCAATCTGTACGGTGCGTCGGCGTAACCATCTTGGTCGGCATATACTTGCTCCTGAGTTGCATCGTTTCGGGCCGATAGCGGATGTATCGGGGCCAGGGGATAGAGAGTCCGAAACTTCGGCCCTTTACGACGCAACACATCGCTATAGGAGCAAGATAGGAGCAGACGTTGACATTTATCGCATGGTAGCTCGCGAGAGCATTTGATCTTGCGTCGACGACAATTATCACATGCCTGCTTAAAGGATGGTTTGGATGACGGAGCCAAGTCCATGCTGATCGCAGGGGAAGAGGGAAAGAGGAAAGACAAGTTGAGTTTGTAACAGCTCAGGACAGTGGGTCTAGTAGAATGTCATGGCAGATGAGGCAGTTGAGTTCAAGGACTAGATATAAAGAAAGTAGAAACCCAAGATCCGAAGAAGAAAGAAAAAAGAATGGTTTATCTGGGGAAGCGCGGGGCCACCCAAACTCGCCCCGCAAAGGCCCCTGCACGATTTGATTTGTGAAGCCCTGAATACTGACGCCCTTCTATAGCCTCCTACTCCTCTTCTACTCCTCCTTCTACTCCTCCTTCTCCTCCTCCTTCTTAGGCTAACCAGCGCCTTCTCTTTCTCTTTCTTCCTCTAGTCCCTCTTCTCCCCCCTCCATATTGACCGACGATATGCTTTAGAGGCTGATTACCGGTTTACGAAGCTCGTCAGATTCGTGCCTGACCTCTATATCCAGCCTATCCTCGATGGAGTGACTCTTATCCTAGCTGACTACCGACAGGAATCCGTCGAGGATTGAGTTCACCTTACTACCTCCATCATCCAATAGCACGATCCTCTCTCCGAGTCAGATCTTTCCAGAATCCTCCCTTATCCAGGACTAGGCCGAAAGCATTCCAGGATGCAGCAAGCCTCTCACCACGCCGGCACCTAAGCGAAGGCCCAGTAGATCCCCTGTCCATCATTCCCTTGGCACGCAGGGACGACGTAAGACTTCATCTCAGCCTTCACCAGACCAAACTGGGCCTAGCTGTGCCGAGTAGGCTGCCAGGCACTCGGCTGCACGACAGACCGAGGGATACGTGGGAGAAGAGTTACCCAATCGGCATTGACTGAGCCGCTGACAGCAGTCACAGCAACAGAGAAAGAGAGAGAAAGTTTATGCGGGGCTATGCGCGATTTTCTCACCTTGATTAAGCAAAAGCTAACCCCGTTATTTCCAGCCGCAGTAGCGTCCACCCGCTAGACCATGATGAGCCCGCGTCTCCGCAGTCTTCAACGGGTGGCCCATGGAAGGAATCAATAGCATTGCATCTTGGCTGCGCCCAGTGCATGTTAGCTCATTTGGATGGTCCAATCAACATCAAGCTGTAGACGCTAGAAGTTCTTTCTGTTTTCCATTGCAATTTGAGGCTTGCGATGCCGAGATGATTGCACTTCCTCGGGAAGCCGAGGAGGAAAAAGCAAGAGAAAGAAAGGAACACTTTCGATTTATGTACAGACTACGCGACCGGCCCATTTTACCCTCCACTGGATTAGACCATATTGATAATATCCGACTGATGGGCCTCATGGCTCAAGTCTAAGTTGGAATGACGAAGAAGGGGAAAGTATCCTCCTGTTTTTCCCCCAAGGTCCAAGATCCCAGGTTTTCCTGCAAACCGGATTCCCCCAGGAATCAGTCTCCCCGCCACAGGCACCTCCCGAGATGAGATGGAGACCCCCCAGATTGCCTCATCGTGTTGGCATTTTTGGCATTTCATCATCGGCATCCCCCGGTCCCCGTCGTTTCTAGTGTGCCGCTAGAATGAAAACACTCACCGGCTCCGTCTCTAGGCTCCCTAGATCAAGCCAGACCCCGGGCTACTGAGCTGAGACAGGATTCTGGATTACTACAGCTACTACTAGTATGACCATGAAGAAGAACTAGTCATCAACGATAGTATGATTTGTGTACTGCCTTTCCTGAATTCCTTCCAGGCTTCTCCGCTTCCCCAGGTTCGAGTCCTAGCATCGTTACATAGTGTATTTCTCTATACGACTCTCTGTCTTTGTCTCTCTCCATCTCCCATAGGGAAAGTGGTGCCGCGATGCTCTAGGTAATCGTGAAATCCCCTTTCAACTCTTCAAAGATTTGTGAGGAAGGCTCTCTTAAACAGAACCATCTAACATCTGCCACTTAGCCTAGAGCTTCTTACGACTCTAGCTGTTTTCGTGCTTGCCCTTGTCCATCACTTTGACCAAAAAAAGGGTTCTCTTTTAAACTACAGGGAACACCTTCGTATGTCTCCTCCTCGGTGCATTATGATTAAGCAACCCCACCATCTCTGCAGCCACGGGCAATTATCGGACGATTGACCAATCACGCCTCTTCACCATTCAGGGCTCACGATGGGACCTACAGTACAGACTTCCCAGCCCGTGGGTCATAGCAAGAATAGTCCAGACAAATGCTTCAACCATACGGAGTAGTAGCACTCGGCTCGCACCAACTCGCCGGTCTCATCTAGCCCGTCCAGCAACTCCAGCCCGTGCATCCCGTCTAACTCGTCTAACCCGTGTCGCCCGTGAGGCCCATGTCCTAGTACTCGGTCCTACGCACGGTGCAATAATGACGATCACGTCCCCGCAATTGCTCTGTGCAACTTGGGACCCTAGCAGGTCCAGCCAGTCCGCTAAGCTTGGGGCGCTTTATCCCAACCCCGCATAGGCATGCACCTCTTCTGGAATGCTGGCTCGAACACCATGGGAATCCCACCGCGTCCCCGCTATGCACGGAGATTCAACGGAAATTTTTACGCCATCATACTGAGTCCCCAACAAGAGGGAGACACCTGGGTCAATTCTGGTGTTTGTGTTGCGCTGTAGTATCGCGATCGCCCTCGAGTTGAGTTGTGGTCGACCCCATCGCATACTATAAGAAGGACTGGGTCAAGACGAGTTGCAGCGCTAGAGATTAACAAAAACACGAATAAAACAAATCCGTGATCGCAACCCACCCAGCTCAACGCGACGATCCTCCTCTACGATATTCTCGTCGCGGACTGAATCGATCGCGATGGTTGGTCTTACACGCCTTTTGGCTGGAACCTGGCTGTTGCCAGCTGTGTATGGCGCCGCCACGCAGACCTCGAGTTCGGCTTATCACCAAACCACCCTCGAATCCCTCGTAGATGTTGGTGCAAACCTTATCGCCAACATCGATGACCCCGAGGCAATCAACGCGCAGTCCGCTTGCCCTGGTTATCGGGCATCGAACGTGCAAAATACTTCTCGCGGATGGACGGCCACCTTGAAATTGGCAGGCAAGGCGTGCAATGCATACGGCACTGATGTGGACTCCCTGAACTTCACACTCGAGTACCTGTCTTCCACGCGTGTGAACGTCCAAATCACTCCCTCGCATGTGGATTCCTCGAATGCATCTTGGTACAACCTCTCCGAGGATGTAGTTCCGCGACCCAAGGCCGACAAGAAGGCGTCTGCCAAGGATAATGATTTCGAGGTCTCTTGGTCCAATGAGCCTTCTTTCGGTTTCAAGGTCTCCCGCAAGGCGACTGGAGACGTTCTTTTCAACACCATTGGCTCCAAGCTGGTGTATGAAAACCAATTCATTGAGTTTGTCACCGCTTTGCCCGTTGACTATAACTTGTATGGACTCGGCGAGCACATCCAGCAGTTGCGACTACTGAAGAACTCGACCTTCACTTTGTACGCTGCGGATACCGGCGATCCGGTCGATCTGTGAGTTTATCTATCCCTTTTTTTTCCCCCAAGCATGACAACGATTGAATGGAACCCGTTACTGACTCCAAATTTCTATAGTAACACCTACGGATCGCATGCTTTCTACCTGGATACTCGCTACTATGAAGTCAATGACAAGGGATCCCACACCCTTGTGTCCAGCGACCAGGCAACTACCTCCAAGAACTACGTCTCATACTCACACGGTGTTTTCCTGCGCAATGCTCACGGCCAGGAGATCCTTCTTGGAACCGAAAAGCTCACCTGGCGTACCATCGGTGGTAGCATTGATTTGACTCTCTACTCGGGCCCAACCCAGAGGGAAGTGACCAAGGACTACCAGCTTAGCACCATTGGTCTACCTGCAATGCAGCAGTATTTTACCTTTGGTTACCATCAGTGCCGCTGGGGATACACAAACTGGTCCGAGGTGGAGGATGTCGTTGCTAATTTCCAGAAGTTCGAGATCCCTCTGGAGAACATCTGGTATGTTGACACTAATCAAATATCTATTCCACCAAGTACAGTACTAGCTGACCCGCTTCCAGGAACGACATTGACTACATGCATGGCTATCGTGACTTTGACAATGACCAGAACCGCTATTCTTATGAAGAGGGAGCTGTGTTCTTAGAAAAGTTGCACAAGGCTGGCATCCACTACATCCCTATTGTGGATTCTGCTCTCTATATTCCCGACCCCAACAACGCGTCTGATGCGTAAGTCTATCATTCTGTCCAGCCCAGAAGAGCACTATGAGCTGACATATGATCCAGTTATGACACCTACACTCGTGGTGCCGAATTGGATGTATTCCTGAAGAACCCCGACGGAAGCACCTACATTGGCGCTGTCTGGCCTGGATACACCGTCTTCGCCGACTGGCACCACCCTAAGGCTGCCGATTTCTGGGCAAACGAGCTTGTTACCTGGCACGAGAAGGTTGCATTCGACGGTATTTGGATTGACATGAATGAAGTTTCTTCCTTCTGTGTCGGTAGCTGTGGTACTGGAAAGCTCAGCCAGAACCCAGTTCACCCTCCATTCTCGCTGCCCGGAGAGCCTGGAAACATCATCTATGATTATCCCGAGGGATTTAACGTCACAAACTCGACAGAGGCTGCCTCTGCTTCTGCGGCATCTGCCAGCCAAGCCTCTGCAGCTGCGGCTACTGGACAGTCTGCTGCTACTACCACCACCCCCTATCTGCGCACCACGCCTACTCCAGGTGTTCGAGACGTGAATCATCCCCCATACGTGATCAACCACGCTCAGACTGGTCATGATCTTGCTGTGCACGCTGTCTCTCCTAACGCTACCCACTCCGATGGTGTTCAGGAGTACGATGTCCACAGTCTGTATGGTCACTCTATCATCCGTGCGACCTACGAGGGTCTCCGTAAGGTCTTCCCTGAGAAGCGTCCCTTTATCATTGGTCGCTCGACCTTTGCTGGAACTGGTAAATGGGCCGGCCACTGGGGTGGTGACAACAACTCCAAGTGGTCATACATGTTCTGGTCTATTCCCCAGGCTCTGCAGTTCTCGCTGTTTGGTGTCCCTATGTTTGGCGTTGACACCTGTGGCTTCAATGGCAACACCGACGAGGAGCTCTGCAACCGCTGGATGCAGCTTTCGGCCTTCTTCCCCTTCTACCGTAACCACAACGTGCTCTCTGCCATCAGTCAGGAGCCCTACCAGTGGGCTTCGGTTGCTGAGGCCTCTAAGGCCGCCATGAAGATCCGTTACGCCATCCTCCCATACATCTACACCCTGTTCCAGCAGGCGCACACTACCGGATCGACTGTCATGCGCGCGCTGGCGTGGGAGTTCCCCAATGACCCCTCCCTGGCGGCCGTGGACACTCAGTTCCTGCTCGGACCTTCCATCATGGTTGTCCCTGTCCTCGCCCCTCAGGCGACCAGTGTCAAGGGTGTCTTCCCGGGCATCAAGCAGGGTGAGGTCTGGTACGACTGGTACACTCAAACCGCCGTCGACGCCCAGCCCCATGTCAACACCACCATCGCCGCTCCGCTAGGTCACATCCCCGTGTTCGTCCGTGGTGACAGTGTTCTCCCCATGCAGAAGCCTGCCTTGACCACCCGTGACGCTCGCAACACCCCCTGGACCATCCTCGCCGCCCTTGGTGAGAAGGGAATTGCCTCGGGTGAACTGTACCTCGATGATGGAGAGAGCTTTGCGCCCAACGCAACGCTGACTGTCACATTCAAGGCTACCAAGTCCAGCCTCAGCGCTGAGCCGCGTGGAAACTGGCAAGAGAAGAATGCCCTCGGCAATGTTAACGTGCTGGGTGTCACTCACAAGCCTAATGGCGTGACTCTCAACAGCAAGACCGTCCCCGCTGCATCGGTCCACTACAACTCTACCTCACAGGTTCTGTCGGTCACTGACCTTCAGAAGTTGACATCACAGGGAGCCTTCGCAGACAGCTGGGTCCTCAAGTGGTAAAAGTCCATTCTAGTGGAGGAGGGTGGCAATAGTTGTTTCCATGTCCAGTAATAATCCATACTGAGTTCTATATATCTCTCTTTTCTCTCCTAGGCCGTTGAAACATAAGATGTCATGTCCTCCGGACTGTGGATTTCGCCCGTTGAACCTGCACGTGAAGAGAAGCGAATTGATGAATCAATAATATAATATTATATTTTCTCTCAGTTGATTGCTATTCAGGCTTTTTCTGAATCCGCTCGGGAAAATACGAAATGTGGATCCTGGTCGTGTGTTTTAACCCAATTTGCAAAAACACCATTTCACCATCGCCCGTTCATCCCGAGCTAGCACCTTCAACGAGGCAGTCTCCGCCCGAAAGGGCGAATATTCGCCGAAGTCCGAACCCGAGGCTTATCGGCTAGAATAGAAATCATCAGAGTAAAGCGATGACATTTCAAAACGAAGACATACATAAAATGGATATTCTTAGCAAGTTTCCATACTCGACTTGCCACCACAACAAGTGGAAGTTGATTGATTTTGTAGTTTACAACGACAAGAGCTTTAGGTAATTACGAGCAAAGGCCAATCAATTCATGTCAAGCTTGTCAAGCAAAACATAACTAATAATAACCAACAACCATAACCTTAGCCCATAGTGTCTAATAAGCAGGCTCACTCGGGCAGGCCCCTGACGGCGAAATGGCGCAATCAGGAAAATGATCGACAACCGCCCACAAAGTAGCGAATCCTCTGTCATTGACCAATCACTATTTCTCCAGCCCCCGTTGTAACCTCACCAAGCAGGACCCTGGAAATTCACTGTAGGGCCCTCGCGATCCTCAACGCTGATTGCTCGATCCCTTGTTTGTCTGGCGATCCTGTCACCTGTGATTGTAATTGAAGGCATACCCACCCTCCACTGGTTATCTGGTGCACTAGCGACGCCCCGGTCCTTCATCTCTTGGCAGGATGTACTTTACTTGAGTCTAGGATATGCCAATCATCCCTCGTGCATTCATCGGAGGCTACGTCTGTGTTCGGAACGGCCGAACTGGCCCTGATAGTCAAGGAGATCGTGATCTTGACGAATTGGATCTCAACGCTGGACTGGGTTGATTTGATGTACATTACGCGCACGAAGATCGACGTCCTTGTTTTGCTTTTTTGGAGAGAGAAGCGTTCCTCCTCGAACAATGGTGTGTTTCCTTCTCTCCCCTTTCCTGAGGGGAGTGGACTGCTTTCTTGGTTGCTGCTTCCTACGTCCAATCCATTAGCAAAGAGTTACCGGGGGCGGACATTCACTGGAGATTGTATGGCGATCGTTGCCGATCTCTTTGTTTACTACACTACAGTATTGTTCAATTCGAGGAGTTGTGGGGGTTGTGTTTTACCGGTAGGTGAATACCCTGCTTTCTGGCATTCAATTACCGTGAGTGCGGGGGAATTGACTTAGGTATGAGCCAGGATTTGTCAAGTACACGGGTTAAACCGCCAGGAAAGACGTCCCAACCGGCGTGTCTGACATAAAAACGTATTCTAGTCGCTCCCTTTGTTAAATACCAAAGCTCAATCGAACTTGAGATGAGCAAAATGTCCCTTTGGCGCAATCTTTTCTTCGCGGGCCTTTTGGGCTCAGCCATTGCTGCGACGCCCGCACAATGGCGCTCACAGTCGATCTATTTTATGCTCACTGATCGTTTTGCAAGAACGGATGGCTCAACGACGGCTGCGTGTAATACCGCTGATAGGGTACGTTTGAACGTGGTCATGTCCCGAGAGAAGAAGACGTGCAGCTAATAATTTCTATCTAGGCATATTGCGGCGGTACCTGGCAGGGCATCATTGACAAGGTAACTCCAGCTCTAGTGCATCTTTAGGAAGTCCCGATCTAACAGCGACAACAGCTAGACTACATCCAGGGAATGGGCTTTACCGCCATCTGGATCACTCCTGTCACCGGTCAACTGACCGGAGATACTGGGGACGGCACCGCATATCATGGATACTGGCAACAGGACATGTAAGTCTTGACGCAGCAGTCTATTCTTCTCTTGAGTGGAATTGATGAAGCATCAGTTATTCTTTGAATTCAAACTATGGGACAGCTAGTGACCTCAAGTCTCTGGCATCGGCTCTCCATAATCGTGGCATGTACCTCATGGTCGATGTTGTTGCCAACCACATGGTGAGTCTTGAATAAAGCTGCACTTGCAGAGAAATACTTGTTGACAGACATCATCAGGGCTACAAGGGTGCTGGCACCAGTGTTGATTACAGCGTCTTTGACCCCTTCAACTCGAATGATTATTTTCATTCCTACTGCGAGGTCACAGACTATAGCAACCAGACTAATGTGGAGGACTGCTGGCTGGGTGACACCACCGTGTCCCTGCCCGATCTCAATACCTATTCGGAGAGTGTCCAGAATATATGGTATAACTGGGTTGGCTCCTTGGTTTCTAATTATTCGAGTAAGCAAACAATCAACAGCTATGCACGCATTTCTGGCTAACAGGTGAATGATAAAGTTGATGGTCTGCGAATTGATACGGTCAAGCATGTTCAAAAAGCCTTTTGGCCTGGTTACAACAAGGCTGCCGGTGTTTACTGTGTCGGCGAGGTCTTTGACGGCGACGCAACGTATACTTGTCCTTATCAGGAGGTCATGGATGGGGTGCTGAACTATCCCATGTGAGTATGCATTGTGTTCAGCTGGTTTCCACAACGACTTACCTGAGAATCTAGGTATTATCCCCTACTTCGGGCTTTCCAGTCCACCAGCGGGAGCATGAGGGACCTTTACAACATGATCAACACGGTGAAATTTACCTGTTCCGATTCCACCCTACTTGGAACTTTTGTGGAGAATCACGATAATCCCCGTTTTGCGTCGTATGTCTCCTCATTTGGATTGAATCTATTGCCACCCACTCACTCTGTTCAGATACACCAACGACATGTCTCTGGCCAAGAACGCAGCGGCTTTCACTATCATGGCCGACGGCATTCCTATCATTTATGCCGGCCAGGAACAACACTACAGTGGCGGTAGCGATCCAGCGAACCGCGAGGCTGTCTGGTTATCTAGCTATAGTACTGACAGCGAGTTGTATAAGCTTATCGCCAAAGCGAACGCCATTCGGTCTCATGCGATTAACGAGAGTGATAGCTATATCACGTACAAGAACTCCCCGATCTACCAGGATAGCAGCACCCTAGCCATGCGCAAGGGAGATAACGGCACACAGACTATTACCATTCTCTCAAACCTCGGTGCAAGTGGAAGTCAGTCCACGCTTTCCTTGGGAAACACGGGCTATGAGCCAGGGACGGCGTTGACGGAGATCGTTACCTGTGCGAGTATCTCTGTTGACAGTAGTGGCAACGTGCCCGTGCCGATGGCGAGTGGGGAGCCAAGGATTGTGTATCCCAGTTCGAATATTAAGGGGTCTACAATTTGTTCCTAAGTGGATCCTTTTGTATTTAGTGTTGCCTGAACGTTGAAACTTCTTATGCGCTTAAAATCCTTCCCCACTTATTACACTCAAACTGTGGAGAATCTCATCGGGGATGGCTGAAAACGGTTGTAGATTCCTACATTGCACGTGCTTTGTGTAAAAGTGATGTGCTGCTAATGCAATATTCATTTGCACACCATATGTGTCAAGATAACGAATTCGTATGTTTTTCCCAGGTTGCTCTGTAGTTATGGAGTGTTTTCGAGTTGATGTAATTAGGGACACAATAATCGTATATCCATTCGCTAACCCATCATTCCAGCCCTATCATTATTACCATTGCTTAAAAGATTCCCTCTAACTCCAATATCAAGCCCCTCATAGATCATGTAATGCCCGCGGCACCAGGCTCACGGGCATGGCACCTCCAGTAACTGGCGCTGGATGATGTTGAAACATAGCAGGCGCCGAAAATGCCGGTTGCGTGGGGACGTATCCAGCAGGGATGAGCTGTTCAAAGCATCCATATCCCTCAACAAGGGGCTCCATGCCAGATGCAGGCATGAGGTGCGTCAAATCCAGATTCCCAGATCGAGATGGTTGTACCACAAACAAAGAGCCCTTAAGCACATCTGCGCTAGGTGAAGCTTGCTCAGCGCTAGCTGCTTCGGAATATCTGCGCTGGACTTCTCCGACAATACACGCAATCCTATACGCCAGATGGTCGCTACTTGGAGCAAGGTGGAGCAGGAAGGCCCGGACCTGATCGATCTGAGGATCCGATGGATTATAATCACACAGGGTGAGAGCAGCATATCCAAGGATGTAGTAGACGTTATCGATCAATCCTGGCGCAGCCGAAAAGCGAGTCTGGAGGGAACGGGAGATTATCAAACGCGCATTGCTGCATATTTCGGTGACCAGCCTGTCGGATTCTGGTTGGAGCCGAGACGCGGTTCTGTGGAGCAGTAACTGGCAGAACCAGATACTGAGCTCGAGGGTTGATGGTCCTTCATTCGCTGATAGATAGCTTAGCAAAGTACATCAACGTGTGAGAAGATAACGACATACCGATCAGATGGGCCCATTCCATTTTCCATCGTTCAATCTCCTCGTATTCGCCCTCGGCAAATCGTAGACGCTGAAGGTTGTACTGGATTTTCAAAGCGATTCGGTAGAGTTTGATTTCTGCGACAATCCTGCCATCCTCGGGTGTGGCCCTAGGATGGTCTAGAATGCGAGTGCAATGATCAAGTTGATGTTGCTGTAAATTAACAGAGCGGCCGTATCCGAGTGCAGAACTTTCTCATTGTTAGCAGTGAAGAGGAGATTGATCAAAGAGAACATACTGCAAATGAGTGAGACAGAAGGTATTCCAGAGACGCATTTGAGAGAGCATCTCATCGGTCAAAACACTTTTGGAGGGGAGGTTATTGAGAAAATTGAAAGAAGTCAAGGCATGGTTGATCGAGATCCCGCTCAACAACCAGCCATCCATGAATCCTTCTTTGTGACCTGAAGTAGGGTAGAGACAAAGCAATGCAAGTGCTTGGAGCAGGTCATTTGTCAAGGGTGACCGTCTCCAGAGGGTTTTGGTGACTCCATGCTGCACTTGCATTGAAATTTCGTGAATTGTATTTGCAGGCATTCCTGGGAGATATCGAGATGCCAAAAGACATGCAGTATTGAAAAGCAGTGTATCCGTTCTCTGAATGCTGGATGAAAGGTCTATTGAGACCCAAGGGCTGAAATATTCGACAAATCTATCCAATGGTCAGTTGCCGGGTCAAGGATGCTCTGGGAGTGCACAACTCACAGTTCGATCAGTTTCAAGGATAGCTTAGCATCAATTATCCCCTGCGACACAATATCGCCCAGCAGATCTGCTTCGGTGGAGAGCTGATCTCTGAAGCATTCAATTTGCAGGTCCCGAATGAACTGCACCGGTTTTAACGTAAACGATGGCACCGGCCAATTATCGCCCGATGCCACATCATCCACGCTGCGTGTTCCATGGGAATGCGGGCTACCAGCAACTGTAGATGATTGATTGGCCATCTGACGCATCAAATGAATCATCTCGCCCATGCCGCGTTCCAGGGAAACAAGCCGCTCCTCAATGGAAGGGATTGCCGCGTTAGCGTCTGACCAAGTAGACGCATTATCCTGGAACCTATCTTGGGTCTCTGGCAATTCACAATCGAGTCTGAGAAATAAGAGTTAGCTCTCTGGACTCCAGTTTGTAGTCAAATTGTGGGCTGGAGGGCTCGGGGCCCTCGACAAAAGCCCCCCAATCAGAACTTAGATCCAAAAAGGAGCGGGGACATTATGGGAACAAATAAAGTAGACATCGCGAAAAATGAATGAGAATCAATGCTACGAGAGCGAAAGAATGATGACGAACCTGAGTGAAAGACAGCGACGACAAGCATGTCCTCGGGGATCCAGATCACATCGAGTCTTCAGCTTACGGCATGTATTGCACGCAGTCATGGAGCGACGGATCCGCCCTCTGGGGCGAGGATCTTGGCCGACCGAGTCAATTCGGTGACCATCATCGAGAGCAGCAATACTCTTGGTCTCCCACGATGTTGTGCTATTTGTAGGTTCGGTTCGCGTCATAGCTACAGAAGGGAATTGATATTTGGTGTGTTGCTAGGGAACCATTTATGACCGAGAGGTAAATAAGAGCGGGGCGAAGAAGAGGGTCAAAAGTAAATAAAAATGGAGGTATATCTGGTACGAAGAGGACGTGCAGCAGAGTAATGAAAGTAAGTTGAAGTAGTAGAAGGTTGAGAGGGGATCAGCAGTTGGACCCTTCCAAGCCAAGTTTCATGGCGATGGAGATCATTAAATCACTGAAAGTTCGGGTGGAGATACTGGAGGCTTTTTAACAGATAGCAAACCGTGTGAGAGGAGCCAATTGCGACAAGGCCCCGATGGTTGACGATATCGATTCCGCCAAAGTGCGCAGGTACGTATCCACTTCGTGGCGGACCTGGGGTAAACCGCAAGGCATCCACCAATCTGGAGCTTTGCCACGGCTTCTAGAAAGGTAGCGATGACCGGGCCTGCTGCATGCTGCGAGGTCAGTAACAGCACAAGAGAGGGGGTGATAGCTGCGCATTGGCTCCTTTCTGTGACTGCCCCTGCTCACTGCCCGATGTGAGCCGTCTAGAAACGTTCCGGGCGGGAGGGGTCAAGTAGCACCCATGCTGAATCCGCCGTTCGTGAGAAGCGTTCACCACCAGAATTTAGTGAGATTGGTTTTGTTTAAGTTAGGCTAGCTTAATTTAAGTGGTGGCCACTTAGTCAAGTGGTCGGTTGAGGTTTCTAGTGTCGAGTTGGGGCTAACGTGGCTAACTGGGCTAACTGCGCTGGGGGTGGTCCCCAGTTAGTCTGCTCTAGTAGTTGGCCTTATCGCGGATCCTCAGCCTCTGTTCTCTTTTGTTCTGGGCTTTCCAAGTCTTATCTGAGTTCCTTCTGGATTGTTCTTTCCTCCAGGGGTATTGCATATATCTCCGAATCCTGCCATGCACAACTTTAGACATCGATTTCATGACAAACGCTGCTTTCTAACCAATTTCCACTCATGATCCCCTATCGCCCTAATCATTTCGGTACTAACTAATCCCTCCTCGTGCATAGTGATGCAAAGTGGGGTTGTTATCATATCATGCGTGTGAATATGTGAAATGTGGACCATGGGTATTTAGTGGATAGGATCGGGAGTGGGGAGAAGAGGGAAGAAGGCTCGGGTTATTTGGCTGGCTAGCATGTGCAAAGTATTTCTCGCAAGTAATTCTGGTCGGGCCAGTAGCCATTCTAGGATAATCGGGGATTAGACTAAGGCGGGCTGGTCTTGAAGCAATGCTACATTGTAACTTTCTGGACCCGGCTAACGCCGGATCTCTGCCGGCTAATGCTTGGGCCCCTGCTAGCCTTATCCTTAGCGAGCTGGCAATCGAGAATCCCAGCTGGATAATCATGCTGCGCAACTTGACACCTATCCATGGCGAATATGAGAGCACGCTGTGTGTTTAGCGCCCGTGCCTCGACTCGCAAAAAAACGTCATTCCACCCGCACCACACGAGTCAGATCTGTAGAAAAAAGGATTCCGAACAATATAACCGTGTTCTTCCCGTCCCGCGATGACAGCTGTGTGTCTTGTCTTATGGTCTAGGTCTTGACCTTATCAGGCGACACTATTTTCCGCCCCAGATTAATTCAAATCCAAAATTAACCTTGGTGTCGATGATCACGGAACATTTAGACGAGTTCGCTTGTCAAGGTAAAACGTAAATCAACGTTCGTTCGAAGTCTCTTTTTAAATCGCGTGACGCTGAGTGGTGCTTGCGCAGAACAGAATAGAACCACCATCCGAGGTTCATTTGGCTTCTCCACAGTCGGCTCCACTTCATCCCAAGGGTAATATATATTCCATGCAGACAGCTTTGTGCCTTCCAATTTGGGCAGTAGCGTGCTGTCGGTCGTTGAACACGGGCGCACGAATAAGAAGAAGCGGTCAGGATCTCAAGATCCAGTATCAACTCCTCAAATCCCGCTGGTATGCCGGTGGCTTATCTTGGTTTCTTGGTTTCTTGGCTTTCTCTTCGTCTGGGGTAAAGTTCGCCAACACCAGGGCCAAAGGAGCTGAAATAATAGGAGGGTGCTGAAGGCCCGACACAGAATTAAAGGTTCTATCCTTGACATACAGACAGCATCATTCATTTGTGAAGAATTTTGTATGCATATGGGTCTGCCTGTTGCGGTGACTTTTACCCCATATTCTAATTCAAAACGCTCGCTCTGCACATCACACATGAAGGGGTGGCGATCGACTAGCCATCAACGTGCCAAGAATGATTTTCATGGCTTGGGCAATATCAAGCAATGCCCAGGGAATATGGAACTACGTGCCAATCCTCGCTCGTAGCTGCCGCCAGAGATTGGCATGATTCAAGCTGCAGCCTAAAGCTAAGTCCCACCACAAAACAGTGGATACGAGGCCCGGAATAATTAGCCTGGTAACAACGTCTTTCGTCAACAGAACCCGGAGGCTCGCAAGGCGAGCATTAGAACACTTGGAAGATTCCAGGACCTTGACAGCAGAGCGCCGAAGGCGCTTATGCAGGAAATCACTTTAGAACGCCTAGCAATGTTACAGCCAAGCTTTAGTCCAATGTGATCGGACCAATGGCCCCTCCTGATCACGAGGTCTGCTCCAATGATGATCCCCGGGGATGCAGAGCACATCAGAGGTCAGACAACGCTATATGCATGGATCATATACTATTGGCGGGATAAGACATTTCCCATATAATCTACTGATGTAAGCCCGATGGTCGACCTAGCGTGCGTTTCGCAGATGAGGATGCAGGGGTATTCACAGGAACCCGTATACCCCCTTCATGAGATACTCAGATGACGGCATGATATAGTTGGCGTCATATTTTCTGGAATTGCCCGGGGTCCGCCGCCGTGAATAGCCAGCATAGATCAAACGGTTTGTTTAGTCTATGATAAGAGGCTGCGGGTGACAGGTGGGCCAAGCCCGCTTTTGTTCGAATGTCTCAGAGATAAGACTTTTGGCTGTTGCACCACCTGTTTGAATGGGAATAGGCGATTCTCTATGATATTCTCGCTCGTTCTTCCGAAGCCATCCAGGATCTTGCCCTTACATCTTACATGAGGCCCGGGAAGATCCCTCGGTCTCCGGGCGCAGTACCTTACTTTGATCACCGGTCAAAACCATAAACATAACCTATTAGGAAAGCATTTTCCTTTTGTAATCGATCGCTGTGTCCAACAAGTTGGAATCAGCCATTCGGCTCACAAAGGGATTACGCATAGGCAGTGCAATTCGAGTAATGTATTAACGATACATATAGAGCTTGAAATGACCTAGCGCAAGCTTTCTGTAGTCATTGACTGTCTCAATTCACATTGTAGTTTTCCAAGATGGTCTATAATATTGTGCTTCTTGAACGACAGGTGATATTAGGAACTGCCATGGCCAAATTTGTCAAAGCTTAGAGTGGTTTTCAATGTCGGTTTCTATAGATTACCTCAAGCCACTCCATCATGGCTCTCTGGGCTCTGAAAAGGCCGCAATATTCGACTAATCGCTATTATCTATTGCTCAATCAGGCTCTTTTGTCTTTCGATAGAGGGTGGATTATTGCTCAAGCGGTATGGCACATATTGACGAGCTGACAAGTTTTATATAATTGTTAAATTTTTGCATGAAAAAGGACAAAGATAGGTCTTAAATGTTTAACTAGTTTTGAGTGTATAGACTAAGTTTGTCACGTTAAGTGCTCAAGTCGGCGGAAACAGGCCTGGGTCCTGAAAAGCAAACAAACCCTTACATCTTAGATCCTCTTGGTGGTGTCGGAGACTTCTCATATACGTAGCTACTTTGGCCTCCACTATCTGGACTGCCTGGGGTCTCAATAAATGGAATGTGAGTTGCTATGTAAACATACCGCAGTATCTCTCCCTAATATGATGCTAGTATGTTTTTCAGGCTAGGAGCACCTACTTAGAATACCCGCTTGAAGTACCTAAGCGAACATTGGCAAGAGGTGTATATCTTGCAGTACTAGATACTGTATTTCTTAATATCGTGAAGGAATTAATGCACACACATCACACCCAATGAAGATTGATATGGCTGCATCTGATCTTGTCACAATTAGAGCATGCGCCAAATATCCACTATTGACAAATCTCGCCATCTAGAACTTGCTTCAAGGCTTCGAGTGCAAGGCTATTTCTTTCAATGGGGCAAATCACAAGCTACGCACTAGTTTTACGCGAGGAAGGTCCTCTACCACGATAGCAGTCGGACTCGGTCGCCCTAATTTCCCGAGAACGACCCTATGGGAGTCGTATCGTGAGATAGTGATAGAACTTGGGCTAATTACCTTGTCGCAATGATTGAATTATTAACCGAGTAGTTCCCAAGTGTAGGTGAGATCTCTCGTAATTGAAGGCGCTCATCATTTCGAGGGGACTTGATGGAATCATACTGGATAAATGTGTCGTTTATGTCCGTGAGGTAGTACTGATATCGTTGTGGCAAGGTTTCTGCGACAGTCGTCTAAGCTTCACTCTGTGTAGATAATATATCTCAGTCTCTCACTGTACCGGACGACCCCATATTCGAAAGAGAGCGAACTGGTTCTTTTCGCCAAGGTTGCGGTAGCCAGCTTACCTGTCTCTATCTTGGAGATTATTACACTCTTTGCTATTACTTCATGAGTAGTATTCGATGATTTCTTGCGAATAGTTTCAAAGTCATGATAGTTTACCGTCTCCGATAACTAGGCCTCCTCTTACACCTCCACCTGCCTCTACTTTTTTCTTCCTCGGTCGTGATCATTTCGTTCAAAGAACGACTTGATTTCTTGACCTCTAGTTTAGGACTTACGGAAGGGTTTCATGAATTGAACACCACGACAACCTCTCAAGGACATCTTATCAGTCGCTAATTAAGCGAGAAACCAAGGAATGATCCCCGAGCATCAGGGAAGTCAATTCAAAATCCGTTCAAAAGGGCTCCGAAAACAAAATGAACGGAAGCATGTATAGTACCAACGACTCTGTGATCTCTAGATCTAGACGCAGAGCTGTCACAGTAACATCCTGTTCAACTGTGCAGTAATCGGCACAACAAATACCACGACACATGGAGGAGCTACGTGATATCATGTACCAAAGTCAACAGGTAATAATAGTAACTAAATATTTAGTAGTCTTCCCTACAATATAGCTTCTAGGTGTCTATGTTGCGCGATGCTCATTAACGTCTTGGGCTGCAAGCGGTGTGATCAAATGAATAACATATACCGTTTATGTTAATGAAACTTTCGGAGACATATAAAGCTGGATCTTTGAGCATATCGCGTATACTAAGGCTCGCTGTAATAGAATATAATACGATGGAGTGCCTAGGGTGGCTGTGGAGTTAAAGAGTAGAGGCAGTATGGGAAGAGAGATATACCTTCAGTTTCGTGTGCCTACATACCTGAGGGACATTCCCCAGCTATAGTGTTGTTCCTTATTAACTTCTCCTGTCAATGTTTATGTAACGATCTTGGTAAGGAGCAATAGCGAACAAAAGCCTGAAGAACCTAAGGAATCTAGTTACTTTGTCTGGAGGAACAATTGAAGATAGATATAGATCTTATAGATCTCTTCGTGGGGATATCACCTTCTATTCTTTTTCCTTCTCCAGAACTGATTATGATACTTTCCTGAAATCCCACCAGTTAAGTTAAATGATATTCCTGGCTATAACAAGTCATATCTTAGTTCGAATTCTCAAGCCCTAGGATTCAACGTTCATTCTAGGTTTTCTACCAAATCAGGAGAAGAGTTCTTGCTGCCGATACTTGGTAGTGGAGGACCAACCAGCACTTCGTGCCATCCTATGTTAGTCGATAGTAGGCAATCCTGGGGGATATAAGGATCGTGGATGATTGGTAAGAAAAAGGGCGGGCTTTAATCTCAAGCTCAAATGAATCGACATATAGCGAGACATGAAAGTGCCCGGGTCTCATCTTTTTCAAAAAAGGCAACTTTCACATTAATCATCAATCAGATAGACCTTTCTATGAATGAGAACGACTTCGGAAAATCTGTATAAAGACGCTAGAAAATGGCTATGTTGGCTCTTTTCATGTTTCAAAGTTGATCAATTTAAATATGATTGCCAGTAAAATGAAGTCATGTATTCAATGTTTTCGGAGGTCTCTATCTAAATAACACCACTAGGTTCAAGGCATTCTATCAAACGTGACAGTAGGCTACAACGGATATATTCGTAGAACCAGTGCCAAGCTTCGTTCAGTGAGCAGCGCTCGCTCAAGTAGAGCCCTCCAACTAATTAAGCATTTTGCAGTAAGCTAGCTAGAAACATGACTTATATAATAGTTTATTTATTCATCCTAACCATCAAAAAGTAATTTTCAAAATCATCCTTTTCATTTAGTTAGTTACAAATGGGAGGTTAGCTTGGAACCATGCTTAGTATCAGCGGGGTTTGAGGGTTGTGGACAGTTGCAACGCAGAGTTAATGCAGGCAGGACGTAAATCTGTAGCTATTTTGATATGCATCTGATATTACCACACAAAGCTTGATTTCTGTATTGCCTGTTGAGCTCCTTGCGCTTCCTTTCTTGGTTTCCTAAATGGTCCCAAAATTCGGTGGACTGCAGCAAATGAAAGATACCAATGTATATCATGTACCACAACCCAAAGCTGGAGTTATGATTTATGCATATATATATCCTTGATTGATTGGTTGGAATAAGATATGTCCACACGAGTGCTTAATGACGCAGCTAATACTATACCTCCAAGCTGTAGCTTCGTCGTTCTAAGGATTGTCTATGTCGGATACGACCTCCGTACCAAGTACACAAGGGAGGTCACCCTCTCTCAACTCAGAGCAAACGTCAGAAATCTAGCCCGATGGGAGGCCGAAATTTGCAGCTCGGATAATCCGGTACTTGCATGGCTCTGTACTACAGTATCTACAGAGCATAGCCCACAACCGAGGCAAGTACGGCCGCTAACTCGATTAGGGAAGCTCCGTGGTTAAGACCCTCTTTATTAAGTACCTGAAAAATCGAGAATGGTACTCGAGAACGAATCTTATGGACGAGAAGTGGATTCATGATCCTTCGGTCAAAGATTCCAGAAGGAAAAATCGTGCTCCGGGAAGCTCCGTGGCGGCTTGCCATGCGACTCTGGGAAGACTACCTGACACTATTGATTTTACTACTTCCTAGGCCAGTGGGTCTGCGTCGATCCCGGCTCAAAAAGTAGGTAGACCAATAATTCAATAGTGCATTTTTCAAGCTTTGACAAGACCTTTGTTACTAATGAGATACATAACGTACCCAGACGTGGAGTGAATACGACTCCCACTAGCAACTTCCGTGACTCCGGGCCCGATGCGGATGATACGATAATTGCACACTCTGTATACATGATTCCAAAAAGAGAAAGAAAAAAACAGGAAGTATGGGCCACCATTGCATCACAACCACACTAATCGCAAGGATCGACACCAAAAATAGGGTAGAGCACAGGCCACAGATGGGGCGCTCCGAGGTGTTCATGACATGTCAAGTTTTCCTCCGTGTTCTCCGTTCATGCAAGAGGAATACTGTAGCTCGCAGAAGCCGCGTACCTTATCGATCTAATTGGCTTGACGAAGATTCAGCAACCCCCCTCTCCCTTCACGAACGCCTCATCGATCTGCACGCGATCGGCCTATGTGGGCTATGGCATTGACATAAGACACCTCATATTAACGTAGTTCCCGGCCGACCCGATCACCCAGTGGTCCCGATCACCCAAAAACACCATACTGGAGGCAACATTTCACATCTTCATATCTCAACGCCTGAGGCTAATTCTATGGTTCTGGGGTATTTGAGTATTAGACATATCATACTAGGTGTATTTATTAGCTCAAAAAATATTTTGGGCGATAAGAACATAGACATATATATTTGCACTGTCCGACCGGGGAGTATTTTGGGAGTATTTTTGGTATTGCAGGTAAGCAACTATTTTATGAATATGCCGGCTAGACTAGAGTATTTCTAGTGTAAGTAAATTCTAGCATGCTAAAAATCAGGTTAAAATATATTCTCGTTGTTGATTTACTGGCACCTGAAAATTCGCATGTAGTATGGTGTTTTGGGGGTGATCGGGGCGGCGCCGGGTGGTCGGGTCGACTGGGAACTACATTAGTTGTCGAGTATCTCTCAGTTGTTAGCAACCCCAGCAAGACCACATAACCCCCCCTTGGACCCTCGCGACAAGATGGCCACCACTCGATTGAGTGTGATACTCCTCGCAGATACTATGTGGCGACTGTAACACCCATCGTGCGCGAGGACGTCATGGTGTGAATTCACCGCTATATGATGCATCGTAGAGGAAGATATCACTCTCAAAATCTTATGCATTGGTACCCTCGGACGCGGGGCTGGAGGATCAAGGGGTTTAGACGGTTGTTTTCTTCCGCCCTGTATAATTGGACGCCACGTTCACTCTATGTGTTAGGTTCTTACTATTCCTTAGATGGATCACGTGTGGTCCCCAATACAACAATAGCAATATTGAAATAAAGATAACAACGCGGGCGCTGTCTCTTGCTGTGCCCATAGCGTGTACGCATAGTATTTTCCTTATTGTTTCATTCGCCAAAAATAAACTTCACCCATGACTTCAGTTTCAAAGTTCCCATAGGGGATATATCGCGGACGATATACATACATACTTCATTCCTTGTTCCCAAGATTGTCTCGTGTTCGTCCAGACCTTCCAGGCCCACAGCAAGTCCGAGGAAGTCTGCGACCGACCGAAACCGTCGTTGTTTTTGACATGATGGCCGGACATATAATTCCAGATATAGGCCGTCAAGTTTTACGAGATACTGTAGTATACTATTTCTACAGTAATGCTAGTTTTGAAACTAATGCGAGATGCTTAATTTTCGGGGGCTTCCCGGCTTCTCCTTGGAGCTGCAGCCACAATCTCGCCCGGAGTACGGAGTACAGATGTCTCAGTGCAAGGTGGATTAAAGGATGGAGATCAAAGTGTGGCTCAGCGTATCAGGGCCGGGTACCACCCAATCCATTCAGCTTTCAATCTCCAGAACACTTGGGTAGCACGCCATCATTCAGGAAACGGAAGCTACCTAAGTTAATTATTCACAGCCTCCGAAAATTCTCCAAGTGGTAGTTGATCATCTTGGAGGGGGTCGACTGCGAAGCACGTTCACGTGGCTGGCAACAAGTCTTCGGAAAGTTGGAGCTGGGGCGGGCTCAAACGGAGGCAGAACGCACGAATCAGTTGCAAGATCAGCCTGTCTGTCCGAGTTTGAAACCTCCGAATGGCAGATGTCAATCCATGAACCAGACACCGACAGTCACCAGATTAGACAAGAATCTAGCGCCTATCCAACTATGGGAAAGAAGAACACAGTGACATCCCGGCACCACCACAGAGCAACTATTGTTCATATGTGATTATGTACGGAAAAGTTACCACTAGCGTTGTCCCAGGGCATCGGTAGATGTTCTCCGTCAGGCATAACCGCGGACAAACCGAAGTTTAAGCGCTGTCAAAAGGGGTAGACACTCCGAGGAAGGTTTGGAGGAGACGTCATGGGGCACTTAGCATTATTGGAGGCGCGAATCTCGATCGGAGTTTGGATTTTTCAGGTTGGCATCTCTGGGTCGGGTGGGTCTGTATGGAGTGGCAGGTCTAGCGGACAAGAGAGGGGGAAAAGTGGACTAGGGGAAACTCCAATCTTGGGAAATTAGTTCGATCCAGAGACAGAGATGGTTGGAGACATCATGAATCCATGGTCAGAAGAGAAGTGTGGTCCCAATATTGAGTCGATCCGGCAGCTGGCACGGCTGACCCTGTATGGAGTACGGAGAGCTTATTCGAGGCTCCTACGCAAGGTCTAGGCTAAAGGTCGGCGTGCGAGTATTTTCCGACGCGCCATTGACATAATCTGATTCAAAATAATGTCAGAGATATCCTATTATTGTTTTTAAGTGGAAAACGAAGTGGAAGGATGCCCCGGAGGCTAAAGCCGAGAAGAATAATAGGGGCTATGGAGATCGCGAATTGGATTGGCTCAAATAGCGGCACCCTTAGTCGTAAGGCATGATCCACGTTTCCCGTCATGCGTACAATAATACGAGATCGTCGAAGTTTGCTGGGTGGGGGAAGTGATGGTCACTGTCTGTGTATCTCTCATGATTTCCCTCCAAGTCTAGGCAGCTAGCTAGAGAAAAGATTGCGAAGTGACAAAGCCCCATCTGATGATGAAATATCCCTTTTCTATCGAAATCCAAGTACCTATTTCTTCGTCCCCAAGCCTGTCTGGTAAATAACATACAAAGTAAACATAGGGTATCAAAAACAGGAGATCTGAAAGGACCCTCTCCCCTGCCTGTGTACGGGGTAGAAAATCCTATATAAAGGAGCCAGAAATAATGTGAAACAATGTAAAACAATCTTAAAACGTATCGAGGAAGACATTAAGAGAAAGGAAAATGTGAAAATGAAACAAAAACGAGATGCCAGTCTATCCCCGTTTGCCGTATACCAAGCCCCGTAAATCGTTAAAGTAATCGAACTTGAAAGTAAAATGAAGATGGACCAGAAAAAGTGGGGAGGAATGACTTCCAGGTCGTCAGCCGAATGAACGCTTCAAGTTGCGATGCCGTGATAAGTGGATATGTATGCGAGGAAAGGAAAAATTGAGGCCGTGATCAATAGATGAGTGAACCGATACCAAGGTCCTGAACGCCAGTAAAAAAGATAAATGGTTCAAGTGTTGGCGTGAACAAACCCATTACGACTCGAGTATGCACCGTTCAACCAACTCAAAGTTTAATGATGGGAGGGCAAAGGCTCTTGGTCAATGTCGCTAAATGGAGAGTGTCTTGAAGAATCGGCGTCGCCTCCACTGCTTCGCATCTGATTTCTGAGTGCTGGAAGTTGTCGCCGCCTTGCGTTGATAAACCAATTGCTGATCTATATCCAAGAAAAAAAAATCAGTCTTGCTGTTATCAATGCGCTTCAACGTGCTCTCCATACCTGACTAATTGACAGGCCGGTCCTAGTCATGAACATCTGTTTATCCTCTTCGCTAGGATACGGGTGGTCTAGATGTTCGTGAAACCAGGCCCGCAAGATATCTGTTACCGGTTTGGGTAAATTACCCCGTCGGCGCTTCGTCTTAGGATCAATCGGGTCGCCCATGATACCGAAATTAGCCTGCTGCGAGTGCGTCATCATACTCGGCGAGATCTGCTCAGGGTCACCAGGGTAAGGCATCCCTGGATGTCCATATGGTGGTTGGGCGTGCATTATTGGTGCTGTATAAGGTTCCGCGTTTCGTCGATCAGCCATCGCTCCCGGCATTGGGCCTGGCTGGCCGGACCGATATTCTTGTGTAAAGGGGTCGGAACGTGGGGCGACCATTCTGCTGTCGGGATATCCTTTCCTGTCTGGCATCGGTTGAAGGTCCCGTATGGGCGGAAGAATCGGGCTTTGGCCTCGCGAGGCATGGTCACCGAGTCTCACGGATAGGTGATCGCTCATCGGTCGGGGTGAATGTTCGCCTGTGCGCGTTGTGTATTCACGAGCATGGTCGCCGTAGGGGTGTTTCGAAGAAGCATTGGGAGAGTACCCGGGAATTGATCTGGGATCGGCTGCCATTTCATGGCCGGAGGAAGGGCGCTCCTGCGACTGGTGACGGGAGTTATAGTATGATGCGGAGGAATCGATCTCATCGTGGAGGTGGGGCGGAAGGAGCTGAGAATTGACTTGTTAGATTGCTATCTATTATGGCGCGTCACAACAGACATTTCCCACTTACCTCGCGAAATGACGGGAGCGTTTGAGGGTTACCAGCCGGTGCCATGCTTGTATACGAAATGGCCATGTCGGTATCTTCGTCCAAGTCCCGGGGCCGTGACATAGACGAAACTTATAGCGGTACAGAGGAACGGGGGGAAAGCGAGTTTATAGATAATCAAGATGAAAGACGGGTTGGGCAAACTATACGAGGAGCGAGTTCACGGTCAGAAACACAAGTTTGTAGAAAATTGGTCCAGAAGGTGAAGATCGGGAAGAAGGTTTTGTGGTCGTCGGGCGTATTAAGGGTATATTGTTTTTTGTGTATGTAAAGAGGGAGGAGTTAAGATGGCGATACTCACACTGGGAAGCTGGCCTGGTTTTACGTTGACATCGCAGTCACCGAAAAGGCCAAGATTAATGCAAGGTTGGGGAATGAGAGCGAGGAAGATGGGACTGCGGTTTTTAGAAATCGAAGTAATGCAGGGCCCTTTTACATTTTATTTGATTTCCCCTCTGCCCCGAAATAATAATTAATGGGAAAAAATCCCAAAATTGTAAAAAAATTTAAATAATCATAATCCAAAAAGACATGTTCCGAAGACCCAGCTGTTACATGTCCATGGAAAAGCAAGAACAGGGGGGGGGCCCAAAAAAATGACGATCGTGGACAGAGTGGAGACTTTTAGGAGCCACAAACTACGGAGCCACAGCAGTAGCGCTCCGTGTCCTCGAGGCATGCAGAGCGGAGAAGAGGGGGGGGGTTGTGCAAATCAAAAACCCTATGGAGCATCCTTAAGGTTGACCTTTGACAGATAGCGCCAAGGATCCTCTCATCTGGTTCCTGTCATCCTGGAATCAGCCGTCGTGTTAGCGCCAGGATCTATCAATTGGCGGGCTCTCAAGAACTACTGTTCCCCTTCCCCCCGGTTCCGCGCTAGGTCGTTCCTGGTTCGTTTCTGCTCTTCCAGTTCGGCTCTTTTGCTGGGGGGGGGGGGGGGGGGGGGTAATAAACGAAATTTGAATGATGTCCATTGCTGTCTCATATTCCCATCATTATTATTACATTGTCATTCTCTTTCATAGCAGAGAATTTGAGCTGGCCTTGTTGAAAATCTAGTAGCAATTGGCCGTCAAGATAAAGAAGGAAAGAAGACCACGAATAATAAAACGAAAAGTATTCCTTTCCTTGGCTTGACTCGAGATTGACCATGGACGCAACCTTTGGAATGCATGTTTTAGCGCCTGGATAGGTAGTATTGTCTTGAGGGTGATGGGGTTAGGCAGAATGGAGAAAATCCAGGCAGCTGAAGATCTCCATTCAGCCGCGGCAGATGGAAATCCGATCTCATAAAATTCAAAACTAATTTGGAAAAATCCCAAAATTAACACTGTAATAACATACATGATCAAATGATATTTAGTGTTTCGTTCCAAGAAAAAACCATCGCATGACCCGAAGATATGTTATTTACATAGAACAGCAAACAGCAGATATCAATCAGGCAGGGTTAGGTACGGAGTAGAAGCAACGAAATGCCGTCCATAGGTTCGACGGGAAAGGAGGGACGCAGCAGGCAGATTGGAGAAGAGTGTGATGCCGGCAACACCAGCCACAACGCGGGCACTTCGTACTGTAAATGGAGGATGAAGGCCGGGCAGGGGGGATCAGGAATAAAAAAAAGAAAAGAAAAGTGGAGAGACGGCATTCTGGCATTCACGATGTATGGAGTACTCCGTACAGTACCTGAGTCAGGCTGAAGTTAATTAATTCAAATACTGAATTCGAACCAGATTTAGAAATTATTTCATGTTGAGTAGTGGGGTCCACAGTTCCGCATGGGGGAAAGAAGGAGAAAAAAGCGCGCCCAACTACTCTGTATACAGCAGTTAGTAGCAGTTAATAATTCAGGCTCGGGTTTGAATCTCTCTCCATCGCTCTCTTGTTCTGGCCACTTCTTTCCTCCTCCCCTCGGTCGCCATATCTAATTGAACTACTGTACATAGCAGGATTTTGGAACCGCTCGTCGTGTGGTGAAAAGTTAAACCAACTACATCACAAATGAGGGTGGATCGCCAACCCAGAAAGCGGGCTTCGAGTCAAAGGGAAAGATCGCCGGAGGCCTCACTGGGCCGTTCCACATCGCAGGTTGTGTCAGAAGGGCCATGGATCGCTGCGACTGGTTCCCAGCCCGATCGCGAGGCGTCCCGAGGAGCTTATCCTGGATGGTGGGTTAATATGGGTTAAGAAGTCCCAGGGCTCGAATAGGACGAGGCGACCATGGGCCGATGATCCATACTATTGGATTATTAGCCCGAGATTAAAAGATGAGGGAGCTACGGGTAGCGTGCTAGATAGAGTCTGCATGTTGGCGGGGACCCGAGAGATCTGGAGGGAGCGATCTGGACTTTGATAACCTTGACTTCGGGAGTTACAAAAGTGTACAGAAGTAGTAAGTGAGCAGAGTCGATCATCTTGTTGGTAGACGAGACAAAAAGGAGGGGAAGGGGGGGGAAACAAAAAGAGCATGACGGACATACACGGCTCGATCCCAGCCGTCAGCCTCTGATCAGTGGGCACGAAGATCGATCGACCAGACACGAAAATACTGTAACACCAATGGTGGGGGGCTTGTCATTCGAGATGAAATAATATATCCTGTGGCGTTGTAGGCTTGGCACATCTCGAGGCCAACAATCAGGACTGAGAACCTCAGGACAGGGATGGACAAATCGCCTAGCGTGTGGTTAGTGGTAGGGGGTTCTTCAATGTACTCCACTTTCTTCCAGATGAACCAGCCTGTGGCCTGTGGCGTAGCAAGAAGCCCGGATCCACGCTACGGTCGCGCTCCGTACGTCAGATCACTCACACGGAGCATCCGCATGGATCCATCCATGACGCGACGCCTGACCGAGAGTTGCGCTTTCTTGGTCCGTTCAGCAGCTTTCCTCACTTGGAGACGATCGTGTCAGCGGGGATGATAGGGGAAAGATGTGGGTATAATCATGATGATGGTCAGCCATCTTTGAAGCTGAGGAAATTACATTGTGACCAAGACACTGAGTTGTTCCTGGGCAGGGAACCTTGAATAATGTATGTCCAGGGAGGTGGTTTCGTGCATATGATATCTCAAGCAGCGTCCATCTGAGCGAGGAGTGGGGGATGGGTGTTATTGTAGGTGTGCTCCAGCCCTACTTACTGTACAGTACTTCGTGAGTAAAGGGGAGGGGGAGGTGAGAAGCAAGAGTGACGTGGAGAGGGTCCGGGATTTGATGGCGCCAGAGCGACTCCGTCCTCGGCTGAAAGGCGTGAAAGGCCCTTGTGTATTTAGCGACCGCCTCAATGTGATTAACTAATATTTCCGTGTATGTATCCTGGAGTCCTCCAAGTGGAGTATATATATGCTCTGTATTACTGACAACTATACTCTCTTGTTGGGCATGCTCATTAATCTCAAGTCCACCCAGTCTCATTATCCCATCACAATCTCTGCCATTCCATGCGGCTCGCACATCGCATATCACACACATCCACCCTGTCATGCGTTGGTATGGTTCAGTTATACACACTAGCATCGCTAGCTTCTTTTCTAGTCACGCCAAAAGTCCAGCTGGGTGTTGGGGCGGATTCTGTCGAGTGGATCGCCTCCTGCCTGACCATTCAGTCTACATATGGCCTTCTGTGCGTACCGAGTAGTACATCCTTACCTGCCAATAATACATAGTCTAATTTTTACAGACTGGGTTTTGTCGGTCGAATCAAACAGCAAGGATCGTCCTCGATTCTCCGTCATGTATGGAGCCTTATGGAGCAATGTCACTCCATAGGGAACACAGATTCAGCGCACGAAGAGGAGGCGGTCTTACACTTTCGATACAGAAACACAACTCGTTCATCCTGTAGCTACTGTACTCCGTAGGTTTGAGTGAACGACAGCGAAAGTGACAAAAAAAGGCTATCGGAGATCCTCCTGGTAAGTGGGGCATCGCACGCTCCGCACAAGCTGCCTGGGAATATGTACTGACACTACAGTGCTCCACAGTCTGTATTGCGTACTCGGTGCATGCCACTGGCGAGTAATACATAGAGGAATTGAGAAAAGTAAAAGAAATGAACACAGACCAAAGACTACCACGATAAGTCGAGGACTGGGTCAAAAACAAAACTGTCGAGGCCAGGATGAACGCCGTCGAACCCATGGCTCTACGAGCCGTGAATCGATATTTGCCGTCCAATCACACCGAAAATGAAGAACATGGTTATGCCCACTTTCCTTACTGGGCATGGGACCGCGAGATTTATGTGGCTGTTCCCACCCGAGATAATAATTGTAATTAGATTCCTGAATCTGGGGTCTACTCCTTCCGGGGCGTCGATCGACAGGATATACTTAGACGAGACAATAGTACATAGGGCCAACGCCAGAGACTACTCCACTGACAGATCAATGTAGAAGCCTCGGTTGACGACGAAAGCCCTATTCCGGCGCCACTCGATATCGACGAGGGAGTTCATAAGTAGTTCACTACAAATCTCCTTGAGTTTGTCGGACAGACTCTCGGACGCTTTCCGCGCGACATACTCCCATGCCGGCGCTATAAGCTCACTAGATCTAGTTCTAAGTTTAAGGAGTGGCCCCGTCATAGGATACCTGTCTTCGCTAAAGATGGCAGTCAACCCCGAGCTTGAGAGGCCTCGGTTCTGGTATAAGCAGACGCCACGATCAATGCAGGGGCGTGCAGTGGCTGGGATTCTCTTCGATAGGGCCAATCTTTCCGCCAGATCTACGGAGTACATTATCATTAACGTGTAAAAGTGCCGTAGCCTCCTAATGCTAACCAAATCAAATCCCACACTAGTCAATTGAGTTCAGTATGAAATTCGGGATTCGAGGCTTCAAATCAGATTGGCCACGATTTTCATGTTTTGTCCATCATTCACGGGCAATATCTAATAGAAAGAACAGCGGATCTTGTTCCTTTCGAAATGTGCGGCCACGCGGAAACCCTTTACTCAAAATCAGCTGCTGTTATCTGATTTTCAGAATTGTCCCGTCCTCTTAGTCGTGGGTACTCGGATTTTGCTCTGATTACCTATTAAAGAATCCTTTTGGTCACACAGGCCGATGTAAGTAGTAACCAAACAGTTACTCTATCTCTGTACTCGGTACTCCATAGATGCAGTGGTAAACAAGGAGGGGAACTGGGTGAGGGGCAAAAAAATCGAAAAAATAACACAATGAACTGAACTGAGAAAAAGTAAATCCCACCATGTAGAGGGGCGCCGAACTTCTCCGCCAATAGACCGGTTTCTTCTTCCCCCGCCCAGCCACATCTAGGCATCTCCGGGTACAGCGGAAGAAAGAATCAGTGAAATCATTATTTCCTCCAAATTAATGGATTTTAGCGGGATTTTCATACCACATCTATCCGTCATTTATGGAATTCGAGATCGTG